CTAAGTTTACGGCGTCGCTATACTACCGGATTATTACTTTCGCTTAATAGTAGCCGTCTACGCTTCAAAAGTATTATTTTAGTACTAGGAGATAATATATATTAGTATATAGTTAGAGTTCGCTAAATCGAGCGAGGAATTCTAACGCTAGAGTTACGCTAAGCCGAATACGTCCGGAATTCTAATACTTTTAGTATCCCGCGTCGTAACTATAATAAAGTCGATAACTTTAACGACGTACTATATATCTAATATACGTTATAGTAATATAAACTTAACGTAGTACTACTATATATTACTTTATTTATCTATTTATACTTAAAAAAATAGGATATTTACTTTTTAGTATTTAAGCCTAAGTCTAAAACTTAACTTTAGAGTATTTTCTATATTAGTAATTATATTTCGAATAAAATACTAAAAGCTATTTAGCTCTATCGGATCTTTTTTATATATTATCGTAAGTCGGTTATTAGACTAGAAAACTACGCCTATATTACTATAGTTTAAAGCGAGACTTTTACTATAAATAAGTAGACTAAGTATTTTACTTATCGCGCTAAACGAACTATTAGCGAGATATTCTCCTTATATTTTAACGAATTATCGATCGTCCTTTTTACTTTAATTATCTCGCTTAGTAGATAGTAGTAGTATTTTAATTACTAGCGCCTATATATAGTAGACGACGCTAGCGAGTATATAAAAGAAGTTATTTATAGTACGTAGCTAGTTTACTTCTTCGTCGATCTTTAAAATAGCTAAGTAATATAAAAGAGTACTAATAAAAATATTACTATAAACTCGTTAAAAAGTAATTAACTTATAGAACTCTAATAGTATATCCTACTCGACTTTTTTAGCTATACTACTCTATAACGAGTACTTAAATACTTATAGTAGCTCTTTTTACCTATCTCGCTATAAAAATAATTTACGAGTATTTTTTATAATATTAGTCGACGTTTCTATTAAGTCTCTAGATTCCGACTTATTAATTATTATACTACTATTATACTCGTTTTTACTATTACTATCCTCTACCTCGTCCTCGTCTCTATTTAAAAAAGCTTTTTTATTTTTTTCTAGTATTTACTCGATCCTCTCCTCGCTCGCGAGTACTCGTAGTATATAGTAGATTAAGCGTCTAAAGTAGTTTATATACTATAGTTAAAAGTCTACGTTCTATAGCTAGGTAAACGGCTAGATATCTAGCTCCGTTTACTTTATACTTTATATCTAACGCCGAGTTTCTAAGTCTAGCGTTTTTAACTCTATTACGTACCGCTCGATTAGAGCTATATTTACCTTTATAGCCTAAACTAAGAGCTTATTACTATAATCCGGTAAACGAGCTACTTAACTAAAATACTATAAATTATAGCCTCTAATATACTTAGGCTATTAATTTCGTTTAAACTATAGCGTATAGTCTATTTTTACTATAGCTTTATTAGTAATTTTTAGCTTTTTATCCCGTTTCTCTAACTATATATTCTAATCGCGTAGTATAGCTAATATATTATTTTTATCGACCTTAATATATCTCTATAATTCTAAGTTACTATTATTTATTATAAGTAGTAAAGCTAGTTTAGTACTTATCTCGTCTATTATATTTTTATTATAGTTAACTATAAAATATTTCTATAGACCGGCTAAATTAAAGAATATTTAAGCCTATACCTAATACTAATACTTCCGCTCCTCTTTCGTTAACTTCTAGTTATATTCTTAATTATAGTACTTCCTAATCTCGTTTTAACTTCTACTAATCTTTTCGTACTTAGGTTCTTTATAAATATATACTCTAACTAGTTTTCTAAAATAGTTAATAGAGGCTTATAGTAGTTCGGGTAGTAGGACCTTCTATAGTTTTCGAATCTAATAATACGAGAATAGTTCGAGTATTTTCCGTCTCTCTTTTTTTAATATAATATATAATTCCTATAGATACGACTCGAGACTATATACTATATAGCTATATATACTATAAATAATTACGCCGAATTCTTTAAGCTAGTATAAGTAATCTTTCGCTATTTATAGTATTATTCGAAGCCTATTATACGTATTATTATCGCTACTCTTGTCTTTATTAAATATAAAAATATCTAGCGTAGTTTAAAATACGCTAGAACTTATTTTATCTAGCTTTTAGTCCTATAAACTATAGGTACTAAACCGAGTAGTATAACTAGTATATAAAAGTTATATTAAAAGAACGTATATTTATAGCGTCTATAGCGTCGTAGATATATATATTAGAACTAGTAGTATAAAATAGGGGCTACCTACCTAGGAACTACTTCTAATATACTATATACGACGCCTACTAAACTAGATTTAGCCTAGAGGCTACCTACTCCTAGTATATTATACTAGCTAAGCTTCTTTATAGTTTTTATAAGAAGAAATTAGCTTCTATTTTTAAAGAGTAGTATATTATATATAAGTCGTTATAGTAGAAACGCTAGTAAAAGCTTCTATACCTAAAACGAGACTTATATTCTATCTTTTAGCTAACCTATTACTAGATTATATTAAACTACTACTATAAAAATATATAGTCCTCTTTTCCTCGTAGAAGCTAAATAACCTCGCTTTAGATATTAGATAGGGTATCGTCTACTTCTAAAGTATATCGAGCGACTTTTTTAACTTTTTCTTTATTATCCTAGTAATATTTATATAAAATATATAGTTTCTTAATATTATTAAAAAAGTCGTCGACCTCGGTCTCGAGCCTATCTAGCTTTTCTTTTTAGTTTTCTACTAGATTACCTATCCTATTTATAATAATATTAAATTAGCGTAGTTTTTAAAATATTCTCGGAGTATAATCTACTTAATTTTCGTCGGTATAGTCGGGTAGTAGCGTATCGCTCTAGCTACTCTAGTTCTAACTTATAGTAGAGGCGCGTAAATCGTAGGCTAATACTTTATAGTTTTATATACTAAAAGCGTCGCGGAGTTAAACTATAGTATTAAGCTATTATTAAGTTTTTTTATAGTAGCTAGTTCGTAGTTCCTAGTAGACTCTTAGGTCCTCGCGGGTTTAGTAGCGGCTCTCTCTAATCTTTTCTAACTAGAGGTTAATAGTCTATAGCTTATTATATAGTTAGTTTTTATAGTACTTAAGTACGTTAATAAAATCCTCCGTCGCGGTAGATTACTATAGTTATATTATATTAAATTCCGCTTATTATACTTTATTCTTCTAGCGATATTCTTTTACTATATAGCCTAGTTTACTATATCTATAGTATATTAGTATTTTAGATCTTTTAGAACTTTTCTAGTTCTTTCGTTTACTATTCTTTCTTTTAACTTTATAACTTTTCTAGGTTATATTAAACTCCTAGTCTATTATATTTAGGTTACGACGTAGCGGCGTAGAGGGTCTATAGTTACCTCTATTCCTATTAAGAACGAATCTAGCTCTTTTTCTAATTTTAGAGTTATAGCGTTTTTCTAGACTCCTTTTATAGAGTCTATCGTTAATTTTAATAGTAGATTAGATAAAAGCTTAGAGGTCTTTAATAGGACGGACCTCTTTTATTAACTCGTTTTTAACGGAGTTTTTTAATCTTTTTCGATATATAACCTAAAAAGCCTCGTTATCCTAATCGATAAACTAGGCTATTTTCTAAAATTAGGTAGTATATTTAGCTACGGAAGTTTTCTAGGTAATATACTAGATAGTATATATAGTAATAGATTACTCGTTAGTAGTCCCGAAAATTCCTTTTATAGCTATTTTAAAATAGTTCTAGGAGGTAAATAGTCTAGAAGTATTATTTATCCTATTACTATCGAGATACGTTATTAGGAATAGTTAAACCTAATATTTAGCTCTTTCCCTAAAGAATAATATAGTAAAAGTAGCTTTCTTTCCTAGTTCGATAGTATCGTCGAAGAAGAAAAAAATATTTATTTATTTAGTCTAGAGAGTAAACTTATTATAGTCGCTATAGTAGAAGTTAAGCTTACCGAGCTTTATATTACTAATACTATAATTTCTAGTAGAGATATCGTAAGTTAGTTATTAGGATTCTCCTACTTTAGAGGAAGTAGGTATTCCTCTTAGTATAGATTAATCTCCTATCGTAGAAAGCGTTTAAAACTATTAGAATTAGTTCGTTAATTCTAGAATTTTACTTAGTATAAATACTAAACTTAAGTTTTTAGTTAGAGCTCGTTAAAAGGAGAGAGTTAGTAGACTACTAAAATAATCTTAAAATAGAAGTTTAGGTATTATAGTAAACTAAATAGTAAAATTAAATAGTAAGTTAAACGCTATTATATAAACTATAATATTATTCTTATATATAAAAGGAAAAGTACGAAAAGTACTATAGGCGTAAAGAGTACTAGTCGCTAAAGTCGCGAGGTACGCTCGTTACGCGTATATATCTTAAAGGATAAGCGCTAGCTTTAGTACCTAAAGTTACGCTAAGCTACGCGCTTTAACTTCGATCTATAATATCTATAGTAAAGAAGTAGGTCTTTTTTAGTTTATAAAGATCTAGTTTTCGATTCTAAGAGAACTCTTTATAGAGGAAAATAATATTCTATATTAGGAGGACAGAATTAACCTCGTAAAAGGGCGAGTATAATTCCGAAACGACGCTCCTAATTACGAAAACACCGTTACTATCGGCCGAAATATCTTTACTGCGGATTATTCGATCCGTTAAGAACATTCAATCCTGAACGTATAGTACAGTATTATGCGATTCTTCCAAACATGTCGTGTGCTAACTACTTCAGTTCTGCAAGACTCGCACCTTCTCAGCTCACGAAACTACACGAAACTTGGTTTTGCCGTATCACCATGCATGCTGCCTTCATTCCCGTTTCCCTGCAATGCCCAGCCCTTGCTATTCGCTTTCGTCTGTTCCAACTCGACGATACCTTCCGCACGATGCAGCAAAGCCAGAGCACAATCGTCTTTGACGTTGTGTATTTTCTTCCTCCCGTCACAGTCTCCTTCACACTCAATTCCCACCCAATGCTCCCAAAACCTCAAGCACATCCTTGGCAGCATGCACATCCTCCTCGGTGATATCCTGCCCGCGATACATCGCAACCCAAGACGCAAGGATCAGATCCATGAACGTGTCGTCCCCTCCTACGAAGACCTCCAAATGGCTGGGCCGATTGTTCACAGTTCCATGGATCTTTCCCCTCGCAAGCAAGACGTCTCGCTTGTCATACAGCTCCCATCCTTTGCGTTCGGCACGCCATTCGAACTTGCCAGCGGGGCTTCGAAACTTCATACTAGCAGTACCAGGAGGGAAGCCGCCGCCGGGCTCGAGTTTTGCTTCGCTGGTGCTGAATTGTATGGTTGTGGTGTCTGATCACTTCGAATGGTGGATGGTGCAAACTTGTTGTTGGGTTGGCCGGAGGCGGGTAAGAGTGTTGTTGGAGAGGACGAAGAGCGCCATCTCCTGGCTCTGAGGAGTGGTGGCTCTGATTTGGCCTTGGCTATCTGGAGGCTGGAAGATGAGGTTGGGTGGTCCATGATTGAAGTGAGAAGAGAAGAGTCCCATCTTTGGTATCGCTGAAGAGTATTGTAAGTGGAGGTTCCAAACCCTCTACTCTGTGGGTTTCAAATATTGCTTGCTTGATCGTCTCTTAACGTCACGTCACTCTGATAAAAGCTGGACTAAGTGGATATTCGCCCAGAGGGTTTAGGTGGCTGTGCTCAGAGTAGTCAAGGCTTGCGGGACATGGAGCATTCCAGTGAGTGAGAATCAGAATGCGGAGCGCTCCGGCTTAGGGTCACTGAGAATCACTGTACAGATGTGAGTTCCTGGCGAGTGCATCGACGTTATGGGTTGCCATGTTCAGCTTGTCCGGGCTAGTTCTTCCAAATGACCCAATGCCTTTGGTCCAAAGCCTTTGAACCCGAGGCTGTGCAAACACACACTCAATTTTTCCAGCAGAAGGGCACGGGCCTCGAGTACGAATACGATGCGAAACCTCTTGTGGAATCGTCATATCTACGCTGTATGGCTTGTCGATGTTCAGAAACGACGTCTTGGGGCATTTCGTCGCTTGCCTTCTTCGACAACAAGTGTCAGCATCCCATCTTTCCAGCTCCTTTCCAGACTGCTGACCTAACTGATGGACCTTCCAAGCTTCCATAGGAGTTGGTATCCACCGACTTGAGCACATATCAGTCGGAAAGAGTCCTTCATCCGGATACCTGGTTTTGAGAACTTCGTGGAACCAGCGAATCGAGAATTGCTTGATGATCTTGCTTGATCCAGCCACGCATGTTGCTCAAAAGAACGGTGTAGAGGCCCCTCCAGGATAGGCGTACAATGCATTTTGATCAAATTCTTCCGCTGACAGTGCTTGAGCTGACATGTCCTCCCAGAGAAGATTTGGGTCCAGTCCGGAGACGTTGAATGACCACCAATCTGCGCCCGCCATGAGATTACCCTGTACATTCGGCGAGGTGAAGCTATTTCCTGAGACCTGATTCTGCCAATCACATGTCGAGGCGACGTTTCCAGCTCTGTGATAGGCGATGGGTATACCGTCCTGTGCAGAAGCGGGCTCTGCGTGCACAGAATCTAGTGTCACAGGTAGCTCGGAGAGAGTCTCGTCGATATTTCTCTGCGGTCCTGTCGACCGCGGCTCCTGGCCTTCAGTCTCGCCTGGACTCCCGAAGCCATCGGGAAATTCCCCATATACTTGGTTTTCGACATCCATGAGCGAAAGTAATGCCGTGGACGGAGCCCACGGTGCGTTGCCGAGCTGTATTCCAAGTTGGGACCTCATCGCGTTGAGCTCAACGACCAGATTTTGATGCGCTGCGAGAAGCTCACGCAACTCCCTTCCCGCAGCAATGCACATGCTACGTTGTTGTTGATGATAGTGCAAACTCTCCGTCACAATCATGTTCTTGGTGAGGCGCTTGGCAGAAGCCAGCTTGGGCAAGCAACGGGCGAGATCCTGGAATGGAAGTCAACATATCTCTCGTCAGACAATCGGACCGGCCAGTACCAGAAAGGTTCGATTCATGTCTTGCCGCCGACGCTTCTCAATGGCCAGGTTGCGAGAGTTCACATCTGGTGGCAACGGCCGCACTCGTGGCTTCTTCTCGATTTTGGGCTTGGCGGTGGCTGTCTTCGTGGCCGAGTCTATCTCGGTATGAAGATACATGGTTATTATCAGTCTTGGCGAGCTCTTTCAGTGATCCGGAATCAGAGACGGGGGAATTGCTGGAAGTCGTGCCAAGTTCTTGCACAGGGTGAAGCTGAAAGGATCACAATTCAAGCGGCTGACTGGAGCTTCGCAAAGGGGCCTGAAAGTGGAAGCGTCATTTGTCAGCCCTAAGGTTTGATTCCAGCCCTGATTCGACGGGTCTGCGAGAGCGAATCAGGCTGTGTGCCCGATCACGCACAGGTCATGTTGACAGGCTGTATTGCGTTGAATCAACAACTGAAAACAACTATAGGCCACTCACCTGACCTCTGCCGTGGCATATTCCAGCATTGATTCATTTCATCAGCTACTTATTCGCCGTTGCCTCCTCAACTGCCGCCTCGCTTTCGAGCTGATTCGCTGCTAATGCTTGCATAGCCTCTTCAACCCTTACCCTGCCACAAGATCACTCCCAACAGTTTTGGTCAGGGCTGCACCACTATGTGCAAGAGGGTTTCCCGACGGTGGTTCGAAATCAAAGTCAAGAATGGAGAGCTCCTGAATGATGTCGTCAGGAATCGTGGACTTGTGGCAGCCGCGCTCGGCCATCGCCATGGCCTTGTGGCAAACCCAGAACTATTCACAGAGCCTTGATCAGTCTCAGCTGAAGCTTTATGCAGGAGGCATGAATCGCTAGTCCAAAGAGTTGTGCTCTCAATGCTTCAGCAAGATCTACTGAGTCTTCTCATCTTGCCGTACGGTTTATGTCTCCATCTGACCTTTGATTTCGCCCAGTACAGCCCCTGAATTGCCAACGCTGGTCAAGAGCATTTCCTCATTACCTCCGCAGTGCCACCTGGAACATGGAGAGTTATCATTTCTACCATCAGTTGCACATATTCTGCGTGTCCAAAGAATCAGGTCTGAGCCATTCAAGGCCGGATGCCCAGAGTCTACGAATTGGGGGAATTCTTGGGCCACGTGGAATTCTTGTTTTTTTTTCAGAATACCGTGAGGCCACCATCAACGATGATATCTGCCCCTGTAATGTAACTGCCCGCATTGCTTACCAGCAAGATAATTGCACCGGTCAGCTCATCAGGATGGCCCATGCGACCATATGGGGTTCTCTTCGCCCATGCTTCCCTCAGTGACTGTAAATGTGAGCCTTCGTTGAGGACAGTGTCCATATACCCCGGACTGATGCTGTTGACGCTGATGCCATACGTGGCCCATTCCGCCGCCAGTGAGCTCTTCATAGATATCAAGGCAGCCTTAGATGCATTGTAGTGTACATGAGGCTGGGGATAGTTAGTGACGTGGCCAGATATGCTTGCCATTAGCACGATGCTGCCCTTGTTACCATTCTTGATCATCGATCTGGCAACGGCCTGTGAGCAAAGAAAGGCCCCCGTGGTGTTGATTTCCAGCATTCTTCGCCAGTTCTCTGGCGTGATTTCTAGTGCGTGGATTGAGCCCGTGATCCCTGCAAAGCAAAGGAGAATTTCAATACTGCCGAAGACACCTTCCACCTCCTCCACTGCACTGTCTACCGACGCAGCATCGGTAACGTCCACCCTCTTGAAAACAGCCGTGGCTTCCGGAAATTCGCTCTGGAGCTTGTCGAGGGTGGGTTGTGCCCGGTCTGGATACATGTCGAAGATGGCCAAGCCTTGCACACCGTGCTCCAGTAAGGCTCTGCACGCAACCGCCCCTATACCACCCGCGCCTCCAGTCACTACCGCATTGCCATTGACAGCGAATCGATCTGCAGCTCTCTGTGCAGGCGAGACTCCGGGAGATACGGGCGGCGGTCGTGAAGTTTTAGACGTGGTCGAGCCGTCACTCAACTGCATGAAGCGGGGCATGTGTGGTGTATCGGGACCATTTTGACCATTGGTCATTCTGACTGGAGAAATCGATGAGCTGGGAGAGCAGAGGGACGAAGTCTTCTCTGCTGAAGATCCAGTCTTCGTCTCACGAACACCAAAGCAGATGTTGAGCTCAGCTTTCATCTACAAAGCTGAATTGTACGTCACACTTACAGGAACTATACAGTTTCCAAACCTTATCCATACCTAGCTACTCTCGGCCACTGCATCCATTGTTGACTGCACAGTCTCCCGCCGAGATTATTCTCGCCCTGAACAGTACGGGCTCATGATCAATGCCGCGGAGTCCTTGTACACACCACGTTGGCCTTGCATGAAGGCAATGCACGCTGAGATCAAAGCCCTTCTCAGATGTCTGTTGGCCGTCTTGTGAGCTTTCATTACGTCAAACACATCAATTGGCAGATACCATTAGCTGAACTTTTTCCCCGTACACCACAGTGGAATGGTCTGCTCTCTCTCAGACTGCTTCAGCTAGAGAGGCTTGTGACCGCTGATTTGGATATCAACGCTCGCACGGTACAACCGGACGGGTCCGACGGCAAGGAGATTTTGGAATAATACCACAAAATCGTTCAATCAAAGGAAACGATTCTCCTTGCCCAAACCCCAGCCAACTTCGAGTTGATTCCACCGCTGGTTCTCGAAGACAAAATCGGCAACAGATGGAGGATTCCAAAGGGAATTTGGATAAAGACGACTGTTTGCTCGACTGGCGCTGCCGTCCACTTTTGGGACCAGTTATTTTGACAAGCACCAAACACGTTCATAGGCAGCCCATCTCTTTATGACGAGCTGCGACCTAGGGAATGAAACGGGAACAACTCTTTACCCGACAGTAATCTATTGCTTCCTATAGAAGGCTATTTAAATTGCAAATTCCGAAATCCTAGTCCCCCTCTATCAAGTTGCTGCTGTTGAATAGTAGCATGCAACAGTCTGTTCCCCATATTGTACTTCTATCTCCGCCGTGTATTTTTCTACAACAGAGCACCGGCGCCAGCAAGGGCGATTGCTCCCATCATGTAAACGTCGGCCATGGCGGACGGTGCGATGCCTCCTGTGTACGTAGCAGCTGAGTCGGTGGTAGGGCTTCCGGTCGAGGAGGCTCCAGTAGCGGGAGCTGCAGACGTGGGAGAATCATTCCCGGCAGCTGGGGTAATGACAGCGCCGTTGGACATGACAAGGGTTCCGGCGGTGCCAATGAGAGTCTCAATGCCGTTTGTGCCTGATATGAGAGTTCCAGAAGCACCAATTTCCGTAATACCATTGGGTCCAGAGAGGATTGTGCCAGAGGCGCCAGCAAGAGTAACACCACTGGCACCTGACTTGATGGTACCGGACTGGCCAGCGATCGTAACACCATTGACGCCCGATTCGATGGTACCAGAGGGGCCAGCCATAGTGGTATCGGCCGCAGAAAGACCAACCGCCAATGTGGCGACAGCGAGAGATGTAAAGAACATTTTGGGCTGGACGGGCGGTCGGGGATGAGGCAAGGATGATGATCGATGGTGTTGTACGAATGTCTTGCTGGAGTGGCTGTCGCTGACGGAAATGGAAAGATGGCGACTTGGCAAGCTGATGGAACGAGACGAGTCCACAGCTGGGGTATCTTGGGAAAGAATAAATACTCGACTAGTGCCGGCGACGTTGCTCGTCTTCGAGACCGGTTCGCACTCCAATACTGCCGTGCCTGTAACTTTTCAGGCTGAGGCCTGGTGCAGTAGTGTACTGGACAGGCCACGCTCTAGCATCATTTGCGTTGGGACCCCATTGGACCAATGCCATGAAGACACCATCGTGATGCAGCGGGTGTTCAGAATACTGGCAGCCCAGTCTGCCGCGGATCTGACTTCGAGTCCAATCATCGTCCACTGAAGTGGCTAAGGCTTATTGATGTTGGAGCAGCTGAACAGGCTCGCCTCAGAGCCCGACTCAGCGAATCAGCCAGCGAAACTTGGAAGACAATGCACTTCCTTGGAATTGGATTTAGTCATATGCCGTTGAGCGCGAGTAGTTCTCCATCAGTGGCGGTACTCAATATGGCATGGCGATGGCTGAGGCTGAGGCTCGATCCATCGATAGCACTCGGAGCAGATCCGAGTGCGCGGGAGTTCAGAGGGAAACCACAGTTCATTCGACTGTTGTTGTCTGTCTTCCATGTGATGGGGCGGAAATACGGGAATCGATTTAAACGGGCGTTTTATCTTCTCGTATTCGTCTTACTCGTGCGTCCCCAGAGCGAAAGCACTAAGCTGTCTTTACATCATGTGGCTCGAACTGTACAGTTTCTTGCAGCAGGCTAAAGCCTTGCCCCAGAACGGGCTCCGTCCGAACGCCGATTCGCAGATGGAAACTGGAGACTGTCACCACACACAACAGACTCTCGCATCTAAGTATGCTTCGTGCACCAACAAAAACCAATCCATCTAATTAGAGAAGCTGAAAGAATCCTGCCGAGCCCGGCCATGCTTCATCTGCAGAGATGCTTATATCAAGGCCCACCTCCTCGCCACCTCGAAGCCTTACCCAAGCCGCTCGTTCCTGACTGAAAGCCACGCTTCAGCTCGTACCCTTTTAGCTCTGCTTGGCTTCACGATGTATCGTCTTCTCCAAGTTTTAGCAGTGCTGCTCAGCTCCACTGCCCTCCGCGTCACAGGGGAAAACAATGGACCGCCGGACTACTCCAGCTTCCAATATCCTGGCCAGCCGGCCGAGCGATCATTCAAGCCCAGTTATGACTTCTGTGTCGTCGGCGGGGGTACTGCTGGCCTTGTTCTCGGTAACCGATTGAGCGAGAGTGGAAAGCACACTGTTGTCGTGTTCGAAGCTGGAGGCCCTCCAACAGAAATGCGCACTTACTCACCGCCTGGTGGTAATCAATTTGGACTAAACGGTATGCTGACCGAAATCGTACATCTATTGAACAGCTCTGCTGATGGATCATACAGGTGCCTGGAGCCCGATCGACTACAATTTCTACTCTGTCCCTCAAAGACATTTGAACAATCGCTCGGTCGAATACCATCGTGAGACATTGCATTACGCTGATGTGACTGAGCTGACCGGTGTAGGCGGACGATGTCTAGGAGGCAGCAGTGCCACCAACGGCATGTACTATGGCCTCGGTAGCAAAGCAGTATACGATCAATGGGAGGAGGACGGAAATCCAGGATGGGGATGGAAAGAGATTCAAGCAGCAGCAAAGAGGGTATAGTACAGCAGCTAGCCACGAAGTGATCATCGATTTCTAAGCGCAAACATCGCAGGGCACCAAATTCGTTGGCAACCCGAATCACACAAACGACAATACCTACATGACTTGGGATCCGGACGCATACGGCACAGAAGGTCCCTTGAAGATCGCCTTCCAAGGTCGAGTCCCTGCATCGAATCCGTCTTTTATGAACGCAATGAGCGCGATTGGAGTTTATCCTGTCAAAGAGCAGAGCAACGGGAACCCCATTGGCATCAGACAAGGCACCATGACGCTGGACGAGAACTTTCTTCGAAGCTCCTCGTACGACAGCTATTACAAGGCATCGCAGGGGAGACCAAATCTTAATGTCCTGGATCGAGCTCCTGTGTCACACATAATCTTCGACGAGGAGTCGTGCAATGGGAATCAGTCCGTACAGGCCGTCGGCGTAACGTTTCTCGACACTCCCTCTGGCGCTTTTCACAACGTTTCTTGCAAGAATGAGGTTATTCTGGCGGCAGGGGCTTTTCATGACCCATTCGTCTTGAAGCTGTCCGGGGTCGGTCCGAAGGTAAGACATACCCTCCTCGATCCGGCCAAACTGGAACGTATGCAATTGCCATCTCTCCGACTTTAAGAAGTAACTGCGCTGCTAGTTGCACCCCAAGCAGCTTTGACGGCTTGGGAGTAACGGGGATGAAGGGAACACCGAGGGTACTCCATACTTGCATCTGCTAATCATCGCCACGATAGGGCGAGCTCGAGCAGTACGGAATTCGACCGATTGTAGTCAACGATAACATCGGTAACAACATGCTGGACCACACTGCCTTCAGTGTGATCCAAGAAGTTAAGCCCCAGTTTGCAGCCATCGCGTCCATCGAGGATATGACTTACGACATCAACGTCCTTAATCAGGCCCAGCGTGACTTCTACGCAGGCGGAGCCGCGCGATGGAACTCGAAGTACAGTGCTACCGGCGGCGTGACCAACGCCTTCCAGCAAATGTCCGCCTCTGAGCTGGAGAGAATCGGCGCTGGAGCTGTCTTGGCGGCGAACTTTACGAATCAGGCGCATAACGAGTTCTCATACAACTCTCACTGGTATCCGACGTCCTTCTCCAAGTACGGTGGGCCGAAGCCCAACTCGTCGTACATTTCCATCCAGATCGGCAACATGGCGGCTCTTTCAAAGGGAAGCGTCAAACTCCAGTCGAACCTCCCCCTTTCCGATCCTGTCATCGATCCAAACGTATGTCAACCGCAGTTGCAGAAGAAATTCATTACTCGTCATGATGTATGCTGAGCTAATATGTGTACGCACAGTACCTCGCCGAAGAAGCAGACCAACGCATGGCCATCCAGGGCGTGAAGTATGCACGTCAGATCTTTGCGCACCCTGAAATGAAGAAGTGGTATGTCACCCCACAGCAATGAAAGTCACTCCCAATGAATACAACCTAACGCTCTGCTCTTTACTTTACAGGTTGGTGGGTGAAGCCGCGCCAGGTGCAAACATCACCAGTGACGAAGACATCCTCGACTTCGCACGTACCACAATGATCCCCAATTGGTGAGATCCTCATCTGTCAGCATGTAGTCCTTGAATAATGACTGACTCTCTGCCCCTCTCATCTTAGGCATGCGGCGAGCACATGCAGGATGCTTCCACGCGAGAAAGGAGGTGTCGTAGACTCGCACTTGCGGGTATATGGGACCAAGGGCCTCCGAGTCTGTGATGTATCGACGTTTGGAAGATTGCCAGATATGACCTTGGTGGGGAGCGTTTTTGCAGTGGCCGAGAACGGGGCGAGGATCATTCGAGAGGAGTACGGCGATGAGTGAAGTGTCGGGCGGGTGCGGAACGTACGCTGTGAGTGGGCAAAGGTATTCCCGTTAATGAAGAAGGGGACGAGACAGGAATCTAGTACAGGTCACGAATAAGACTGTTTCATACAAGAAGTACATTCGCTTCCTCCCGTGGAAGCTCCTGGCAGAATGGATTGATCATCATAGCAAGAGAGGCTGGATCTCATCCTTCGACAATAGACATCTCGATTGAGCGGGCTGTAACATGGAGAGCGTAGGTAATGCCCCAGCTTTGGCCAGCCTCAAATTGACTTCTCGTGATGGCTTTGCCTAGCGTTTCGATCTGACGTTAGATGGGAAGCCCCAGAGGGCATAGCCGAAGGGCGGAAATACCACATGGAGAATATAAAATAGTCAAATTATGACCAAATTACATGGCACTTTCGCACTAGCTATAGGCCGGACCAAGCTACCACAAATGCGTTGCAGGAGTTCCAGAAAAGGCAATAAACTTTCCTCTCAGGCTGAAGACACTCGTTTTTGACTTCACAAACGACTGATCGATGGAGCGCAACGTACCGTTTTACTTCGACTAACATACTAGCTGAAGAGGCCATCAAACTGTCACGTGTTTGGCGTCTACAATTACAATCCTGCTCCAGGGCATCAGAAGATAGCAAGTTCCGTCGACTCTGTTGTCCCGTATCGACTTTGATGGATAGTTCCGTAATGCCCAAGATGGGATTTGGTCCTAGGACCGTGCAGCCTCCTGTCTTCGGCTCGACCGCTTTAGTTCATGGAATCATGGCTTTTTGGAAATGAGAAGCGTCTTCTGTGGGTTCATGTTCTTTCTGGCATCAACGTCCGATACTACCTTGATTCACTCGATCATATAAAGAAGAAGAATCACCGTCCAGAATAGATTATCCTCTCCAAGCAATTCATTGCAACAAGCAGACCTCGTGCTTTTACTCCTTCAACGCCATTCTTCAATGATGCAATTTCTCGCACTCGTCCTGCCCATCGCGGCTTTCATGGCTTCGACTGCCTACGGCGCTGAGTGCTACAGCCAGAGTAAAAGAAAGGAATGCCTCAACAGCAACGATCTTTACAATGCGCGCCAGGTGAGCACCTTGTGGCTACAGTACAAATTAATTTGCTGATATCTGACACTTCACTCGCAGGACTACTGTGGCAGCTTTCGCTTCCAGCAGAATGGAGAGAAGGTGAGCATGCTGGGTCCGTTCGCGGTTGGTAACAGATTTACTGACTTGAGATTTTTCCTATCAGGACTACTTCGGCCAGAATGGCTGGAAGGAGGCCTTTACTGGCACCAACATACCAAACCAACAGCTGTGCTGGGACAGCACCGACAACGTATGTCCTTGATCTCTAACTGAGTCCCTGACGAGATTTGTGTGGGGCGAACAGCTGACTCTTCAACTTCTTTCGCAGATCATCAAGCAGTGCCTTGGTCATAAGAACGGTGGATCATACTCGCAGAACGGATGGAACATGAACATCAACTTCTGCGCATAGGCGGATTCGATCTGTAGAGCCACTGCATGGCCATGCTTCGACGGTTGATCGAGAATCGCTGTGGCGACTACAGGAGGCTGCAGACTTTTGCTGTCGCTGCACGTTTCTTGACATCAGTCATTCAAATGAGACTGTGTATCTGATTGTCTGCGATGGATCGACCCTGGACGTTCTTTTAAAATGTATATATGATGAAAAGCAGTTGCGATCGCCACTCGTTGCCGGTCTTCCAATAATTCAATTTGAGATCCTCATCTTTACCAGCGGAATCTTCAGAATGTATTCTCTTACTGTATCTTTCGTAATTATCAGCGTGTGGTAAAACGAGCCCACCAATGTCAGCTAGTGGTCGTTACTCGTACCGCTCGTGCAGTTGGTGGCGAGCCGGCTTTAGAGATCAACAAACGTGGTTCAATGGGTGAGAAATCGAGTGCGGGCAGGCTGCGGAAGGGGCCCCGACATTTCATGACTTCCACGACTCCATTCATGGAAAGACTGAAGTGCTGCAGCGAAGATGATGGTCTTCCCAAAGGCAAGCAGTCTGACGAGCAGAACATGCTGATCCCTGACGGCAAAGAGTCAGCAAGGAAATTGGAGAGTATTTTATGGATAAAACTCGACCACGGTGTCGGTCCCTGACCGTAATGGCTTAGGGTGGACTTTTCTCGCAAAACTATTCCTATGTACTCCAATACGAATCTTTCGGGGATAAACGTGGTGTAGGCTATTCGGGAAGAGCGGTGTTTGGTAAGCCGTGTGGAGCATGAGAGACCAACGTAGCCGCGTCAACACAGTTACGAGAACGCGAAGCGAAGAGATCCCGGTACCTTGAAGAATGTTCTGGTACGAAGATGTTTGAGCAAGAGTATATCTGCACGACAGACGGAGCTGGGCGCGGTCCAATCTCGTCGCGAATGCTCCTTGGCTCAGCCTCATTCGGTCTTGGCTGCTAGAACCTTGGGCATCATTCTCAGCGAACATGCATACCGACTTGAATACTTAGAAATATTTCAAGATAGTTCTGCGAGATTGCTGACATTTCATACGCGCTCATACCGTGATTTCCTTGGTTGTTCATCCCCCCAAACAACGACTGCGCCGAGACCAGGATGATACACCCAACTACCACGATACAAACATCGTTCAGAAAGATAAATAGAGCAAAGATGTGCCAGAGATTCACAAACCACCCACCATCGCCGCCTGAAGGCACACTGCATCGCCACCTGGAGGCACACTGCAGCACTGAAACCGGCAACACCACCTATTCAAATCAATCAAAACTTAAGACATGGACGTTCTCAAGTCACCGCCAGTCGCCAAACAGCAGTGGGAACATGCACTACTTGCAGCTGAACTTGCCTTCGAAGAGCAACATGAGAGTTCGTCGTCAGCTGGGCTTGCATATACAGGCAGGCCAGAGACGGCGGTCTGCAGTTCCACCACATCCTACCGTACCTCAGACGACAGCATCGGAGATATTGAAGATACGGGAGTTCATCACAGCAAAGAATCTGACAGCTGCAAAAGACGGCCTTCTCGAATCTCCAGGCTGTGGGCAACTTTTCACATCCCCAGCAGGCAGGGACGATAAACGTGGGCGAGCTCGAGAGTTTAAGCATGCACGACTACATCGAAACCTACCAATCGAATTCCTTCGAGCGTTGATTTTGAAGAGAAGGAGCTTTGAGATTTGTGGTTCACCGCCGTGCTTGATGAAGTCGGATAGGGAAAGAGGACAAGGATAGAGGCTGCAAAATTGTTCGAAAAGCTCATGGTTAGCGAAGGCGTTGGAGTCCAACATTGGGCGAGTGAGCAGATGCCAGATAGATGCCTCCAATGTGATACTTTGGTACACATTCCAGCCTCACGTGTAGGATTCAGGGCAAGCATTGTCAGCAGCCAAGGTGGCTGAGTAAGGGGTCGGCGATGGGCGTGCAGCTTTGAACTCCACCTTTTCAACAACCGACCAACACAGTCAACCGTATCGGTAATTCACCCAGACATGGGGCCTAGGTCTGTGGCACCAACGCCAGTCAGCGATGTCGACAAACTCTTGCAGCACTACGAGGCATTCGGCGTCATCATCTGCCGGCCATGCCAGTTCGCCATTCAGCCATCAGCGTTAGCGAGCCATCTTCTAAAGCACCAAATCTATCGTAATGAGCGCCGGAAACTCATGGCCCGGCTATCTCACCTGGAACTGAGAGAACCAGCTGATGTTCCCAAGCCTGAACCCCTCTCCAAGCCCATCCCAGAGCTTCGCATTCTCAAGGGCAGAAGATGCTTGTCGCCTGGCTGCGGATATCTATGCACGAGTGACAAACGGATGAGCCAGCACTGGAGCGACCTTCACGGTGAGAGGGAAAGTCGAAATGTACTGGCACAGTTCGCGTGGCTTCAAACATTCTTCAAGGGCAATAAGATCCGGTATTTCGAGGTCTCCGCGCCGCAAGAGAATGCTTTGTCCCCTATCACCGAATCAACAGACGACAATACATCACCAGCAGCTCGATCCCATCTACCGCCTCCTCTTGACATGGATGCGATGCGGTACCTGCTACATTTCGTTCACTCGACAAGCCTTACCCTTCCAAGGGCGGAGTCAGAATCACTCTACTTCTGGTCCGTGCAGATCCCGAACGAGGCTCTAGCGCATTCTTTCTTGATGTATGGGGTATTGAGCCTCGCGGCTACTCACTTGGCATTTCTCGAGACAGATACAGAGACCGCCAAAGTTTATGCTGACGCAGCGTCGCGGTATGAAGATGCAAGCCTTGCCGACTTTCAACAGCATGCTCAAAGTCCAAGCGAAAGCAATGCGGTCGCCCTGCTTGGCTACGCACGATGCTTGGGGACCGCCAGGCTAGGACGAAAACCAGAGCATGGCGGTGTTTTCACTAGTACAGCGCAGATGGCGGAAACCTTCCACCTCATCCAGAGTTCAATCGAGACAATGATGTCGCTGCAGAAATTTCTACCCGATGGAAGCGATTTTAAAATCCCTGTCGAGGAGTTGGAAGAGCTGGGCCGTCTGGCGGACGAAGATGTCATGCTCAAAGATGCACAGAGCGTTATGCATATTCCACCAGCCGTACTGCAACGTCTCGATACCCTACCTGACCGCTTGAACGAGGCTCTCCCGCAATCTCATGCTCGGTCGCTGTCGGATGTACAAGCATGCCTATCAGCTAATACAGCGCTCATCTCAGCCTTTGCACGGGCTTACTCCTTCTCGCCGTCTAATCCCTCCTTTACTGGATCTGCCGAGGAGAGCAATACGGTAGCGACAATCTGGGCCGCAATCGAGTCCTGGGTGCGCTTTGTGCCTGATCACTATGTCTATATGCTGGAGCAATCCGATCCAGCGGCGTTGATCATCTTTGCACATTTCTGTGTCCTCGTCAAGCGATTTCATGCCAAGTACTGGCAATTTCAAGGCCTGGCGAATCGACTGATACGGCTTGTTGAGGTAAACCTGGAGTCGAATCTTAAGCATTTTGTTGCAGATCTCTACACTTTGTTGGATGACACTGGGGTGGATGCAATGCAGATTTGAGACGAGCATCAGGATTTATGCTTCGCAGCCTAGCAAGCTGGCGGGATTGCCCAATCCGGCAACCCAGCTGCCGGCTGTCACATGCAGCGCATAACTTTGGAGGTACATGTACCCTGGGCATTCCGCTCGAAGTGGAAGATTCATCCCCATCTCTCGCGGGCGGTCTAATGAGCGTTACACCTAAGCGGAAGCGTAGTCGCCTCTTGTTATTCGGAGAGGTAACATCTCCACGTGTTCCACTTTAACTGGATCGAGGACGGTAGGGAGCAGCAGCTTGTAGAACTACAAATCAGGAACTACGCAACAATATTCTAACTACCGATAGCGACAGATCCATCGCTCACCCTTTATCCTCACATCTCTTGCGCTTTCCTCATCTTTCTTCCGGTTTCCATAAGGCTGTGCACGTCCACGGACTGCATTTATCCAACGGTGCACACGAGACCATCGCCGGTGGGGAAGTAGTAATCTTGCGAGCAATTGACCCAAATGCCTGGAGCCTTAGCTGAGAAACCAGAGTGTTATAGAGGGTGGATTTACTCACAGTAATTATTTCCGGAAGAGATTCCCTGCTGAAAGAAGGCGTTTACGTCGCTCTGGCTTGCGGCTTGAATGGTCGTCAGCATGCATCCATGGCACGGGGAGTCTGTCGTCAGACTTACCGTAACCTTCAGTGTTGATGCAGTTGGGTCCCTGCTGGTCAGGGCAGGCGACACCTCCATTGTACAAGTTGGAGTAACCTCCAATGAGTTGTTTCGTGCTGCTGGGCACACAGGCTACAGCGCTGGAGTAGCCGTCGACGAGAGAGATATCACAGTTTGCCGTGCCCGTGGATGGGAAATAGCACTCGAGCTTGGTACTGCCAGGACCAGGGTTCGCCTTCACATTTTGTTAGCACGATCTTCGCATTCATAGAGCAAAGGGTGTAACTTACGTCCGGTCCGATGAACATGGCGCCGCCAGCAGAGTTGCTGGTCGGAACACAGATCGTACCAGAGCTGCCAGTGTAGCCAGTTCCGGAGCCCCAGGGGCCTTGGAGTGCGTAGTAGAAGCCAGACACGCCATTGTCGGTATTGAACGAGAAGCAGATCTGAGAGACATCATCGACGTGTGGAGAAATCACATTCTCCATGAAGACAAGGTTGGGATGAGTCGCATTGGAGTTGGTCTGCTTGTTGTCGATAGGGATGGTCGCAGCCATGGCTTGGGCGGAGGTGATCGCGAGGATCGCGGCGGCAGTGGAGGACTTCATGGTTTCGAAAATGCTCGAGTGATGGATAGGAGGCGTCTGGCTGTTAAGGCTGGATGTGACTTGATTGTAGAGCTGGGATGGACTGAGAGAGTGGTCTTCACGGCTGGTACTTATACGTTCTCGTCAACAATCTTGGTCATCTCGGACAAAGTGGTCAATGGCGGATGTACAGCAGTATTCGGTAAGGCTTGGACGATCGTTGTTGTTGTCCTCTAGACGGTGGGCCGTCTTTTCCACGATGTAACAGAACTAGATCCATAGCATGTGGGCAACATGTTGGTGGTATGTTAGCCTTGGGCTGGCTCCTGCCCCCTTGAGTTCAGATCGCCAGTACGGAAGACACGGAACGTTCATTTTGTTCAGGTCGGGAGAGTGTATTTCATAGAAGGCAGGCCGTCGGACGACTAAGGCTTTGACAGGCGCTTTATACCAGTACGACAACGTTTCTACGCTCAGCTTCGAGCATGGATGCCTTCCATCAATCTACATATTGGCAAAAGTCTCTTGTGCTATGCACCTTCATCTTCTGACAGGGAACTTGAGTCGTCGCAGCAGACGATCGATCGAATGCATGCCCCTTCAGCCCTATACGTTGAGAAGAAGACTACTACAGACATGGCCTGGCTCCTAGGTTGAATTGTATAACTCAGCCAGGGCTGAGCTCGACAGTCTATTTAATTGCCCATGTAGCAAAGCGTGCGAAATCTAGCTGGTTAGTGGTCCTCGTGCAGCCTGACGGTGCCAACCTTTGACTCCCACGTTGTTGGTTCTCGGCTCCACCACCTTGGTGAACGCTCCTAGTGAACACACATCTCCAACAGTATATCAAATGCCGTCTAGTGCGATGTAGACGTGGAGCTCACACAGCTTCGATCCGCGGAAGATAGCACTCGGTGTCCGTAGACCTACTCCACTCCTTTTCAAACCTATTCCCAGAGGATGCAGACGCAGTGCGGGCTTGTGAACTTGATACTCTTCAGGAACTCCGAACCGAACTCAAGCATGCGGTCGAAGCTAAAGTTGGTTTGGCTATTGCTTAAGTAGAAGCTACTGCACGCTAACATGCCACATGGCACGTTCAACGGCTCACATGCTAGGAACAGGTTCCCCGTGCCTGAAACATGCATGAGGTCTTACTGCTTCAGTATTTTCCAACATCATTACCAATGTTTTTAGCCGCTTCAGGTAGTCACTATGACCCAATGGCGTGTACTCAAATCCCACACTGTCGAATTGGGTCGTACAGCGTCAGCACGTTCGTAGCCTCACTGTCGATCTTCGAGAATGGTTCTGTTCACTCACATAGCGTTCACCCGAAGGAAGTCTCAGCTGGCCTTCTTGTAAGGCTACTAGTCCATGGCAAGATGCGTTGGTTTCTACCCTCGGTGTTCCGATCAAAGTGGAACGTCCATACCGTAATGGAAGTGCCATCTCTCCGACTTTTCACAAGCGACTACGCTACTAATTGAACTCCAAGCTGCTTAGATGGCATGGAACTAACGGGGATAAATATTCTTCTTTGACCGGAACAAGGAGGGTAGTGCTTCTCCTTGCTAGCTTATAGTAGTGTTGTAACCGCGGTTTCCTTCGCGATCGTCGCGCTTTTTCGCAGTTGTTCAGCTGAGAGATCAATCCTGATTTTTTACGTCACGACGGTAGGGAAACTCGCAAAGTAGTTTCACGAATGAGAATGTCTCGGACATTGACGTGGCAGAGCTGTCCACACGAAATGACCGCAAGGATTGCAGCCTGGCTCATTGTAAAGAAGTCGATCATTCTTTGCTTTCAAACCTCTCACGGCTACTCTGCAATGCGTCCTGCCCTCGGAATTACGTTCAGTCTTTGCGTATTCTTTGTGCCAACGGTCCCGTTGTCAGCTCTATCCCCATTGCCTCTGCCCTGCTCGCAATGGCCTTGATGCAAGCCGGCCGCTGAAACAATCTCTCCTTCCAAGCGTCAAAAGCAGGATACTTGCCCTTGAGATCAGTACCCTTGTGATCGTGAATGAGGTCCACAACGTTCTCCCACATGACGAAGGACAAGTCCGCGACGGTGCACTTGTCACCCACCAGCCATGGCTCGGACGTATCACCACGTGCGGATGCTTGCCGTTGCAAGTGGGTATCGAGTACGGACCGAACTCGTTCAATCTCCTTGTCATATCGTTCGATGGCGCTGGAGAGCTTTTCGGGATGGATCATGCTGAACCATACGCTTTGGCCGTAGTATGGTCCTTGGCCTGATGACCATATTAGTACTACAACAACCCTCATCGTCTGCCAGAGCTTACCGGAGACTTGAAACGCCATCCATTGCTGAATGAGATACTTCTCAGGAAAAGTTCCATAGCTGAGCTTGCGGTCCTGATCGTATTGATCGATCAAATACGTAGTGATGGCCGCTGTCTTCAATTCCTGTCAAATGCTGCAACTCAAAGTGTTGAGACTTCAGTTCACTTGCCTCCCATAAGGTAAGACCGGTGTTCGGATCGTAAATGGTAGGCAATCGGCCATTGACGTTGAGCTTGGTATATGATTCCGCCTTGACTTCATTGAACTTGATGAGCTCGTTTCGATATGGAAGTCCGAGCTCCTCTAACATGATACGGATTTTCCTGTTTCGTTCATTAGATCTGGGGCCGAAGTTGGCATTTTGTGTTGGCGGGGAGATCTGTACTGAGGTCCTGGGGACATGAACTCGCCGTAGAGCACAATGGGTTCGATCGAGGAAGGCATGATGTCGACTTGAGTATTGACAAATCTGCCTACCCACCTGCTTCGCTCTTATTGTGAACATATATATCTTTATTCTCATGGCAGTATCCAGGTGCCGCGTTCCAGCCACTCCACTAACTAATCGATGTATACGACGAGGCGATACGAGAAGAAGTTAGAGCTCGTAGCTCTCATGCTGCGAGAGATTTGAGGGCTGCCGCGAGCGGTAGGGCCATTCAGCGAGGATCACAGGATCCGGACAGTCGGACACGGAAAGAAGGCTTAATAACCGTTTCCGAGGAGCAGATCGGCCTTAAGGTACTCCGACTCACGTATGAGGTGCGTTTGGCCCAGATCCTCATCAGCGGAGTGAAGACTCAAATATAGGAGGCCTACGATCGAGATTACGAAGCCACGCGGGGAAAGCAGGTAGGTTCATACTCATTTCTCCTCTGCTTGTTCAGCCTCGCGATGGCAACGGCCTTTTGACATCGGGGATAACGTTCAACCAACGGACCCATACCTTCATCCTGGACCAGGGTTTCAAAGGTTAGAAGGACTGCACCCCCCGGGTAGTCGACGACATGCCGCAGCTGGCGGAGAGAACGGTGTCTTGTTCAATCCGACCTTCCTCCGCTTGCACATCTGCCCATGGTTCTCCACGGTCAGCATATCCGTCCTCTGTGTCTCCTGCAACTTCGCAGCGGTACTTGATGCCTCGTACGATTCCGCCACCCTAGATTTGACAACATCTCGATCGAGGTCCTCGCGACTGTCCTTTGGTCGGTTAAGTCACGCATCGACCTGGGAGACACAAGTCCCTTGGAGTCGTTCGTCTTGTACGCCTGCTCCTTTATTCGTCGGCCTGGGATCAGCTTGACCGGCAGCGGTGAACTTGCCGGCAAAATGGGTTACTAGTGGGCATTTGGGACCGCAGCTGGCACCCTACATGGCTCCTCGAGCCCCTGGCATGGTGGTGGCTCCAGAGACAAAAGTGTTCAAACAGCGCTTGCCATCGTCTGTGTCCGTTGTCGTTGATGGTGCGGCTTGCTGACTTCTCCGAACGTTACCTTGATCGCCGGGAGAATCATGATGTCCGCATATCAAGGATGGGATTGAGGAGGGAAAGCAGCCTTGAAGGGAGAGCAAGCTCGAGATATTATTCAGACTCGACGAGTTTCTTCATTTCGCATTCGAGGCGATGTCATCTGCGTGGCAACTTGTACCAGCCAGGGAAAACAGGCGTATCATACTTACCAGTTGTCGTAATGTTGCAAGGAGTATGGATGCTTCAATTCAAACAAGCCGAGGTCTCTGCCCAATAGTGACGACTTGACTCTGCTGCTGCATGAGCCCTGCTCCCAAACTTCGTGAAGCAGATATGCCGTTGTTGTCTGGCAGATGGGACGCCGAGGAATCGCCGCCAGGTCTACCGTAGAAAGCGTACGAGGGCTCGATGTGCATGTCGAGGCGCAGGTAGCCTGGGCGAAGGGCGATATCTGATCGGAAAATGGAGATATTGGATTTGAGTTGTCTTTTCAGCGATCTCTTACCAGCTCACATGCAAGACTAAGTCATGGCCCGAGCAAGACCAAGAATCATTCGGACGATTCGTAGACTGGCCAAGAATGTGTATGCATTGCCGTGGCAATTGGCGCTTAGGCTTCTCATCTGTGCGGGCATCCCGTTGCGCAGCTCTTCCCACATATTCTAAGCCCCTCCGTCTTGATGTCCGCCGCGACCAACGACAGCTGCTATCGCATTTCGAAGGCTGGACGTCTCAGCTCTTGTCTTAAGCATCGCTGTACCCGCTCACGCGGGGACAGTGGGTGCCATTGTTCTTTTAGGGGTCGCCTCATTGCTTGGTCGATACTAATAACGAATCCAGCGCCTTCGTCGCTTCGTTCGAGGGTGGGTTCGAATTCGTATGTGAGGAGGCATTGAACAGCAAGCAGAAAACAAGTGCAGGAAGCGGCGATTTCTAGCCGCCACGGCATCTTGCCCTCTTGATCATCGTCTACGTCGAGTCCAACTTTTCTTGAGCACGTGTCATCGTTTAGCAGTCCATCCACGCCTGTCTCGAAGATTGTTCAGCCTCATCGTTCGGGCCGCATTAATTGTATCGATCGGATCGGTTGTTGCGGTCTCGATAGCATCGAAAAGTCGCTTTTTCGGCCACGTGCATCGACGTCGAGATGTGGTTCGTCATACGGGTATATATTTTGGTGTTGACGTGTCGAGATCTCACCACGTTGCGTCAGCGTGGACACCACGAAGAAAATCGCCAAGAACCTTCAGCGGCCCGTGCAGTGCTTGTCAAAGCTTGTGAGGCTTGGCGCGCTTATCTCTCCACGCGCACTCGACTTCACACTTGCCACGATGCATGCCGCGTGTGCACTGACACTTTTCCAACCCGATCGTGCGGCAGATGTCTACCACCATCGCTTCAACATCCCCGAAGAAGACGGTATCTATGGATGTCATGACACTCAGGGCTCCCCCGATCGGCCGCCCCGCCGCAACAGGTGGTTGAACCGGTTCGCTGGGTGCCGATAGCCGGCTAGTCCTCCCCAAGCGTCAGGCGAGCACCTTCCCTAGTGACACCCATGGACCCTTCCAATCGTGCCTTTATCTAGCCGAGACATCTATTAAACCATAGCAGGAACCCTCCGTCGAGCCTTCCTGGTGTCAATCGACCTCCAATATTCTTCCCGGCTGAACGTCAACAGCTACTGCCAAGATGCCGGTCGACAAGCACATCGGCGCCCGTGAGCCTGCCGAGGCTGAGATCGAGCCACGCCGCGAGTCAGTCGTCGACACGCCCAAGACGTTCGGCCAGCGACTGATGCCCGTCTTTGCGTGCGGCGCGGGCCTCTTCAGCGACGGCTACCTCAACAACGTCATCGGCAGCGTGAGCACCATCCTCGAGACGCTGTACAAGAAAGAATACACGGCATCCTCCGCCGTCAGCAACGTGAGCAGCATCACCTTCGTCGGCACCGTCGTCGGACAGCTGGTCTTTGGCTTCACGAGCGATCACTGGAGCCGGAAGTGGTCTCTCTTCATCTCGACCATCATCCTCTTCATCTTCGCCATTCTTTGTACAGCCTCGTACGGCGCGGGTGGATCCATCTACGGTCTGTTCGCAGCCTTGACCGCCTATCGCTTCTTCTTGGGCATTGGCATTGGTGGTATGTACTGCTATTATCCCTAAGTCACATTTATTTCTAACTGCTACGTCCAGGTGAATATCCAGCAGGAAGTGTGGCTTGTGCAGAGTCCACCGGCGAACTCAAATCTGGCATCCGCAACCGCTGGTTCTGCCTCTTTACCAATGTCCAAATCGACTTCGGCTTTGTGGTGGGCGCCTTCGTCCCCATGATCATCGTCCTTATTACCACTCAAAGCCACTTGCGAGCCGCATGGCGGATCATGCTGGGACTGGGCATTATCCCACCCCTCTCCCTGCTTTACTTCCGATGGAAGTTGAACGAGCCTGAGTCCTTCAGACGAGGAACGATGAGACACGCAAAGACGCCGTGGGCTTTGTGCATCAAGTTCTACTGGTTCCGCCTTCTCGTAGTAGCCGCTATCTGGTTCATCTACGACTTCAGCTCGTACTCATTCGGCCTGCTCAGCTCGCAGTTGTTGACCAACTTGCTCGGCACCCAAGACAAGCTATGGGTCTCATTCGGCTGGAACACTCTCCTCAACCTATTCTACATGCCAGGATGTATCATTGGAGCTTTCACTAGCGACTGGTGGGGACCACGCAACGCTCTCGGCTATACGGTCTTCGTTCAGGCCATGGTTGGCTTCATCATGGCTGGAACATACTCCTACCTTGCAAAGCCGGAGTATGTCGGCGGATTCGTCGTCGTCTACGGCATCTTCATCGCCCTCGGAGAGATGGGTCCTGGTAACAACATTGGCTTGATTGCTTCAAAGACGTCAGCAACAGCCGTGAGGGGGAAATATTACGGCATCGCCGCCGCCTCTGGCAAGATTGGTGCATTCGTCGGCAGCAAGACGCTCATCCTTATGTACAACAACTACTACAATGCCGGAGATGTCGTCAAGGCAGGCCAGTATCCGTTCTTGATCTCTTCTGCACTGTGTGTGCTCAGCTCGGGACTGGCTCTGTTCTTGCTCCCACACATTGGTCAAGATACCATCGATGAGGAGGATGCCAAATTCAGGACCTACCTTGAGCAGAACGGTTACGACACTCGACAAATGGGCCTTGAGCCTAGTGATAGTCTCGAGAATATTGTCGAAAAGGGTAGAGATAGCTCGACTGAAGAGCCGAAGATGGAGTAGTCCTAGGCTTTAGGCATTCACCCATGTTCCAGATGCCACTTTTATGTGACAAGTCCTCGTCCCATTGTGCGATGACGATTAACCAAGCTTTACCTGATGGACTCGCATCGAAAGGGTGGCGAAACACTACAGCTTCGATTCCACTACACGGCTCGTCTCTCTCCTCGCCCTCTGCTGGAGCTCCTTCCTCAGAACCTTACCAATCGCACTCTTCCGGATCTCCCTCACAAAGACGATTCCACCACGCAGTCGCTTATGACTTGCCACTCGACCATTCACGTACGCATGCACTTCCTCAGCCGCCAGATTGGCGGAGGCTGGAACAATGTATGCTCGCGGAAGGTCAGAACTCGGATCCTCGGGAGACGCAATACCTACCACTGCTGCTTCAGCAATGCCCTCGTGGGCACACAGCAGATTCTCAAGTTCCGCCGGAGCTATCTGTTTCGCCTTGTACTTCAACAGCTCCTTCTTCCTGTCCACCATGATGAGCTTGCCGCCTTTCCGGACCGCAATATCGCCCGTCTGGAACCAGTCTTGGTGGAAGGCGTCTTGGGTCGCCTGGTCGTTGTTGAAGTACCCTTGGGTGACTGTCGGCCCACGGACGAGAAGTTCTCCAGCCTGCCCATCTCGCACATCTCGATGATCCTCGTCCAATAGTCTCACCTCCAGTCCTGGCAAGATCGTCCCCACAGTTCCTACTTCGCTCGTCTCGTAACTTTGAGACAATGTCACGGCTCCAGTAGTCTCACTCAAGCCCCAAGTCGGCGCGATCAAGCCTCCCTCAGCCATTCGCAGACGTGTACTAGCTGTCTTTTGAAGGCTAGATTCGAAAGGGGCGGACCCACTTTGTGCAATTCGCAAACTGGCGAATTGGCCCTTTACATCCGGAGATTTGGCTATCCTCTGCCAAATACTTGGCACCGTGAACAGCTGGGTGATTTGGTACTTCTCGATATACCGTAAAAACGCTCTCCATTCATACTTCTGCATCCACACGGTCAAGGCCCCGGCGTAGAAGTTCGAGATGAAGTAGCCGAAGAGCCCTGCTATGTGGCTTGCTGGCAGATGGGCGAGGCTGCGCTGCTCATACGGGACGAATGTCCCGTCGGCAATCTGCCGGTCTGCACGCTCTCGTCCGAGGAGATGTGTGATGTATGCTTGAGAGACGAGATTTCGATGAGATAGCTTAACGCCTGCAGTAGACTGGTCATTAGCATCTTCCTTCAGTCAGCTTTCCTGTACTCGTGCCGCACCTTTTGGAACTCCCGTTGTTCCTGATGACCAGACAACGACGATTAGGCTTCTTTCCAATGCTCCCCTATCCGTGATGGGGTCCCAGGCAAGGCTGCCCCGGCCAAGCAAATTCTCATGGTTGTCAAGACATCGAAGGGCCCACGTCGGCGTCGACCCGATCAGCAGTATGTTTCCTCGTGGAAGACCTGCAATCTCTGCAGCTCGACCAGCAACTTCTACAGTATCGTCACTGCAGATGAGTACTCTCGACTCACTAGTTTGCAATTGACGGACCAACTCTTCGACAGTAGCCGTCGAGTGAGCGCTTGAATAGATACCTCCTGCAGCAATGACACCGAAGAATGCCGCTGGTAATAGTGGCTGGCCGCTGCTGATGACAGTAGCAACATCTTTTCCTTTCCCATTTGCTCCAACTTCGTATCGAGACCTGAGAGCGTACGCAACGCTCTTTGCATTTTGACGGAGTTCCCTTTTGGATAGGCTTCGGCTTGGATCTTCAGCTGCAATATGGAGCACCGTGTCGTCTTCTGCCAGGCAATGTGTTGAGTCTAGAAGAAGCTGAATCAGTGAGAGACCTCGTCTTTGGCGAATACAACGATACCAAAGAGGAAAGTCAACAGGTCGAGATCTGGGATTTCGACTTTTGGTCGATCTGGATGTCTGTAGATTCCGGACATGACATTTCTTCGGGCGATTTACACCGCCCACGGACAGAAAGCTTGGATTTGGTTAACTTCGAGGTACTTGCTATTTGAGTATCAACACCGAGCCGGTCGTTCCTGCCCGGCATCCCGACAAACTTTCCGAGACGGCATTCCGGGGTCGTGACGAAGAAAAGCAGCAGCCCAACGTCGTCTCGCCACTTCCCAGCCCTTTCCAATCATCAGCAGAACCAAAATGCAAGCCGAAGCCAGTACGAGCGGTGTTGCACGAGACCTGGAATCGGACTACAAGAATGCATTGCAGCAGTACAGCAGTCGGCATGTCGTTCTCCGACCTCCTGTAAGCCAACGCAGACTGGACTTTGAGTACAGACGACCCCAGCCTTTGAGAGAGTGCATTGCAGAAGCTGTGGGGGTCTTCATATATGTGTATGGGGTAGTAAATACGTTGATAAACATCTGGCTGATGGGCTTCTCCCAGCTTCCCAGGCTTCGCCTCCATCGCAGCCATCAACCTCAACATAATCTCACCCATAGTCACTCTCTTCGGCTCACTGTTTCAAGTCGGCCTGGCATTCGGCGTCGGCATAGCACTCGCCATCACTGTATGCGCTCCCGTCTCCGGTGGACACTTCAACCCAGCCGTCACACTTTGCTTCGCAGTGTGGGGAGGCTTCCCGTGGAGAAAAGTCCCACTCTTCATCCTCAGCCAGATCTTTGGAGCGTTCATGGCCGGTATTGTTCTCGTGGGTTGCTACTGGCCTCAAATCCAAACCGTGAAAGCGGCCGAGATCGCCAAGTCTGGGAGTGCCGTGTACAATGGCGGTGCTGGCGGGATTCTATGCCCATTCCCACCAGAAGACCAGACGAATCTCGGCTACCTAGTGTTGCCAGAGTTTGTCGGCTCAGCACTCCTATCCATGGTCATCTGGTCCTGCGTCGACCTTTCCAACCCCTTCTGAACGCCCGTCTCCCTCCCATACACCATAGGCCTGGCTTTCGCCGTCATAATCTGGGGCTTCGGATCACAGTCTCTCTCCATGAACAGCGCTCGCGATCTGGGGCCTCGCATCGTCACGGCAATCTTCTTCGGATCTGAGGCTTTCACTTATAAGAATTTCGCTTGGATCCCAATTCTGGTAAACATCCCGGCTTATCTGCTGGGTGCGGGGTTTTACGAGTATGTGTTTCGGGATAGCGTTAGGAGTGTGCATATGGGTCTTGAGACACATCGTGAGGGGAGGCAGGGCATGGTGAGGCATTTGACTAACGCGGGCTTGATGAATTTTGCGGCGAGGCATGCTTCTGTTTCGTCTTTGAACGATGGGCACAGTGGGAAAGGGAGAGCGTTTGAAGTTGAGCATGCTCATTGAGCAAGACATGAGAGCCCCAGCCTAAGAAATGCTAAAACCAAGCGTCGAAATGCCAGCCAGAGCAAGACGAAGCTCCATCGATGAATCTAAGTACTATATATCGTCTTTCCCCCTGCTAGCAGTGATACATGTGCATCTTGAGTCTCGCAGGCAAGAGGCTGCACACAAGGCTGTGATGCCGGCATTCACGGACTTTCTGCTCCGAATCCCGTTCACTGCCCGTGCGGCTAGGGCTGAGCTTGTTACGAAGCATACGAGGAAGGATTGGAACATCTGGGGAGGGCTATTTTCCTTCTTCCCCAGCTCGCTTTACCACACCACTCGTCGCTATCAATATACTTGTCACACGAGTCTTGGAGCCAATGGAGCACGATGCAGATGCGTATTCAGTAAGCGGCAAATCCCCGTCGGAAAAGCGGCGATATAAGGCCTGCCGGGTGTGCCGTAGACAAAAATCAAGGTGCGATGGCCAGGAGCCGTGCCAGCGTTGTCGGCATTCCGGTGCTGCCTGTTTCTACGACGTGGGTGCAGGGAAGCGACGAAACCCCACGACGTCAAATCATAGCCAAGGTGGACCCTCTACACGAACTCGCCAGATCGAGTCGCTGGCTGCCGAAGTCCGCACTCTTAAGTCACAGATCGCCCAATCATCACCGCTATCCAAGAACATCGCAGGGCAGAAACATGCAACGCCAGAGTGCTTGGCAACGAAGAAAGTCACCCAAGACACTGAGGTGCTCTCGCCTGATGATCTGGAAGTACCTGTCACTGCTGTCCATGTCATGATTCACCCTTCTCCAAATGGTCAACCCCAGCGAAACAGAGCAGGCTGGAACCCGTGGAACCAATCGAAGTGGAACCGCGAGGAGTACGGCAGTAACAGTGTGGTCAAGATGAACCTCGTCGACGAGCCTGATGCGCGGAGACTGTTTGGGGAATTCATGCAGCAATGTAACACCGCTACGCCAATCTTTGATCCCGTATTGGATACGTACGAGTCCATCAGTGAGCTCTACCCTCTGACATTGAACGTCATTCTCTGGCTGGCGGCAAGACAGGACTTGTCCGGTGACAGGACCTTGGAGTGGGAAGTGAGAGGGCTTGCGGCTCACACACTCTTCGAAAATCCCTGCTCTCTTGACGGGCTCGAGGCCATGCTTCTTCTGGCGGTGCACTCGGAAAAGATGTGGTTTGCTCTTGGTCACGCCCACCAGATGGCTCTTGACCTCCGGCTGCAGGTTTCGATGGAGACTGTGTTATCATCTCCCAATGAATGCTCACGAGCAGACAGCCAGTACGCTCGTCTGTGGCTCTTTGTAGTGTACTTCGACCGTGCTCTCGCCATAGGAGGGGCACGTTGGCCACGATGCGAACGACTGGACTCCAGCTCTCTCGAGAAATTTGCCCAGCGCAGGTACTCACATCCATCAGACATCTTCTTCTGTGCCAGCCTTGAAGTATTCGACTTTTCCGCTAGTCTACGTTTACGGCCGCTCGCCGACTTGCCCACGGTTCATGAACTTGACATTGCTCTGGACGAATGGTTTGCCAAGTGGAATGCACATTACGATCGGCAATGTGTCCACGAAACCTCCTTGCAACGCATTCATTTAAAGGTACAGTTGCTTCTGTCAAAAATATGGCAGCTAGCAATAATCCTGGTGCGCCTACTGCGCTCCACCCGCGACCTCAACCAGAACGAATTGGTAGCCTGCCTACCAGGCCACATCCTGCGAACCGAGTATGAGCTATTCGAATACGTTTCCCATTCAGACGCATATAGTCGGTACTTCCCATGGTCTCCGACCTACGAAGTCCTTCTCCTTACCTTTACGGTCATCGTTGGCCTTAAGGTTCTGAGCATGTATCCAGACTCCGAGGAGCAGCATCGATTCAAAGAAGCATCTATTCCAATCGCAGCACTATTGCAGAAGCACCCGCTGCAACACTTCTCTCGTGTCGTCGTCAGCTTGTTGCAAGCTTTGGAGAGCTCAATCAATCCTGTGCCGGACAACAGCTTTGACGCGACCAGCTTGGATTGGATCAACGGGAGCTGGAACTTTGACACGCAGTTCGACGGACTGTTCGGCGATTGGGCGGGAGAGTTCGAGACTTTGGTTGAGTGAGGAACTTTGAGAGCGACCCAACCTTGCTTTGCACCTTGTTATATAGAGTTCCGGCAATCGGGGAGAAAGGGTTGGTTTGGCTCGGGCTGAGCGGAAGGCTGAAGCTGACTGAGCAGATCGTCATGTCCCACCCGACCTCTGTTTGTGTTTTCATCTCTCTTGCCATCAACGAGACCATGCCTATCACGCCTGCACCACAACATGTCGCACTCACCGACGCACGATTCTGGCCGTCCGGCATACAAGCGTCAACGAGTTGGCCTGGCCTGCACGTCATGCCGCCGACGGAAGACCCGCGTACGTAACACGAGTCTGGACATATCACAGACCTGGCTGACTTCTTTGCCTGGTAGTGCGACGGTGTTAGACCTGTGTGCGCTCCATGTACGCAGCTTGGGCTGACTTGCTCGTACGAGCAGCCTCCTCAAAATGTTAATGACCCTCTCAGCATGTACGAGTCCCGATTGGGGGCGGTTGAGGACATGCTTCGCCAGCTGGTAGACCCACAAAGATCTACGCAAGACCACTCTTCTCGCCCACAGACAGTCTCTCGTCCGCGCAGCCCAGTCGATCAAAGCGGTTTCTACCATGCTAACACCGCTGTCCCTCGTGCCATGCTCGTTGATCTCCGAGAGCAGCAATTGGGAACACCGTTGGAGTTGACCATTGACGTCCTCGCTTCCACTGGAGGAAACTCCGTGGCTCCGGCGTACTTCTTTGGTGAGTGTTACTCCCCTGAAGCTTTCGAATGCAATTTGTACTGAACCTGCCGGTATCAGGCCCTTCCTCGAATGTTACCTTCATTCGGACGGTATCGACTGCCCTGGATGTGGTCAGCAATTGGAAGTGGCGTGGCCCGCAACCCAACATTCGAGACGGCGAACCGCTCATTTCGAGGACTCCGTCACCTGGACCCCCGATCAGGGGCCTTTCAACAGATACCCCAGTGGACCCCTTGGTCTTACCGCATGACCGACTGACGTCTCGGCTACTTGATGAGTTCTTCACAACCACTGGCCTTTTATTTCCGTTCGTCGACGAGACTCATTTGCGACAACGTTTCGCCGAAGCGAGATCCGCCGGCTATTCAGGCATGCGAATATCATTCTTGTGCCTGCTCAACGCCATCTTTGCCACTGCCGCCCGCGTGGATGATGTACCTCCCGAGGACGACGCCATTGAGCAGGCTGGTTCCAGATCTGAGATCTGAGATCTTCTTTGGCCGAGCGCTTCTGCTCGTGAATCGTTCAACGCCTGATCAATGCAGCATTGAAACAGGTATGCTGACTGGTTTGCAAATGACGTGCTGGGGAAGGGTTATAGCTGACTGGGAAAGTACAATGCCTGTTATTTCTGTGCCAATATCGCCAGGGCACGAGGGACGGCGAAGAAACCAGCGCTCTCCACGCTCGTGCATTGCGACTGGCGATCCAGCTTGGACTACACGTTCAAGCTCCATCAATCCCACTTAGTCCACGAGAACGTGAAGTGAGGAAGCGGACATGGATTGGCTGTGTCATTCTTGACAAGTACGTGCTCGCTCCAGCTTCTCCTCCGGTATGGGCTTAATGACGGAAACTGTGCTGACGAAAGGTCTGCAGAGTGATCAGCATGACTTTCGGCTGGCCGCAAGCCATATCGAAGCGCTCTTCGTGCAACACAATCCCACTGGAGGCAAATCTTGATGCCCTCTCTACATCTCCATCTGCAGTAACTTCTCCCGAGGCCGTTGAAGCACCACGTAACAGTACAGTGTGCTTCTTCAAAGCGACTATGTAAGTTGCCGTAAAATCGGGAGTCGATCATATCCCGCTGACAGTGTCAAGACAACTCTACACCATCCTCGGCACTCTTCTATCTACCACCTACGCAGACAACTGTGAGCAAGCTTTGTCGCCGTCGCTGGAAGAAATACTTGAGACCAGCCTTTCCATCGATAGACAGCTGTCAAAATGGGAGCAAGATCTACCTTTCCGGCTCACACTCATGCCGTGGCACTCGAATTACATCCGCCCCGAGTCCCTTGGACAAATGGTTCCCATCTTCGAAAGATTGAGCAGCATGATTCGGTTAAGATTCCTTCACGTTCGCATGCTCAGTGAGTGAGCGAGTCTGAGCTGGCATCTGGCTGCCATGACCAGCACTTCTGGCGAGCGTCCGCTCACGAGCATGGCAAGCGATCACTTTCTAGGAGTCGCACATTGCAATCTACAGAGACTAAGGGATACAGCAACAGAGACTTTGACCATCATATGCAGAATGAGTAATCAGCCTGGAGCACTTGGAGCCTGGTGGTTTTCAGCGTCATATGGTAAGTCGTCATTGCCGTCGGGCTGTCACTCGTACTAACAAAGCAGTCTTTCATTCTTGCCTCGTCCTACTGGGGTCACTTGTGGTACAGCTCAACTTCGCAAGACAGTCATCTGTACTCTATGACCTTGCTCGCCGACACCGACTGACTCGAAAAGAGTCGGATTTCGACGTTCTGGAAAACACCATCCGGAAAGGGAGGCGTGCGATGGAGAAGATCTTACGACATACCTGCAAGGCTGGCCGAGTTATGCGGGCATTGGACAGAGTTGTAGAAACGTCTTGCATTGTGTTGGCGGCGCTTCGACAGGACGCCATTTCAGTGCTCTCTCCACCTGGCCAGCCTCAGGAAGGACCGTTTCTCGACAATCCACAACACAGTACTGGCAATGATGACCGAAACGCTTATGAGGGTCAAACGGTAGTTGAATATCGTCCACAAGGCGATGCCTATCATCAGCATGACACTGGATATACTAGCAAGGCTCAGACAACAGATTGGAATGCCCAACCTGTGCTGGATAATGGGCCCGGACCCGATTGGCAGATGCTATTCGAGTCATACCATCAATCTTTGGAAGGCATTTCTGATGACACATTCAATATCAACGATCTTATGAATATGTAATAGTGATTGGGCTCGGCGATTCTGGCTGCAAGTCGTCTGACAGCATCAAAAGCGATTGTCACAGGTACTTAAGCAATACTAGAACTACACCGGGCAGAACGAACCATGCGCAAAACATTTAGTCAGAGGCCTAATACTTATACCTGAAGCTCACATTCTCCACATCGGTCCGATCGAAGCCCCCATCGGTGGCCTGCTCGCTATCCGGATCAGTGGCATAAACTTCCCTCTTCGAGTTCTGCCTCTTGTAATGGCCCAGCAACACGATCACCAATAAGATAGTCGAAGCCTCCACAGCGACAAGCGTGGTCTTGGCCGGGACGAACTCTGGCGCGTCCTTGTTCCGAAAGGTCAATGGACCGAGGATGTTGCCAAGGCAATTGCTCATCAACAAGATGGCATTCATGGTGACCTTCTTGGTGTGTCCCGCTGTGTTGGATGCGCCAAACGAGTAGATGCATGGAATCACGGCAGTGAGAACGTGTGTCATGTAGTTGCCAACGAGCCTCCCAGCAACCTCGTTCGCTGGCAAGAAGGCGAGGAGTCCTCCTCCGAGCAGGCCTCCTATCGTCGAGCAGAGAATTGCAGTCAGTCCGCGTGCGTTGTAGCGCGAGGCACACCAGCCTGCGAATAAGACACTACACACGGCTATAACGCCGCCTGGTATCTGCAACAGCGCGGTCTGCTTGTTGTTATATCCAAGGCTGCGGATGACGATCGACTGGAAGTTGGAGACAGCACCGTTTGGTATCGCAGCTGCCGTCGCACTAAGGGCCAGTAGCCACGTCTGGGGGTCCAGAAGGCACTGTTGGAGCTGGTATCGTTTCCACTGCTTCGACTCTACGGATGGCATTAGCGATGGCGACGAGATCTTGTCTTGCTCTGAGATCATACCAATAGTGTTCTGGTCGCGCGTCAACCTATTCACAACAGCTTCTCTTTCTGCAGGTGACAGCCTGCGTGCGGTCGCCGGGTTGTCGGGCAAGAACACAATAACAACAATTCCGAACGATATCGTGACTAGTCCGAAGACCAGAAACATGATCTGCCACGATGCAAAATAGTGGCTGTGGTAGAATTGGAACCCGAATGATACCAACGAGCCAACGATGCTCGATGCTCCGACACCTGTGTACCATATCGCTATTCGCTTTGGTTGCTCCTGCGGACCGTTCATCAGCATCGCACGTTCCACATCGTGATTGTACTCACATCACGACGGAACCACATGGAAACCACAAGAATCAATCCTGGCGTCAAGGCAGATTCACAAGTTCCCACAGTGATTGAATCCATTGGAGAGTTGAGAGCCATACGATCACAGCACAAGGTTAAGGAAGAAAGCTTCAGAACCAGGGGCGGTGATCTTATCCTGATTCACTCAAGGCGAGGCTCCCGGGCACGATGCCGATGTAACCGCGGATGGGTCGGTCTCGAATGGAGCTCCCGAGACACACCCGGGCGGGTTTCCTGCTTTGTCACCATTGACGACACGACGTTAAGGGCTGTGGAAGTTACCAGACGATGACCTTCTGGCGCTCGTTCGACGGCCTCGGAACGGATCACCACGTAAATATAATTCTTCGGGGCCAGCTGTAAGCAGGCTTTACGAAACGACCTTTTTCCGACGATACATCCAACGACGATTAAACGATCTCTGGGATTAGGATATCATGCCTGACAGCATCGAGATGCCGACGAACGTCCTCCATCGTGTCGACGAGAGTGGTCAATTCTTGGTGGAGATCGACGTGGACGTCCCACTGCCGAATACCCCAAAAGGAGATGCCAGCGATGCAGACCCCGTCGCTCGATCGAACATCTTCAGACCAAAAGCTCAGGGCCGATACCCAGTACTCTTGACGTATAGTCCCTATGGCAAGGACATACCATACTCCAAGTTCAACCCTGCATCATACAACAGGCTTCCAAAAGCTGCGCAGACGCCACACGCAGTGTGGGAGGCTCCAGATCCGACATTTTGGGTACCTCATGGCTATGTCGTTGTTCGAGTCGACGAAAGAGGATCTGGACATTCGCCTGGTGTGTTGAATGTGTGGAGCGAAGAGACGGCCTGTGGGTTTGCAGACGCCATCGAGTGGGCTGCTGTACAACCGTGGAGCAATGGCAAGGTCGGACTATTGGGAGTCAGCTACTACGCATCGAACCAGTGGTTTGTTGCTGCGAGGAGACCAAAGGGTCTCTCTGCTATTCTACCTTGGGAGGGTATGTTATTCCTTCATTCTGTCAGTCGCGTGCTGATCATATTTCAGGAGTCAGCAATTTCTATGATGAGTGTGCCAGGCACGGTGGAATCATGAGCAATGGTTTCATAGGTAAGATACCCGCCTGATGTATCCCGGCGACGTGCTGACGAACGACAGGGGGTTGGTGGCCCCGGCAGATAGGATCAAACCAATACGGCTTGAACCGTGATGTCGACCGCGAGTGGAGTATGGGTGGTACCCGAGAGGCGAACTTGACTCCTGAGATGGCATCAAAGCGACGAGACATGCGTGAGCGTGTTGCGAATGCTCCTTTCCGGGACGACCCCGTCTATGCCGTTGACACAACTGACCTTGGAAACATCGAATGCCCTGTCCTGAGTGTCGCTAATTGGGTAGGTCCGGTGGAAATGCACCATCCAGGAAGTTACTAACTTCTGTTCCAGGGAGCAAGCTCGCTTCACTTGCGAGGCAGCGTTCTTGGTTTCTTGAAGGCGGGATCTAAGCACAAGTTCCTGCATTTCATCGTCGGAAGGCATGATACTCCATTCTTCGAAGACTATGCCATTCGCCTTCAAAAGTCGTTTCTTGATGCGTTCCTCAAGGGTCAGGACACCGAGGGATGGTCTACGGGCTCGAAGCCCAGCGTCGATCTTTGCGTAAGGAGAGGCAATCCTGGGGTCAACGATGAGCCGGCAGAGATTGAGTGCTTTCCAAGGAGGCCCGAGGCAGCATGGCCTATCGAACGAACGCAGTACACGAAAATGTACCTGGGCCCTCCTTCCTCTCTATCGTGGGAGAAGAGCCCTTCCGAGACAACGGTCCAATACAGATCTCCCAGGTCAGCAGAAGCTTCCACAATACTGAAGGAGAATTGTAAACTGACAACTTCGCCAGCTCTTACCTGGCTTTCCGCTCTCAGCCATTCCCTCGTCAGACCGAGATAACGGGCCATCCCTCAGTGCGACTCTCGATTTCTCTAGCGCCTTACAATGGCTCTTCGCCCTCTGACATTGATATCTTTGTCGCTCTCCGTCACATTGATGTTGCTGGAAAAGAAAGTGAGTAGCAAATCTTTACAGCGGCGTGGCGAGATCAATATCTGACATGCATTTAGTCTGCTACACAGGCGCGAATGGCCAAGCTGAGCCCGTCGTGAGAGGCTACTTGCGGGTTTCCCAAAGACACCGCGATCACGAAACCGACATCGCCAAGAGATATCCCGTCATACCAATGCACACCCACAAGTCCACAGACGTCTTACCGGTCGCTCTCAATGAAGTCTACACGGTAGACGTGGAGCTTTGGCCCACCAGTGTGGTCATCGAAAAAGGCGAAGTTCTAGAACTGACGGTGTCTGCACAGGATATTGAGCAGAGAGGCCAGTACACGCACGATCATCCCAATGATCGACCAGTGCAGACTTTCCAGGGGTTCAACATCATCCACTTTGGACCAGATAAGGACAACTTCCTGACTCTGCCGATCATTCGCCCGTGATAGAGCTGAGAGGGAGATTGAGATCCAAAGTTATGCCTCCCTTGGGCTATTCTTTTGCATTAGCAGCCCCAAAATCAACTCATAGATGTAATACCGTGTCACGTTCACACCATGGAGTCATTAAACGTGCGACTCCTCTGCCTTGTGTCAGTGCTGTCATGATCATTGCATTGGAATTTGTAATCATAGCACCTCTGACGTGAAACGTGACATTAGGATAGATTTCGATACATACGGCGAACAAACCCAGTCGTGAGCCCCTTTGCTGACTGTTGCGAATCTTCCGTTAGGCCTTCCGTTGCGTCGTCACCCTACCGGGTAACGACAGGGTGGCGCTGATCCGATATCACCGGCTACCCTATCTCCCCGAGGTGAGCATGGCTGTTCCCTTTTGTCCGAAACAAATTCATATTTCAAATGAACGAATATCGAAGACGCTGTGAAATTCGGTTTCGAGCATCCATCGCCGAACTGGTGGCAGGCACCTCGAATAGCAATGGGATTCAAGGATGGGGAGTCTACCGCAGCCTTGCGCCAGACATTTCGAGAGTTTATTTCAGGCTGCCATATCCTACATTACCATAGGCACGGATGTCGCCAAATCACCCTCTCGCCTCGCATGCGTATCTGACTCAGTGCAGTGTACTCGATGCTTATGGCCATCTTTCAGTCCGCCACCCGCACGATCCCACAAGATTTTTCATGTCTCGCAGCGTGGCTCCAGGGGTCATCTCTTCTGTAGATGATTTGATCGAGTATTACGTCGAGAATGCAGAGCCTGTCAATGCATCAGCAGCCAAGGGGTATTCCGAAAGATGCATTCACAGCGAGATCATGAAGCGGTTTCCGGGAGTCAATGCTGTAGTTCACAGCCACGCTCCGGCGGTTGTGCCGTACACTGTCAACGGTGTGCCATTACGAGCAGTTTATCAGTAAATCATCATCCCTCGCAGCAGAACTCCCACTCGATTCCTGACCACTAGCTGACCAATGTTGTAGCATGGCCGGGTTCCTTGGTTGTGAATCCCCGGTGTTTGATGCAAGTGATCACGTACTTCCAAATGAAAGCCATGATTTACTTATACGCACAACCCGCCTTGGAGCTTGTTTAGCAGCTTGCTTTGGTGATCATGATCGGCAACCCGACCACTCCATCGCCCTCATGCGTGGGCATGGCTTTACGGCGCAAGGGCAGTCCATCATGGACGCTGTATTGCGTTCAATATATACTCAGCAGAACGCAACGATACAAACGACTGCTTTACTGACGCATGCGGCGCATTTCAATAGCGTAAGAAGTCGAGGACGTGACAACGAAGATGCAGAGTTTTGCGAGAGTGACAGCGTGAAATAGCTTACCGAAGGGGAGGCGAAAGACACAGCAGCAATGACAATGTTGACGGCTGAGCGTCCGTGGCGGATGTGGCTTCGAGAGGTTGAGGCATCCAGTCTGTACGTCAATAGGGCGTGAAATGTATAATAAAGGGGTATTGGGACTTCGGCATCAATCAATGCCGTTAGCCGGTGCATTTGTCCTGGTGCGACTGTTTGACTATTGTCAAATGCATTGATCAAGAAAGACACTAAATGCCGTCCTTAATCGTATCTCTTCGTTGAGACTTTGCCCCATAATGAACTCGTTGACACTCGTAACTACTGACATGTAACTATTCCGATACTACGCTGATGCCAAGACCCGTGGAGCTGTGCTCTGGTTTGCTCGCTCGAAAAGATCCTGTCAGAGATCTTGAACAGACATATTAATCCCCAATTTCCCCACTGTACTGAGAGGACACTTTGGTCAGGCTTCGCATCGTTTGGCCGCTTCATCACGCCTCCGCCCAGTGGTATCGCTCACACTGATCAATTCGCTACTTTTCCATCCTCTCATCCAGGCTACACTCTATGGTCTTCGGCGCATTCGTCCGCTTTCAATCTTGTTGAAAACGATGCGGAATGAATCGCAATCAGAAGCTATTCGACAGCTCGAGGAAGATGGCTTGGTGGTGACGAACACTTCCGTTCACAACACAGAGGAACAGCAGCACAGACTCGGAGTAACGGGCCGGTTGCATGTAAGACCAAGACACACATTCATCCATCTATTGTCCTTCAGACAACACTGCTCCAAGCGACGGTACGCGGAGGTGCTGCTCCGTGACGAGATGGGAGCTTGGCGAACAGCAACGGTGGAAGCGAGCAGCGCCAACAGTAGTGCCGCAGGCGAGATCTCTCTTCCATTGACCGTGGCTTGACCTAGTTGCGGAGATGCGGCTCGCTCTAAGTGTAGCATCTTTTACTACGCGGTGTAACTACTGCAGGCCTCACAAACCTGTTCGCCCGTCGAGGAACTAGACCCAGGGAGAGACGGGGCTGCTTGACCGACGCCAACTCTCCAATGGGCATATATTATGAAGGCCATGGTCTACGTTGTTTTGACTTCAACGCCAGACACATCTTACCCTCCATTCATCGCCTGTCGACTATCACAGAATCATGGCCCAACAAGACGAGAAGACGTTTGCCACAACGACCCTGGATCGGTCTGTGACCAACGATTCCCACCCAGTCGTCGAGACAAAGACTATCAAGGGGAGTACGGCTTACAATGAAGCTCTGATCAAGGAGCCTGTCAATCTGAGAAGCCCCATGGCGGTCAGGCTCTTGCTGTGTCTTCTCCTGGGCTGTTTTGCACAAACTATGAATGGCTTCGATGGCTCCCTATTCGGAGGTCTCACAGCCAACCAGCAGTTCCTAGACTTCTTCCATGGCACCAAAGCCGGCGAATGGGCAGCCATCAATTCTGCCATGTACCAGATTGGTGGAGTCTGCGCTCTTCCCTTCGTGGGTCCGCTAATTGATACATGGGGCCGGCGCTGGGGAATGTCTGTCGGTGCTTGGATCGTTATTGTCGGCACAATCATTAACGGCCTCACGGTCCTCAATGCTGGTCACGATGGCCAGCTGAAAGGTGGACGTTTCATCCTTGGCTTTGGTGTAGCAATTGTCTCCGCCGCTGGACCCATCTACGTCGTGGAGACTGCTCATCCCGCATGGAGAGGCATTATTACTGCATACTGCAACACGGTGAGTAGACGATGACCATGTTCTGAGGCTCTTGCTGACTGGAGCCCCGCTTCTAGTTCTGGTTCACAGGTTCAATTCTTGCCAGCGGAGCAATTCGAGGTGCCCTCAATCTCGAAGGTAACATCTCCTGGACGATACCGGTCTGGTTGCAGGTAATGATATCCTTTGTCAACACTTGCTCCATGCTTTCTGACAGTTCAAGTAGATGGTATTCCCCGGCTTGATCGTGCTTTTCGTTTGGTTCATCCCAGAGAGTCCTCGATGGCTGTTCGTGCACAACAAGCGAGAAGCTGCCGTCTCCACCCTGGCCAAATGGCATGGCAAAGGCGACGTGGACTCCGCCTGGGTAAGACTTCAGGTAGCGGAATACGAAGAGTTTCTGAACACGAACGGATCTGTAAGTTGTACTGTCACGTTTGCTTATGTCCCACTCGCATTTGATGGATCCTACTTACCGATACTCTGCTTCCAGGACAAACGCTTCTGGGACTACCGTGCCCTCTTTCGCGATCGATCCAGCCGCTATCGAATTGCTTGCAACTGCGTCTTCTCTATCTTCGCTCAATGGGCCGGAAACGGTGTATTGACGTACTTCCTGCCCGCGGTCCTCACAACAGCCGGATATACAAGCAGCGTCACACAAGCCAACATCAACTTGGGATATGCCTGCTTCCAGTACTTCTTTGCCCTCTTTGGTGCCAACTTCGTCGAGAGGCTGGGGCGGCGTCCGATGATGCTGTTCAGTATGGGCGGTTGCTGCCTAGTATGGGTGGGCATGACCGTCGCTACGAGCCAATTTGCCCAGTCTGGCGATGAGAACTCTTCAGCAGCACAAGCTACCGTCGCTATGATCTTCATCTTCGGTGCCGTCTACTCTGTCGGCATCACACCTCTCCAGGCCCTCTACCCAGTCGAAGTCCTGTCGTTTGAGATGCGAGCAAAGGGCATGGCTTTTAGCAATCTGGCCGTGAACGCGGGTGGCCTGCTAAACCAGTTCGCTTGGCCTATCTCCCTCGATAAGATCGGGTGGCATACCTACATCGTGTTTGTGATTTGGGATGCGGTGCAGTTTGTGGTCTTCTATTTAATGATGCCAGAGACTCGCAGACGCACTTTGGAGGACTTGGATGAGGTCTTTGCTGCCAGGAACCCTGTGAAAGCTTCACTCATCCCGAAGAAGGTTGCAGTCGACTCCGAAGGAACAATCGTAGCGGCCGAGAAGTTGGAAAGTGAAGCCTGAGAGTCTGATATTGTGTGAAACTTGGATGCTTGATGGGAGCTACCTGCAAACCCGTACTCTGGAAATGAACTTGTGCAAGTTGAAGCAGGTCTAAGGGTTTGGAGCCAGATACGAGTAGCAAAGATCAGAGATTACGTTGAACTACTTCTCGATCTCGAGAAAATCGATGTTTGTAGCCAGCTTGCTGTTTCCGATCAGGATTGAAGACTACAAACACGCTCAATCTCAAGTAGAGATCCAAGGACATGCAAGGATTATTGCAGGCCACTTCGAGTGATTTCAGCTCTCTGCCAGAGAACACCGAGATTAGAGGACTGCGAGTGTGCAAGCATCTCATCTTTGTGCCTGACACGAGGGCAAGGCTGCGGCATGACGGTCCGATAAGCGTCTCAGAAGAAAGGCACTCACGGGAGGCGGGGTAAATCTACGTGTAACATCTCCATGGAACTGAGGACTGCCTTGAAGAGCAAGATAGTTGCAATTCAACTGGACGACCGATGTTAGGGGCATGACGATCACGGCTTGAGAAAGTGTCAAATGTGCTCTCTTGGTGATGCTGAAAAGTGAGTTGCACAACCTGCCTTTCACGCCTTCGCAGCTAGTACGAAGCTATTGCGTATTCAAATGAAAGCCAAGATCTATTGTCTCCGCCGAGAAGTCTATCCTTCTAAGGCTTTACCAAGCATCGACATTCAGGCTAAAGTCTTTCATCGGCCAGTGCCCTCCGCTGCCTATCTGGCTAGCTTGCCTGCCGCCAGGAGTGAGCTTCAACGACACATACATGTCACCGTCGTTCCCCAATATTTCTTAACAACACACTTCATACTCGTCACATACACAGCGCAGATTCGATGTCTTCATCAAAGCTCCCGGAAGACTTTCTCTGGGGTTTTGCAACTGCGAGGTAGATGAACTCATGGTTTTGTTCCATTGAAGACCACACACTGAACAATTTCAAGCTACCAAATCGAGGGCGGTGCTCATGAGGGAGGCCGTGGAGATTCAATCTGGGACACATTTTGCCAGGTTCCGGGCAATATCGCTGATGGATCAAACGGCGATATAGCCTGTGACTCCTACCACCGATGGAAAGAAGATATTGAATTGCTAAAATCGCTTGGGGTCAACGCATACAGATTCAGCATTTCGTGGTCCAGAGTCATCCCACTCGGCGGACGGAACGATCCCATCAATCAGGAGGGACTGCGTTTTTACCAAGACGTATTGGATGAGTTGGTCAAATCTGGCATTACCCCATTGGTTACTCTCTTTCACTGGGACTTACCGCAAGCATTGTATGATCGATACGGTGGATTTCTCAACCAGGAGGAGTATGTGCAAGACTTTGTCCACTTCGCCGAGGTAGTCTTCGAGGCCTTGGGTTCAAAGGTCCGTCATTGGATTACGTACAATGAACCATGGTGTAAGCCCTTCCTTATACCTTCGTCGATGCAGGCTCTAATTTCCATCAATACAGGCAGTTCCATCTTGGGCTACAGTATCGGCCAGTTTGCACCAGGGCATACCAGTGACCGCAGCAAGAGCAAAGTGGGAGACACCTCTACTGAACCATGGAAGGTCGGCCATACCGTCCTTGTGGCTCATGGCGCGGCAGTGAAACTCTATCGACAGAAGTTCAAAGCGAAGCAACAAGGACAAATTGGAATAACCCTGGACTGGACGGAGCCTTGGGATGCCAACGACCAAGCCGACATTGAAGCAGCGGAACGCAAGCTTGAGTTCTCCATTGGATGGTTTGCAGATCCCATATACCAAGGTGACTATCCTCTCAGCATGCGCAACCAACTCGGTGATCGCTTGCCAAAATTCACAGACAAGGAGCGAGAACTCGTGCATGGCTCGAACGACTTTTATGGCATGAACCATTACACTGCCGACTACATCAAACATCTTCCAGGCGCTGCGAAGCTGGACGATTTCAGTGGCAATGTGGAAATCCTCAAGGCTAACAGAGATGGAATCAGTATAGGTCCAGAGACGCAGAGTGCATGGTTGCGGCCTCATGCAGCTGGTTTTCGAAAGCTGCTGGGGTGGATCTCAGCCAGGTGCGGGGGTCCCGTTATATACGTGACAGAAAATGGAACAAGCGTAAAAGATGAGAGCCTGCTAACGCCTGACAAAGCCGTCCACGACGAGTTCCGCTGTCAATACTTCCGCGACTACATCGACGCGCTTGTGCAAGCTCGTGGAGAAGATGGTGTAGACGTCCGAGGCTACATGGCATGGAGCCTTTTAGAGTCAGTAATCACAACTTTGACGAGCCTCCGTGTTGAAACTGACGTATGGCCAGCAACTTCGAGTGGGCGGAAGGATACGAGACCAGGTTTGGCGTCGTGCATGTGGACTTCGCGAAGAACCAAGAGCGTCGAGTCAAGGACAGTGCCAGGGTCGTGGCCGACGTCTTCAAAAGGCTGTGCGGGGTGTAGCCGCTCCTAAGGGGGAGCAGTCGAGAAGTAAGAAGTTGGCGGGCTTTTATTGTCGGGGAGAGACCAGAAGCCACGAAAGGTCTTGGCGATCACATGCTTTGCTGTCGCGTTACCTTCTTTTGCTATCGTGAACATCATCCTTGTTCTCTCCCTGTCAGTCTGTCTCAGCTTTCTGAAGTGTCAGCAGAATCGCATCTGACAACTTTTTGATACTGGGGCCATATTTGGTGACATTTACGTGCAGTTCACAAACACTACTCTACCGCGCAAAGGCTGGCGCTCTGGACTACCAGATTGAGGCCGCGCTGCAGTCCCGGCAGATCCTACATCACTAAGAAGCTTTCATTTTGAAAGCTTCTCCTCCACAAATTCTGTATTGATAGGCCAGCGCAACTCTTCTGAAGACGTCTAGCGGCAAATGACGCAGCCTTGTTCTGCCATTGTCTCTTCCGCTCGTTCAGTCAATTAGGTATCTTCAATGTCGTAAGAAGTGCCAACTATGTTGAGGCAGAATTTAGGGCCCAACTCTTTTCAGAAACAGTAGCGACCACATGTTTCGGATCCGAACATGACTATGTCTCTCTGCGCAACGCCTACGTCCGCCGGCTCAACTGGGGCTGTGTGTTACGTCTTTACAAATGGTCCGAGCCAGCGTGAGGGTTCATGGATATATATCTCGCTGCCATTGAAGCTCGTCGAGTCCAAGTCCAACAACAATCAATCGCAACCACTCACCACTATCACGAACCCGATCCCGATAAAGACAAACCCGACATGGGACTCATCAGAGATGGAATTGGCCAAGCTCTTGGAGCAAATCAGGTCCAGACAGGCTTCAACGGCCCCAAGATGTCTTTCTCGTCCAAACCGAACACCAGCGCATCCTCTCCTGCTCGATCGCCCCGACGCCTTCCGCCGAAACCAGACTACCAGACTTACTCGAACTCGAGTGGACTTGAGCGACCAGACTCATCAGCACCATACGGTGACTCCTACTCTTCTCGCTCCCCGAGCAAAGGCTATCCTCAACAATACGGTCTCGATAATGGCCGACCTTCTTCAAGCTACCGGGACAACGAATCTTGGCCTGGCCAATCTCAATATGCGGACGTCCCGCCAGCATATGGAACACAGTTGGACTATCCATCCACCTATAGGAATGACCAATCGATTCGCAATGATCCGTACTCGAGGCAGATTGCCGACCCATGGATGAGCGATTCCTCCTACACACAGCCATATCAAGACCAAAGGAGTTCGTACTATGACAATACGCAAATGCAAGGCTCGAGATCCATGCGAGGTTCAGGCTTCCGTCCACTTGCCTTGTCCCAAGTCGAGTACGGTGATGGCAAGCCTTTCCTTCGAGGATAGAGTGACGAGCTGAGACATTACGGAATTGAGGAGGGACAGTTCATCCAGATCTTAGATACGATGAACAAGGCCATTATCCCGAATCCGGAGAATCAGATCTTTCAGAAGGCGGCCAACTTCGCAGGATGGTTTGTGTAAGTGCATGCCGAGGAGTGGTTTGGAGTTCTTCTTCTGACGACAATGGCAGGCCAGGTAGCGCAGGTATCGGCCTCATGGCAGGTCAGATAGGTGTGGGTATTGGTGCGGCTTTTGGACATGCATCCATGGTCGCCAAAACACTGTCGAAGGCCAACTTGGAGCTCTTTATCCCCAAAGGTCTCGAGATATGGTAAGAGCCCGACCAAAGCATCGTCGGTTATAGCTCTACTAACTCCGAGTAGCATTGGACACACAAAAGATCTCAACAACGAGACTGGCGTCTCGGCGTCTTCCGGGGGATTCAGGGGCAGCAATGATCCCGAGACTCGGCTGGCAGAGTACGGCAACTCAGTCGCGCCTCTGTCGGTGGTCTATCCACGCCAGCAAAACATTGGCCGACAGGACCCTATCGCCATGCTCGCCCGCGGAATCGGCAGCCGTGACAACCAGAAGAAGATTGGCAAGGCGAACAAGGATGCACAGAAAGGAAAGAAGTCGAAGAAGGGTGATTCGTTGGAGGGTGATGTCAAATGGGTAGGTGCTCATTGTGAACGATTTGGTACGAGAATCAGGCTGACATTTCTCCTCCAGCTTATGGTCAGAAAGGCCACCCCGGACAGTGTCGCCCACTGGAAGCAGACGCTCCGGCAGAGTGAGGCCGCTTTAGCTGAGGAAAGAGCACAAGCAAACGGGCGATAACGGCTTTCAAGACGGCTTGCTCTCTCTTTGTTCAGCTGCGGCCAGTTTGAATGCCATCCCGGCGGTCCATGAGGGAGGGTGGTAAGGCGTTCGAATGGATATGCATGTGGTTGTCAAGAGTAAATGATATGCTTTGTTGTGTAGTTAAATTGTACTATATTATCATACTGCGTGATCGACTATTCAGGGACTTCCGTTTGCCCAGGTGAGTCTAATGGCTAGCAAAGGGTCTAGATCTTTGGCTCACATACCCCCGCACGACCTCTCGGAAGATGACGATGAGGCACACAAATAGCGCCAGTACCGGATACAGCATCCTGTCATCCTCTTCGAGACAGATCGAACTCACCTTGATGGGCAGTATACATACCAGTCCTCAAAGATGGCAGAATACACCGTTCCCTGCAAAGGCATCGTCGCCTACTCCCAGACAGAATGGAAGTGGGAGGATTTGCTAACTCGCGAGCCGCTCGAGGACGAGTTTATGATCGAGATGATCGCGACTGGAGTGTGCCATACTGATATTTCAGGTTATGGCGGTATTTATCCTCGTGTGTTGGGCCACGAAGGTACCTGATTTCTCGCAGCCTGAATTTCAACCCCTGCTCACCCCCTTGTCACAGGTGCTGGCCGAGTTGTACGGCTGGGAAGCCCAAAGCAGAGCTCATCTTACAAGGAAGGCGACCTTGTCATTTTGTCAGCGGCAGCATGTCTTAACTGTCATTACTGCAACACTGGTCACCCTGCGTACTGCGTACAGCACGCCGCTTTAACGCTGGCCGCGAATGAACCCAACTTCGTCCTAGCATCGGATAAGACCAAAGTCATCGGAGGAGGTCAAGCATTCAAGTTCCCGGAATGTCTCCATTCTAAGCCTGCTAACTCTGATCTAGGATACTTCGGTCAATCCAGCTTCGCAACATTGGTACCGGTCAAGACCTCTTGTGCAGCGAACGTGACGAAACTGGTCCGAGATGCGGAGGAGTTGAAGCTGTATGCTCCGCTGGGGTGTGGCATCATGACCGGAGCGGGTGCTTTCACACACGTTGGGAAATGTCAGCCTGATGATGTGGTGGCCATCGTTGGCCTTGGTGGCGTTGGACTGGCTGGAGTTTGCGCGGGGAAGCATCTGGGCGTGAAGAACATAATCGCCGCAGATTTGGTCCCGTCGCGGATCGAGCTCGCCAAAGAATTAGGCGCTACGATTGGACTTCACTCAGCGCCAGACAAGCTCAATGGGAAAGATCTTTCCGCAGCGATCAAAGAGCTGACCCCTGGAGGACTTGGCTGCACTCACATCCTCGACAGTACACCATCAGTCGCCATCATGTCACAATGCCTGGAATCGATTCAAAAGAACGGGACGGTGCTTCAAGTGGGTGTCAAGCCGGTTGGAGCAAAGATCGAACTGGATACTTTGACACATATGGTTAATGGAAGGCGGCTAGTTGGTGTTATCGAAGGCGATCGGGATCCTGCGGAGGCTCTGCCAGAGTTGGTCCAATGGAGCAAAGACGGGACACTTCCCATGAACAAGCTGCTAAAGGAATATCCTGCGAAGGAATTTGACGCCGCGAAACATGTGATGGAAGATGGTAGCGTTATCAAGAGCGTTCTGGTCTGGTAGTTTGCCTTGAAGGCCCGGTACGAAACGAAGTTCTGCAAGCATCCAGGATGGTTTCCACTCATGTCCAGGCAGTAGCGAAGCTCTGAGTCGGTCTTAGAAGGTGGCCGCTATTGCCAAAGTCTCACTGCTTTCTGCTACAATCTCGTCAAGGCAGTACACCATTTTGCTTCTTTTGCGACAGCAGATTCAGCATAAACTCGACATCTTTCTGATCCTCGCCCTCAGCATAGCCAGGCATCAACGCAATCCATCGGTATACGTGCTCTCTGAGCTCATCAAATTCCAAGGCTGGCCCGGTGAGTCCTCGCTCTTCTGGTCTCCACCGCCCCTGAAGTCAGTCCGAAGGATGACAGATGGAATGTCGGCGAACTTGGCAATCATGAATTCGACCACAGTCCCTGAGTCAAGCTCCGCACCGTCGTAAGTGAACAAGGCCAGGTCACAGCTCAGCAGCGCTCGAATGTCTTTGTCACGAATGTTCTGAGGAGTCACGTTGCCTCTTTGCTCCAGATCTTGGGGCAGCAGAGGACGATACTTTCCGCCAGAGGCTCGATTGATCTCCTGGGAGAGTAGAACATTCATGTGGAGGTCGGCAACTGTGAACAGTGGCCCAGCGTGATAGTAGGTCAGCTGATGCTCGTTTGAGGAAGTAGATGCCACGGTTTGGTCGCTTTGGGTGTCCAAGACATTCTTCTCCTGGGATGAAGCCATGCTGATAAGGATGACAAGACACGATGGGGCCAAGAGCCAGGACAAATTGCGAGGAGGTATGCGTGGCGTTCAGGTAACGTTTTGTATCGTGCTTTGTCTTTGGAGCTGATGGCAAGAAAATGGGTAATGTCTTAACCTGCGGACAACGGTGATCCAGCAACTTGAAAGGAATGTAGGAACAGACTCAAATTTATACCAAGCAAAAGTGGCCGCTTTGCACTCCCATTAGCTTCCGAACATCACCAGCCAGTCACAACAAAGCATAGGAGTAGCCCTTGGTAACTGAGGGAGATGCATCAAAGACAGCCTTCAACGGGATGAGATACACTAGACAAAGTTGAAATAGATTGTTCCGTCGAAGGTGAGACGTGCAAACTTGCAGTCGCACCAGCTCAGGCCTCAGCCTTGTCTTAGAGCTTGCCAAGCCTGTGATAACTACAACGTCCTCGAAGACGTGTTCCTCGCCTGGAATCGATTGTTCCTAGATTGAGACATCCCATCAGCTACTACTTACATCCTATAAGTCAACAAAGGATGGACATAAACACATTGTGTCCTGGCTTTGTCGAGTGAGACATTGGCTTGATTTTCCCTTCCCCTTGTTTATGTATATTAGATACCCATTCGATGTTTTATTCTCGAATATTGCTGTGAATTAGCTCCTGATAGCGCTCCTATTCCAAATTCCCGAGATCGCCAAACCCAAGAAGCCGACAAGACCAATCGTTGATCGATCGCTCTCACAAGGCTGAACTTCCACAATGAACTTCCTGCAACAAAGCAACGCAATCCGGGTCAACGTCACACGCCGAACTGATCCAGAGATCGCTTATATTCTGCAGACATTCTCCGGTCTGCCAGTCCATCCCATCTTTCAACACAACCGCTGGCCACAAATCACCCCGGCCCAATGGGTGCGCATCCAACCGGCACTGGTCATGGCCTCGTTCTTTATAACTTGCCCACTCGCAGAGGACTTCTGGCACGGGGTATTGTTTGGTCCCACACTGTTGGATAGGAACTCCCTCGGACAGCCCATCACTCGTTTCGACCTGGTCTACAACTCCTCGATCGGAAATCCAGTCCCACCTCCCGAATTGCACAAAGTTCACCAGATTCTCGCGGAGCTCCCCCGAGCTGTTACGCTGTTCATCAGAACTCTACAGGATGATAACGTGTATGGGTTGAACGAGACAATCTCTTTGTGGCCCTTCCAGCACGGCAGAAAGGGGTATCGAAGTCGTGTCATTCTGGCGAGCGAGCTCCTCGATCTAGCTGAGATTGCCTCCCGTGAGGAGCGGCTCAGAATATGGTCGAGTATGGCGATAACTCTGGCGCATGAGACAGCTCATGCACTCTACTGTTCTTACTATGCACTTGACGAAGAAATGGTCTTTCGTGATAGTGACAAGTCCGAGATTGGGGGCGCTTTTGAGGAGTGGGTTTTTGGTGGATCTGGACAGGATTCTCGAGTCACCGATGAGCAGGTAGTGAATATGTTCTATCAGGTGCTCGAGAAGCATGGTATTTTCCATCGATGTCTTTCATAGAAAACAACAGTCGGTCTTACTCGCGGTACATTGTTCTTCCAACTGCAGTTCCAAGGTTGCCCTGGACTCGACAAGGGCTAGTGCCCCAAACTACGAGACAACAAATAAATAAACAAAACAACCAACTGACTTGGGTATGCAACATCGTGTCAGTATGTCCTCGTTCTCATCTCTTCTACAGTCGGAAATCCCAAAGGGCGTGAAAGGAGAGAGAAGTCAAATCTCAAACGAAAGCATTGTTTCCGATTTACAAACTTTACAACAATCCAACAAACTTCCACAAAGTACTCTCGACCCTCCACCAACCGCACCCTGCATCAACCGTAGCCTCTATCAACCACCTCCTCCACCTCTGTCATCCTTCACTGAGACGACCATGCTTGAACTTCCGCTTATGCGACTCCAAAGCCCGCTTCCGTCGCTTGGTGATCTTTCCGGCCTTGCAAGTCGTGCCGGGAGCCACAGCCTGAGGCACTGCGCAGTGGTCGATGTCGCAGGTGCCGAATTTGGTCGTGCCGATGCAGATGATTTGGCCGGGCGTTGGGCAGGGGACGGTGCCGTCGGTGCAGATGCCTGCGCCTTGAGAGGGAGCTGGCGCAGCTGAAGGCGCGGGAGCCTGGGAAGATGGCGCAGGCTGTGAAGGTGCGGGAGCCTGAGATGGTGGAGCGGCGGCAGCTGAAGACGTCTGCGCAGGGGGGTCTGCACTAGATCCACCGCCATCGCCACCGCCACCAGCGCAGCCTTGTCCGGTGGGTAGAGCCAGTGGGTATGGACTGCCCTCCGTCTTAGTCGTCGCGTACTTGCCAGGCTTCGGAAATTTCAAGTTGATGGACTCCTTGGTCGGGCATTGGTTGACGCTTGCGAGGTTTCCCACAAACATATCCGGGATTCCATCTCGGAGCCACTTCCACCGGTGAATTCTGCATTGATGCAGTTCATGTACATCTCCCTGTTGCCGACTGTATTGAACCACGTCCAAGCCATAATAGCATGGGCATTCTTGACACCCTTGGGAATGTTGAATTTGAACTGATTGACGCAGTTGGGCTCATTGCCGTTACCGCATGGTTTCGCGCCAACTCCGTCCAAATTGCCCTGGGCATCGGATGGACATCCACCCTCGATGGAGTAGATGACTTTCCAGCTGCTGGGATTTTTCAATTTCGCCGTATCGGTCTCATAAGTGATGGCCATCTGGCAGCTACCACCACCATGTACAGCGGTATTGGTGCCGTTGGCACCGAGTTCGAAGGACAAAAGTTGCTGGGAGCCGGCAGCCATCTTCGTTCGTCTGGTGGAAGGTAACGAAATACCGTGGCATGGAAAATCAGAGCCAGAAGGATCGAGAGGAGGCTTGACGGCGGTGCCGTTGATGGGTGCCGGTGAGTTAATGAACAGATGTGCGTGGGAGTTTAGCGCCAGGCTGGCGGTGATGGTTGCGATGATGCGATACATGATGTGTGTCTGCGTCGGAGTTACTGAATGCAATGTGCTGTGTTTCTGATGTCGAATGCGAGGCTTTTGTAGTGGATAGCCATCTACTGTGAATGATGTTGGCAGGTCTGTATTCAAGAATGAGCGTGCTGCTATGGACTAAACAGAACAAGCAGCGGAAGAGATCGATGAATGATGGACTATCCACTGCCCCGACAATTGTCTATTGTTCTCTGACTCGGGTATTCTTTGTCCTCGGGCGGTGTTGCTATTGTGTCTCATTGTGTTTCCGCAACCAACGCCATCGGTGAATGGTTGATCTCTTCTGCGTCGTAGCCGTGTTGGATCGTAGGCCGCACTGCCAGGACTGTCGCAAACGGGAACCGTCGCAACGAGTGAAGACCTCCTTTGGGGGTTTTCGGTGGACTGGGTAACAAGCACATACGATGCCAACATGGATCTCCGTCGCACTGAACGTCGCCAGCGTGCCATTGTCGTACGCAGGATCCAGGGAGTCCGCAACGATGATAAGTGAGTGCAGGCGTATGACCGCCAACAAACAAGGCAACCCCGCAAGGACAAAGATGCCCATGACCAGAATCTTCTGCTTCCTTCGAAGTTGTAACCCTTTAATCCACGGCAACGGCAGCACCGCACAGGAAAAGTCCAGAAACATGCCCAGCGTTGAGTTGATCAGCCACACCACGCTCCTCGCCCAACACTTAGTGCCCGCGATATCCGTCGTCCAGAATGCTGAGATGGGATCACACATAAAGACACAGCTGAGTGTAGCCCAAGCCATGGTCAAAGTATTCAATGCTAGCAGTCCATAGCACAACGCCCACCGTACCCATCCGAAGGCCGCCTGAGGGAATATACGCATGACCAGGAGGATGATGGAGAGACGGGTAAAGCCGATGCCGAGATGGTAGAGCCAGATGGAGGCCCAAAAGCATTTGAGCATGCTCTCACTGTTGCGTGGGTCAATGGCGGATTGACGTAGTCCGAGGCCGTAGCGGACTTGAAGGCCTATGCCGGTCGTCATGGCGAGGGTGAAGAAGAGGGCGATAATGATCATGTAGTCGCTGGAGTGTCCCGAAAGTCAGAGTTTGGTGGTGAACGTATCTAGGGCACAAACATACTCAATGCCACTGTTCCGGACGTGGCGATATCGCGCGTATATGCGACAACCCACCGCGAGCGTTGAGAAAGATGCGAGGACGATGATAACGGCGAGGACGGTTGGCCCGGCAGTGTGGAGTGTCATGGTCGGTAGACAGCTGTCAGCTTGTACGCATTGATGTGTGTCTTTCTCGTCGACAGCCGACAATCATGATCGCTCGACTCAAACGCGGTAGGTATGTTGACGATGGAGCTGTTTTGTAACGGCGAAGATGCGAGTGAGTCCAGACCTGGGAAGGCATTCGCCCTGCTTTCCAGGTCTGATCTCACCCCGACATGATGGTCCATCACACGTCTCCCCACGGGTTTGGTCCGAAGGGACCGCAACTCTCGAAGTTGACCCTTGTTGCGGATGTGCCGGGCAGCATGGCACAAGCTTGTTGATGAGTTTGGGGATATCGAGATCAGTGATCTGGACAGAAGCTGGATTGACAGTAACAGATCATGTAGCGGTCGAGTTGTGGTGAGGCCGTTTGAACAGCCGGTTTTGAGTCGAATGTCACTGTCTCAAATGTTGAGTATGAGAAGACTGAAGGAATGGAGGACTCACCTCTAACGCCCAGAACTTCCAGCCAAGAGTCGTTGGCGTTGTTGGAGCCTGGGGCCTGGCCAAACTCAGCGCAGTTCGTTGTTGGACAGGCATCAAGTTGGCTGGGATCTCGTGGCTTGTGAATTCTATTCTTGGGGTCGACAGAACCAAGTTCTCCCGGTGCCAGCCCTACGAACGGGAGGTGAAGACAGCGTTGGCTTGTCGGACGGAATCGACGTCTCAACTTCAACTTCGCTTTAGTTCGAGACGATACCGATGTTCTATGGCAGTCCGTTCTGCCCACTGGAACGCATCCAAAGATCTACCCCGTATGAACTACTTCGGCAGCGGCGGCTTCTGTCCATAAACAACGTACCTATAAAGACAAGGAAGATCAGCATAGGGCTCCTCAAAAATTCCGTCATGCTTACAGGGGCAGATAGGTGTGTATCCTCTTTTGTTTCCACTCCGTCCGTATCTCCATCAACAAAACCTCCAACTCCTCCACATTCCACCCAAGGCCCTGCGTAAAAGTCCTCACGCTGAGTCCACTGATCCCATCCAGCAAGCCGACCAAGAATAGGAGACCAGCTTGCCGTAACCGTTTGTCCTTCGGCCAGGGGCCCACGGGGATTTTGTAGGATCGAATGGCTGTGTTGACGAATCCAGCCGCTTCCATCTTCTCCTTCATGACTTCAGGACGACATCGACCTGTCAAGCCGAAATTGTTGATCCCTTGCTCCCACAGTTTCTGCCACCGCTGAACAGCACCATCAGCCGGCATCGAGCCATCATCCGAGGTGAAGTTCAGATCAAACTCCTGATTCTCAACCCACCCACCCGGCTGCATAACCTTGAACGCCTGCTCATAGAAGAAATCCCAAGATTTGATGGAGAAGCCATTCATAAGTCGAGTATGCACCAGATCAAACTGCTGATTGAACGTCCAAGTCTCATCAGCATCCATGACCTGAAACTCAAGATTGGGAGGCACAGCAGTGGGTTGAATCGGCGAGAGATCGGTCCCAATCACCTGAGAATGCGGATTGTCGTCCGCAATATCAATCGCCCAGATACCAGTCCCGGTGCCAACGTCCAGAATCATGCGAGGCCGCCGAATAGGGGCGATATAATGCTTCTCCTCCAAGGTCAAGCGGATGCTGTGGTAGTGGATATCCATCCGCTGCTGCTCTCGGTCGTCGTTGGGAATGACATACTTCCCCCTCCGGAAAGCGTGATAAGTCCTTCCATTCTCCTCTTCGTACTGAAAGATACTTGAAGCGACTGATTCGGTGGATAGATAGCCTTCGTCATACCCAGAATCATCACTGAAAGCATCATCTTGAGAATCTCTCGCCGCGAGGTCCACGTTTTCTAGCCCGGTCGCCATAATGACAGATCCAGTAGAAGGAAGGAGAAAATCGATACGACGACAAGTTCATGGCCCAAGGACGAATATTTGTAAAACTTTTCTCGGCGTCGTGCGATGGGCCGGGGGGTGGTAAGGCTTTCGGATGCCGTCTCTCGGTGCAATACAGTCTTCGGTTCGGAGGAGGGCGTTGTGGACTTGCAAGGAAGAATTGAAGGTCGTCTATGCAAGATGGGAATCTCCACGTGCAGTGGGTGATGTGTGGGTATGTCTTGAATGACCGAATCGAGGGCTAGACCGGACGGCGCGGATTCCCCGGCTGCAGAGATTGGCGAGGAGATGAGACTGGAAGGGCTAGTCGCAGGAGGAGATGCATATCAGGATGCAGCCTCAGAGTAGTTAGTGGTGAGGGCGATGCAGGCCAGCAATAATGGAGCAAGCACGCAAGCTGATAATCAACGTGCGGCCCGAGGTGAGTTGAAAGATGCATGCTGTGCCACCGACGCCCTCTGCACTCTGCGCCTCGTCGTTCCATCCTTCTTCACCGTCTCCCTCTTCCGTACCACCACGGCCACGCGACCTTCCCCATCCAGCGGCCTGCAGAATCTCGCTTGCAGTCGATCCAAAGCCTGTTGTCTCCGTTGCCGACGGGCGTCCCGCGATGGAGCAATCAAACAGGGGAGATGGGCGATTGCGTGCATCCAGTATAAAACCCGTCGCAGCCACTGTCTTGGGTCCCTCTCCCCAGCAAAAACCAAGTGCGTTTCCTCTTTTCTGCCTGTGACAGGACATGGGGTCTCTTCCTTTCGTTACCACCCCCTCGGCGCCCGTATCATCGGCGAGCAAAGAATTGATTTGATCGTGTCACGCATCACAAGGAAATCGCCCTTATCGGCCGCGTGATTGGACAAGTCTTTCGACGCCTTCTGGTCCCGACGAGCTGGCTCGCGAGTGATACAAATCGCCTCGTCGCTCGGAGATGGCGTCGTCTCCGTGGTCTCTCATCATCACCACCGTCCTCGCCTCGTCATTCGTTTTGCTCCTCTCGTACATCGTCGTCAGTAGCACCATCAACTACCGCAGACTCCGCCAGTTCAAAGGCCCGCCGTTGGCCGCCTTTTCGCGCTTCTGGCTGTTCTGGGAAGAATGCAGCGCGAGACTGCCGAAGTCGCAACGAGCGGCGATCCAGCGTTATGGTAACGAGACTCCTCAATCTCAAATGTGACATGTCACAGGAAAGAAAGGCAAATGCTGACGACGACTTCTTCGGGAAGGCTCTCCGGCTCGGATAGCACCCAATCTGCTCGTGACGGATGATCCAGACCTCGTACGGCACATGAATGCTCCCGGCTCCCGATGGACGAGGTCAGGATGGTACGATGCCATGAAGATGGATCCGAGGAAAGATAATGTCTTTTCCACGAGGAACGAGAAGCTCCACGCTGAGCTCAAGGCCAAGGAAGCTCCTGGGTATAATGGACGAGACATCGCCACTTTGGAGAGCGACATCGATGCGAGGATTGGTGACTTGATCTACCTCATCAAGAACACCTACAATGGCGTATCCATGGAATTTGCGAATGTGTCTCGATTCTTCACCCTGGATGTCCTCAGCACGGTGGCTTTCGGTCGCCCCTTCGGATTCATGGCCGCGAACGAAGACCTCTGGGGATACAACAAGCTAAACGCCTCCTTCATGTTCCTCCTCGGCCTGCAAGCAAACCACACCTCCATCTACAAGTTCTTCACGCAGCCCTGGCTCCTGGCCCTCGCAGCACCCAAGCCAACGGATAAAGCAGGAATCGGTCCAGCACTAGCATTCGCCCAGAAAGCCGTCGGTGAGCGCTACGGTCCAGATGCCAAAGTCAAGAAAGACATGCTCGGCTCCTTCGTCTCCAAAGGCCTCGATCAGCAACAATGCGAAGTCGAAGCCTTCCTTCAAATCATCGCAGGCTCAGACTCCACCACAGGCGTCTTGCGGGCGATCTTCTTTCTCCTCGCGGGTAGTCCGCCCGTGTACGCCAAACTCCAAGCTGAAGTCGACAGCGCAGCAAAGACACAGCCCCAGGGGAGAGTCATCGCGTACAAAGAAGCTTTGAAACTCCCCCACCTCCAAGCCGTAATCTACGAATCCCTCCGCCTGTACCCACCCCTCTTCGGCCTGAAATCCAAATGTGCCCCTCCCGAAGGCGAAACCATCAACGGGACCTTCTACCCTCCCGGAACAGAAGTCTGCATCTGCGATGATGCGGTATGCAGACGGAAAGACATCTTCGGCGAGGACAGCGAGGTCTTCCGGCCGGAGAGGTTCCTCGAGGGGGATGATGAGGCGGTGAGGAAGGAGAGGATCCGGACGGTCGAGGTCGTGTTTGGGACGGGGAGGTTTCAGTGTTTGGGGAAGCATATTGCGTGGATGGAGTTGAGTAAGGGTGTTTTTGAGGTGAGTCTAGTCCTTCCCTTTTAACCGCCAGATGACGTGCCACTGACATGTGTGTTCATTCTAGTTGATGAAGACCTTCGACTTCCAAATGACGGATCCGATGAGAGGCATTGACACGTATGCGCATAATGTGCACATCATGTCGAATTTGCTGCTTGTCATGAGACCACGAGATAGCACAACACAGGGGCAATGATTGACAGATGACAGATTTGAGGACTGAGATACCCTGTTGAGATGTTTAATGATGATATAGATTGTTGATTTGTTGAGGTGATGTTCTCGCAAGGTTCCTTCGCATTTGCACCGGGAGTCTAAATACGAGGCCGTCGATGACATTGGCGAAGCGGCTTGGGATCCTTGAGGCTGACTTTGATCCATCGGAAGTACATGGAGTTAGTGGCATGATGGTTGGCGATGTCAGATGTGGAAAATGCTCGAGAGAGGACAACATCTAGTCATGCTTCAATGTCCAGTCATGCTGCCACGTCCCTTGTCTTCAACTTCTCAACTACCACCTCCTTCGCCGTCGACCTCTTCAAGGTTCATCCTCGCCCTCACGTCCTTGACAAGACTCTTGGCCTCTTCCACCTCGACGCCGTCCTGACAAAGCTCGTTGGCGAGCTCCATCGTCCGCTGCCACTCTCCACAGCTATAACTCCATCTTGCCAGCCAGAGTCTTGCTCGGCTTGTGATCTGCGTGACTCCCATGCCTTCATCGCCTTCTTCGGGTCCCTCTTCTTGCGCAAGACAAAGCTCCATGTACGCGGCCGCTTCATCCCAGTTGCTCTCCTTCTCGTACAACAGTGCGATATCGTACAATACCTGCGGATCCAGCGCTCCCCCTACTGCATGTGCGAGAGGATCTGAATTCGAGGTGCCGAAGCTACTCGCAGTGGCAGCCGCCTCCATTTGGCTTCCCACGATCAGAGCCCGCTTGAAAGCCTGGATCGCATTCGTGATCTTGCCGCATTTGCTGTATGCGTTGCCCACCGCTGCCCACATCTTGGGATCTCCGCCGCAGAGAGATGCTGCACGCTGGTAGTAGAACAAGCTGTAGCTGTGGCATTCCAACATCTCGTAGCCCTGTCCCAAGCCGTACCATGCGCGGTAATCTTTGCGGTTTGTATCGACAGCCCGGCGATAAGACTCGATGGCGGCTTGCGTGTTCTTCAGTTCGATGTATTCGTGTCCCATTAGCGTCCAGGCGGCTTGGAAGTTGCGATCTAGGGCCAGAGCTCTTCTGAAGTGGAGGACCGCTTTCTCGTGCTCGGCGATCAAGCTGTAGTAGTTACCAAGAATGCAGTTGGTTTCTGGCCTGAACTTGTCGGTATCGGTCGCCATGGCAGCCAGTGTCGCAAGTTTTGGTCGGTTATCAAGCACGTAGAGAAGATTGCTGTAAATTTCCATCCCGTCGAGACGATGTGGCTGAGTGCGGATGAGATTGTCGAAAATGTCTATCGCTGTGGCGTGGTCTCGCGCATGGTAGAGTAATAGTGCTTTCTGCTGTTGGAGGAACGGCGATCGTGGGAAGATGGCTTGCATCTGAGCGATGGTATTGTAGACTTCTGGTTCCTGCAAGAAGAGCTCCTGGCTGCAGTGGATGTGGAAAAAGAAGGCCATGACGTTGCGAGGAAGATGCTGGCCCATCTGCTGGAGTTCGTCTGCTGATTCAACGAGAGATGCCAGCTCAAGCCAAGCAGACCAGTTGAAAGGGTTGATGTTGACGCTTCGTAGAAGCCACTGTTTTGCGAGAAGTTCTGATTTGGACTTGATGAGAATGATGCCGTAAAGGTAATCTAACCAGCCCTGAGAATTGGTCATGTCTTCTAGCCCACCTCGCGCGTTGAAGTACTCTTCGAGGATCGCCCCAATTCCAGACACTTCCTTGTTCGCAGTAGCGGGGCCATCGTGGGGTCCGAGGATAGTTTCTGAGTCTTCATTCTTCCGCTTCTCGCCCGACAGATACCTCGCATACAAAGCTATGAAGAGCGATTTCTGGCTTAGATGCTTCGGCAATGGCGGGGCTTGGACTTTGGGAGCTTTTGATGTCGCTGAGAATGACGATGGGTTCCGTCTGTGTTTGCCTGGCGTCCCCTGGATCTGTATTCTGGAAGGTGAGAGTGGCTGGTGTGAAGGAGTGCTGTGGGGGACTTGGGTCGGCAAGAACACCGCAGCACAGCGATCGAACTCTCGGCAGTCGAAGAATGACTTGGCCATCAGATATCGGGGCAGTTCCTTCGCCTCCAGTCTCGCCTCCTTCCGGTCATGGTTGGTGGGCTGCACTGGTGACTGCACGTCGTCTTCGTCGATTTCGGTGTCTGAAGTGTCGGGATCATTGCTGGTCGTTTCGAGGGAATTCAGCAGTTCTGCGGTCCTTGATATGCTCCATCAGCGGTTTGTGCCAGATGTTTTTGGCACTGCTTCAGCCCACCATTTCGCCGCAAAGTAGAGGCACCGCTCGTTGCAGGCCTGGACCGCTTGTTGGAGTTGCAGCTGTAGCTCCGCCTGTTGGTCACTCGACAGTGCCATCTCGTTCGTTTCAATCAAATTGGATTCAATTCGTTAGCTGGTGTTTGATGGTTGTTTCTCCGACGCGGTAGACGCGAAGTGCTGGCGGTGGTGTTGATGCAGGGTTCAACGCTCGGGCCGCCCGAATCCCGGCTGCAGGAACAGGCCCAAGCTTAAAGTTCTTTGGGGGCAGGAACAATCGCAACACCACAAATCGGCCCATTTCTACTCGTCCGCGCCTGCCCAAACATTGCGACGCTCCTTCTTCGACGAGGTCGGCCCAGACTTCATTCATTCACTCACATCCGCCGCTTCGCCACCCATCCGCGATCCATTACCATCGCCCGTACAGAAGCCCCTCGTCCCACCGCCAAGATGCCCACCACGTTGAAGGAGTTTGAGACGGTCTTCCCCAAGTTGGTGGAGGACTTGAAAGAGCACTGCCAGAAATACCAGCTGCCGGAGCAGGCGTTGAAGTGGTTCGAGCAGGTATACCACCCCGTTCCCATACAGCCAACACCCATTGACTGATGACAGCCCGCCTAGTCCCTCACCCACAACACCCTCGGGGGGAAGTGCAATCGCGGCCTGTCCGTCGTCGACACCACCCAGCTCCTGCTCGGCCGCAAGCTGAGCGACGATGAGTTCTTCAAGGCGGCGACACTCGGCTGGATGATCGAGCTGCTGCAGGCCTTCTTCCTCGTCAGCGACGACATCATGGACAGCAGCAAGACCCGCCGCGGCCAGCCTTGCTGGTACCTCATGCCCAACGTCGGTATGATCGCCATCAACGACGCCTTCATGCTCGAGTCCAGCATCTACCTCCTGCTCAAGAAGTACTTCCGCCAGGAGAAGTACTACCTCGACCTGATCGAGCTGTTCCACGAAGTCACCTTCCAGACCGAGCTGGGTCAAGCCTGCGATCTGCTCACTGCACCGGAAGACCACGTCGATCTCGACAACTTCAGCTTGGAGAAGTACTCCTTCATCGTCATCTACAAGACCGCCTACTACAGCTTCTACCTGCCAGTCGCCCTCGCCCTGCACTTTGCCGGTTTCGCCAGCCCCAAGAACCTCAAGACTGCTGAAGACATCCTCATCCCTATGGGAGAGTACTTCCAGGTGCAAGACGACTATCTCGACAACTTCGCCGACCCCGCGGTGTTGGGCAAGATTGGAACGGATATTCAGGACAACAAGTGCAGCTGGTTGATCAACCAAGCGTTGAAGATCGCCACGCCCGAACAAAGGAAGGTGTTGGAGCAGAACTACGGCAAGAAGGATATCAAGAGCGAGGCAGTGGTTAAGGAGGTGTTCAATGAGCTGCAGCTGGAGCAGGTCTACACCAAGTACGAAGAGCAGCGCGTGGGTGAGCTGAGGCAGAAGATCGCTAGCATAGACGAGAGCGAAGGTCTGAAGAAGGAGGTGTTCGAAGAGTTCCTCCGCAAGATCTACAAGAGGAGCAAATAGAGAGTTTCAGTTGATATCATGATAGAGCTATGGAAAGCCTGCGAGCACGCAACAGCCACAGCACCGTGCGGACGCTGTCAGAAGCGATGACCTCCCCTCCCAGTCAAACATTCAATCATCCTCGATACCCCACCGCCGAAGCAGCTCATCCTCCAAAGCGTCAATCGCTCGAAATTGGGCGGACTGCTGCCCACCGCGAGTCTGCCAGAGCGCCTCTGCCGCGTCGAGCTGTTGGATGGTCTCGTCGACGCGCTTGAGCTTGGCGTACTTGGGACTGTTCTCTGCCTCACGACGGAGTAGAGCGATGAGTTCCCCACGGACAGTGCCAGATGCCATGATCTGGTGCTGCTCTTCGCCGTTAGGGTGTGCGGTGTGCTCCTGCAGCTCTAGCTCCCTGTTTAGTTCATCGATGGCCGTATGGATTTGCTGTAGTCTTCGTGATAGCTCTAGCAGCTGGCCCTTGACCTCGTCGACGGCCTGAAGCAATGAGTCTTTCAGCGTGCTAGCCTTGTGGGCAAGCCCCTCGAAAGTCCAACGCATTTCCTCCTGGGTCTCCTGGTTTGCCGCGAGGATCGCGTCCATCTCCTCTTCACGTTGCGCATGTAACCTGCCAATTTTCTGCAACGAATCGAAGAGCCGGATAGTGCTGTCGTACATCAGCTGCTGCACCTTGACCTCCTGCTTTGTCGAAGAGGTCGTGTCTTGGGCGAGATCGTCGGTATCTGTGATGTCCCACTCGCTATTATCCGCAGGCTCCTGCATGTGCTCCTCGACCTCTCTGCTCTGCTTGGCGGCGATGGTGTCTGGAACATCCTGCATAATACAACCCTCTGGCGGATATACATCCCACGGCTCATCCGTCGTGATCGAGTCCGGCGTCAGCTCATCGAGGAGGTCGCCGCCGAGTTTCGAGGAAGTCTCACATGTGTCCCACTTCGCGGCGGGCGAAGTCGCTGAATCCTTGCCACGAGTGTTCGACCAGGGTTTCTTCTCAGACTTGGTCTCCTCCTTCTCGACTTTCCTATTGATCAAAACCGTAGTCTTAAGCCACCCTCTCTCATACTCTGCGCTCATGTGCAAGATCGCGTCCAGCGCCTCCTGAACCCGCTTGAGCTCGCCCCCAAACTCCACCGTCTGCGGACTGACACTCTGCAGAAACGCCTCTTGAACGGTCTCCATCAACACCCGCGCATCGTGGACGAGCTCTCCCTGCTCCCCGAAGCGGCTGCCCTTGGTGTACACCTGCGGAAAGAACTGGAAGTGCAGGTGAGTGACGCCGAGGTTGCGGGACGCGAGGTCGTAGAAGCGGATGATGTCGGCGGTGGCGTTTTCGAGACGAGAGACGAGATTAGGGATGTTTGCATCATTCGGGGACATCAAGCTGATGTCGCGCTGATATTGTCGGATCAGGGAGTAGAAGTCGACGTCTTCGTCGGGGTGCGGCGCGAAGCTGAGGCCTGGAAGAGGTGTTAGTGTTGAGTTACCTTAAGGTTGTTGTGTTGCGAGACGTCTGACATACCGTGAGAAAAAGAAGAGAGCGCCGTGAAGGCGGGCGCGAGGATGTTGGAGAGCAACATCGTGAGAGATGCACAGGCGTAGTCGGCGATATTGTAGAGTCCTGACGACGGAGAGAGTCTGGAAGCACGCAAGATTTTGAACCCAATTGCAAGCGAAGTGGTCTTTTGAAGACGAGCGGCTACGTGTCTTCACCATCAGCGGGCTGACACGTGAGTGATTCGAACATTCACTTGGATGTGGTCTGTGCGTTCTGCTTGCGCCACTCGACCATGAGGACAGCCATGATCCCTTATCAAGAGATACAGTTCTCTGAATGCACGTGCTGGCGTGTCGATTCGAGCATTACCTTGAGAGGAAAACGAATTGACCGAGAAACACAGAATCATCATGTCATATGCTGCATTCTGGAAGCCTATCTGTGTTACTCCTGGCAGCTAGCTACCAGAGCTCGTCTCTGGTGCTGAGAAGCAGCTACTGTTGGAGACTCAAATCAAGTTTCCCTCTCGCTTGTCTTCAATCACACGATATTGAAAATCCTCAAGTCAAAAATCGTATCCTCGCCCGCTCGCCCTCCGACCTCACAACCATCCCTGACCCGTAGCTTGGCCATAGCGAACCTAATCATCGTAGTCATCGCTATCGTCGTCCTCATCGTCATCCTCATCATCACTGCCTCCCGCCCAACCCTTCGGCTCAACCCCCTGTCCGGTGCCGCCTACGCTTCCAGCCGAGCCTCCCTTCGCGTCGTTCGAGAAGCTCTCGCTGAGCTCCTTCTTCTCTCCAGTCTTCATCTTCGCATCACCCTCCGCTGAAGTCGTCTCAGGGCCAGGCGTCTTCTGGACCTCTCCCTTCTCGCCGCCCTCAGCAGCAGCTTTCTTCGCAGCTTTCTTCGCCGCCAACTGCCTGATCTTCTCCCTGGTGGCTTTCAGCTGAGCGTCCGCCTGCTCCGCCTTCTGCGCCTGCAGCGCCTGCAGTCTCTCGCGGACCATGTCTGGATCGATGGTCCTCTTCTCTGGTACAGGCTTAGAGGCGCCGTCTTGAGTGAGCTTTGGGGTTCGGTTCCAGGAAGACATCATGCTTGTGATTGCTGGTTGAGGTTTCGCTTTTGGGTGTGTTGATAGAGGGTCCTTGGTCGTGGAAGAGGTGGCTGGGTGTGAAGGGTCAGAACTGTTTCAAGCGATGGTGACGTTGTGTCGAAGTAACCTCGAAGTTGGAGTGGAAGTTGGTCTGCAGTTGCAGGCTTTCAGTCGTGACACTTGGTGGTTGTCGTTGCAGGTCAGAGAAATGGAGACTCAGCTTCCGCTGCAGATGTGACGCAGGTCTCCGGCCTTGACTGTTGACGCGACAGTTTGATGGTGATTCTGATGTGGCGGTCGTCGCTTGTGTTTGTTCTCGAAGATCAGGCGGCAGAAGCGCGGCCAAGACTTAAGTCGTCAGGAAGCTTTGACCACTTTCACATGCCAGTAGCTCCGGACGTCACATACCGCTTGGCCAGCATGTGTCGACGTGCGCGCTCACATGTTTACATCGAGAATTCAATCACAGGGTTGTTGAAGGCCTCCTTCACGTAGTGAATTCGCGGAGGTACCATCTTCCATCCAGCCATGAGTTTAACGTCGTTCTCCAGGCAAGGGGGATGCCAGTTCACACACGGTGGTACTTCTTTCATATTGGCACACAGGCGCATCTCTTACTTTCTGCCCTTTCTGCCTCATTACAGTCATCACTGCCTCATATCCATAACCTGCTGACACCGATCCATGCGCTCAAGATGCAGATTGACATCGTCCAGCTGCTCCAAAAAGTCCCACGACCCATTCCCAAACACCTCATCGAAAGCATTGAAGTCGATATTGTCCAGGCTGTCAAAGCTCGGGTTGAAGGTGGAGTCGAAGTTCATCAGTGCGCTGGGTCCCGCACATGGATGAGTGGGTGTCGGGACCGAGTGGGACTGCGGCGTTGTTGAAGACATGTTCCCGGTACCGTTGTAATACGCTGAATAGCCTTCTCCGTTCTCTTGCATCGGCATGATAGCCTGGGCGTTGATAGGTGTTCCACATGCTTGTTTTTGGAATTCTGCCGGGCTGAGGTTACGAGTCGGCTTATTCTTTTCCTTTTGAGTCTTCTTCTGCCGCCGCAGTAGTCGTGCTCTTTCTATTAGAGCATTGACATGGTCCCAGGCTGGTTCGTCTCGCTTGGTTTTGAAGATTGCATCCCAGTCTGCCAGTACAGGATCCAGCACTTGCCAGGCGGTGTCGACAAATTGTGCATTGGTATTCCAGCCCAACTCCGCAACGACAATAGCGATAGAGTGCCACTGTACGTAGCCTCTGAAGTACCACTGCCAGTCACCGACCCGCTCATCGACGGCTAGAAGATGGGTGAACTGGATGATGTCAACAGAAGCTTTGAGTAAAGTACTCCGTTCGTCGGCTGGCATCGCCTTGGTGGGTATTGTGCCAAAGGGAAAGTCGATCTGTAGCTGTGCTTTGATCTTGAAACGAGTCAGTCTGACAATCCCACTCCCTCAATCCTCTTGTCAACATACCAGCATGCCATCTATAAGGCACAAGCAGAGCCAGTCGTACGGCCGTGATGGGTCCAGATGTTGGCGATAGTCTGCTTGTAGCCTCTCCGTGGCTTGCTCCAGGAAAGAAATCTGGTCTTCTCGCACCCCAGTAAGTCCTGACGGCGGCGCATGAGACCAGCTTCCCGATCGTTGCCTGCGAATACTCCAAATACCAAACATGAGGCGGTGGATCTCAAACCTCGCCAGCGCAAAAGTCATCTCGGTTACACCTTGCCTTGGCTTGGGATGCTCCGTCATTTGAGGGTACAGATCACAGTCGTCGAGATTCGAAGGCAGGCGGACACTTTGGTTTGCCATGATGCTGGTCACTCTGGACTCGCCTTCTTCTGCCGTTCTGTTTTCCAATCCGCAGATATGGGACCAGAGACGACGACGATATTCCGTCTCGAATGGCGAATACCGTCCCTCGATATCTTCATGAACTCCCATCATTTGAGCTGATCGTACCGCCAAGCCGAATAAGGCTCTAATGTTTGTGCCGTCGTCCTGACGTCGGATGCAGATCTGCAAGTCGTCAATTCTATTTTCAGTAACAATGCTAGATCCATACTTACAATGTATAATATTAGCGCCTGCAAGGTTTCCAATGCAGGCATTTCGTAGTTGTCCCCCAATGCAGCTTCGATGCAGCGACCGTAGCGCTTCATGAGAACATCTTGACGTTCGCCGAACCGCTGTCGCACTTCTCGTGCCGTACACGAGCTGACGGCAGCATAGTAGATGCTGAAGAGTAGAGCTTCGAGTGACTGGGGTATCTTTCCCAGGTCATCGATGACAGTGAATAGTGTCTTGCCAATCGTCGGACAGTGGAAGACCTTGACCAGAGGGTCTACTCGGGTCGTATAGATATGCCAGTACTCGAAAATTCTTCGGACTGACGGATGATGTGAGCCAGAGACGGGTTGCGTCCCATGGGATTGATTCTGCGCCAGGAAGGCACCATTATCCAGGCGAGAGTCCTGATCTGATACAGATGACTTCGTCAATGCTATCAACGCGTCTTTGACCAGATCCTCGGAATGCGCGTTGAGTCCCGCCCCTGGGAAAGGTTGATTTGAGGACGTGGCGGATCCAAACGCATGTCCTGGAGACCCAGCAGCAGCAGAACTGCCGGCTTCAGTGTGGCCATTCGAGTCCGGACTGGAGTTTTTGGGTTCAAGATACTTGACTAGATCTTCGAGATGTCGTTGCCGGGCCGGCTTGTCTTTCTTGTACGGCCCTCGTTTCTTCTTGACGCCCACCTCGGGCGCCGGGTATACACATGGTAAATCTGACTTGGTGCAGTTGTTGCATCCGTCCGGCTCGCGGCTACATTTCAACTTTCTTCGCCGGCAGCCCAGACATGACGTTCCGGGTTTGTTGACCGGCTGAAGCAGGATCGCCTCGGACATGGCGTGGCGTTTGAGTCCGGTCCTGGAGCCAGGCAGGCGCTCAACGACCGATCATGGCAGTGTGTCACGATGTTTGATCCCGGCGTGTCGTGCGAATAATATCCAGCATCACGGCAGGGGATCTAGATATTCGTATGCGCGACGTTTTGCCAAGTCCTGAACGCGATACGAGGTGCGAATGCGGCTGACCCAGCTCTGATATCCGGGTTTCCGGAAGAGGGCGGTAATATGGCTTTCCTCGTCCAAGTGAGGCTGTCGAGACACTCGGGTCGTTCACGTTTCGCGTGGAAGGTTGTTGGTATTGGAGAGGCGTGCATGAAGTTCAAGTTGGAGAGGCATGTGCGGCGACGTGAAAGTGGGTCCGTCAAATGTGGGGGCCAGAATTCAAATACAGATGATGATGATGCGGGTGCAAGAGATCCATGGTATAGACTTGATAACACATAGCAATGGTAAAGAATGGCCGATACGAGAGACAAGCCGCTCAGAATTGCTCATTGGAGCGCAATTAGCAGTACCATTCGACTCTCTTTGCACCGATGGACCGTGGAGTGTGCGCCTGAGAGTGTAAACTTTACTTTCACGATGTTGGCGTTGGGTTCAGGTTCCTGGAGGTACGTATTCGTTGTCATCAAACTTTTCATTGCTTTCAGAGCATCTATTTCGATAAGCCGTACGTCGTACAGCCATCTGCATCCGTCGCGATGATGTGAAACCGCAAGACTGTCCGTTCTATCCCAGACACCGCGCCGTTATGCTTTTCCTTCACGTCTTGGACCTGCTATCATGCATCTATTTCTCGTAGACCCACTCGTGGTTGGCCTGCTTCCAGCTGTTGATCTCGCTCTTGTCGAACCAGAGGGCGATCTCCTTCTGGGCGGACTCGACGGCGTCGGAGCCGTGGCAGACGTTGCGGCCGACGTCCTGGAACAGGCAGTGTTAGATCTATCATGCTTCGTATGAGAGGGGCATGACTTACAATGGCGAAGTCGCCACGGATGGTGCCTGGGGAGGAGGCGAGCGGGTTAGTGGCGCCGAGGAGCTGGCGGCCGGTCTTGACGACCTCACGGCCCTCCCAGACCATGGCAGCGATTGGGCCGCTGGCCATGTCTACGCATTGTCAGTGGTCTGAGTTCCAGCTTCTTCTTATCGAGTCGACATACAGGTGACGAGACCCTTGAAGAAGGGCTTGTCGCTCAAGTCGGCGTAGTGCTTCTCGAGGTGCTCCTTGGAGGCGGTGACGAGCTTGATGGCCACGAGCTTGAAGCTGGTAATAGTCAGGCATTGGATCCATTGGGTGGTATGTGGTAAATGCTCACCCTCTCTTCTCGAAGCGGGAGATGATCTCACCGACGAGTCCACGCTGCGAGAGCTGTCAGTGTTGCCATCCAGCTCGAGCAGTCGGACTGCATTCTCGTACCTGGACACCGTCTGGCTTGACAGCGATGAAGCTGTGGGAGTCTCAGTATCCTGTGTGCATCCATTCTCTTCTGATGTTGCTCAGCTTACGTCTGCTCGGAAGTCATCTTGTCCTGCTCTTCTTGTTGTTTGTTGTGAAGGACGGTGGTGAGGGCGGAGCGGTCTTTGGGCTGGAGTTTGGCGAATATGGGCGGTGAACTGCTCATCGCTTCAAAAAAGTTGCCGTTGGTGGGGAGATGCAGGGGCTCCGAGCTGCACTGAGTCAGAGAAGTCGCGGGATCTAGTCTTTGCATTCACTTGGTGTGAACCCCTCGTTTTGGAGCACGACTTTCGGCCAACCCAGCGCGGAACACGGAGCATACAACTGTTGACATTGGCTTCTAAACACTCCCCAGATACATTTCCATTTCCATGCCACTGTCGTTACAAGACGACAATTGCTGGGAGGCATCATGACGGAGTTCAATGGCTTGTCCAAAAATTGGACGAGCCTTCTCTTTTTGTTCATAGCGATATGCTCACTTATCACGCCGGCCGGTAAGCCTAGATCACTCTCAAATGCTATATATACACTTATTGACATCTGCTAGTGAGTGTAAAGCATGAAAACTTCAAGACCTGCGATCAATCAGGCTTCTGTAAACGCAACCGACTATACGCCGACACCGCCCTGAAGTCCTCCAAATGGGAGTCTCCCTACACCCTCGAACGATCCACGATCAAGTTCAACGACGGCATCCTCACTGGAATCGTCAACAAGGACATCATAAACACCGACCAGAAGATCCGTCTACCCATCAAGGTTGCCTTTTACGAATCGGGAGTGGCTCGCGTGACCGTCGATGAAGAGCAGCGTCAGAAGGGCAAGATTGAGCTGAGACACGATGCCAAGATTCGCAAGGAGAGATACAACGAAGCTGAGCAATGGGCGATTGTCGGTGGAACTACAGTCAGTACTGGAGCAGCCATCGACAAGGACAGCGAGAAGGGCACCACCAAGATCAAGTACGGCCCAGAGAGCAAGTTCGAGGCCATCATTCGGCACTCACCGCTGGGCATCGAGTTCAAGCGTGATGGTGTAACTCAGATCAAGCTCAATGAACGTGGACTGCTCAACGTGGAACACTGGCGGAAGAAGATCGAAAAGAAGGAAGCACCGAAGCCAGCTGAAGGAGAAGAGGGCGTGCCAGAGGGTTTCGAGGGTGAAGTCTTTGATGCGAACAATCCTGAGGGCAAGATTGGAGATGCAGCGGTCGTTGCTGAGAGCGACAAGGCGGCCGCCGAGGATGAGAGCACCTGGTGGGAGGAGTCGTTTGGTGGAAACACCGATTCGAAACCTCGCGGCCCAGAAGCCGTCGCTTTGGACATCTCTTTCCCTGGATACGAATACGTCTATGGACTTGCTGAGCATACCAGCCCTCTTGCGTTGAAGGAGACTCGCGGCCAGAACGAGGCGAACCAGTACGACGAGCCATACCGAATGTACAACGCCGATGTGTTCGAGTACGAGACCGACAGCCCGATGACATTGTACGGCAACATCCCGTTCTTGCAGGCTCACAAGAAGGACTCGACGGTGGGTGTGTTCTGGCTTAACGGCGCAGAGACTTGGATCGATGTCACCAAGTCTAAGACTTCGGCCAATCCTCTCAGCCTGGGAATCACTGGACAGACAACCACCAACACCCACTGGATAAGCGAGTCTGGACTTCTGGATGTTTTCGTCTTCTTGGGCCCAACGCCGCAGGATGTCATTGGCGCCTATACTGGTCTTACTGGCACGCAGCAACTTCCGCAGCACTTCTCAATTGCCTCCCACCAATGTCGATGGAATTACGTGACCGACGAAGATGTCAAGGATGTCGACCGCAAGTTCGACAAGAGCCGCATCCCGTACGACGTAATCTGGCTTGATATCGAGTACACCGATGGCAAGAAGTACTTTACGTGGGATTCGATGACTTTCCCCGACCCCCTTGGCATGCAGAAGCAGCTTGACGAACATGAGCGAAAGCTGGTCTACATTATCGATCCTCACATCAAGAACGAAGGCGGCTATAGCGTCGTAGATGAACTCAAATCAAAGGACCATGCCGTCAAGAACAAGGATGGCAACATCTACGAAGGCTGGTGTTGGCCAGGGAGCAGCCACTGGGTGGACTGTTTCAGCCCTGCTGCCCGTAAGTGGTGGACTGGCTTGTTCAAGTACTCCAAGTTCATCGGCACCGCCAAGAACTCGTGGTTATGGAATGACATGAACGAGCCGTCCGTCTTCAACGGACCTGAAACCACGATGCCGAAGGACAACATCCACCACGGCGGTTGGGAGCACCGCGATATCCACAACATCAACGGCATGACCTTCATCAACGCTACCTACGAAGCCCTTCTGGCTCGCGACAAGGAAGAGGAAAAGCATAATGTCAGACCATTCATTCTCACGCGATCGTTCTTCGCTGGCAGTCAGAGATTAGGTGCCATGTGGACTGGCGACAACCAGGCAGAGTGGTCGCACCTGCAAACATCGATCCCAATGGTGCTGAGCATGGGCATCAGCGGCTTCCCATTTGCAGGTGCTGACATTGGTGGCTTCTTTGGCAACCCCGACAAGGAACTGCTCACTCGGTGGTACCAGGCTGGCATCTGGTACCCGTTCATGCGGGCTCACGCTCACATTGACACACGTCGCCGGGAGCCGTATCTGGCAGGTGAGGGGTACACGGAGATCATCTCACAGGCGATTCGATTGCGTTACAGTCTGCTGCCGGCGTGGTACACGGCTTTCCACGAGTCACATGCCACCGGCGCACCGATTGTTCGGCCCAACTACTACGTGTTCCCTGGAGACGAGAAGGGCTTTGGTCTCGACGACCAGCTATATCTCGGCAGCTTCGGCCTCCTCGCGAAGCCAGTCACCAAGGCTGATCAGCCCGGCACTCCTGTCTACCTCGCCGACAAGGGGAAATACTATGACTACTTTGACTTCTGGACGTACGAAGGCCCAGGCGAGGTGGCATTGTCATCGCCTTTGGAAACAATCCCACTGCTCATGCAAGGTGGTCACATCATCCCACGTCGGGACCGACCACGCCGAAGCTCGGGTCTGATGAAGTACGACCCGCTGACGCTTGTCGTCGTGCTTGGAAACAGCGGCGATGCAGAGGGCACGCTCTACCTCGATGATGGCGAGAGCTTCGACTACCAAGAAGGCGCCTACCTCCACCGACAATTCAAATACCTGAGCTCCACCTCAACTCTCATGAGCGAGGACTTGGCAACGCCCGGCAAGAAGACCAAGGAGTATTTGAAAACGATGGAGAAGGTCCGTGTGGAGAAGATTATTGTCGTAGGTGCGCCTGCGGCGTGGAAGGGCAAGACGGAGGTGGAGGTGAGCGAGGAGCAGGGCGGGAAGAGTGCAGCCACACGCAAGGTTGCGCTCGACTTCCACGACAAGTCGGAGGGCAAGGCGGCGTGGGCTGTCGTGCGTGATCCAGCCGTCCAGGTCGGATCTGGCTGGAAGATATCGTTTGCATGATTGAAGATGTTGGTATAACAAATGAAACGCCGCTTCGCAGCTTGATGAACGCCAAATACCAGCGCCCCCAAAACAGCCACGGTCATCCCATCCACATTATGCTCTTGACTGTGGACTCGGCAGCCTGCAGCTCGCGTGTGCTTAAATACCACGCCATGGCGTTCAGTGGCGGCCTTGTGGTCTTGACGAGAAGATCCGAGATAAGGTTCGTCGCCGGTTTGGAATCTTTCGCCGTACAACAACGGAAGTGTTGGTTCGAGTTGGTGTTGATTCCACAGCTCACCACAGTCATCTCGTTTCAGAAATCTCATCACACAAACATATCAACACATCGACTTTGTTGACTATGCCTCACCATCGTCAAACGGTGGCTCTCGTTGGGCTAACATAGCACATGCGAGTCGTCGTCTATTCTTGCCCTTTCCCCTCGAACGCCTCGGCCGGGTCTTTTATATCAAATATCTTAAAGCTTATTTTTGGGTGCTGCATCGTCTGTCTGTCTGTCATCAATCGATGGTCTCAAACTATTCTGTGGACATCCCAAATACTTTTCTTATCCTCCATTCACCGGCCATGGAAATTTGACATGCTCGGCGAAAGGATCTGTCCTAAAACTTGCGAAAGGTGTCCTCCGTTTCGAAGCAGCCCTCCAGCCGTGTTCGCCCAGCAGGAAGGACTTGCATACCATGATTTGGAATTTTTCCGGTCTCTTGGTACTGCAACATCGAAAACACACCTCACCTCGCATCTGCTTTGCTTCGATGGATGCCCCCACCGGAAAACCATCCATACAGATCCGGCCTCGCGAAATTCGTTCTTCCATATCGTTGAATGAGAGTTGTCTCTCTGCACGCCATACCGGTCCACTCCCGGAGACAGCTCTTGCGTTCCCTATTTGGCGCGAGGATTTGTCAAATCATCCACATGTGCAGGTGCGAGGTTACGACATACAGTGCCTCCCTGTCATCCAACTCGTCTTCGACGTTACCAATTCGTTCGTTTATCGTTTCCGGCGTCAGATCTCGTTTCAGGCGTCCCGTCCATTGGGATTTGAGGTTGGAGATTCTGGTCTTTTTCCCGGAAAAGGAAGCCACACATGCTAATGCTTTCCTTCGTGTCGAGGATTATACGCCGGCTCGCGGCGTAGATTGCCTTGATGCGGCATTCGCTGGTCCATTACTTGCTTGGCTCTTCTCGCCAGATACCCGAATCACCTCATATCTCCCTGTACACACTAATGTAGCCTGGCAGTGGTGGAGGTAGGTAGGTAAGTATGCAGATGAATGATGGCGCTATCTAAGGGCTCCTCCCTGTATCGTCTTTTTGTCCTCTTTGCCTCCGGTGTGGTATGTGGTGAGACACTCGCCATCTTTCTCTTTTCTCACACCTGCCCTTCTCCCCACTTCACGGTCATCCTCATCAAATCTCAGTTGTTGGTGGCGGTCTTGTGGTGTGGAATTAATCAACATCACGAGGGCGCTTCCCTTTCTTATATTAGCGGGTCCGATTCCACAAATCGATTTCTCCCTCTCGTGTGACTGGCCGATTTCAAGTCAGGACCGACGACTACTATAAAAACAACCACATCATGGCCTCGAATCCCTCAACTGTAGATCGACACTGCAGCGGACCTCGTCATCACCACCACCACCATCAAAACTCCTCCAGCACCTCCACCACCGAAACCCAATCCCTCGGCCCAGATCTCCAACGCAGCCCATCCAACACCATGACAGAGTCAACAACTTCCGCAACATACACCCACTCTTCCAATTCCTCCTATCACCCCTACCTAGGAGACCGGCAACTCAACGCCATCGAATCCTGGAAAACTTCCGTTCAGGCCAAGTCGACTTGTCCGATGAGAGTGGCCGGGGAGGATCCTGTTATCGAGGCGTATTTGCAGACGAAGATGGCGCTTTTTCGGAGTTTGGCTGGTGTTAAGGATGGGGAGGGGGGTGTTGGGGGTGAATCATCGCCGCCAGACGGTGAGTGTAGGTGAGAGGCCGGGACGAGGTATCTGGGGGGTTTGCATCCGGCGAGCGTCACTCGGCGATGACGAACAGAGGTATCTGTAGGGGGTGGTTTTGGGTTCGCCTTGGGAAGAAGCATCCTGTTCATGTCGACTGTCCAGCTATCGGAATGCCCAGCACCCGGGAGCTATTGCTCGTCATCAAAGCCCATGAATCTGGCTTGACTGGAGATACCTTCCCACGGACGTCGCCTTCACTTGTGGCCATCTTCTCAGTATGCTGGACAAGATGATGCAACATACATCACTTGCCAATGCATACTGCTTTACGACTCGCCGAGGCCTGTTGGCTTCTTTGTCCAGCTTGGATACTTCCATGGTTCGGCGACAAACTTTATATGGACTGGGCCTCTAAGCGTACAGATAATGGCCTATACGGCCTCTCCTACTCCACACCACCGTCGATGAGTTCCAGAACTTGACTTGCTTTCTGGACGTCGGACAAAGCGATCTGGCGAGGTGATGGTTGTTTGGTTGACGATATTGCAGACCTGGCTGGGCTGCTGTCTCTTTGATGGACAAGATGCTATATGTTGGCCACGCTGCTATGCATCGGGAATGGACTTTTTGATGTTTGGAGCTTATCATGTTCGCCAGAGATCTCAGAGAACATGTCGACAATAATGTATCCCTAAGCACGGAACCAGCATCACCTACAGCAGCACACTTTGGAGCTGGCGATGTCGGCTGGACTGCTCTTGGACCTGCGATTGCCTTCAGCGTTCTTGCCACGATTGTGGTGGTGTTGCGATGGTATACGAGAAGCAGGCTCGTTAGGATCATTGGGCTCGATGACTATGTCATCTTACTGTCTCTGGTGAGTAATGACAAGTCTCTCGTGAAGAGAATGCCCGCTGAAATTTCGTTAGATCCTCGCCTGGGTCCAATCCGGCCTCATTGCCGCTGCTGTCTATGATGGTGTCGGTTCCTATAACAGCAATGCAGCTCCAGCTGATACCATTATGATCGCCAAGCTCATCGTTGCCGTGAACAGCGTCTGGGCAGTCACAGTCAACATCACCAAAGCCTCCATCCTGGTCCAATATCTACGAGTCGTCAATGGCCAGAAAACCCGCATGTGTTGCTGGCTCCTCATGGCCACCCTCCTCCCAGCCACGCTATGGGGCGTCTTCGGCGGCATCTTCCTCTGCAACCCAACAGCCAAACTCTTCGACCCCCAAATCCCAGGACACTGCCGCAGCGCCCAGACATACTGGGTCTCAGTCGCAGCAGTCAACATCGGACTCGACTTCCTCACACTCCTCCTCACCATCCCCTCCATCTCCGGCCTCCACCTCCCACGGAAACAAAAGCTCCTCACCATGCTAGTCTTCCTCCTCGGCTTCATAGTCTGCCTGGTCTCCGTCACCCGCCTCGCAACAGTCCTCATCACCTCCGCCAACGGCGACTACATCATGTCCGGCATCTGGGCCATCATCTGGTCGGCTGTGGAAGCCAACGTGGGCATAATCTGCGCGTCCCTCCTGGCATTGAAATGCCTCGTCGTCAAGATGTTTCCGGGAGCAAGGGAAGACAATGAGCTACCGAGCCATTGTGTGCGTATACCAGAGATTTCGATGTCCAGTTCTGAGCCGGAGTGGACGTCGAGGGGTTCTCAGGTTCCGACTTTGGGGGACAGGGAGTCTTCATCTTCTTGGCTTGAGGCGATGAGTTTGACGAAGAGTAGTCAGATTTGTTAGGAGTCAGGATGGAAGAGAACGAATCCCATATCATCACTTGAGTCTTGACGTCTCTTTCTTGGCCATCTTCGAGCTACATCGTTCTTGTGAGATTCTTTTTCATCGACAGAACTCGCCATCCTCTGTGCACCACATCTTCACCATGATCACCAAGCTGCTCTGACAAGGACGATACGGTATGAAGTGATTGATCCTCGAGCTCCGAGCTCCGAGTGTATCTTGATGGCTGCAGAAGGATTTGAGCCCATGTCGTTTGCAGTAGGTCCGTAAAGCAGTCCGAGGGCCGAGCTATCTATACAGAGCTGAATCCTTGCCCACGACCAAACAAACATCACGTCGTCTCTTCGTTCCTCGTCCCAAAGTAGCTTGACAAGAGCTGCCATCATGATTCCGGGCTCTGTTTCGCGAACAATTCCCAAGAAGCGGCGCAATGGAATGCTCCAAAGCTGCGAGCCTTGCCGGAAGCGCAAGCTCTCTTGTGACCATCGATTGCCAGCCTGCGGACGATGTGTTCGAAGAGGGACGTCTAGTAACTGCTTCTACCACCCAGCACCTCTGACCAAATCAACCAACATCACCCCGATCAGTCCCACCATCTCAGATGTATCCTCACCCCCGCCGACGTCCTACGAGGGCACCAACTGGTCGCACGAGCAGCCAGCCGTTCACCATACACCCCAATCCCAGCCTGCTCGTCGAGAGACCACAGCATTGGATCCTCGGCCACCTGGAATTCTGAGTGTCCCATCAGCGGGGATTCTTATGGACTCGTCGAATCCTTCATCCTCGAAAGGCAGGAACGTAGGCTTCCTAGGGGAGACAAGCTCGTCAGCAGTCGTTGCAGAACTCAACAGCAGCATGGGTATCAATCCGCCGCTGGAGGCTGTCCCAACAGCGTTCGCTCGTGACACGTCAATACCTGAGTCCCATGCTCGTTCTGGTGCCGAGGTGCTTGCGTTCTTCCAGAACATGGATAAGATCAAGGAATTCATCGATCGATGGTTCGAGGACTTTGGCAACGCCTATGTTCTGTTTCGTCCGATGTATCTTGTGTGGCGGGATGGCTTGATTCCCTTCGTACAAGACATGATGAACGATAGACGCCCAGACCGCCTTGAGAGGAGATGCCACATGATCTGGCGAAACACCCAGCAGCCACTCCAACACACGGGCACCACATCATGTCGAGACTGGGCACTCCAGTCCACCGGAGAGAACCTCCGATGGGAGACGTTAGGACTGGTCCTGTTCATCGTCAGTGCTTTGGCCGCTACTCTTCCAGGTTGGGACTCGGCCTTCAAGACCAGCGATGGTGCCTGGGAGAAGAAGACTTTAATGAGGACAATGTTGCATCTGATCAACGCATGCGTGGACCTGACCAAAGCATGTGGCAGTCGAAATGATCTCACTGCAACACTCTTGTACGAAAGGATCATCGCGACCGCCTTTGTGCATGGGGACACGGCGAGCGAGGTCTGGACATCGTTGGGGGAATCCTGTGATAACGTTGTGCTGATGGGGCTTCACCTCGAGACAAAACTGGATTCTCACACACCTTTCTTCCTTTACGAATTACGTCTGAGGCAGTTCAATGCCGTCTACCTGATGGACAAATTTCTGGCGACCTTCATGGGCCGCCCGCCGCATATCAGCTACCGTTACTCCGTCTTACAATCTCCACATGATTTGACCGACGAGGAAATCTGCGCAAATTGGTCCGACGTGCAAGCGGCACTCTCACAACTTGACGAGAATGGCTATGCTCCTGAATCCTTGAGGAAACGGTGTCGATCAGCATGGCGGAAGGCTGCCTGTTTGCGAGCAAAGATCCGTGAGGATGTCCTAGAAATTGTCATAGGCCCCCATGTGCAGGATATGGAAGCCCGAATAGTGTGAGTGCTAACTACGAGAACCGAATCATACTTTGGCTGACTACAAAACCTCACAGCAATATTCGTGCATGTGAAAAGCAGGCCCGTGCCGCCATGCCCCCGGTCGCGCGAATGGATCCCGAAGAGCTCATAGCCAACCTCAAACATGATCCACATTATCCCATGATAGGTCGTGGCACCGAATGGCGACCACATGATGTGCTCTGCTTCCTCAGCGTCCACGTGGCGACCCTGCACGCCGACTTCCTCATCGAACGTGCCGTGGTGAATCGATTCCGCACCCACTCGGGCAAGATGATAGAGGCGGCGAAGCGTCTGTTTAGTCTGGTGCTCAAAACTTGGGGGATCAAAGACTATCTCTTTGAGTTCCAGCTTGACTTTACGGATATGCTGGCTTTTTATGCCGTGCCGCCAGCTGGTGTCCTGGCCATGGAAATGCTGAAGCGTGATCAGATCAATGATCCCAATGACACTCTCCCCCGTTCTGATACACTGCAGCAACTCTGCGTGCTCGTACCCATGCTGGAGTCCGTGAGGCCAGACGAGGGCAACTACTCCATCTGCAATATGGGCCTCAACGCCATCCGCAAGGTGCTCGATCGATTACTTTCCAAGCCACGAAATTCGGTCGTGCTAGATACCGGCCATGAGTTCCTCGACAATACGCATTTTGGCGCCAATATTGGCAATGATGCAGACTTTTTGCAGTGGCTGGGGACGGTGGACTTTGATGCGAACGCTTCCTGGATGGATCCTTCTCCTGCAGTTTGTTATACGGATAGTTCGGATTTGGTCATGCATGCGGCGGCGAGTGTATGAGAGATGCAAGTGGGATGTCGATCTCACGATCAAGCGCAGTATCAGTCGAAGGCTTCAGCAAAGAATGAGGTGAGTTCTGAATGTTCAACACAAGTGACGGATGCACGACTAACATCAAAACAGCCCTTCTCAAGCTATCCAGAACCACACTCGTTCGACCCAGTTCCTAGGCTGTCGCACCGGCCAGAGCGGTTCTTGTCGATCAATCTCGGCCTTGCCACTCCAAAGATCCATGTCCTTGAGCTTGACGATCTCCGTCCTCTTGACAAGTTTGTATCCCAGATACAACGCCAGAAAGATCGGGATGTCGATGTAAGGGGGAATAAAAGTCTTTGCGCTGAACTTGCCCGGGAAGAAAGCGTCGTATCCGTTGAAGAAGGCGACGATGGCGCAGAAACATAGTCCAAAGTAAGCCAGGAAGGGTTGGAACGGAGCTTTCCACAGCAATGAGGTTCGGGCGATGTTGTTGTGACGCAGGCCGTAGAAGAAGCGGAGGTAAGTGATGCAGATACTACCCCAGACCATGAGCGTAGACACAGCGCTGATGTTGCTGAACCAGAAGAAGACGTTCGCGGAGCCACTCGAGACGTTGAGATAAGCAAGCAAGCTGATTAGTGCAGTGGCTGCGACACAAGCGTATGGTACTCCGAATCGCTCGTAGGTGAGGAATTTGGGACCTTTGCCGTCTAGTGCTGTGGCGTAGAGGATTCTCGTGGAAGAGTAGAAGAAGGCGTTGCCGGCACTCCATGCGGAGGAAAGGATTACAGCGTTGATGATGTGTGGGAGGGCGGGGATGCCTCCATTCACGATGGCGATAACGAAGGGACTGGCTGCTGCTCCGGGAGAGCCTTGATCGATAGCGTTGAGGAGGCGTGGGTCTTTCGAGGAGACGCACATTCCGACGAGGAAGATGGCTAGTACGTAGAACTGGGTATTCTCATCAGTACAGAACACTCCCGAGCTGAGGAGATCCACTTACAATCAGAATCCGCCAAAACACCCGCCTCACAGCCTTGGGGATGTTCATCCTTGGATTCTCCGTCTCCCCGGCAGCGATGACACACATTTCACTGCCGCCATACGCAAACGTCGCTTGTATGAAGACTTTCCAGAAGGCCAAAAATCTTCCAAGCGCCCCCGTCTCAAGATACTCATTCATCGGCCCAGGATGGTCCCAATACCTAAACCCAATCCGATCACCACTAGGAGCACCACCAAGATCGATAATCAACATCAACAAGATGAGGCCAATGATCGTGGTCAATTTGATCGCTCCAAACACAAACTCCGCCTCGCCATAGAAGTTCACTGGGAGGAGATTCACCAGAATCATCGGAATCGTCAAAACCGTAATCCACACCGCATTCGACACTCCATTCGGCCAGAACCCAATGATAATCGCAGACGCCGTCGTCTCAATGGGAACCCCAATAGCGAGTTGATACCAGTAATTATACCCCAACACGAACCCCAGCGCCGGGTCCACGAACCGCGCAGCGTAGACGGGCACCGCGCCGGGGATGGGCAGGTACGTCGCCATCTCGCCCAGGGAGTTGATGACACAGTACAGGTTGAAGCCCGTGAAGAGGTAGGCGAGGAAGGTCGAGAGGGGTCCTGCGAGGGAGAGAATCTGGCCGCTGCCGACGAAGAGACCCGTGCCGATGGCGCCGGAGAGGGCGAGGAATTGGATGTGGCGGCTTTTGAGCTTGCGGTCGAGGGTGCCGATGTTTTTGTTCTCGTCGTGCGTGGCATCTTCTTTGAGGTGGCTGATGTCGTCGTAGGGGGTTGAGGAGGTGGTGGTTATGTCGGTTTTGGTGGTGGCTTCGAGGTCTTTGGTGTCCATCTTGTCCGCCGCGTACCGTCAGAGTGACAGAGAGTGTGTATCTGTGAGGGTAACATGAAGTCCGGGTACATATCTATATTGTACAGGTGAGATCTCCAGGTGTGGAGGCATGACCCGAAGGATGTATCTTGCATGCAACCCAAGCAAGCTACGCTGCGACGCTGGGCAATGATCTCCGCTTCCTTTGACCTAGGTTGGCCGAGGGAGGTGGGCGGCCAAGAGAATACCTGCTACTTCACTTCGTGGAATGAGATTTCTTTATAGATCACGCTGCGGTAGTGAGAAAGGTCAGGTGATGAGCAGGTAATTGACTGATAAGGGATACATGGGGAAAGAGATATTAGATGTACGACTTAGACATGTATACTCTACGACGAAGCTAACAACTGCACAGGACATCTCCCGTACTTGTGAGTTCTTTCTCGCTCCTGAGTTTGACGAAGAAGTACCCTATTGAGCGGGTGGTCTATACCATGATGCTCTGATGTGCCCTCCAGCTGCCCCCTGGTTGTAGCCATACCAGCTTCTCGATCGTTCTCTTCAGAACTCATACCGCAGCAGTCCCTGAACCCTATCGAAGTCCGCCAGAATCGACTTCAGAGCTTCTCCAGGATCATCCACGCAATCAGCCGCCTTCTCGTACTCCTTCTTCTTCTCCACAACCTCCAACAGTCTCGAAGCTAGGATTCGCAGAGTCTCCCTCGAAGGTCCCTTTGCCACCAGTTCGAGCAGTCGGCGCTCTATGAGGTTGATGAGCTTGTCCGTGTCGCAGCCTTTCAGTGGATCGGAGACGTCTTGGTCGTGACTTGTGTGTTTGATGGCGACGGTAAGCGGGGATGTGGTGGTGGTGGTGGTGGTGGCCAAAGGACAAGCGTTGCTGCCTTTTCCGTGGTAGAATCGGAATAGGTCGTTGATTGAATCGTGTAGCTTGAGGATGAGGCGGGAATCCTCAGTGGAAAGCGACATGATGACGCCTTCGTGTGCGAGCACCTTGACGCACTGAATGCGCTCGTTCATCTTGCTCAGGGGGCCGGTCGCATCGAACTAAAGTATCCTTATGTCAGCGGCATGCGACTTCATGGAGTCGAGGAACTTGCGGCAGGTATCGGGCGAGCGATGTAAGATAGAGTGGCGGCTGCTGATGATCCAAAAATTCTCAGGGCGTCCGCAGTGTGCAGCGCTAGCGTGAAGAAGCACAGCAGCATGGCGAACAGCATCTTGATGGAGCGCATTCTGGATGCCCGCGAAAGATGCGACTTGATGGCGATGCTTCGCAGTCGAGGGACTGGTGTCTTGCGCGTTCAAGGAGGAAGGCCAGCATCTCGCTTTGAAGCGGAAGTCTTGTCGTGGCTTGCAAGTCCGTGCACCTTGCGTCATGCTGAATTCATTCACTTACTTGGTCCGAGCGTCGGCACGTGTGCGATAAATATTCCCCAGCGTTAAACTCCATTAGTCTACTCCGCGTCACACACATGCCTGTGATACTTACAGCAGCATTCAATATTTTGGGTCGGCTTTCATCATTTAAGGCTTTATTGAATGACTCTCAGGAATTTGCTGGCTTTTGAACCGATGACGTTGCCACTCCGAAAGGCATTCGATCATGGCAGGTCGGCAAACAATGATGTCTATACAGTCTTCCCCCTATCTTCTAGACCTTTTCGACACATCGAGCACTCCCACCACTCACAAGTCCCCCGTATAGGCCTCACGACCTCCACAATCGCCTGATCGTCGTCATTCATCTCTTGCACCATGGCCAACAGCATCTGTCGCAGCACCTTCGCGGGACTCCGACGATACTCTGACTCGAGCTCCACCGACGCCCATTGACCGCGAGATCTGCTCGCTGCTGATTTTGCAGTGCTGACCTGACAAGATGGCGGATGTAGTCCTTCAAGATCTTGTCGCTTTGCTCACAGATCTTTTCGTCGTCTTTTTTCTTGGAGTAGGTCGATCTTTTCCATCGGAGAGACATATGAGGGCGCTCGTGCGATTGTTTGGGGATCGGTATCTGGAGGTATCTTTAAAAGTTCGGGCCGTCTGCGAAAGCTGCGTGGGAGGTATGAAGAAGTGCTTCGGTGTCGTTTGAGCTTGTTGGATTCTGACGATCCAGGATGAATCGTATCGATCGTTCCAGATGTTTCATTGCTTTCTCGACGTGTTTGTCGAAACTGTATGTCGGATGGCGGTTCATTGACGATCTCACTGTCCTCGGGACTTTCAGGTATCCCGTCGAGCCATCTTTCTATGGAGGCTCGCCTTGAGGCTGATAGCTGCTCAGGATATGACTCTGGCTGCAGTTTCGGCTGTCTGAGTGGTTGCGGCTGTCTGAGTTCGATCGGGGGCGTTCTCGTCCAGGACATCGCATTACGCATAAGGGCAAGTCTAATACAAAGAATGGCATGGCTAAAAATATGATGCCTTTATAAAACCACAGACGTAGAATCCATGGTGAAGTCTTCGTTCTAACGAATGGTTTCGTGAATGTCACCCAGTTGCACATTCCATTGTGCGAGAAACCACGGTGAAGAAGACATTGCTGCGGAGCGGACATAACGCGGGACTACTCTAAAACCATGCACTCAAGTGCAACACATTTCAGAAGGATTCGGTGAAGAGCTAGGGTTGTGCAATCATCAGCTTGACAAGCCTCAGCCTTTTGATTCCGAAACGATCCTCTAGCAGACACTATAGCGCCGACATCGTCTCGCCACACCTCTAATCACAACCTATGTATATCCACTGCACACATCCTGAAACACATTGTTATCCAAATCCGCCGCATTCGTAGGAATATAGCCCAAAGACGTCGCATCCGAATACGTCCAACGAGGATCATTCAACTGCGTCTTCCACGTCCAGAACATCCAACCTGACATTCCAGGAACCTCATAGAGCTGTTGCTGTGCAGTAAAGAGCTTTTGGAAGAAGGTCTTGTCGTTGGGGTCAACTCCTGAGGTCATGCTCCATTCGCCGGTGATCAGGAAGTCTTCGCCGCTGACGAGGCGGGAGTCAGTGCAGGCACTGTGTATCAGTTGGTATTGATCGCTGGTACTCTGAAGTGCGAAGCCGATGTAGTTGTGGTCATCGTAGCTCGTCATCTGGTCATTCTGTACAGCTGAAGTCGATCGTGGATCCCCTGACAGCCACTTTTGAGACATGAACTGTACATGTAGACGTTGCGAGCTGGCGATGTTGAGGTTGTCTTCCGCGGATCGTACAGCCGCAAGGGCTGCTGGGTAGTATGTCTGGACTAGGCCGGGGTCTTCGCCAGGAGCTGGATAACGATTGCTTCCGTCTGAGTTCTTGTCGTGCATTGAGACTGGCTCGTTAAGGACTTCGATCATTCCCACTGTACGATACGCTGAGTTGGTATGGATTCGATTTGTCATCCAGGATAGCCATTGCTCTGCACGGCCGTAGTTGTAGTCGTTGAAGAAGCCTGCTGGGTGATTGTTTTGCCCGGTGAAGATGTCTTCTTGTTGACCACCAGGAGCGCCATGGAAATCAATAACTACATACATGCCGTTCTGGGCGGCCCTTTCGACGACGGCGTCCAGATAAGGCAGCATTCGATCGCCGTCTGCGAAAGGCTCCGAGGACTGATCAACAATCTCGGTGTAGGACCAATACCCAATGGGAATGCGAATTGTGTTCAGGCCGACATAGTTGACTGAGTCGACAGTATCGGGAGTAATCCATGAACTCCAATGGTCTTCGAATTTCTGGTTGCCGGTCTCTCGTTGATCGCCCGAGTAATGGTCACGCATGCAATCAAACTCTGAGGCTGAGTTCCCGCAACCCATGGTGTTACTCCATTCGTCCTGCATCATCCATTGCTCTGATATTAGCCAGCCTTGATATCAAGATTAGCTTTCTGTCATTGACTCGAGCAAGCTTGTTTCGTACCGCCAAAGTTAACCCCTCGAATCTTTCTGACTCCGCTTGGAAGAGTTGGAGCGAAGTATTGCGTGAAATTGCCTGAGCGGGATGAGTTGGCTGATCGGGTTGTTAGTTGTCCACGTTCTTGTAACTGTTTGTAAACGTGTGTTGTGTTGAAAGCATCCAGATCGCGGTCGATGCCGGGCAACCAAGCGTAAACGCTATGTGCTAGAAATACGAGGCCAAAGATGACCTTCATCTTCTCTGCTTTGCGGTAGAATGAGATAGACAGAACTAACGAATCGACTCAGTCCTCTGGTATAAATGAATATTCGAGCTGTTTATATATGTCCACGTCAAGAACCTGGCGACGCAGCGCCCCTGAATCAGGCCTCATCGAACGGCTCCAGTCTTTGAAAACGTTCATTGGAGAGACTTTACGACGTCTATCAACATCCGGCCACGGACTTCCTGAATGAGTCCAAACGCCTAGCATCGTTACACTCCGTGATACTAAAACTTGCAGAGTAGTAGAGCTAGGGGTAGCAAGCGTGCGAACGGCATACAGGCCCACTCGTCTGGACAGCTTAATGTGTAGGCACTCGTCGAACATTGGTCCAGCACAGAAACACTCACAAAGCAGTCTGATGACCAGAGCGCCCTTATAGGAGGGGCTTAGAGGACTGCTCGTTGCAGCCATTCACCCGGCCATTAGACTTTCCATCTTGCATAACAAAGTCCCGAAGGATTCTGTGGGATGAAAATCTTTCCTACTTCCTGATCAAATCCGGGCTCGTGACCTACAAAACAATCTGAACTGGCCTATTACTGCGCTATGTCCCTGCAAAATCTCTTGCCTATGCCGAGGAAGAAAGCTTGCACCTACAGTTCGGAGCTAATCTACCTTCCTAATTGGGAAGTTCAAGATGGAGGTGGCGTGCAGAATACAGTGGCTTAAGGCCCCCTGCATGCACGGTACATCTTCTTGTGACTTTTCGTGAAGCTTATTGCAACCACATCGACTCTCGAGCAGCGGCAAGCGTTCCGGTTGCGGTCACTTGTGCGGACGAGAGAGCCCCTTTATACGTTGGTAAGCAGTAGCCGAACCTGTTGTCTAGCCAAGACGGCTGGAGAGGCATCGCTCACCGAAGTTATGCATTAAATAAGTGACAGCATATGTTCAAAGGCGGGAGATGCACGGTTTTGATGGCCTGGGCATGTACTTGACCGCTCGTCTGCAAACACCTCATGGGCCGAAGGGCAAGACGTCTCGAGGAAATCAAGCTTTACTCAACGATTTGCCCCTTGATTTGCACACGCTCTCTTCTCCCCAATATTCTCTGCCAGCTACTGACTTGGCATTTGATGTTACTCTGGATGCGCCGGCTTCAACGCAGCCTCGGCGGATCTGAGGTTGCCCACTGCTGTTGGACCCGGGTTGACCTCGAAAAGCAAATGGATCCGAAAGAGGATCGCTATCAAGACCCTGAGGGCTAACGCCTCTTCCTCCTTGATCGAATTGCGGATGGCAAGCACCGACACAAGACATCCAGAGCCTTACGACTGCCAGCCTCTAGCTTCCGGGCCACGATTTGGGTATATCTTGAAGTCTCAAGCTATTTCCTCAATTCTACTCGTCATCTGAGCCATCTCAAGCCTTCTTGGCCATTCTTTATTAGAGTTACACATGAGCACCATGTGCCTCACTTCTCGCGACTGTCCAGCCCTCTGAACCCACAAAGAAAATGACCTCAGACCATCTTCTTCGGAAGGTTCCAACGTCATTATGATTATAGCGACTTACGCGGATTTTCGTCAAGCGAGATCTCCAAAGGTTTCGTCTAACCCAAATGACATGCGCGCTTCAGCCTTGTCTTCAACCCTCTCAGACTCGGTGTCGGTTAAGAATTGAGACCTAAGGTCTTGAATTGAGACACCTTCTGCGCTCCTCATAATAATAGCTTTTGCGGCTTCGACATCGTAAGGTCTTCAGCCTCGCCATCAAGCCCGACTCAGCGTCGCCTGACAGAAAGACCTGAATAAGGTCTTGGATGAAGACATTTCTTCCATTTCAATAACAATGTCTTTGTCAAAGCCTTCTCCCGATTCTTTGTCCACATTGTCAGGTCCCCACACCATTCACCAAACAATACCCTCACTCGTCCCAATCGATAACACTCAACACACGAACACAACACCAAATCCCAAAACGCTTCACCCCCATTCCTCCATCCTCAATTCCTCCTCCTCAGACCTCCCCACCAAACCTCCACTCCATCCACATCCCCATCCAAAAAACCAAACCATGGCCCGCCCCTACCGCCCCACCCACAAGCGCCCAAAGAAACTCACCAAACGCACCATAAAATTCTACATGGACGACACCAACGCCCTGAACCCCCTCTGCCTCATCTCCTCCCTCCTAATCTTCAGCACCTTCTTCCTGACCCTCCTCGACCTGCTCCTAAACCTCCTCCCTTGTGCCATAAACCTCCTCTGGTTGGGCTTGAACATCCTCTGCACCTACCCTCCCTTCATCTTCCTCCTCAACCTCCTCGCGACCCTCATAACCCTCTACCTCATCGACATCACCCTCTGGTACACCACCGCCCTCAGCACGTACCCCCTCTGGCGGCACGCCGCTCTCCCCGCGACGCAGCGCCTGAGTCATTGGTCTGTGTTTCGCGTGTATGCCGTCTACGCGGCCGTGTGTTTTGCGCTGCTGTATGTGTGGACGGGGGAGTTGGGGTGGATCGGGCGGGAATGGGGGGTGGTTTGGGGGGTGGGGAGGATTGTGACGTTTGAGGGGGTCGTGGGGGTGAGCGTTTGGGTGGTGAGGGAGTTGGGGGATGGTTGAGAGAAGAGAGTGGTGGTGATGAGATTTTGGGGGAGGAAGGGGTGAGGTTTTGTGGATTTGTAGGACTTGCAGTTGAATAAGTACATCTCTGCTTGTCTGGGGATGGTAGTAGTTGTGCGGGAATCTTTCCTCTTTTCTTCCTGAGGCGAAGGGTTCCTAACAGACGTCTTCTCCTTATTTGGCGGTTGCATTTTCGGGCTGGCATTCGACGTGGGAGTTAATAGACTAGTTCTAGCGTGAGAAGGGGAATTGGAAGGGAAAAGTGTAAGTAAATAGCGAACCATTCGACTCCCCTATTTGCTCGATGATTGATCCGAAGTGTTCGTAGAGTAACTCAGTTGACACATACCCTTCTTGAGGGAATAACTAACATTAAGATCTGCTCTCCTTTTCTGAATCGAAGTAGTAAACACACAGCACACGCTTTCCCCATCCAGCTCCGCAGAAACAGTAACAACAGATGCAGTGATAACTTGTACAAGCTGCTTTTCTTCCTCCTCCTCAGCGATAAGAAATGATGAGAGCTACGAAATACTGTCGAACTTCCTCGATTTCCACACATCCTTCACACCTCAGCCCGCTTAGATCATGTTTGGCCTCCAGACCGCATTTCTCCTGAAGAACTTGGCGCTCGTGGCATTGCACGTCGGCTGGAATACGCCCAAATCGTACAACCACGCACCAGAGTTGAACTCGGAGTAGACGGTATCGATCAACCAAGGCTCGTCGCCACCGACATGGCACGTTTCGAGGACAATGATGCCGGTAACTTGCTGCTCGGGCTGGACGGTGCCCGGGTTGGAGGACCGCCAGCGGACGGTGACAGTGTCGCAGTTGTGCCAGACGTTGAGGATCTGGAAGGGGATGGAGGGCTGGGCGCCCTGGCCGGCCTTGAAGTCGGCGAGGGAGGTGAAAGTCGCGGAGCCGAGGGGTTGGGGTCCGTTGGGGCAGCCGTTGTTGATGAGTTCGTTGACGCTGTCTGAGTAGTCGGTGAAGTCGGTGGTGAGGACGCGGTCGGCGAGGGCGTCAGAGTAGTTTTCGATGGTTTGGCCGAAGTTGTTGGCAACGCGCTGGGCGTCGTAGTCGGTGAGGCAGAAGTAGCCTTGGTCGGCGAAGGCGGCGGTCGCCAGGCCCAGGAGGGTGATGAGGGTGGCGTGCATCTTGATGGTGTTGTTCGTGTAACGATTGACAGTGCTGGATGAAAGTCAGTCAAGGAAAAGGTCTTGGAAAGTAAGAATCACAGCATGAAAATGCGTACCTGAGAGCGTGAGAAGATAGAAGCACAGCGAACACAGAAGCGAGCAGGCGATGGAGCAGGATGATGAGACAGGCACACAAAGCAAGTACAGGGCCGACGAGCGCTTTATGGGCTCAACATAGGCCTGAGCGTCTCCTCCATCCTCGGCAGATTACCCGGAGATCCAAGGGTGCGGTGCACAGGTACATCTTAATCATGATGCCGACCCATGGCCGATCAGCATCGGTGCAAACAAGGCATGCCCGCCAGCGGGCCGTGTACCAGTAAGGCTGATTTCTGATTGACCGTCCACCACCCAAAGGTCTGTCCACGGATGCATACATTAGTTCCAGTACTACTGCAGATTGTGATGGGTGACATGCTGCAGGCCTGAAAGGACGGTGGATCCACTTCTCCTCCTTCCCATTGTTGCATTGTTTCCGCATTAAGCAACGATTGCAAGGATGGGTGGCCAAGTCCGCATAAGCGGTGCAGCAAAGCACTCACCAAGATGATGCTTAATTCAGCTACAGCATGGCCAGTAACGTGGGTATGGCTGCGTTGTGTCGTCTGAAAGCGGTATGCATCAGCATCGATAGTTGGGTGGAGGTCAGCAATAGTCAATGCAGATTGCATCTCAGCCGTACTGTCCGCCTCTCCGTGGGCGATTGCCAGCGTGAGTGAATCAGCCTTGAAAGCCTCGTACCAGATTCCTGCTGATCGATGTTGATGTCGATTGCCGCAGCAATCAATTCTGAAGCGATCAAGATGTCGGTTCGCGACACTGCCTGAGATTGCAACCTCATTTCCAGACGCTGACCATTTGTGGAAGTTGCGCAGCAGCAGCACGCTTCCTGATGGAATGTGCGGGTGGATGCAGGTGTCGTCGTGGCGACTCATGAAGGTGAGACGTAGGGCGGTGGGGCCTCCCGGGCAGGCATGGATGGTGATATCCTAGACGACGGCGAGACCGACTGGGGTGTCATCGTCAAGCGCGTGGAGTGTGGGAGCGTGCGGGCAAGCATCTTCGGCCTTTGACGTTGGAGAACCGAAGTGCGTCGCTTGGAGGGAGAGAGAGAGGCATCAACACCACAACACAGAGGTCCTGAGAAGAGGCTTCCAAATGGCCTGACTCCTGGAATGTGTATTGTTATTGCAGTCAGCACCCACACAGCAATAAGCGCATATTGTCGCCATCCATTGGGTCAGTCGTGCGGTGGCGGTGGTTGCACAGCGTTCAAGCAGAGAAAAGGGTGTCGTCGTGCTGCACCCACAATTCGTCGCCCAGAAAGGACAAATTCTCCTAAGCTGAACCCAAGCGATGCTTGTCCGCAGCTTGCATGATGCAGCCAAGTTTGGCTGAAAGGAGCTTCGCTTCGTTGGTGGATGGCGATGATGATGGAGGCCGTGTTCGCAGGTGCATGGTCCCAGACAGGGGTATTCGCTCGCGACTCGGCCAGGAAAAAGCCGAACAGCAGTCCAAAAACTTGCTTCGTCCTGCTTGTTGACTGCCCACGTTATTCTCGATCTTCGTTCGCATCCACCGCGTGCCTCAGCCAAACGACTCCGAACCAATGCGCTCACGAAACGTGTTGAAGCCACTTCGTCCGAGGTCAAGGACATCCCGTCTCGCACAAAGCGGTGAGATCATTTTCGGTATACTGCAGTTTGGAAGGTGCGAAGTCAATCAGTTATCGCCGCCGCGAGTCGACTATAGTTTTGTCGAGATGAGAAAAGAGACAAGATAGGAGGATGAAACATTGATGAGGTGGGCTTTGACTCGTCGTGTTTGGTGAGGGTTGGGCAGGATCGCTCCTGCGGATCTGGAAGGATTCTGGCACGTGACTATGTCAGGTGACCAGGTCTAAACAACGTCTCTGATCCTCCTGTCTCTCTCTATCTGTTCTACGTCTAGTACTGATTCACTCAAATGCCACGCTGGAGCGAGTAGTTTCAATCAGACAAATGGCAACATGGCTCTCAAGTTTGCACGACGCTGAAGGCCTTGACGATTGGTAGCGAGGGCAATCTGGAGCACTTGGCGAGGATGGCTGCGTGTGGGCCGGAGGCTGCTGTTGGGTGCTGTCTTCTGGTATGGTGAAAGTTCGGCGCGTGTCGCTTGGGGCTGATTGTTCGGGCAGGCTGATGATGTTTAGGATGGGCTTCGTCGATGCGGTCGGATTCGTTGCTCTGGGGTAAGAAAGCAGACTTGCAAACATCACATGCACAATCCGTAAGTGACCGATTCTCTTCTTTCTCAAGTGATCTTCAAAGGAAATCCAATGCCCATCATCACAGTTTACGTCGTTCCTTTTATCCCAAAGCTCGAGGCTTGTTTTGTTGAATCTGCAACCGTTCGCCCTCCCAAACCCATCGTCCAACCTCGTATCATCATCTTCGTGTACTGAGAGCGAGAACGTCATCCGCTCATTATTAATGCTTTCTGTCGACTGCAAGCCTGATGCTCGGCATCGCTCACTTGAAAAGCCCGTGGACAAAGCCGCATAGAAGCATGGGTATCACCGCGATAAACCAGAAAATCCAGACAATGCCAACTGCGAGATAGACTCGCGCCATGTTGGCCCATGTGGCGTAAAAACCCTCTCGCTCCTTTTGCTCGGATGTCTTGAGAGGGTGTGATCGCAAGGCAGCGGCGAGTTGGAGGGCCACCTTGTTGTTGATCTTATCCCATGTGGTATCAAGCGCTTGCTGGCGAGCGTTGACGACCATCTCCTTGCGAAGCTCTTCGTTGGTGGCAAGCTCACGAGCATAGTCGGCGAAGGTGTCCAAGTCATGAGGAGCCACAAGGTATCCTGACTTGCCATGCTTGACAGTTTCCGATGGGCCGCCCTCATCACGAGCAATGACTGGCACACCAGAAGCCATCGACTCCAGGACGACCAGTCCAAAGGTCTCGGTGATGGAGCAGTGGAGGAAGACGTCGGCTGCAGCATAAGCACGAGCCAGGTTCACACCTCGCAGCATGCCAGTGAAGAAGACCTTGTCGCTGATGTTCTTGAAGTAGCCGCGCACCTCGTTCATGACATTGGGGTTCTTGTTGCCACCGACGATGAGGAGCTTGAACTTGAGGCCGCTGTCGCTCAGCTTCTCGGCAGCTTTGGCCAAGAACTCGAAGCCCTTCTCTGGAGCGATGCGCGAGATGCAGCAGAAGATGATCTCTCCATCTGGCGCAATCTGCTGTCTGTACGACTCCTCTCGTCGACCAGGGTGGAAAAGCTCAGTATCGACGCCACGTCCGAGCTGGATCATCTTCTCAGCTGGCGCACCGGCATCCACCATGTACTGTCGCACATAAGCTGATGGGTAGAAGATGGTGTGCACTGCTGCTGCCTGGAACAAGAAGCCTTGCACGATCTGAAGCAGCCAGACCGCATACTGGTCGATTGGCGGCGCAAACAGAATGCCTGCATATGCAGCCAGATCGGTCTGAAAGTTGAGCAGTGTCGGCGGTGGCTGATCCAGCTGTCGCAACTGGACGAGGAATTGAAATCCGACAGACGCTGGGCTGGCCAGGTAGATGATGTCGGGCTTGAAAGACTTGTCATACACTCGTCCCAGTCGGAAAGGGTAGGCGACCGTCAAATCTGGGTTGTATGGCAATGGGTAGCCTTGGAGGCGGAATTCCGGGTTGATGCGGTTCAGTCGGTTCATCTCAATCTTGCGCTTAGCATCGTCGCTTTTGCGATTGAAGAGAGGCGGCTTCTGCGCCTGAAGCAGAGGTTGCGACTGAGCCTGGTCTTCGCGATCAAAGTGCCAAAGCCATGCGCCGCCAATAGCTCGCGAACCCAAAGACGCCGACTTGGCTTCGATTGAGCGGACCCATTCTTTGTTAACAATGGGCGTTCGTTCCGGTTTTGGCTCGTAGGAGTGGTTCAGTGGCTGGCCCTTGTAGTAGGGAGCGCATGTGGCGACGTGGACACCGTGATTTCGGAGGTAGTCGACAAGACTCTGGGTCGTTCTACTGACGCCGTTGACTGGGCCGAGAGATTCGGTGGCGAGGAGCACCTTCTTGCCGATGAGCTCGGCGGGGAAGTCGGAAGTGTCCGGTATAGGCGGCGCAGGTCGGTGTGGTTGCTTCAGGGCGGCCATAGTGGTGGCGTTTTGGGGGTGGTGTCTGGGCGCGGTAGCTTATATCCGGTAAGGCTGACGTGGGTGAATGAAGCCGGGTAATGCGACGTCGTTTGCTGGACTCTGTCGGTCACAACATCCTCGTCCGCGCGGGTTGGCGAGCAGTGAGTGGGTGAGTGCAGGTAGACAGTAGGGAGGAGGACGGCTGCAGGGAGTGGTCGGGAGATAATAAGTCGCAATCAGGCGGTGGACGGAACAGTGTGCGTCGCGGTTGCGATCAGCGTGCCTGACCGTACGAGGCGCTGACGGTTGGAGGATGCGATGGCGATGGGCGGCGGAGGCAGACGACGTTGTCAACCGGGCGTGGCCAGCGGTACAAATACTCGTCGTCGGGCGCGCATTCTTCGACTGATCGCAGTTGAGCCGTAGATTCGGTGAGGGTGCGGCGGCGGTCGGTCAGCAGCAGCGCACGAGGTCCATCAATTGCTGCACGAGGTCGTCGTCGCGTCTCTTTGTCGCACCTGCCGCCAGCCAGACGTTGATCGCCGGATGGCGCACGTTGACTCCTGATTGGCCCTCGCTTCAGGGAGCAGCCGACGCAGGGCAACCCGCCGCCCGCCAGATGACGGCCTCCATCAAATTGCCCATCAATCTCCCCATCTTCGTCCCCATCACCACACACTACCGCCTTCATGCCCGATCACGAGGACAGCATTGCCGCGGTCGGCAGTCGCATGGCCTGTACAGCCCCTACTGCATGACCGTCAGTCCATGTGTCTTGCAGTATCGTACTGTCAAGCAATTTCCGATGGCATCAGGATACGTATAGCATGAGGAGTACCACTTGCTAAGGGCCTTCGCTTGTGTTAAGTATCGCGTCAAGTCACATTGACTCAAGTCTAATCGAGACTTCTCCGTGACGTCCTACAAGACCTTCGAGACCGATCCACCGCATACGATCTCGCGCACGTTGGACTTCGTACTTTCACAGCATTGGCATCCCGTGTCACGCGATACCTATTCGACTTTGAAAATGCGCCATCAATCGCATACTAAAAGCAGGAGGGGTGGGGAGCAACATAAGAAGGGAAGAGCTGTTGATCTTTGGGCTCCAATTCCCGGAGTGAATCTGTGACTTGTCTCTAAAGAGGATGCGTGACGTTGAATACAAGAGCAGTGATGTGATTTAGAACATGAAACAAAGCTGTCGCATATTCGTATCTCTCAAACGCTCAAACGACTGTCAAAATGCAAGGCAGATACGGATATGATCGCTGGCGAGTTAGTGATGCAATGGCGAGCCAAGGCACAGAATCGACGTCGAGAAGGCTGACGGAGAATGGGAACACAGCATAGCCACCAGCAACAAGGGTCACTAATCGATTGCAGAAGTTGGACACGATGTGAGGCTGTCGAGATTGCTTCCGTTCTGCACATCTTCGCTCTCTACAAGTCAAAAGAGCCGCCTCGCCAACACGATCCGCTACACCACCACCATCAAGTCCAACAAAAAGGCAAAAAGGATTTACAATCGATGGGAGTTCCCAACGACACACCTTTTTGTCCCCCGAGCCCGCCTCACAAGAAGAACTAATAACACTTTGTATTATCAGAGAAGACAGTGAGGCTCAATCCATTCTAGATTAAGTATTTGTCTGTCTTTTTCGTTGTCGTTGTCGTTGTCCGGGAATCGAACACCATTCAACTGAACGTCATTTCTGACCGCTCGGCCAAGCTGGTGTTCGACAAAGACCAATGCTTTGAAGAAGAATATAACGGTCTGTGCAATTTGGTCCGAGGTTCTGCCGGGATTTTGTGCTTTAGCGTGCTGGGCTAAGCTGAGGAGGGAAGGTACGCTTTTCCTTCCCAATGTGTTCCCGCTTGCGCGCTGATGCATAAGAATCCTATGGATTTGGTCGATACAGGGTATGTTCTGAACACGCTTGTCATTGCTCAGCCGCAGCTGTGGCTACTCGATATATTCGCTAGCTATAGCATTGCTTGCTTACCTGAGCATTCTTCACCTCACTTCATCAGTGCCGCCATATCTTGGTGGAATTGGAAGGACGAGACTGGCTGCAGGATGGTCAACGTACCTGGCGGCTCCAAAGCATGCGGCAACTGCAAGCGCCGCAAACTGAAGTGTGGTATGTAAGTCAGATGCGCCGTGATCAAAGAATGAAACGATTGACTGATACGCCACAGATGAGCGTCATCCCACTTGCAGACGCTGCGAGAAATCCAAACTCGTTTGTGATGGCTATACCTCAAGGCCGATTAAGATGTATACTTCCCAGAGACAGCAAGAACTACCGACAACCGCCGGGATAGCGACGCCGGCAACCACGATATCAAGACAGACTCCACGCGTGTCACTTGCACCTCAGCGAGAGGTAGGTCATCATGACTCGACTGATTTGAACGCTACTGACACTACAGCCATAGACCATCCACCTCCACTTCCTCTCCGCCCTTATTCACAAAGAAGTCTTAGAGAACGATGTCAGTCGCCCCAAGTCCCCATCCAGCACCAAAATGCTACCTGACTCCAGATTCCGAGCAAATGGCAGCCCTGGGTCATGGCCATAATAGCCAATGAAGGAACAGGCGTGGCATCCCAGGCGGCTTCGGCCTTAGCTGCCGTGCATTTCGCAGGTCGGTCATCTCCAATACGCTCCCAATCCTAGGACTAGCCTAAGATGTGAGCCAGCCTTATACGACTGCTCCGCGCAGGACATGGCCTTTGCACGCATGCAGTACGCCGGTGCCATTCAGACGCTGTCGAAAAATCTAGTCGACGACAAGATGTCGCATGACGTCGGCAATAATGCTGCTGTGCTTTTTCTATTCTGGTGTGAGGTCGGTCAACTCGAAGACCCGTTAGTGGAACTCATTTCCTAAGACTCATACTATCACGTATCATGCAGATCGCCACAGGAGCAATGAACGGCCAAGCCTACGCACAGCACAACGAGGGACTCGCACGTTTGGTGGAACATATAGGGCCACGTGGACATCAAGGCTGGCTCGCACGGAAGTATGGGAAAGACCCTCATATTCCCTTCGCTGACCATATGTGCTGATACGTACGACTTCTAGAAACTTCATGATGAGTCGAATGAACATCGTAAGTCTCGTGCCTACTCACGGGATGTCGAGCACCAACCTCTAACAATCGCATAGATCTTCTTCGCCCTGCAGCAGCGCCGACGTACCTTCTTGGAGCACGAGGACTGGAAGACCACCCCCTGGGCGAAAACGTGGATCCCCAAAACTCCGATGTAGAAACTCCTTGATATCGCGGCGGACGTTCCGGGTCTGCTTGAAGACGCTGACAGTCGCGAACGGCAAAATGTGGACTGCAACAGTTCTTTCCGGTCACAGCTTCTTCGAGACCGCATTCTTTCCACACTTCACGTGCTTTGCCGATGGCGGTTTGAGTGGCATATCTTGCACCCCAACGCCGCCTGTATCGCAGATACTGAGTCGCACTTCCATCGCACACTCTTGCAGATCGAAAGTCCGACACTCCCAACTTCACTGTGGTTCCGTGACTTCGCGAGGGCTCACGAAATTGCCGTCTACGATGCAGTCTTGATCGTTTTGCTGGATCTCGCAGAGAGACATGTTGGAAGATCCAGGGTTGATGAGTGCATTTCAATGGCGATTCGAGGTTTTAAGTCTCTGAATAGTCCACTTTTGCTTCCTCATCCTGGAATCACGGTGCAAGACGTCGCTGAGGAAGTATTTCGGACCGTCAACTACTTCCTGCACGGCGAGCATCGTGCTAGCGGTGCGTTGGCTGTGTATTATGCTCTTTGGGCTTGGTGAGTGGAGACATCTTACGAATATTGTTGCTACCAGGAACGACTGACACGTGCATAGTCAAGTCACCCTGTATGCCCCCAGCAACAACGACGAAGGGCCAGGCAATTCGCTCTGGGAACGCCTAAGACTCTTGGTACGATCGCAGTCACAGTGAACACGACACTTCTGAAAGACGCAAATGGATGGTTAATCATTATGCCTACACACCGCCCATATAATCTCGAACAACATGATGGCACGTATTGTAAGTCACTTGTCATCACCCCGAGACAATCTACACCGCCGAAAACATCTACTCGGGAACCAATCTCCCCATGTCCCTCCAAAACTCACACCTCCTCCCCCGGCCTCCCTCCCAAGTATCGGCATCCACGACACTGAACTGATTATCCTCACCAGCGCAATAAGGGAACTCCCTCTTTTTTAAATCCCCAGCGACGTACCCTGTACAAGTCGTATTCAAATCAACCTGCAACGAACCTCTCTCCCCATCGAAAACCGGCCAGTCACTCACCACGCTCCTCGACATATTTCCCGTTGAAACCCCGTTCGCGACAAGGCTGCTGATCAAAGGATTCGAGTTGACGACGAAGTTGCCAATGAGGGTTTGGAATGCCGTGGAGAAGTCTGAGGGGAATGGGTGGGCTGTCATGCTGGGCACGGTGGGGAAGTAGGCAGGGAGGTCGGCGGAGTGGATGGAGGGCGGGACGGAGAATTGGTATTTGTAGCCGTGACCTGGGCCGGCGGTGGTGTTGCAGGAGGGATGTTTGTGGGTATAGGCGCGGGCGAGCTAGTGAGAGGGGCAGACTTGGAGAAGCGTGTCAGTGTAAGAGAAGTAAGGTGATGGATGTGTGAGTACTTACCAAACGTGGCTTCCCCATAGATGAGGGTCGCACGCTGTTGCTGCCCCGTCCCTAGCGAGCTCTGGTTAACAGCCGTAGGACCAGAAATTCCATTTGTGGCAAACAGAGGAGCCTCAGGATTATCCGGTGCGTCAGTCGAGGGATATGTATCCAGCACAGCCTTGATATCAGCGTCCGAGAACAGCGGAAAAGTAATTTTCAGCCACTCAACGAGCGCCTTCTCCGTCTTGATCGTCTGCGGCACCAACAAGAAGCCTTCATTCGCATTGTTGCCGAAGAGGCCATTCACACCATTAACCTTCCCTTCCGCCAGCTGCACACTAGGACGCTGCTGGACGAACGTGCCATCCGTCGCAGGTGCAAATGCCAGAGCCCCGTACAGTCCAGCCGCTGACACGGTCATACTAGCATTAATGAGCGTCCTGGAGTCCTTCCCCTGAAGACACTCAAAAATCGGCAGCGCCCCCTCATGCAGATACGGATCCCTCGCATCACACCCCGCCGCACTCGCAAACGCATAATACGACTGCGAGGGAATCCAATCTTTATACCCATACTGCGGAGGGAGGTAGGGCGAGGCTCCGAAGACGTTTCTGAAGAGTTCTCTTCCCGCGCGAGTCCCGCCGTACGCCATGGCGTGCAGCATGACGCTGCCGGCGCCGGCGCTTTCTCCTGCGAGGGTTACGCGGTTCTTGTCGCCGTTGAAGAGGTGGATGTATTGCTGGACCCATTCGAGGGCGAGGTGTTGGTCGAGGAGGCCGGCGTTGGGGACGCCTTTGCGGTGGACTTCGTCGGAGGAGAGGAAGCCGAAGGCTCCGAGCTACGTCTGTTAGCCAGATCGGTTTTGAAAAGGGAGGGGGCTGGGGTTATATGACTCGGTATTGGATTGAAACTCCGACGAAGGAGTTATTGTTCGTGTTGATCAGGTCGCTGAAGTCGTATCGGCCGTTTCCGAAGCCATAAGCCCCTGGAGATATGTAAGACACTTTGGTCAGTTCATGTTTCGTTGCTTGTTATCGACGTACCACCATGTATCCATACCATTACAGGTAGCTTCGCGCCTCCATGACTTCGCGGTGCCCAGCTAAGATCAGCCTCAATTAGCAAACCAGTGCCTGTCTTGAAGACATGTAGTTAGAGACTCACACATTCAAAAACAAGCAGTCTTCACTCGTGCCAGTGTCATTCGTGGGACGAGTGGCCGGACCCATCCCAACATTGTTCTGTGGACAGATCAAGGAGTACTCTTGTGCGTCGACGGTCTTGTTGCGATTCGTTGAAGGAGGTTTGGGAGGTTGCCAGCGTAGTCGACCCAGAGGCGGTTCAGCGAAGCGGATCCTAACGATATTGGTCAGTGGGGGCCGCGATAAGTAATTCTAGGATACAATAGTCACCCTTTAAAGACGTCCAGTTTGGATGTCGCATTGTGGTAGCCTTGGTAGATGCTATGACCCAAATCTGCTCGCAAAGACGAAGGGTCCCTTGTTGTCAAAGTATCGGCTTCGAGTGCGGAGCGGGCGTAAGAATTGGCAATGGCAGCCGCGAAGGCGCAGAGGAACGCAGCGAAAGTAAAAAGAAGCATCTTGCTTGCGTCGACTTCCAAGGAAAAAGGTCTCTAGGAGGAAGTCTCAGCCTTATGTATGGATGGCTTTCAGCGTTGACCATCACAGCCATCACGGTCGTGTTTGGGAGCCCTACTTCTCCCACGAGCTGAGGATCCCGTTGCATACCATGCTAAGGCAGATCAGGTACGGTCCGTGTTCAGTTGTGTACAAGATATGATTGTGACGCTGCCGTTGACCGTAGGGCTCCGTGGATGACTAGTGAAACAAGACGATCACTTCCCCTAAAAGTTAGCTTTGCGGTCGTAGGATCATGCGTTAGGCCAATTGGAGGCCAAGGCTGTGACATTCACATGCGTATCGAGCAGTGCTTGAGAATCAAATACCTTTTGGACATGCTTGGACGAGCTGAATCCAGGGAATCGGACGTCGGGAGAGTGGATCGTTTTGCAGCTGAAAGTCATCGTCCGAGCTCCATCCTTGGGATGCTGTTCGTAATGGGTTAGCCCTTCTCACATGCCTCTGCTTCAGATTCGGCATGGTTGGTCTTGGTCAGAACGGTCGCACTGGATGCCGTCATTAAAGTATGATGTAGTGCGAGGCTGAACCTGCTGGGGCATCTCTTCACAAGGCGCATATAAGTCTCGAGCTCTCGAGGTACGGCGCTCCCTCCTTTCTCAGTCATTGCCTGGTTTGTACTTCAAAGCTTGCTCCTCACATCCGGTCTCTCAAGTACATTGCAACATGGCCATCATCAAACGTCTTGGACAAGGGGTCGGCGTTGTCGTTGGCCTTGGTCAAGAGGCTTATGCTCATAATCAAGCCAAGAAGGCGAATGATGCGGCCAGTACCTTGTACCAGAAGAGTCGTCCGGGTGCGTGTATATCAAGACTTCTCATCCTAGACAAGCAGTGCTAACGAGTGAGGCTTGCATCCAGACGGGAAGCAGAATGATCCTCATGAAGCAGACGACAAGCCACCGCCATATGAGGAGGAGCATGAATTCGTAGCTGCGAGAGACGCAGAGACTCTCACGGCACCAGGCCAAGGGCTACCTGGGAAGCTCCCAGCACCAGTCATTATCCCGCAGAAACGCCCAAACGCAAAGGCTCGAGGGTTTCTCACTGCCTATGCGCCGGCTTTGGCGGACTGCGGCGTGGATCAGGAGACATTCCTGCAGTTCATCGACGGCTTCGACGCATCGAAACAGAACGGGGCCTTCAACGTCCTGAACCTCGCCGTAGCGATCGGTGTTGTCAGCCAAATGGCGGCATTCGGACCATCGCTGACCGTCCATCTTGCGGCGATGGCAGTCCACCTCTCGATCGAGAGTGGCAAGAATCTGTACATCAACAAGAAGACGAATGATTACTTGGATATGTGGAACGCCACTCACTTCAAGCCGCATGGTCTCTTCGCCATGATCATGACATACGAGCCCAATTCCAATGAAGCAAGCAAGCTTTTCGATCTGGACACCCAAGTCTCAGAAGCGGCGAGCATTGAAGGCAATGGGTTTCTGTCTCAAAAGTTCAGCATCTCCAGCGGGACTTCTACCGAGGCTCAACTGCCTGAAGTGTGTCCTTTGGTGTTCCCTGACACCCGTGATCAAGGCGATGCCGGGTCTTTCAAACGCGCCATGGCGTTCACCGCCGACTATTTCGATCGTCGCTCACAAGCTTCATATGCCGCAAAGAATCCAAATTCGAAACTGAACGTGGTTGACCGCCAGTTCGCGGGCAGATACGCCGACCCAACGACGTTCGAGCATAGTGGACTGATTGGAGTACTTTCGGGAGGTGCAGTCGATCCATGTCGTAGACACTGGGAGGAGGAAGAGGAAGAGAGGAGAAAGAACCCACAGCCGGAGAAGAAGCGTGGCGGCTTGCTTTCAAGCGTGAGACAAAGGCTGAGAGAGGGCGTGCTGTATCTGCTGATCGTCAATATGCCCAGTGCCAGTGAGCTTCGCGAAGCTGCGCGCTTGATGAGGAGCTGAAGTGGTTGGCATTGACAGCCAGAAGTTGGTAGCAGTATGTGATTTACCGTTCCTTCACCTTTGATGCCACCCATACATACTGCCAGCTCACATGTAATGGCTCGGCCCAAGATCTGCGGGCTGTACATCCGCTATAGCAACACCCAGAGTACTGTCCGCCTGACCAAAGTAGAGAAACCACTTCCCTTTGAATTGTACCAGCCCTTCTGCGAATGTGACCCGATCAACCTGACCCTCCGTCTCTGCAGGCGTACTGGGGAACACCATTGGTCTCTCGATCCGTGCGACCGGTCCATCCGCAAGAGCTGGTTGATAAGTTCCTCCAGTGACCGGGTTAATGATGGAGGTGTTGACGGTCGGTCTGAAAGCTCCGCTCGGATCGATCAGCATCTGTCCAACACCATACTGCGCGGCAGGATATCCAGCTCGGCCAGATGTGGCGCCGTTGTAGACCAGAATCCACCTCCCGTCTCTGGTCTTCACAGGTGCAGGCCCTGCTTCGATTAGTCGGTTTTCCCACGGAAAGACAGGTCCAGCGAAGTACTGCAATGCGGGTAAAGTTGTCCAGTTGAGCATGTCCGGGGATGTAGCGTGGTAGAGAAAGCTGTCTCCCCAGTACATGTGATAGACCCCTTCGATCTTTTCATTGGTGATGGCGGCGGACTTGGAGTGATTGAACCTCGGCTCCGGTATGTCGATGTCGCTGTACGCAACGTCTTGCCAGTCCGGAAAGAGAGGCGGGTACTTTGTCCAGTTCAGAAGATCTGTAGAAGTCGCGAGACAGAGTTGCGGAGACGTCAGATTGTACCCGGTATATGTCAAGTAGAAGGTGCCATTAACACGGACAATGCGTGGGTCCTCAGTACCTCCGCCAGCTTCCCAGGGCTCGGTGGCGTAGAGAATGGGCTGATTGAGGCGTGTGAAGTGATAACCATCGGTACTCCAAGCAAGGCTGACGCTGCTAGTCTTTGAAGCGTTTTGAGCTCGGTAGAGGAGGAAAATGGTTTCATTCAAGACGATTGCTGTTGGATTGTATAGAAAGGCGGACTCCCAATTGTTTGCGGGGTTGGGCTCAAGGATTGGATTGCCGGCATATTGATTGAACGGCAGAATGGGATAGAGAGGTGCGATGTAATTGGGATCTCCTTCGACTGTATCGGATGAGATGGGAAATGGGAGGGAGTCAGCAGACGCGGGTGCAGTTGAATTCTGCGCCCAAACCAATGCTGAAGTCAACAGACTCGACACCAGTACTGTTCGATGCATCTTCGTGTATGAATGGATAAGAGAGCATGGTTTACAGACAGCACCTACCGCTTATATATGTCGTCGTCCTGCGCAACGCCACAGCCGTGTACCCCTCTCGTCACTGGGAAACGGTCGTTCTTGGCTCTCCTGGGCATGCTCTTCACCGTGAGGAGGGCTGTTGGTGAATAAGATGCCCGAGTTCGAATGCTCAGATACATGATGGATTCGTGAACGTAGGAGGAGATGGATGGAGAAGGTGAAGTCCGGCGAGAGTTGCTGTTCACGGCTGGTAGCCGGTCTCGGCCCGAACTTCAGCCGACTAGCCGAAGTAACCGACCTTCAACAACATCACGATTTCTTCATCCTCAACAACGTGGATATTACCGACCACGCACCAACATGTCTCATCGCCACGAGCAGTATCACGAGATGAGTTGCTATATCAGCTGCGACAAGCCCATGCCCGCAGTGCAGCCGACAATAGAAGTTTCTGCGCTGCTATTGACAAAGCCTATTGAGGACTGCTTTCGGCCAGCGCCTCAAACCACCCGCCCAGACCAGCCTCGTCAAAGAAGATGATATCGACCAGAACAACACGCTTCCATAGGCCCATACGCCTCTGCTGCAGGGTAGGGATGTTTCTCCTTTCCTCACTCTCATACTCGCATGGACGTGGTGCACCGCGCTGGCCATGTTCACCACGCCGTCTATTGAAGACACGGTCTTATTGACCTTCATCCTTATTGACACGGCCCTATTGGCAGCCTGCCTATTCATACTGTTCAATACAACCAAGTCTATTCTCAGAGCCATCCGCTCGCTCTTCAGAGCTGCTCGAACAACTTCGTCTCTTTCTCTTCTGCTCGCTGCTATCATCGTTGCAACAATCACCGTTCTTTACGTGCGAGATCAATATCTGGGTCTAGACGACGAACCACCATCTCTCGAACTCGAAGACAGTCCCATACTGCAAGAAGCGATCAACCTCAACGACTTGCTCAGCAGCTAGACCGCAGTCGCACCCAGCATGTCTTCGCCACAGGATCAAGCAATCCTCCTCAGCCGACCATACCCATCCGCCATCGCCTTCGCAACATTCAGCCTCCTCGTCTCGATCCTCATCATCCCTCCGCTCATCCAGCACTACCGCAACCGCAACATCGGTGCCACAGTGGTGGTGACCGGCGTCACCATCGCCAACTTCCTCAACTTCCTCAACGCCGTCTTATGGCCCAACGACGATTTCGAAAACTGGTTCAGCGGTGTCGGCCTCTGCGATGTCGAAGTCAAGTTCTACATCCTCATTCAGACACTCTTTCCAGCCGGCCTGGCATGCATCCTGAGAGCTTTGGCGAAGGTCATGGACACAAACAACACTGGCTGGATGCGAACCACGGCTCAGAGACGACGAGCGTATGCCATCGACCTCATCTGCTGCGTGTTCCTTCCTTCGCTCCAGATGCCCTTCCATTACATCGTACAGCCACAGCGCTACTACCTCTACGGCATCAGCGGATGCATACCTCCTTCAGATTCTTCTTGGCTCGCTGTTCTGCTACTTCTGGTACCGCCCTTGATTTGGGTCATCATCGGCGCTTTCTATGCTGGTAAGTCCTCGCCTTCACCTCCTTCATCCTGTTCGTTCACTCAAATGCTGACTATTCCAGTGTTGATCGTCGTCCGACTCCTCAAATACCGACTCACACTCAACACCCTGCTCGCCAACAGCAACACCAACAAGTCACGCTTCTTCCGCCTGTACCTCATCTGCTGCATCTGCGTGGTCGGGCTCATCCCAACAGAAGTCTACGTCCTTCTGCACAACCGCATCACCAACCTTTTGCCGTACAGCTGGAAAGAGACGCATCACCCAACAGAGTACTCCTGGGACTCTGCGATTCTAGTCGCGACCCACGGCAAGATCGTATACGACAGAATCATCTGGCTGGTCGGGGGCATCCTGATCTTCGCTTTCTTCGCCTTCGGCAGAGATGCATTCAAGATGTACCGCGAAGGTCTGCTGGCTATCGGCATGGGCCGTTTGTTTCCGTCGCTCATGGAGGACAATCACAGTCATCAATCCGATTCCCAACAACGAGGCTCGATCACCGGCACTATCAACTCTTTCAGCAGTAAAGCGAAGCTCTTTTTCAAACGTAAGGGATCTTCCGGAACCTTCACAGACTCCATGGCATCGACGAGTGACACGACGTCTCCGTCGAAGGTCACCTTCATGGAGAGTATTCGAGAAAATCAGCCTATGCAGCAGAACAGTGGTCCATTCGCAGGCATCGCATCAATCTTTAAGAGATCGAAGACCACCCCCACCGACCAAGATCCTTTCATACTCACCAACATCACCGGAACTTTCCTGTCAAGTGTGTCGGCTGAGCCAGTCTCGCCCACAACAGCATCGCATATTCGGTCTAAGAGCGTGGGAGGTCATGACGTTTTGGTGAAGAAGGAGGTTCGGCAGGCGAGCGAGACGGCAGAGACTCTTCCTTCGAAGATGTATGAAGGCGTTTGAAGCACTGAATACAACGTTCTGGCGTTGCGAGATGTGTACATTCGAGCGAAAAGCATATTTTATTCTCCTTCACACACATAGTTGTTTGAAATCAAATTGCATGGCAGCATTCACGACGGGAATCGATGACAACGATCATCCCCGCGTCTGGACGGTCTTCCATGCCACTGAAAGACCGCTTGCTCCACTTGACTGTCGATGGGTTTTGGAGAGAGATCCATCGAAATTGCCTTTACAGCCATATGATTAATCTCAGCGCACGGGAGGCCGTAATGTCCTCGTGAAGCAGGAGGTTCGGTAGGGGAGCGACACCGCGGAGACATTGCCTCCCAAAATGTATGAGGGTGTTCAAGGCGCAATAACAATTCATATATCTAGAACGATTTTGATGAGGATATATGGCGAGTTGAACATTGAAGGGAAGAGCATAGTCCGCTTTGCATACTCAACTGCTTCGAATCTTAATGGCTGTCTTCGTTGTTGGAGGACGACCATCCCCGTCTCTGAACACCATTCCATGCTACCGATACACCATATCAACTATCTGACCGTCGATATATCGCGGAGAAAGGTTCAGTCCTGTGATCCTCCCAGGCATTCCATCCCATCCGACCTCGGATCCACCTACTCCTCGAAGCTCCTCAAGACAGGCGTTCCAAGCCCCGCCCTCCAATTGCCGGCCTAACTGAGTAGCTTGTCCCTATCATCGGGACTACATCTTTTTCGTCTCTTGCATCATTCAGTACTTGTAAACCTGGTTTGTAATCCCCATCTCCGTCAAAACAGCATCGTCAACTTCCATAACATCAACCTTAAAGTCTTAATCAGAGAGACGATTCCTGGGATACCCCAACAATGCCCCTCAAATCCGACCTCCAGCTCGACGCGAGCAAGTTCGGCGAGAAGAAAATCTCCGAACAAACGAAGAAGTTCAACGATGGGTTGATAAAGGTGATGAATTCCGGACCGAAGTGGTATGAAGTGAGTTAGAACACAAGCAACCTCCCCAAAGGTCTTAAAGAACCTCGAGCTGAGGAAGAAATGAACAGGTCGGCGCAGAGAAATACCGCCAAATGCGCTGGAACGGCGAGACGCCGTACGATCCACTCTATCCATTGCCGATGGAAAGGAGGAACGGGACTGATCAAGACACAGCATGCCCAAACCGACCGTCCTCGAAACAGGGAAAAACTCCACCCTCCCCTCCCGAGAAGCAGGTCGAGATATCTCCATTCGAATCTTCACGCCTGAGAACGGTACCTCATTCACCGCTGGCCCTTCCACCTTTCTCCAGAAGCTGACAGTCAGTGTGATTCAAAGGCCCCTCCAAAGGCATCTTCTACCACATCCACGGCGGCGGCTGGGTCCTCCAATCCGAAGCCTACCAAGACCTGCAACTCGCCTACTACGCCAATAACGCCTCTTTGACCGTCATCTCCGTCGGGTACCGTCTCGCGCCCGAGCATCCCTTTCCGCAGGGCAACGAGGACTGCTTCGACGTCGGCGAGTACCTAGTCGACCACGGGGAGAGAGATTTCGGCGTCCCGCTCTTATTCATGGGCGGGGACTCCGCCGGCGGACATCTCAGCGTCGTGACGACATATCATCTCCTCAAGACGCGGCCGGCGTTTGCGTTCAAGGGCCTGGTGTTGAATTATGGGAGTTATGATCTGAGTGGGTTTTTGCCGCAGGCGTGGCATTTCGAGTTGCCGCTCGTGTTGACGGTGGATATTATGCAAAAGTTTATATGGCTCTCCCCTTTCCCCTGGTGTGTTTGAGGATGGTGTCGTGCTGACATGTGTTAGGTACGTGGCGGCGTATTGTCCGAATACGACGCAGGAGCAGAGACGGGATCCGTGGATTTCGCCGTTGTTTATGGACTTGAATAAGTTGAAGGTATGTGTGGATTGACTTACTATCTACTAGGATGGCTCATTTGTTCTCTAGCTCCCTCCTGCCTTGTTCACATGCGGCACCCTCGATCCACTCCTGGACGACTCGGTGACGATGTCCGCGAAGTGGCAGATCAGCGGCGCTGAGGCGATTTTGAAGATATACCCTGGCGCGCCGCACGGGTTCTCGTTCTTTCCAATTGGCGGGACTGAGACCACCGAGGAAGGGCTGAAGGATATCTGTACCTTCATGAACGAGAGGATCTCATGATGTGTATGAACGTAGTGATCGTAGCAGGTCTTTATGGATCCTGTCTTCCAGCTCAATCATCATCGCTATCGCTGCCGTATCCAACCAGCGGACCTGCTGGTCTGCTTTCCGCGGCAGCTCCACCATTCGGGGGACCTGCCTTGAATCCTTGCAAGGCGGCCAAAGTCGAGGCGCCCAAGATACCGCCGTTGGATGCTTGTTGACCCTGTGCAGCCTTCTGAATGCTTTCAATCCGAAGCGGCTCATCCTCATTGTCAGAATTCGGTTCTGTGTCGCCCGGAACATCTTCCAGCATCTTATGATCCGCTCCTCCCTCAATCCGTGCCTTTTCAGATGCATACCAAACGTGGTCTGGCGCGTCGTATCCCTTCAGCCCAAAGCTTCCATCAATCTTTCTCCGCTTCCGCTCTTCCTCTGGGTCTGCGCCTTCGTACTTTCTGCCCTCAAGCTCAGCCACATAGCTGGCTGGCAATGCTCTTCTGATGGCTTCTGCGGCTTGCTCTTCGATCTTCCTCACCTCGCGCTTCTGGGCTTGTGGGTTTGGATCCACGGTAGCCCAGCGCACATTGAGCGTCTCGTTGTGATCCAGACTCTGATGCGCCATGGCCTCCTTTGCGAACTCGCTGTTTGCCAGATGCACGTACGTGACGAACGCAACGCCTCTGCTTGGCAACACTCGTATCCTCTCGACTTGACCCCACTCTTGAAAATGTCTTGCGACCACCTCTTCGATGTCATCCGTGACATGTATCCGCCCCACATACAGCGTCCTGTTCACGCGCATGAATGATCCAACACCACCCATGTCATCGCGGTAATCGCTGAACTTCTCGCGACCAAAGCAGTCCACGTTCGAAGGGAAGATGTCGCCCAGTCCGCCTTCCTTGCCAATCCTGCTGTTGGGTAGCCGATGAAGATACTCGCAGTCCTGGCCTTTGGGGCACAGTCCTCGCGCGAAGAACAGGCAGAAGTAGCTGCCAGGAACCTTGTCTGCCCTGGTGTATCCGCTGTCCAGCGCGACATTGCATCTTCCCTTCGCTTGGTGCTTTGAGGAGAGCGCATCTTCGCGGTCGCCGCCAGACCACTTGTTATACCATATGTTGAAGATGGTACCAGTCTGGGGAGGAGGTTCGGACTTGAAGGTGGCGGGATCTTGTTGCGGTCGTGCTGGCCGTCGCTTGCGCTTGATGATTTTCGTCTTTTTCACTTTCTGCACGGCGCCGTCGCTGTTGGTCGTGGTGAGGGCGGTTTCGGCGGGCGCGGTGGTGTCTTCGAAGACCACTGCGGGCGCTTCGGCGGTTTCGACATCGGCCATGGTGTTGGAGAGGTTTGGTGTGATCTTGAAGTTGGAAGTCGAACTTTTGAGAGATTCATCTGAAAGAGCATGACTAAGCTCGGCCCGTTCCGCAGAGTGCCACCGACGACATCACTTGCCTTTCGCTGGTGCGTCTCACTGTCTCAATACTATGCTTTCAAGAGGACATCTCAAAGACGCATCATTTTCCTATCGCCATACCCCGAATCATGCGTGTCTATGGAAGTAGCAATATCAAGGAGCATCAAGACGAGAAAATGATCCTACTCAGCCCTCACGTGCTGCCCTGGAAAGCATTTTTTGGAATGGAGCCGGTAATGTGATTGGGCGCGACATGTGTACATGCAGCATACGCACGTCTGCCTGAAAGCATGCCTGTGCCCTCCTGCGGTCATTGTCGCTGTCCAATCCATTCTCTCGCTTCTGATGCGGGCGAGCTGCGGCGCGTCACAGCCTCTCTACTTCGCGGTGTAGTGAACAGTGCTACCCTTTGCATCTCGATCACCTGACTATACCGTCCTTTACACTTGTCGTTAGCACTCTTGCTCACCAACTTTCATCACCTGAATGACACTTGCTCTCGCATGGCTGCTTCCACGCTTGCACGAGCGTTTGAGACGGCCCTTGATCGGCACCCTTCCAGCGCGGACCTCGCAAAATCTTATGAGCGATTCAAAACCTGGCAACGGCAATTTGAGACTTCATGCAGCCATACTGCACCAAGATCGTTGCAAAGTAGACTTTCTGAGCTGCCGGGTGTCAGACGGGAACTATTGGACGCTTTCAGCACGCTCTCGTTCTTGCTTCAGGAAGGTGAGGGCGTCAACCTCATTTATCTGTTGTACCTGTACGTTAACCATGCGCAGTTTACTACGATCCTTCTGCAGTCGACAAGGGTCATGCTGATGCTGAAGATGATAATGCGACCGACCCCGGTGGTGGTCAAGTCGCGCTGATTCGGCAATCAGTGGAAGCTCTTTTCAAGATATCGACATTGGCTGATGAGATTGATGCTGAGAGACACTATGCCGAAGCTTTCCATCTTGATCTTCAGCCGTCAGATAGCGGATATGATGTCGCCTACGTCACGGACATGTACTCGAGCAGTCAGGCTGAGGACTGGCTACTTCGACGTCTCGGACTGGCTATTAGCTACCGACGCCACTACCTCAGGTATCGTGCATTCAAGGTTAAGCACGAGCAGCATGTCCGAGCAGCCGTTTCAATGTTCCCCGACGGGTCAGACAGCACAAGCTCGTCCACGCCCACGGACGCCGATGCCGATGTGGCAGACGAGACAGTCGAACTGATTCCCCGACTCGAAGTAATGAAGCCCGAGGATGGTTTCATAGTATGCCCGTGCTGCCAAAGAAGGCTTCGTTTCGAGACTGAGGCCGCCTGGAGGTTGGTTAGCGTGTGATGTTGATGTTGTTTTGATCTTTGCTAAGCAATATTAGGGGCCATTTTCTTGCGGACTTACGCCCGTACGTCTGTACAGCCCAGGACTGCTTAGTGCGGCTTTTCGCGAGCAAAAGTGCTTGGATGGACCATGAAATGGAGCACCGTCGTGAATGGCACTGTCCACTCTGCAGTCGTATCAAGTTTGACTCGTACCAGTGCTTCATCGATCATGTGGACAGCACGCACCAGGACGACCAGAATAAAGACGAGCTCACTGCCCTCACACAGCTCGAGTCTGTCCCTCAAACGCAAGTCGGACGTGCTGACTGTCCCTTTTTGGGAATGGACTCGGACTGACATATCCCCTCGTCTGTTGCTGCACCATATGGCCGCTCATCTGGAGGCATTATCGATCTACGCATATAGAAGACGGGCAGAAATACCTAGCTGCCACCTATCAACGACTTGTCACGGGGTTCAACGCCGAGTCTCATCACTGCCGCAGCTGCTGTTGGCATTCTTGACCTCTGCGATCGTCGGGACCTCCGTTAGCTGCTCAAGAAACACACATAATTTGAGAGAGTCTAAGTGTCTACTCAGACAATCTCTATGGTGCACGAGTGAATTCTGGCTAGCCTTCTTGCTATGTCGAGCAAACTTCCCCTCTCACCGTTATTTACGCCCTCATCTGTCTCGCACTTTGGCCTTCATTTCTACTCCTCGAGACGACTAACAACTTGATCCATATCTTCCAAGCATATCTGATCAGGCCACAAGACAGCGATGCCTTCGAAAAAGTTAACGGGCTTTACCCCTTAGACAAAAGACGCAAGTATGTCACTGCACATATGTCGATGATAGTCATACCTGCTGACTACTATAGGGTTAAGACTGAGGAGACTCTGAGAGTCATAGTCGGAGAAGGCGAGCAACACCTACACCGTCCCAAAGAGCCAACTCACCAATTCAAGCCGCTTCTTCCAAGCCGGGTGTCAGAAGCGATGGGTCGAAGGCCAAAAGAACGAATTCACCATCCCAGATCATCACCCAGCACACTTCGAAGTCTACTTGCATCTCCTCAACACAGGCAGCGTCGTCACGGCTAATGAAGAACTGCATATTGGCAACGCCGACCCTGTCAACTTGTCTCGCAATCGACTCTATAGGTCTTTGGTCAAGACGTACCTACTCGCCAACTACCTCGACGATCGAAAGAGCGAAAACGCCATCATCGACACCCTCATCGCGCGAATTCTCCACGGTGGGAATTACTCAAGCTACGGCCTAGTCCAGGACATCTACGAGGGCACGTCGTCAGGTTCCGTCCTGCGCCGCCTCATGGTGGACTTTGTCGCTCATGAGCTCCATGTCAACGGCAAGAAGGACAATTTGAACGAGAAGCCCAACGAGCTGCTCGTCGACTTGAGTCTCAAGCTCAACAAGCTGACGGAGAAGAAGCAGCATGCTGTCAGTCCTAGGGATGCTTCCAAGTGTACGTACCATGTGCACGATGAGAGCAATCCGAAGTCCAAGTGTGGGAAATGAGCGGTGGTGTTCGCGGGTGATTGCTACGGTCGAGAGGCAGTGTCGATGAGGTGGGAGTTTAACACTGGCTGTGCTGTGGCTATGGCAGAGTGTACGAATCTCGAGGTGACGAAGCGTTTGAGTAACCATGTCTTGTATTCTGCACCCTTTCCGCTTTGATGCCTTCCAACCCCTATCTATGAACCCGCGCCTAGATTGCAAGGGGGAGCTCGAATGGTAAGAGGACGGGATTCTGTTTCAATAGCGAATCGTTGTGTTTCAGCGCATTCGCTGTACCAATCATATGGCTTCCCCGGTGTGTGACCAAGATGCATGTACACAACGCCACTGATTTCATGCGAAGAGCGTGGGTGCCTAAGGCACTCCTTTTGCCTTAATTCCCTCCTCTTGCTCAGCCTCTCTTGCACCTCACCTCTTCAACGTCGAACAACCATCACCAGTTCAACTCTCCTGAGATCCCAGCACACGACGTCTCTTCCGAAGTATATCGCTGATTCTTTCCGACTATAATGCCTCACTGATATCACACCATGTGGTTGTTGCAGGTGAGCGAGGACGGTGAGCTGAGCCTCACCAGCCACCACGCCGACCATATCCCTCCTTATGCAATCCTGTCTCACACCTGGGGATCGGATGCGGACGAGTTGAAGTTTCAGGATATCGCAAATCGATGTTACCAACAAAAGGCTGGCTTCGCCAAAGTCCGATTCTGTGGAGAACAGGCGAAGAAGGATGGATATCAATACTTTTGGGTCGACTTATGCTGCATCGACAAGACGAGCAGTGCCGAACTCTCTGAGTCTATCAATTCTATGTTTCGCTGGTATGCGCAAGCAACTAAATGCTACGTCTACTTACAAAACGTTGGGACTCGCAAGCGTGATAGCAACGGCGATTCTGATGCTTCGTGGAAGGAAGCATTTCGCAAGAGCAGGTGGTTCACTCGTGGCTGGACTTTGCAGGAACTGCTGGCGCCAAAGGTCATTGAATTCTTCTCCAGAGATCGGGATCTACTGGGCGACAAGCGCACCCTCGAGGCAGACATAGCCTCTATCACAGGAATTCCAATCGATGCTTTGAGAGAGACGAAGCCGCTGTTGGATTTCGCACCAAACGAACGGCTTCGCTGGCTACAAGGACGTCGCACCAGCAGGAAAGAAGATATGGCTTACTGTCTCTTGGGAATCTTCAATGTCAGCCTGTCGGTCATCTATGGCGAAGGGGAGCGACGGGCGTTCGCTCGATTGCGTGATGAAGCCGCTAAAAGTTGGAACTATCTCGACCCCAATCTCATTACAGAACGTGCTATTGGCGTGCAAAGAGTCGAAAATGGTGCAAATATTCCATCAAAGTCAGACGCCAAATCTTTGGACAATCGTGTCGAATTGATGAAAGCTCTCGCCTTCGAGCAAATGGACGCTCGACACGCCACCATCAAACGCGCACAGCGTTTGACTTGTCAATGGCTTTTGCAACACCCGACTTACCTTGCATGGGACAGTGTCGATGAGATCCCGCAGAAGCGGAGCATCTTCTGGATCAATGGGAAACCTGGCGCTGGAAAGTCGACTCTGCTGAAATTTGTCTATGCCCATTTGAAGAGGAGAAAGAAAAGCCGCAACGAAATTCTGATCTCTTTCTTCTTCAACGCTAGAGGTGATGAGCTGGAGAAGGATACTATCGGCATGTACAGATCCTTGCTACTACAGCTGCTCAAGGAGGCCCCAGATCTACAACAAGTACTCGATGAAGTCGATGGCGCAGAAACAGTGGCAAACTACCCACCCTCCTGGACACTGGAGATCCTACAAGAGCTCTTCGCCAGTGCTGTGGCTGGTCTCGGGAATCGGCGGGTCGTCTGCGTGATTGATGCTCTTGATGAGTGCAACGAGAAACAGGTCCGCGACATGGTCGCTCAATTTGAGGATCTTGCAGAAAGTGCGATAGACAGTGGGACCAGACTGCGTATTTGCTTCGCGAGTCGGCACTATCCAGAGATCCGCGCGCAGAAGGCATTGAACATGGTACTTGAAACGGAAGACGGTCACTCTCACGATCTAGAGATGTTCATTCGAAAGCAACTTGATGCAGGCAATGGAGAACACGATGAGCAGATCCGTACAAAAATACGTCAGAAGTCCAATGGCGTGTTTATGTGGGCTGTGCTCGTTGTCGACATTCTCAATGTGGAGTATCGAAAGGGCTGCATGTGGGCGATAGAGCAAAAGCTGGAGGAAATTCCCGATGGCTTGACTGAACTGTTGAGAGATATACTTCGGCGTGACAACGTCGACATGGATGCCCTACTGCTCTGTCTCCAGTGGATCATTTTCGCGAAACGACCCCTCAAGCTGGAGGAGTTCTATTGCGCCATGGAAGCAGGTCTTACTGACAAGCCGACACAAGCTCGACATCCCGAGAGGGACAAGACTCAGGGCATGGCTCGTTTTGTTACTTCATCGTCGAAAGGCTTGGCTGAACTTACGAAGTCAGACAAGCCAACAGTGCAGTTCATCCACGAATCTGTCCGTGACTTCCTTCTCAAAGATGGCGGCCTTTGCGAGCTCTGGCCTCAGCTGAATGGCAGAGTCGCAGACATAAGTCACGACCGGCTCAAACAATGCTGTCACAAGTACATGACCGTCGGCATAAGTGCGTTTGCTCCGCTTGGCCAGCCTTTGCCGAAAGCCACGTCATCGGAGAGCGCACAACTCAGAGCAGGTGTCAACGAGGGATTTCCATTCCTTGATTACGCTTCCCAAAGTGTCCTCTATCATGCCAATGAAGCTGCTCTGATGGTTTCGCAGGAGATGTACCTACATCAATTCCCCTTCACTTGGTGGATTCATGTTACTAATGTCCTCCAGCCTGTCCACAAACATCGGCACGGACCAAATGCCACACTTCAATATACTCTTGCCGAAACTGGGTTTGCTTCACTTTTGGATATCATCCCGCATCACGGAATCTGGGACCGCATCAAAGGCGAAAGATATGGGTACCCTTTCATCGCAGCATTTGCAAATGGCCAGCGACTAGCTTTGGGATCATTGATGGATCCCAATAGCTCCGTCTCGATCGAAGACCTTACGAAAGACAAAGGCTTTGGCAAGGCTTCTCAGCTCAACGTGGGAGATGACTTATGGATCTGGGCATGGAAAACCGGGAATTGGAACGTTGCAAAGTACCTTTTGACCTCATGCAGTCAAGCTTTGGGTTGGGGTGCATCAAAAATCCATGATACAGTCAGTGATGGTCGAGATGCCCTGTCCTTTGCTGCTGAAAATGGCAACGGGCCAGTCGTAGAGTGGCTTGTAGGGGCAGGTGCCCATGTGAATGGCTTTAAGGGTTGCAAAGACCTGCCTCTGTCCTGGGCGTCTGGAGGAAATGATCCAGCAGCGATAGAGGTTCTCCTCGACGCAAGAGCGGATGTGAACGCGCAGGGAGGCAATTATGGCAGTGCTCTACAAGCGGCGTGTTTTCAAGGAGACGAGACGATAGTACAAATGCTCTTAGATGCAGGAGCAGAGGTGAACGCACAGGGAGGTGAATACGGCAATGCTCTACAAGCGGCGTGTTATATGGCATTCGACACGATAGTCCTGACGCTCTTAGGCGCAGGAGCGAACGTCAATTTGCAAGGTGGAATTTTTGGAAGTGCTTTGCACGCGGCATCTAGACTCGGCCATGAGTCAATCGTTCAGATGCTAATAAATTCTGGAGCCGACGTGAACGCACCAGGGGTAGGCCGGGGCAGTGCATTGGATCAGGCTCAGTTGAGTAAAAATGCACGCATCGTGAGAATGCTCAGACGCGCAGGAGCGACTGAGTAGTCGCCATGAATTAGCAGGACCCCGGTGGGTACCATATAGATGCCTGTCAAAATGAGCCTTGCGGCAGAATGACACAAAATGTGTCAAATTCATTCTATGTCCAGGTAGTTTTGTGGTCTCTGTGGTCTATTGTGATCCCCAGCAGGCTGTCGCTGAGTGATTAAAGTTGAATTTATTAGCAAGATTCAAGAATGATACCAGTAGCGGGGGTGATGAAAATGAATTGAGGTTGAAATTCTGTGAGCCGTGCTCTCGGTAATTTTCGATGCATATAAGAAGCTAGACGTGTGTTTTATGTGCTTACGACAGTGAAGCAAACGAGACAAAGGTCAGGAAGACACCAGGAGGCAGCGCTCGCTATCGAACTGGCGGGGAGTAGAAAGTATAGTCCTTGTCCTGTGCCGAGGAGAAAAGCTATCCCTAATGCTCTCGAGCTCTCCAAGCATTCTGAAATCTGGTTTAGGGCTTAGTGGCTATAAAAGTCATGGGGATAAACATGCTATATTTTCCCTTCCAACGGAATGATGAGAGTTCTTTCATAGTCTCGAAAAGAGCTCTTTGGATGTAAGGAACAGCATCGCGAATACACCACCAAAGCCGAGACGACAAATTCATTCACCTACAAATCCACTAGCCCCACTAGCGCATATTTAAGCTTTACCCATCCCCGCTCCGCACTTATCCAATTTTCAACTCAACTTTGCCGATTCAATGCTACGCATCACACGCCCACGCACCGCACATCCGCGTATCGTATATCAACGCATTTGTGTTACCCATAAGCAAAACTATAGACAATACCTCGACCTGCCCACCAGTGTTATGAATCAACTCAATCAGATCAATCTGAGGCACTGATCTGATTGAATTGCTCGCTAATTCGCTCACATTGCAACTAGTTGCAACTGATTGATCGAATGTGATTGCTTAGCATTGAGGGATGTAGCCGTTATGCCACGCTAAAACACGCTAAAACACGTGTGCACGGCCGCCGTTAGGGGTTTAGGAGCTTAACGGCTGCCTAAATAGGCAGTAACGGCTGTCTCGATCAATCTCAATCAATATTAGTCGAGTATTGACTAATTCCAGCTATTAGTTGATCAACGTCAATCAATTTACAGGCCGGATCGAGTTGAGTTAATGAATCAATTCAATTCGATATTGATTGTGATTGAGTTGACCGAGATCACTGCTGCCCACATACACCATGCCGGACACAAAGCAGCCTTACAAACGCCACAAGTAAGGAAGACTTCGAGACTCTAGACGCGCAGATGTGCATATACTGACCGCTTACAGATTCAAGTTCAACGATGAGTTCAAGGTAGTCGTCGGCGCCGACGTCTGTGTCGACACGCAGAGCTATAATGTCCCGAAGAACGTCCTCGTCAAGTCTAGCGACTTCCTCCGCAAAGCTTGCAATAAGGAGTGGGCGGAGGGACAGACCAAGGTACGTCGCGCAATACCGATGCAGTGCAACATGTGGTGATGATATCTGACTCTCTCGTCCTTCTTAACAGGTCGTCCACCTGCCTGAAGCCAAACCAAAGCCGTTCGAAATCTACTTGCAGTACCTGTACAGTGGCGATGTCGTCCTAGCCGAAGAGATCAAGTTCCCAGCCGCAGGAGACAAGTCCGAAGAAGCCCGCGAAGACGTTACGAAAGCGCAGGTCTTGGTAATCGACTCCTACATCTTGGCAGACATGCTGCTCGACATCGATGCCAAGAATGCTCTCGTCGACCAACTCGTCTTTCTGACGAAGCGAGGACGGAGTCTGCTTCCGGCCTCTGTCATCCAGGAATTATTCGCAGCCACCACCAAGGAGTCGCCGATGTGACAGCTCTTGATCGACTCGGTGGCGTTCTTTATGAGCATGGACGACTTCAGAACCCACGCTCATACTTTCTCGAACGAGTTCAAGGATGAAGTCATTCTCGCCGTTATGCAGTCTGACCGTGGACTTGTGGAGAAGGAGCCAGGATTCAATCCTTATCGTTGCGACTATCATGAGCACGATGAGGAGCATCCAGAGTGTGACTAGGGGGGCGGGCATCATACAAGAGAATCATATGTGTCACCGCTTTTATTGAGCTCCATTAAAAGGCCGAGGTCGATAAGAATTCTGACTTGCTTGACGACCACCGAGTGGTGGGTGCGGAGGGTGAAGATTGGGAATGGATTGAACAGCGACTCGGAGCGTTAGCTCGCGCATATCTCCGTAGCTGCGAATGATACAGTTTCTTGGTGAGAGTGATGGCCCTTTGGTAGCTCTCAATGACAGAGAGATTATAGCTGACAAGTAAATCAATGCCAAAGCTGGAGATGACGCACCCACCGCAGCGTTTTCTTCCGAACTGGGTGTGCTAGTTATACTCCAACTTACCATCCAAGTACACTCGACCTCTCTGCGCAACCAATGGGACTTAGTGGGCAAGACGTCTCGCAAGATGGTCGACCACCATTATGACTTGGAGAGAAGCCCCCAACGAATCGCTCGAGGCGCTGCTGCTCATACTTATCAGCACCACCATCATTTACATCAGCCACCTCGCTTTCAAATTATCGGCGGAGAATATCAAGCAGCAGATGATTGTGTTCTCCCCTTTCGATATCCAGAACGACCCGGAGAGGATTAGCCTTATGGCATAGGGGTTCGAGGTACTGGCAACGTGCGATTGATAACCCCCTCGACCATCCTCAAGCTGCTTCATCTTAAACTTGTCTTTCGCGGGCAGCTAAGATCTCCCAGATCCTCGAGAGCTTCATCCCCTCCAAGAACAAAGACAAAGTCTACAAAAGCCTTAGCTTGTCTTTCTATTTCTTGATAAGTGCCACTTGGAGTATACCGACCTCCACGTCCTCACCTTCCGCCTGGGCCCAGTAGATAGTCCCATCATCGTCACAACAATATCCCTCTCTCAATCCGCAAATCCATCAGACTAATGCCAGATATACAGCCTGGTGTCTAAGCCGAAGTTCAGCCGTAGTCTTCGAATTCACTTCACCTCCCGACAAAGTTCACGACGCAACTTTATCTTCTACTACCACAAAGATCCTTGGTCTAGACCATTGCCTATCCGCGACGTGTTTCGATCTGACCTCTGTTTAGCTGAGGAGTCAACGGATAGAAAAGGTGCCGGACGAAAACCTTGGCAGGGCGGCTGGTCGGTGATCCGTCTACGTACCCATAGAGTTTGAATCTTGAATTCGATACAGGGGGGCTGCGTGAGTTGGGGAAACCAATAGAATTAAACGTTTCTGAATATGGAGTAAGATCACCGAGTGATTCTGAATGTGGACTGAGAGTGCATTCGTTCAAGACTCAAAATCCCTCCCTCTTCCCGTTTCGTCAATGAATTCAACCGCCGTTCGCAAAGCAGCTACTTGAGCTGACAGCATTTGCAGGGAAGATACGACAAGCACAAGCTCGGTCGAAAGGGCCCAGGATGAAAGACACGACAAGGGCATCAACATCCACCCAGATTCTATTCCATCTTCAAGACGCACAACTCAACTCCAACACACCACCACCACCATCTACCATTAAATGCGCCGAATCACCCCCCGAACCTGTCTCTGGCCCCTCGTCGGCTGCATCTCCGCGACCTTCGCCCTCTCGATCGGCCTCACGTATCGCTCGAACCATCACTGCTACGCCGGGACGTGCGGCGAATGGCTCTTCCCACTGCAAGCGCGACTGCACGTCGTGGTGTGGTACATGTGGATATCGATATCGATATTGTTTCTGGCGCTGAGGGCTTTCCGGCCGGGGGTGCAGGGGCTGGTTTCGACGACGATATGTCGAAAACGGCTGCGTGTTAGCGGTGTGCTCGTGGGATTCTGGACGTTGGCGCTCTACGGCATCTTGATCGGCGTTTGGTGGGTGCGTCTACGGGAGTACTTTCGGGATCGAGGTGAGGGATTGCCGGGGAACAATATCATCGCCGCCGTGGCTCAGACGGGCCACTTGGCGGATGTGACGATGGGGATGGTGCTGTTGCCCGTGGCGCGACATAGCGCTCTCGCCTCTTTCTTCAGACTGTCGCCGTCGACGACTTTTGCCTTCCATATGACCATGGCGTACGTATTATTTGGCCTCATCATCACGCACGCATCGCTCTACGCTGCTTGGGCAGCGTTGTACGATCAGAGCCGCGACCGCTTTCGACATGTCTTTCCCGTGCTCAACCCCACGTATCTCTACCACGAGGTCTGGCCGGGAGATGCTTCAGGGTTGGGCATATGGCGAGCGTCTCTGATTTTCACGGGGATTGGTGCGGGTTTGATCATGACGGCCATGTTTTTCACGAGCTTCCCTTGGGTTAGGAGGAAACACTTCAACGTGTTCTACTTCACGCACCTGCTGGGTATTGCCGCTGTTGTCGTTGTTTGTTTGCACGCCAGTACCATGTTCTATTGCACGATCCCCGGCTTGTCGATGTGGTTGCTTGATTGGGGGATGAGGATCCTCGAGTTGAATGAGAAGGTCCACAGCCAGTTGATGTCGTTGGGTAATGGCTGGTATAGGCAAGCGATGCGTTTGCATTCGCAGGATCTATAAGCTGACACAGTTAGCATCTCCCTTTCACTGCCACGAAAGCGTCTATCTGGGTGCGCCTGCCACTCGCCGTTGGCACACTTCTACATCCACCACTCGCAATCCTCCATCCGCGAGATCCACCCGTTCACGACCATCACCCATCTGGCGTCAAAGAAGCTCGAAAGCGCAAATGATTGCATAACCGTGCAGTTTCTCTTCAAAACAAGTGGGTCGAATGCGACTCCTCTGACGAAGAGCACGCAGTGGACGAACAAACTGGGCTCTTTGGCCGACGAGGTAGGATGCGCCCGATTAGACGACGAGGAAGCGTCTGCGCAGATGACTGCCTCAGAACAATCCGGTATTGTAGCTCGCAGAACTTATACTAAAGTGAGGCTGGAAGGCCCGTACTTTACTCCCGCGAACCCGGAACAATTCAAGACGGTCGTGTGCTTTGCGGCCGGCAGCGGTCTCAGTGGCTGTGTTGCCGTCGCCGCTGCTTTCCACGCGCAAAAGACCATTATCCCAGTAGATACGAAGAGTTCCACGCCGGACGTAGACGCTTCCCACAAAACGACCCTTCAGACCCGCGGGCGTTGGCAGCGCTGTATCGTGATATGGAGTGTGCGGGAATGCGACTTTGTCCATATACCATTCTTCGATGGTGTGATTTCCAAGAACCATCTTTGGAGTAACTTATCAGTACTGACAAACTTCAGAACTGAGATGCGACGGCCTCGAGTTCAGAGTCCACACAACAGGCGGCGCCCAGCCTCGTCTGGACATGGCAGAAGCATTGGCCAAAATCTGTGGAGATGATGGAACAGACTGCTGGTGCTACATATCGGGACCGAATGGATTTATATTGGCGGCAGAGCGAGCATGCGGCGAGGTGAAAGGTCTTAGCTGGTTTGCTGCACGATGGGGGTGATTATGATTGTTGATAGAGAGCAGATAGATGCATACATACTCTCTGTACTGGTATCCAGGTTGAAAATCAAGGCCTTCAACCATCTCCGCACACGGCAGCAGCTTGACTCCGTAATGAACTCGACGTGTACATCTTTGTTCGTTTCTGAAGTCGAGGTTGAGCCAATCGCTTAGGTTGGCTTATATTTCTGCACCAGCAACGTCTTTTTCCTCTTCATGCATCGTCTGAGGGAAGGAAGGAGCTTCTCAGGGAGCTCTTACGGAGCGGCGCGACATTCAGGAGAAGCTCGAAGTGTCGCAAAGAGTGTTGCGGGCGGGCATCAAGGAGTCGTATGTGGCCGCCGTGAAGCAAGAATCGGCGGAGAGAGGAAAGCTCAAGGAATAGTCGTCGCGGGCGTCGCGGAGTCTCGGACAGCTACTCTGGAGTCACTCCAAGAACCGCGTGCCCAGCCGGGGCATGTGGAGGAGTGTTTGCAGTCAGACCATATCATCAGCAAAGAGGAGGAATCCGTGAGAGCAGGAGACGCTGGAAAAGCCAAGAGAACGACGAGACAGGCGAAGAGTCGAGGTCGTCGGATGGCTTGAGGATGAATCGAGGAGGACGAGGTGTGGTTCGCGTCTAGGTCGCGCCGCAGATTGCTGTACGGTGGGCTAGATTTGTGGTTTTCCGTAATAACGTCCACGCCTGGAAGGGGCTTACGTCTCTGCAACTTCACTTCACCACTATCAGAAAGATATCCATCTCCCAGCGACCTCACATCTCGCGATGTGCCTGGTTTAGACGTGCCTGACAACCTAAGAATCATGGAGGCGCTCCAAAAATAAAGACATGAGCACCCATCGCCTAAGTCCCCGGGAGAAGACGAATACAAACCCATTCGAGCCGATTCTGCGAAGGGATCATACTGCCTCTTCCAAATCTCCAAGTACTTCGCTGGTTCATGTCAGCGTAAAATGCTCTCGCTTGCGGCCGCGGCCTCAATCATTTGGCATAGCTGCGGGACATGATGTGTCGATCCGGCGTGTACACGTTCTCGTGCAGCGACGGCATCACGGCGAATTGGGCCCTCACAAGGACGTTGTTCATGAGAAATGACATCGCAGGCGAGAGATATAAACAGCTGATGGACGTAGGTAGCTCGCCTTTGACATCCACTTGAGTACTACTTCTTTTGTGGCCCGACACCTCGCCCGAATGACTTTCTCATTGTTATTGTGCGTGTGCTTTGCTACATTCACATCGAAAGCATCCGCCAATCTCCCTGTTGTGGACCTAGGGTACGCCGTCCACGAAGCCTTCTCGTCAGATGATGCAGGCGGCTACTACAACTTCACAAACATCCGCTTCGGTGCGCCTCCTACCGGTAATGCGCGGTTTCGCGCACCGAGAGTACCATTTCAAGCCAACAGGCAGATAACGAACGGAGGCTCCAACAACATTGTCTGCCCCTCCGTCATGCCCACTTGGATGTACACAATCAACCAGCAGCTTGGACTTCTCGAGACTGCTCTCCAGGAGCAGAACCAGACACTGTACAACGATGTCCTCGAGGGTGTAGTTGTAAACGCTACGATGCCATCCATCAGCACGTCGAGTGGACCAACGCCTGGGGAGAACGTCAGTGAGGATTGCCTCTTTTTGGATCTTGTGGTTCCTCATAGCGTCTGGGAGAGTCGAAACAGCTGCAGCACGCAGAAGGCCCCCGTCATTGTGTGGATTTATGGAGGTGGATACGTCAACGGCAATAAAAGGAATGTGGGCAATGACGACGTCAGCGCTGATGTAGCTGGAGGTTTGGTATGAAATAGAAGGTGTCAACTCCCAAGCGAAAATTTGCCGCTGACTTCATCCTCTATCAATAGGTGAGCCGAAGCATCGATGTTACGAACAGCACGATCGAGCCGACCATCGTAGTCCTGCCAAACTACAGACTCGGCCTCTTTGGATGGCTTGCCGGAGAGCAGGTTGCAGCAGATGGAACTCCCAATGCCGCTCTGCTGGACCAGAGGCTGGCATTGGATTGGGTACAGAAGTACATCCACCTCTTCGGCGGCGACCCAGACCGTGTGACGGTTATGGGACAGAGCGCGGGTGGCGGATCCATCGAGCATCACATCACGTCGTATGGAGAAGAAAGAAGCTGGCTTCCGTTCCAACGAGCGATCCTGCAGTCGCCCATCTTCTACCCTCAGCCTGCTAATGATAAAACGCCAAACGATGTATTTGAGGAAGTACTTACCCTGGCAAACGTTTCTTCGCTGCATGAACTGCGGAACGCGACTACAGATGTACTGCAGAGGGTCAACGAAGCCATCATCAACAACTCCAGCTACGGCTACTTCACCTTCGGACCCGTCGTCGACGGAGACTACGTGCCCGATCTCCCAGGAAAGCTTTTAGCTGAAGGGAGATACCACAAAAACATCACCTGGATGCTCGGACACAACCAAAACGATCCCTTCGTGTTCGTCTCCCCAGCAATAGCCAACACATCGAGCGCATTCACCGACTCAGTCATCAAAGCATACCCTGAAGCCAACGCATCCACCGTCTCCTTCATCACAGACACCCTGTTCCCGGATGACTACACTGGCAGTGAAGGCTACATCACCACCTTCGGCCGGCAGGAGCACTTCCTCAATGCCTCGCAAATAGTCTGCAACAATCTCTTCCTCGCGCAGAGCGAGTCGCATAGGACTTACTGGTATAACTTCGACGTCCCGCCTGCGTATCACACTCAAGACTTGGCGTATACCTGGTCCGCATACCCACCAGTGTCGTATGAGGGATTCGATACAGGGGTTGCGGCTTCGTTGCAGGAGTTGATACTCTCGTTCGCTGCGGGTGATGTGCCGTCATCGAGGACGGCTAATGTATCGTTTCCGGCGTATGGCGCGAATCGCTCTGTGTTGAATCTGGGCCCGGATGGAGTGTCGCGGTCGATTGATCGTACTGAGAGGAATGTTTGTGCTTGGTGGCAGGCGGCGCCTTATGCCTCTTGAGAAGATTCCGTCCCTCTACACTCGCTATTGAGTATCGAATCGAGAGCTAGATCGCTCAAATAGACTGTTACTGCGTGTGTCAGGTCATCCTCCATTTTCAGGGCATGGGGTGAGGTAGATTGTAGATCTAGGCCACCGAAGTAGGGCTGAGATGGCCGAAAGTTTGTGCAAGCCACACCCAAACGTCTGCGACAACAATAGACGGCCAAGCAGCGTCACGCGAGTGTGTGTCTGAGATGGCGACAGGAACAGGAAACTCCCACATGTGACGCGCAGTCCAGCCTTGTGACGAGCGCGTCTCCACGGCGTGTGGACAGCTGAGAGGGGAGTCGTGGAGTGGTTTGGTGGGCGGTGGCTCGCTTCCAGCCTCTTCTTGCACCAAATGGCAGGGAGCCAAACAGGGCAGCGTCGACGAGCGAGCCACCGTCTTTCCCATCGATTAATACACGCCCGCACCCGCACTCCATCCTCCGACTCTTTTCGACATCCATCACTACTACTACCGCCGTCGTTGTTGCAATACAGTACCATTGTTCCCGTCGTTGCTATTCCGAAGTGTGGCGTCTGTCTGTCTGTGTCTCCCGGGCCGGGCCAGCACTCAATTTCGCACCGCAGTGGGTCTCGGTCGACGATCAGGCAGCGGATCGTGGTCAGCACGAGATTGAACATCACGCCGTGACGACGACAGGGGCCGATCGCCCTCCTTTCAATCAAACGCGGAATCCTGGCATCGAAGACATCGTGAGAGATAGAGAGCAACGCGACTCATTGCGCTGCAGCAGTGTTGTTCACAAAAGAAAGCGCGTCTGCAACCTGCCATCATCCCGCCGCGCTTGGCATTGTCTACACCGAACCTCTGCCAGCAACAATTCCTCAGCCTCATCACCCCCGAGTGGACCGCGAGCAGGCGTCGACCACGCGCGATTCATGATCCCGAGCCGCATGCCAGTCCGTCCCCGGTAAAACACCTCGCTTCGACACGAAACAGGCGCTGTCTGGCCACATTCCTGCCTGCGCTGCTCCATACCACCCCAGCACACCGCCATGGGAGACCATGAGACGCCACAGTACGAGCTGCGAAACTCCTTTCGACCTCCCCGTCATGTAAACACTTCGCCCTCATCTCCCTCTTCGACCGCATATCACGGCGCTGCTGCATCTTGCACCACGCCCACCATCCGACTCGATCACGACGACGGCTTCGAAGACGTGCGGCTTAAGGAACCAGCCAAGCCTCTACCCGACGCACGCGAAGGCCTGGGGTCGAAGTGGTTATCGTCCCTATCGACTGCCAACCCGACCGCAGCTGCACTCTCCCGTTCCGGAACCGCTCTGCACAGCCGGGCCAAATCTTGGGCCGCAAGCTTCCCGAAGCTGAATACTGCCAACATCAGTACCAGTCCAGAGAAGGCAGATAAGGCTGGAAATAGGCAGTCGAAGATCTTTGGGGATCTCTTCAACGGCGAATCTGCACCTGTTCATCTGGGTGTACCGACTTCACCGACGAAAGAGGAGAGCGAGTTTGTGATGGAGTATAAGTCGGGGTTCACAGAGCGGCCGAGCTCGAGGCGGAAAGATAGTCCCACGACAATTGCTGCAGCGAAACCGAACACCGCGAAGACGTCGTGGTTTACGCGAAAACCCAGCATGCCTGCGCCTGTCACGCCTGCATCCGCCGCACAAGACGAGTTTGTCGCTATGAATATCAACACCAGCCTATTCCCACACGGACCAGCAGATGAGTTATCACCGCAAGCTTTCAACGACCTCCTTCTCAACGCCACAAACCTCCTCCAACGAATGCAGGCTGCATATAAAGAGAAGGTAGATTATATCGACAATGTCCAACCTGAGATTGACGCACAGAAAGAGGAAGTGGAAGAAGTGGAGACGCGCTCAAAACACCTGAAGATGCAATTGGAAGACATAGGACGTCAGAATCAGGAGCAGAAGCAGGTCAATGAGGAGCTGATCATCCAGCTGGCAGAGGAAAAGATGAAATTGCAGGAAGCACGTGAGGCGTCCAAGACAATCCGACTCGTGCGGCGGGAAACAGACGGGACTGAAGCTGGCGCGAGCGACGACGAAGTCGCACAGAGACGAAAACGCAGATCAGCAGGTAGTGCCTCTGACTCTGGTTTCGAATCCGACGCGGACACTTCCTCGGTCTTTAGTGGAGGCATGGAAACACCCGTGTCGCAACGTCACCCACAGCTGATGTTGACGCCGGATATGGATGTCACGCCTAGCAAGCATGGCCAGCTTTTCTCGAGAAGCAGCACCATGTCACAGCAAAGCACGGCATTCTCGAATACGAACCGAATGGGTCCAGAGAGCGCGGCTTGGGCGACGGTCGAGCAGCTGCGGCATGAGAATCAGGCGCTAAGGATGCAAGTCGAGGAGATGCAGAGTAGTCTGCAGGGCGTTATTGATTTCGTGGGTGGTGTGAATGGGGTTTGAACATTTTTACCCGCCTGAGATGCTTCTTGAAGTTGTTGTTGGTCGATGTTCTCTTCGCTTCGACGACGTTATATACCACGCATGCATGGGATGTTTTGATCTCTGCATGTTGTTACCATTCGAGAGAGAGCGAGAGAGAAGGGAGAGGGTATGCCCCCTTAGTTTATGATTATACAGTTGCGGTTCTGAGTGTTTTTGATGAGACTTGAGTATATGTATTCATTGCTCTGCTGATTACTTTTACTTTTTACTTTCTAGTCCTTCTACTGTGAAGAACGAAAACGAAACGCTTGACGGGGTGAACGCTGACAATACTCGCAGGACGCCTCCCTTCGTATAGCAACAGCAAGATCCCCTTCATTCTTTCCTCCAGGACATCCGACTACCCACCCTGCAACAACAAACACATCCAGATCCACTCACAACATACACACCCAGAACAGACTCCAAAACTCCAGGCATAACCTTCCCGCATCGAAAATCCATCCCCCATCCCCCATCCATCCATCCATCCATCCTCTTCACTCAACCCAACCATTCATCCACTCAAAGCAAAATCCCATTAACCTCCGCCCTCCCCTCATCCTCCCCACCCCTCTGCAAAACCTCATACTCCCCATTACCATCACCCTCACCCTCACTCAAAAGCCCATCATCCTCCCCTTCCCCCTCCCCTTCATCCTCACTCCCATCCTCATCATCACTCAACCACCCCTCACTCCCCTCCGAAGCGGTCGTCCCCAAACTATTCAAACTAAACTCGCTCGGGCTAGGGGAGAGGTGCGTCGGCCCCAGCACCGGCGTTGGGCGGGGGGAGATTGTGGGTGATTCTGTTTCTGTTTCTGGGAGGCGGGCTGGGAAGAGGGTGTGTGGTTGTTGGCGGGTGGGGGTCGGGGTGAAGGGGGAGGAGTTGGGGGGGATTGTTTGTGCGTGGTGGTTGGGGGTTTTTGGGGGTGTTGTGGGGGAGGAGAAGGTGAAGGAGGTGGGGCGGGGGTAGGCGTAGGTGTATTTCTTGTGGGTGGGGGGGGGGGTTCGTGTTGCGGGGGGGGGGGGGGGGGGGGGGGGGGGTTGGGTGGGGGGGGTCTCTCCGTGGGCTTGTTCGAGGGGGTCGTTCGACTGGGTGCGCTCGTCCTTGACGAAGGCCTTTGGTCCTTGGTTGAAACCCTCTTGTCCTTGGCTCATGACTTTCAACTCCTGCCTAACCTCATTGACGGCTTTCTCCGCATTGCCGGCTCGGTCGACAGCTTTCTCGCCAGGGAGGCTGCTAGGAAGGCAGAGGCGGTGCTTGATGCTGTCCGAGGCCTCTCGTCGGACTTCGGCCAGCTGTGCGCTGAGGCTCACGATGCGGTGGAAGTGATCCTGTTCGTTCTGAGGGGTGGGAGGTGCGGGAATGGCGCTGGTGGCGATAGGTAGACGGTCGTTTGCGCGAGCCTCTTCCATGCGCTGAGAAATGGCCGCGAGGCGCGACGCAGTGAAGTGTCGTAGACTGGCCCACGATTCCCTCACAGTCGTCATGGAGATTTCGTCGTCGCTCGTTCTGGTCTCGGGGGGAGAAACGTCCGTCGTTGAGGTGGTGGCGAGTGGTTCATTGCTTGGTTCTTCGACTCGATGCCCTCCGCACAATTCGATCAACCTCCGCATCGACGTCGCCAATTCCTCATCTGCCGTAGCCCGCTGCCTCTGGATCGCACTGGGGCCCCGTCCATCCCTCTCCTTCGCCCTCTTGAGCTCCCTGATTTCCCTGTCCGTCATCTTCCGATCCTTCTCATCTTGCAAGAGGATCGAAGCCACCAACTCCCCCCAGACAGGCAAGAAGGAGATACACTCCCAAGAGAACCGTAGACCCGCGCGGATGTATCCCCAGGAACAAGTCATGATGGCCCTAGCAGGGAGAGCCTCCAGCGCGATGCGAAGCAGTTCCATCACAGCGATCATGGAGACAACTTCAAGGAATATTGCAATCATAAGAGGAGCGTTCTGCATCCGTTCCCCAGTCAAGAAGAGTGCGAGGACGTCGTTGCAGTGGAGGAAAATCGTAGCGAAGGACTTCGTCGACCACCCCGAGACATGACCAGCCCAGACGTTGACTTGCGGCCAGAAGACAGCACTGAGCGCCAGTCCGACAGAAACCAGACCACAAACCCACTCATTCCGCCTCAAATCATCGAACCACTCCGGCCAGAGATCCCCGACGACCCGCTGAAGGACCTCGACATCGCGAAACCTCCGCTCGTGTCTCGCTTTGGCGAGGGCGCGTTCGAGTTTCCTGCGCTCGGGTTTCGTCGGTGGCGGTGGGAGGGCGAAGGTGGAGAGCAAGGCCGTGCAGGTGAGGAGCCAGGTCATGGTCAGAGGGGAGAGGGAGGTGAGGAACTTGCAGACTTGCGTCAGGGGGAGAGGAGGCGCTTCCGTCGGTTGCGGGAGCATGGTGGTTTTGGTCTTGTTGGCCGCCATTATGTCGGCGAGGGATTGTAGGAGGACCTCGCGATATTGTTCTTGGAGGCTTCTTCCTTCCATTTTCACGAAGCTTTACCGTCGACGTTGGCGATGATGGTGGTGATGATGGTGATGACGATGAGCTGTGCTATTGCGTTCGGGAGCGAAACGACAGTTCGATCTGCGAGAGAGAGAATGGTCGGCCAGGGCAGAGTTGGACGGCATGAAGGCTGACCTTGTGCCTTTTGTCTGGGCAAAAGGCAACGTGTCGACGAAATTGCTCTGTGGGAGGCATCATTTCGTGGCCAAGACATCAAGACGTGAGGTTGTTGATGATATTGCTTACCAGCTTCGCCATAGGCACCCTTTTGGTGCATACTTTTGCATCGACCGAATTTCTGGCATCCATCCCACCAATGCCTTCTCCAGCAGTACCCATGACCAATGCGCAACATATTTCATCAAGCTGTGATGGAGGGGATGACCTGACCCAAGTCGTAGTCATGTGTCAAGGAAGGTGAGACAACCAACGAGCGAAGGGAACAATGAGATCCCACAACGGTGATGGGAAATCGAAAGCGAAAAGAAACTGTCTGCTTTCCATACGTACTAGCAGCGCTGGGGGTATCCACAAACTCAACTCAAGAAGTCCATCATCTTGATACTTTTCTTCCTCTTCCACCTGTATTGTCTTGGAGGGTCGTAATACGAAATAAACCAAAGCCCAAAGTACGCCGTATCCTCGCTGCATCTCGATACGCAACGAAAACGCACTTCATAGCGAAAACAGGTCGTAGGTCGTAGACTCGTTATGGACGTGACGGGGAAGGAATTGCGAAAAGGCTGTTTGGCTTCCTACGACCTCCGCTGTCTCTTGTTGGGCGTGCCAGGCTCTTGCTCTCCTCCGTCCAATTCTCCTTCCACCTGACCAGTGGCTGCTGGACTGGTCGCCTCACTGCTCAAGCTCTCCACTGTTCCAGCTCCAGTATCTGGCGCCAGGTACTCGTTCGTCGTCGCTCCGTCTGTCGTACCGAACATATCCTGTCCAGTAGTGTCTACCCCGCCGGTACCGTCCAAATTGTACGAAAACATATCCGGGTTGTCATCAGCATACCGCAAGTCCGTGTCGTCGTTGAGATAATCTTGGAAGTTGAGGTCTTCGGGTATGGTGAAGTTGCCGTCAAAGCCAGAACCGCCGTTGTACAAACCAGATGCACCCGAGATGGATCCTGAAGGAGAGAACTGACCAAGTCGCTTCTCAACTCGATTGATGGCTTCGTCGTGACGCTTTTGGAAATCCTGGAGATTCTCAATCTCCTTGTTACGACGCTCGAATTCGTCGAGGTTGAAGCCCGTCGGTGGCATGTTAGGCATCGTCAAGGCGTTGTTGTTGTTGGATGCATCAGCGCCTTGATGGTTGGCGATCATCTGAAGCATGTCGTCTCTCTGATTCGCTGTCAGCGGTGCGTTTCCATTGGCGTTCTGGTAATGGTTCAGGGCGGCAGAGAAGTCGTAAGCCGGTGCTGAACTGTCTGACGGGGCAGTAGTGGCGTTGACGTTGTTGATGAGGCTCAGTATCTGGTCGTTCTCGGGCACTTGGTGCAGAACATCGGGAGTCTGTGCATCCGTCTTCACCACTGGACTGGCGGTATTTCTCCCAGCAGTAACACTTGCTGGACGTTGGGGCGGCGCACTTGATGTGCTATCACGCTTGAGGTTGGGAGTGGAGGCATCCTCTGGCGGGGTGACCGATGCCCGTGCTGAATTTGGTTGTGTCGTGACATTGCCAGCTGCTTGTGAAGCAGAATCTGTCAAGAGCAGCTGTGGTCGCTTGACATACTTCTGCACCTGCTGACTATTCTCTGCCCCGTTGTCGTTGTACTCTTCAACCACACCACTCTGCTGCTGGTTGTTCTGACCTCCTTGGTTGTTGAACATGTTGACCAGATTTTGACCAGAATGTCCATCCAAGCTGCGATTGTAGAATGTCGCCAGGAAAGTCAAGATGGCGTTGATGGAGTTCTCGTGGCGGTCGTGCAGAGCCTGGAATGCAGTTGCTTGTCTGTAGAACTGGTCATTCTGCTCTTTCAGCTGCCCAATCATCCGCGAGATGATGTTCTGTTGTTGCTGAAGCTTCTTAAGCTCCTGTTTCACAGATGCAAGCTCACCTCGCGGCATCTGAGTAACATCACCACCATGTCCACCAGTCATGCCCAACTCATGAGGTCGGCCGTCTGGACCGGGCGAAAACTGCCTCTCATCGTCACTGTCAAACCCGTCTTTGATGTTTCCGTCCCTCTTCCTCTTCGCGCTTGACTTGCTCGACGGCTTCTGGATAAGCCAAAGCAGATCTGGCTGGCCTCGGCGAAAGTATGGGTGAGAGTACATGCTGGGTGGCTTCACGCCTTTGCGAGCCTTTTCTGACTGTCGAAGCGAACCGTCTGTGATGTTGACTGTCTTGTGGAAGCCGTACATGTTCAGCTGGCGAACGAATGATGCGTAGTTGTTATGTTTGAAGAGTTCGGGGATCAATTTTCGAGCGAATTCGTCTTCGTCCAGCACGATGAATGATTTGCCGTCGTCCGACCACCGAATGAGATCCGTGTTGGCGTGATCGAGAAAGCTATGGTATGTGTTAGCAGATCATGAGATGGACCTAAGGAAAGTGCGGTCTATCCCCAGTCCTTCATCTCCGCCCATGCTACTATATCGCAAGATGGCATGGTAGTCTATCAACGACCCCGGGGGATAGAACGTCACAGAAGATTCGGATGCATTGCTTACCTGCTCAACTTCTGCACAAACGGCGGGATTTGTTTTCTCTTCCCGCGCGCCTCATTCTTTGCAATCTCTGCTCTTCTTTTCAACTCCTCCAAGTCATCGTCCTCTGGGTTCGTACTGTTGGCCCCCATCCCACCATTCCACTGCTCTTGATATCCAGGCTGCGGCGCAAGCTGCTGATTCCTCGCGCGTCTCACAAGATCGGTTGAAGGTGCCGGCGCAATGTTGCTACCATATGTCGGCGGTTGGGAGGTGTTGAAGGAGAAGTTGTTGGCATCGGTAAGAGAAGGATCGGCGTACGTTTGGTCTGTAGGAAACGTGTTGAAATCGAAGTTGGAGAAGTCCGGGTTGTCCGGTATCTGCTGGTATTGTTGATATTGCGGCTGCTGCATGAGAGGCTCCGCGCCTGGGGCGGGGCGTTTGCGCGACGGAGCGGACTGCTGCATGGTGTGAATCGGGCCAACGCAAGGCTCTGCAGGTGTCCGGTGGAGGGTGTGGGAAGCGGTTCGAGGGTCGCTGATGCCCTAGACTCGTCTGATAACGAAGGTGGAAGGGCGGAGGAGGGCGGTGGATGAGCAATATGTACGGGCGGGTGTCTTATTTGGCCCAGGCAACGCTGAAAGGAATTGGCTCCTTCTCACTCTTGTCCCATTGTAGGACACAAAGACTATGAGTGAATGGTTGTGTTGGTGGCTCGGTCTTTGATGTTCAGTCGGAGAAAGGTAGCGGTTTCACAGAGAGTCGGCTTTGCGCTGCTTCACTCCGCGGTCGGCAGGGGAGGTAGAACCCGGATGATAGGACGGTGAAGGTTGCGATTGCGACTGGGGATCAGGCCACGGTGGTCCTATGTTGCTGCGAATGCGTGCTTGGTGCTTGGATGCGGGTTGGAGACTCGACTGGGCTGTCGTCCACACCAAACAAATGCCGCTACGTCAATCGCTTGGTCATTGCGGCCCGTACCGAGCCCTGATTTGGGCACTTCACCTCTGATTGCAGCTTCCCGACCCGATCACCACCTCCTCGTCACGGGTGTGCTATACAGGGGGACGAGCGCGTTCCGCGGCATAGAGGCGTCTATAGCCATGCCATTGGCGAGCTGCAAGGCCTGCAACGACACCATCAACAAGATACGGCTCCCAAGATCAAGACTACGTTTCCCGTACGGTAAAAAATTCTCTCTCCTGCACAAGGTGGAACATTCATCCCCAGCGTTCGCATGCCATCTAAGCAGTCCAGAGCAATACTCCGGGCTTAGTTGCTCTAAAAATCGGGGGGATGATCTGACGATGCCATGCGGTGCACTTTGAGATCAAGACTAAGCTCTGCCCTACGGCAAAGATTTCTCTTTCTCGTCTATACCTAGCCTCCTTGGTTGGCGCAAAATATAACATTCATCCCCAGTGTTCGCATGCCGTCTGAGCAATCCCAAGTAACACTCTCGGCTTGGTTGCTGTAGAAATGGGGGGGGGGGGGGGGGGGGATGATTTGATGATTTGGCGATACCATGCGTTCCACTTTGACCGGAACGACGGAGGTTCACGATGCTTCGGGGCCGATCACGTTTGCTTGGACGAGGCTCGCTGCCAGGAGACGATATGACCTTATTCAGCACATGGCAGTAGTGCCTACGAGCTCTTCCAGCCATCTCGCTCAAAGTGAACGAAATGGAAAGAACAACATTGCACCGTTATCCCTCCGATTTCTCACAAGACTAGACTCCGAACAGTGATCTCGATTGCTCTGACAGCTCGCGAGCAATGGGGATGGGATCTTCCACTTTGAGCTGGAGAAGGAGGATGAACGCGAAGGAGCGAGATGCGGTCACAATGATGTTCGTCCTACTGATAATCACATCTCTCCACAAAAACAGAACGCCACTCATTTCCTGCATTAGGAATTACCTGCATTATCGCTATCATTGAGCCCCATTATTCCACCATACATCGATATGCCATGTCGACACAGGTCTCCCAAAAACCAAACTTCCCTCAGCCATCCGTATCCATAGGTATCTGCTTTCCTCCCTCCACACAAAGAAGCCATTTTCCTTCTTGCTCAGCCGCTGAAACAAGCATATCTTGCCGACATTCTTCCGTGACGAGATCGCCGATCCCAGTCTCAGCCGCAAGGTGAGTGAATCGGCTAAACATGTGATGCTGAGAACTTCATGTCTTCCTCTGTCGGCAAGCCGGACTGTGGATATCTTGTCAGGACGACATATTGAATTCAAGGCAGGATGAGAAAGGTATCTGGCTGCGTGTATGCTTTGGCTCGCCTGTGTGCTTTGGTCCGCCGGTATGCTTTGATTCGTCGGTGTGCTCTGGTTGGCCGGTATGCTTCGATTCCAGAGAGTACTGTAGCAGACATGTAAGGCCGATCCCTATGAGGATTCCGACCGTGCAGCCGAGGATGAGAAGTGGCAAAGCATCGCTCCATTCGCAGCTGTCCAGAAATCCGGTTGCCAATGGGGTCGTGGAGGGCTTGACTATGGTGACGGTGTTCTTGTCCATGGTGTTGACCTTTTGATGATGGGATGGAATGTCTGCATTGCGAGGATTGTCGTATTGGGTGGTGGCTTTGCTCGCGGATATTCTGCTGTACGGATGTGACGTTTGTTCTGATGATGTGGTGGAGACGAAAGCAAAGCCAGGAAGACAACACAAGACTCGACGTCGCCTTCCATCACTTACTGATCTCACATGGAAGCAAGCGCGGCACAGCCAATAACAGAGAGTGAGGAAAGAAGCAATGACTTGGAGAAAGAAGTAATGACTTTCCCCAGACCCAACAACTACCTAATGTAGATTGCCAACGGCAACCTCAAGCAAGGCGGACAAGTGCCATCAGCTCCAAGCAATGTTGTGTTCTTCTTACTGTTATCAACAGAATCAACCCTCAACCCAATTCTCGCCCTCACACATACCCTCCGGCTTGAGCATCACCTCAGCACACCTCCCCTCATCGAGCGACTCCCCAGCAACAATCCACTTGAGTTGCTGATCGCCCTCGCAGACTCTCCATCCACCGAACTCATGAGCACCGTGCAAATCAAACGAGATACCAGTGTGTCTGGAGAGAGAAGCGCCTTCTGAACCCCACTGTGGAATGAAAGAGACTTCTCCGAACCCAACCTTCGGCGGCATGAGCGAGAAACCCGGATGATAGCACCTAGTCACACTGTCAACGTTGTTGATCATAGCGAGCGTGTCTCCACGGGCCCAAGCGAAGCTCGCAGCGTGAACGACGTTGCGGCCGACCACGGCGGTTTTCGCGCCATGACCTGGGTTGTTCGGCGCGGCACTGTTCTCGCCGAGCGGTGTTTGGACGTAGAACTCACCAAGTGACTGCCTGCCGCGGATGACTTCAGTCACGAGCTTGAAGGGATTTTTCTCGAGCAACTCATCACAGCTGCTGCCCCAATCGTTTTGATCTGGAATGGGCCAGCCTGGGTTCAGGAGAGGCGCCTTGGGCGTCATCGAGGGCTCAAAGACTCCGTCGCCGGTGGTCGTGGATGGCACGGGCTTCTTTGGTTTTGGGGTCTCCTTTGGCTTCTCTGCCTTCTTCTTCGTGGTGGTGGGTTCCGGCTTAGCATCGGGATCGACGATTATCGGCCAGATTGGCACGACTGGTCTGGTGGGCTCTATGGTCGCAGTCGACGGAGCGCGTGTCTGAGCAGCAGTTGTGCTGGAGCTCTTGGTGCTGGTCGAAGTAGAGGTGGAGCTCGATGCTGGGGAAGATGCAGAAGAAGAAGATGTGCTGGCCTTGCTCGAGCTTGGGGCGTTGGTGAATGGAATACCACCGCCGCCATTGAGGATGGTTGTGCTGACAGATGGAACTGCCGTGATGACAGAGGTAACAAGTCCGGTCGGCGTAGCGATGGCGGAAGTGGCATCGACAGATGGCTTGAAAGCAATGTCGACAGCAGAGTTGGCGCCCTCTGGCTTGTGCTCCTGCTTGAAGTAACAGATACCTGCTCCTGAGCCACCAACACACGCAAAGCCGATACACTTTGGCATGGTGTCGCAGAGTGGGACACAAGCCGAGAAGGAGTTGGCCTGAGCCAGCGAAAGATCGCCACCATTCGCATCATAACCACAAGTGACTTTGTAAAGGCCGACCTGAGGTGGGAGCTGCTTGCAAGATGCGCCAGCTGAGACCAAAGGGGTTGGAACGACAGACGTGGCAGAGATCTGTGGCATGGTGATGGTGGCACAGCTGTTGCCAACTCCACCAGTGACCGTCCCAGGCACACCTGGTCCAGCGCGGACCTTGACGGCGACATCAGCCGGGGACTCGGAGATGGAGTTCTGCTGGAATGTCTTGAGGTAGCAGTAACCGTTAAGCCAAGAGAAGCCCACACAGTTGAGGGTCTGATCGCACTGGGCAAAGCAGTCTTGGAATGTCGGGCTGGTGACAGCCTTGAGGTTGCCACCTGGGATGTCGTGCTTGCAAGTGATTTTGTACAGTGAGCCAAATTCATCGGTAAACTGGCTGGGACCACTGCCCTTGGCGAGGGCCTCGCAAGATCCAGCTGCTATGGCGGTGGGCGCTGCACTAGAACTGCCACTCGAAGATGGGCTCTGTCCGGCTTGTGACGTCTGCGAGGGTCGAGCGCTTGGAAGGTACGCAGAGTCGGCATTGTTGGGATTCGACGCACTGGCTACTGCGCTGTTCTTGAGATAGCAAGGGTCCGAGCCGCTGCCACCGAGAAAGGAGAACGCGACGCAGCCGTCCTTCTTGGCACACGCATCGAAGCATTCGGTGAAGGATGAGGCCTGAACAGCACCGATATCATTGCCAGGAAGATCAGTCTTGCAGGCAATGGTGTAGGTCTGGTTCTTGCTGTCAACGTAGGTCTTGCCAAGCTGGCTGCAAGACTGCCCAGTGCTGGAGGTTGGGGAAGAGCTTGGAGCACTGCTGGTGGACGAGCTGGGAGTTCCGCTAGCACTGGAAGTTGGAGAAGAGCTTGGAGCGCGGCTGGAGGCCGAGCTGGAAATTCCACCAGGGGGGCCCTCTTCTTGAAAGCAGAAGTGATGAATCTGAAAGCAGGCAAGTACGTGCCTTCGGCGCTCTTCAAGTAGCAGAAGCCGGTTTCCTCTCCAACGAAGGTGAAGCCTGTGCATCCAGGGGTGTTGTCACAAGCAGCCGGGCAAGCGTTGAAGCCACCCCAAGCCACGAACTGGATTGCAAATGCACCCTGCCCGTTGTCTTGGCTGCAGTGGACCGTGTACGTGTTATCTCCAGACGTAATTTGATCGCCATCGTTGTACTCGGCGCCAAGTATGCCGCAGGTGCTCAGAGCAGCATCGTGGACGACAGCACCTGGACCTGGCGGTGAAGCAGTTGCAATGAGTGACTCGATAACCTTGGTCGCTTGGTCACCAATTGAGGTGACACCCACTGTTTGCGTGCCGGACAGGACAGGAACCGAAGCATTGTTGATGATAGGAGGTGGTGAAACGGACGCAGTAGTAGCAATTGAGGCGCTTGCTGAGAGATTGACTGTGAGATCACGTCAGTAGTATTCTTGACTTACGGGGACTCGCTTACCTGTCTTCGACGGAACTGGATCAGCCAGGAAAGCGGTGACGGTCTGTACGACATTTGCAGCAGTCTTGCTGGCGTCTTGAACAACCTGTGGTGTGGTAGTGGGCAGCGTAGCAGGAATGATGATTGCTCGCGTAGCACCGTCAATGATGGCCGAGGATGTCTTCACATCGGTAGGAAGAGATGATGGCAGGTTTGTGAAAATAGTCTTGACCAGAGGATCAACGGGCTGTCAAATTGTCAGTGCCTTGTCGTTGCAATATGTGCAAGTCTGCTCACAGGCTTGGGAACGCCAATCTGGGGTGCGGCGTCTGCAACGAAGGCAGCCAAAAGGCTGACAAGAACGCTCTTGGGCAGAGACATGGTGATTGTGCAAAGGTAAGAGGACGGAGCAGGAGGAAACGCGCGGACGCCATGTCCTTTTTGATGCTGCCCCTGACCATTTTCCGTGCGGGTCGTTGAGTTTCTGCTCCATAGTTTGATCAACTGAATGTGTTGCAGAGCGTAGTACACCAGAGATCGTCGAGCTCATATTGAATGTATGTCGAGTCGTAAGCGGAATGTCGTCCAGCTGGTAAGCAAAAGCTGAAGCGGTATTGGTGAGCCAGGGGCTGGAGCCAAGTTTCCAGCACAATCATGACGCTAGGACATTACCAGGCCAGCGTTCTGCCTCTGAAAACCTTCAAGTTTGGATATAATCGATTCCGAGCTTGCCGGTCGTGCTCTTCCTGGTTCTCCTGCAAAGAGGGCAACTTGAATCAGCTTAATTGTTCCGTACGAAACAGTAAGCCTGCTCAAGTATGATAGCTGCCGTACGGTTAGAAGCACAGAGAGGTGCCTATCGCGTTGACTCCTCATCACAGGGTACGCAGTCCTCGTTGTCGAATTCGTTTGCCAGCTTGAGCACACCAGTGCAGCTTTTCCGACACAGCTTCGATGTGTTCCTTCTGCAAACGCACATACCACCTCTGTGCCACACGAGAGGATGCGAGGCTATGACGTGCCCATACTGGCCGTTAGAAGGTAACAGGAAGTATGGTATTGCCATGCATAGGCTGTCGGCGCAGCTATGTGCAGCGGCCTTGAGGGCACCAATCCGCTTGCCAAAACTTGAAGAGATCTCATGTGGTCCCTTCAAGAGTGTTTGGCAGGTGTCAATCATGGCTTCCCTAACGACCAGCAAGCTTGCGGTGCAGACAGCGTGGTCGAGAGCGTCAAAGAAAGTTCTGAACTCCATGCTCAATGGGAAAGGGTTCTTCGAGCGCTTGCCCTTGGCTGGTTGGAAGTGGAAGAGCTTCGTAGAGTTGACAATGTGAAATGGACCGCTTCGCATGCATGGATTCCAGAATTTGGTCCAGCTTTCCAGCTCATGTTCGATCGTACTCAGCATGTTGATTACTCGGAGTCCTTCTTCCAATGACAATTGAGCCCCCTTCTCGCAGGCTGCGTCTGCTTTTTTCAGAGCCTCCGGCACTTGCTCTGCAATCGAAATCAGAGCAGTGCCACCGCTTTGACCGAATGATCTAATTCGCCTCCTTGCAGCGATACCGGACCAGAAGTGGAACAAATAGAAAGAGCAACCAACAAGTTCAGGCCACCCGGGAGCGTTTGGGTCTGCCTTCATATCATCGTCTAAGTTGTCAAGCAACGCAGTGAGACCCTTCGAATGATGTAGCCAGCCCTCGCCGGCAAAGTCCATGGTCCTGAATGCCTCAGTGATTTGCAGCGTGACGATAGTGCCCACATGAGCTCTGTTCAACCGATCTGCGCTATTTTCAAGTTCCTTTCTGAGAAGGCTAAGCGCAGTCGTGTGCATGCCCAAGCCTGCTTTGAAGAGTCTCGGGTCGCCAAACTCCTGACCGAGATGGCACAGCGAAGATGCATCCAGTGCCACGACCAGTGCCGGGCAAGTATGCATTGACATCATCATGAAGCCGAAAGCTGCCTCCATTCCACTGACAAGCTTCTGTGGGAACCAGATGTCGCATGATCGTGTTCTGAATTGTAGCCGGTACGCAACGGGAGAGGCTATCGTGATTGATACAGATCCAGATGGTGATACAAACGCAGGCCCAGTTGGTCGATGGAATTCGTTCCGAGCGATCAAAGCCCATCTCGAGTTGGAATCATCTCGTTTGTTTCTTGCTTCATGGCCTCCCTCCCACAGCGCGCAAGGCACTCCTGTTTCGTCTTCCGCCTCGCATGACTCCTTCTCAGGTTCGAGGCGGCATTCCTCACTGGTTTGCTTGATCACATACATGGTCGGACTTCCCCGATCAGCCCCGAGCAGATCCTCTCGCGGCATTGCAGGAGGCTTGAATCGTGCACGCATTTTGGGGCCTTGTTACGCTGTTGATGAGTATTTAGCATGAAGACGTGTATCTGCATATAGCTGTTGTTGCGTGTAGAGCGCGCATCTCAGGCGCATCTCACGGTCTGGACCTCGGCTGCACCTGCTGGTGGCGAGAAGGGGATTGGGTTTGGATCCTTCGCCCGTTCAGTTGTTCAGCCTTCAGCCCTACTGCCAACCATCATAATCTCAGAAGTTTATTACCGTGGAAACCGAGTCTGACAAGCTCAGGAGGAAGTAGTTATCAAGCAAGCGAAACTGCTCAATTCAGAGACGAGACCGAGGGCCTCTTATTCTCTCCAAGACGTCCCACAGAATGACTGTGAAGCCAGCATCCCGGCCATGAATGTGTCAGCTCAGAAGAACGTTGACCGAAAGAAGACGATCCTAACACTGTATCGCAATGGCCGACAAGTTGGGAAAACAAAAAGATGAAGACGCCCTGAGCGTAGCGAAGATGCTGTCCGAGTCTACTGGCCATCTCCTCATAAGTCTCAACAAATCACTTCTGGATCGCTTGAACGGCCGGCAATACGATAGTACAGCTTACCAGGATGTCCTGGATCCCGATATCCACATTGAATTGCATGGCAGGATGCTAAAGGGGCCGCAAGGCTTTGTAGACGGATACAAGGATGTCGCAGATTTGAGCCCTGGACTCCATGTCTCCATTACGAACAGTTCGGCGATTGTGGATGAGCGGCTGGATAAGGCCACGGTTCTGCTGCACTTAAACCTCACTGGGTTTCTAGAGGAGACTCGGCGGGCAGGGACAATCTTGTCCTGTTGGAGAAGGCACGAAGATGGGAGGTGGACTTCGTACGCCTACCACATGTTCTACGGCATACAAGAGTTTCATTGAGGCTGCGGTTTGTGCCTTGGAGCCGATTAGGTGGCACGGCCCGTCCATCAGCATTTTATGGAAGGTAATCCCGCAGCGACATCGATATTGAGACACGGAATCGCTCAAGCCTTCACACCATCAAGTTCAATCTTCTCAATCGGAGAACCCCAACTGTTGTCCTCCATGGCCTCTTGCTTCTCTTGCCTGCGCTGCAGCAGATAACAGACGATCGTAACGACAAACAAGAAACACCCCATAGCAATCATCGCCCAGTTACCCTCATACCAGTCCGGCGCCTGTGTGGTGTTGTAGAACAGCAAGCTCCAGAAAAGATACACCGCGACGCTGAACATGTTCATCGAGGCGATAACGATGGAGCGCATGGCGTCGTCTTTTCTCGTAAGATCGTTCGCCCACGCGAAGAAGACGGTCTGGCCGGCATATTGGCAGCCGTTCAGGATCAAGGCTGCGAATTTGGCGGCTCGAGTGGGTGGAGACAGCATCAAAGCACCGGAGATGATTGCTGTGAATGAGAGGAAGATGCCGACGTGCCAGCGGTTGCGAGTATTGTAGTCGCTATACCATCCCAGGATCAGTGTCGCAACGATTCCCAACCCGCTGACGGACGACGGGATATAGTTGACTTGTTGGACCGTGTAGTCTCCTGTGCTCTTGAGCCAGAGCTGCATGATGGCGTTGCTGGAGTACATCTCTGTGTTCGAGCCCGCAATCCAAAGAAGAACGAAGGCCCACCAATGCCATGAAAGGACGACACGGCGGATCAGACTCCAGCCCAGGACACCTCGCTGCTTGTCCACTTCGGGTAGCCGCTCTATAGCCAGCGTCTTTTCCGCTCCAGTCAAATACTTTGCGCGTGTACTCGACGGCGTATCGGGGAAGACCAAGAACCCATAAATCGCAACAGGGAAAGTGATCAGAAAGTCTATCACAAACAGCCATCTCCATCCAGCAAGACCAGAGACTCCATCCAGGTTCGTGTAAATCGACCCTTGCATGATGCCCGAGAACAGCGTTCCAGCAAGTCCCGAACTCGTGAAAATCGCCGTCCTCTTCCCAATCTCCGCAGGCTTGAACCATGAGCCCAAAATCCACTGAGTGCCGACAAAGCAACTGGCTTCAAAGAAGCCCTGGAAGAAACGGATCACCATAATCTGCCATGGGTGTTGCGTGAAGCCCGTCCCCAGCGTCAGAAATCCCCAGCAGAGACAGGTCGTCGGCAACCAGATCCTGGGCGGGACCTTTTGCATGATCAGGTTAGACGGGATCATGCCAGCCATGTAGCCGCCGTAGAAAATTGTATTGATCTGGTTGAGTTGGGTGCCCTTGAAGCCAAGATCTTCCTTCGCGCCAGAGACGTAGGCATTGTTCAGATTTGCGCGGTCCCTGAGAGACGTTAGCGAATGTCTTGAATACGAGACGAAGTGGCTTCTTAAGTATACGCACAAGTAGTTGACCCAGTACATCAAGCAGACATACGTCAAGATAAAGAAATCAATTTTGAGCAAGAGTCTCGATTCAGCTTTTGTCGGAGGTGGTTTGCCCCAGACGGCCACTCGTATCTTGTGCAAGATGCCCATGTTAGTGGTGGCGAGGCGCTCAGAGAGCGAAGGAATGTGGCAGTCAAACAACAGAAGAGTCGGTGGCGGCGAGGCTTTGTTGATACTCAGTCGCTGGGTCGATGCTCTGAATGTCTTCTGTGAATTGTTGGCCTATCTCCAGAACAAGACGGCCGGCCGCACAGCATCTTCGCCCTCGTTCTTGGCATAGACTTGCAGATAGCCGGTGCGGAGGGGTGAGGTTCAGATAGCGCGGGCGAGGCGATCTGCACCAATGCCAAGCCCGAGATCGCCGTCTTTTAGCCTAAACAGGGACCACATGTATACTAGCATGCAGAGGGACATTGCTATTCTCACGGAGAGTAGTAAAGTTGTTGAGCATGGTTCGTGACAGAGAGGTTGGAAAGCCATGAGAGCAGCGCTGACAGATGATTTTGGTATTATCTAAGCCACTCATGGAAAAGACAGTAGAGAAGACAATAGGAGCCAGCCTAAAAGAACGTACTATCCGAAGACCATTGCCAGAGCGGGACAGAAGAGGTACGAGACTCGACAAAGTAGTCCCTTGTCATTGCCCAGGACTGTTGTGAGATGCTTACTCAAAGCAAGGGCAGCCAGCGTTGATGCCTGTGAAAGTGATCAGTATGCCGTGTGTTCAGCAAAAAGGCGAAACCTGATGGCATGGGGGGGCGGGCAGATGTTAGAGTGTAGTACTTACCACCAACGCAAAATCCGTTCCAGCCATTGCATCCGTTAGGAGCGTAGCAAGACTGAAGTGGGCAGTGGCTGAATCCTGCATTAGCAAAGTCTACAGGGGCTCAAAAGCGCTCGATACTTACTCCTGTTGACCATAGCCACCATGGCCTTGGCCACCTCGGCCGTATCCACCCTGGTTGCCGCGGTAGGGGCCTGATTATTCAATCAGTATGAACTGAACAGCTGACGGAGTCACACGTTAACTCACGGCCGTAGTTGTAGCCATTGTTGTACCTGTTGTTTCCGTGGCCATTGCTTCCCCAGCGGTTGCCCCAGCGGTTATTGTTATTGTGGTACCCGTTGCCGTAGCCATTGCGCGAGTACGGGTCAAGGCCGCCTTGCTGGTAGCGGTCTCCGTAGTTGTTGTAGTCGTCGTCGTCTGGGAGCACAAAGATCAGATGGCTGCATTGCATCGACTTGGACATTGCTACGCACCATAGTCCTCTGGATCATAGTCCTGCTTGCCAGCCTTTGCTTGGCCAGCTTGCTTCGCCTGGCCTGCCTGTTGGGCCTGGCCGGCTTGCTGGTTCTGCTGAGCCTGGTCGGCACGGGCTTGGATGGCGACGTCAGGCTAGAAAGAGATCAGTGTTCTGCTGGTAATACTATACGACCACATTAGGAAAACGTACCTGGGCGACCGGGCCTGCCAGAGCACCGGTGGCGGTGACGCCGAGGAGGATAGCTGCAATGGTCTTGAACTGCATGTTGACTGTTGTTGCTGAAGACTGGGGAAGAGACTGTATGTAGTGCCTGGTGCTGTAGTTTGGGAGTAGGCTGGCTCTCTGCTGGATCGAAGGTGTTCAAGCTGCTATTCTTCGGTCTTATATATCCATCGCAAAGCGGACGCCGCGGCGTTCTCGCCTTGACGAACCTTTCCGTTGAGCACAACTTTCCTCAGAGACTTCGTGCTGTCGTCTGCTGCGTCCGTTCCGTGCTGCAAATCGTAATTGATCTTCATCGTTATAGTTGATTGCAGGCAGGCCATGGATGCAGTGGAATATCCTTGGATAGCAAGCATATCGACTTGCGAACAGAACGACCAGCTTCGGTGAGCAGAGATGAACGTTGCGAATGTTACAAGTCGAAGACACATCAGGTTTTCGAAACGTCGCGAGTGGGTGAGAGCGGTAATGCATTGTGAGATGCGGCGAAGTTCGATGCTGGGGAAGAACAATGTCGTCAACACTGCAGGCACATCCAAGGGACATTGAAACAAGGTGATCACTTTCGAAGCCCCAAGCTTGTCCAAGAACCCATCTTGCGCAATCAACAAGCGTTGGCTGTATGATAATTTGACTTTGTTTCGAGCGACTCAAGCAATTGAGCTTAACATACGAGCCAGGCTGGCGGTGTCTTCCAGAAGCCAAATTTGTCTCAAGAAGACTCGCCATCGAGTTGTTCGTCGAGGAAAGAGGGTACTTTGAGTATATTGAATCCAAAGTGCAACAGAGATGGCACAGTCGACACGACCGACTTGACGTTCCGACAGGGGCTACTGGCAGCGGGTCGTGCGGATATGACACTCGCAGCGACGCTGTCTGGGCGAGTCGTGCGACTTCTCGTTGCCACGCTCACACACGAACGCATGGAGAAGGCACGCAGCCCGTCTCAAAGGCTTCGCTCTTCACTGAGTGACAGAGTCCTCAACCACGTTCGAGTTCCTCTCAGCCCCGACGTAGACTCCACGGCACGGCAACAATTACGTTCCGGTATGACGGACCGCAGGATCCGTCAGTAACTCGATAGACCAGCGGTGACCAGCCAGAACGCCTGATCCAACATTGTCGGCAGCGAAGGTGACTTTGACGTAGCGTGGCAAGACGCAAACGTCAATCAAACTCTCAGCAAGTCTTCGATGCATAAAGGAGCCGCGCAGAGCTTCCCGAGTCGTCGAAACTGGCAAAACGTCTCAAGTGGCTTCTGAAGAAGCATATCGAAAAGGCCCAGAAGGCATGCAATTGCTGTTGTCGTCGATCCAGTTGAAGCGACGTTCGATGTCTTGATCCCTTTCGGTTATTCGATCACCGTAAGGCCCATCGTCATAATTCACAGGTATGCTGAACCCTTTGCTGAAAATGGCATTTCGTACGCAGCGCGCCCATTCAACCCACTGCCAATGTCCGTGGTCCCGAAAATACTGTGTGGCAATATGGACAGGGAAGAAAGAACAGATGCACCCAATGGTGCAGTTCGACGGCTCGACCAAATATGGAATACACCGGCACAAGTTCATGACGTATCCGAGTACCTCTGTTTCAGAGACCGCGGCCTCCTTTTCCGGGTTCCAACCTGGCACCACCTGCTGTCGAAGAGAATGCACCTGCTGTGTGCAGCCTCTCAGGAGAAACATCCTCAGCCAGTATTGTGAGTACAGGTAGCAGTTGAGATAGCTGGAGAACCAATACGCCCGGTCGAGCGTTCGATCTTGCACAAGAGTCGTGAAAGCCGTGAAGTTCGTGATGTCAGCCAACGTGAAACAGGCTTTGCCATTTTTAACCGTCCGAGAGCTCAGCATTGCCACTTCAGCCTTCATACCGGATAGCAATGTCTCGCAATCGTATAGCAGATCCTCAATATCATCCATTATGTGAGGCGAGTCCACATCGAGGTTGTCGCAGCGTTCCAAGAGCCCGGGTATCTGCTGGCCTGATCGATAAGAGTCGCTGTAGTCCTCGTGGAGATCGACTTTGACCTGCGCAGCCAGCCATTTTGGGGCGGAGTAGTATGATGTCTTGCGTGATAAAAGAGAGCTCGCCAAGGAAGTCCGCGTCGATTGATAGAAGAGCATACGCGCAAGTTGGCTGTTCAAAGCGCGCGGCCCACGAGCGGTTATGATCTTCTGCAGGCCTTGAAGATGGCCGAGCCAGCCTTGGCCATGTTGCTTGATCTCATTATACATTTCACATTGGCATAGGACCGAGGAGGCGGCCATGATGTCATCGGCATACACGTTTTTGGGATTGGAGAGAGCATGCGCCAGGCTCCTTAGTCCCAGAGTATATGACTCCACTGATTTGCGCAACAGTTGCTCATCATTTAGCATGCTGCCCATCTGAACCAGACTGATAGCATCGAGTGCGTGCTTCAAGGCTGGCTTCGGCTCAGAAATGGACACCGCCATGCCCAGCCACCCAAAATGAGCATCTTTGAACACTGACTCTTCTGGCAGAAAGTTCTGAGGAATATAGGTGTCCATGAAGGCGCTGTAAAGCTGGGCCCGATTCGCAGCCGGACTCTGCAGTCTTCCCAGTTGATTCTGATGGGCCGAGATCAGCGAATCTTCGGACGAGCTTGAGCCGGGGGAAGGATCATGGCTCAGATCCAGTGGTTTAGAGACATGTCCGGTTTTCAAGTCGTCATTGTCCTTCGCTCGTTGCCAGACGAGGCCCGTCTGATCTCGAAATTCGATATCGCCAGGGTTCTCGGTCCTGTAGCCTGGGCATTTGACTCCATGTATGGCGCATCGCTGGCAGCCTGGTCGGGTCAAGTCACAGCGTATCTTCCGAGACCGACATTTGTAACATCCATTTGAACGCAGCGGCATGCTGCTTTGATACGGCCAAGCGCTTGACGGAGATGGGTTCCATGATGTTGTTGGCGATCTGCGAGCTGGAGTTGAAGTCCCACACGCGCTACTATTCTAGGCCGGCGCTTGTGACTTCCGAGGACGAAGCTCGGAAGGATCCGGATCCTGCCGAGAGAGCTTTTGGTGCCTCAGGCATCAAAGAGACCACAAGGGGTGATTGACATTACTTGTCTGTGTATTTGATGCTACATCGTCTACGCAAAGATCCTCAACGGTTTATGCAGATAAAACCCCGGATCATTGAACCGCAAACCCTTATCCAACTTCGCAATCGCCTCGATCTCCTCCTTCGTCAGATCGAAGTCCGAAACTTCGAGGTTCTGCTGCAACCGATTGACATTGTTCGACTTTGGAATGACGGCGATATCTCTCTGCGTCGCCCACCGTAGCAATACCTGCGCAGGTGTCTTGCCTGTCCGCTCAGTAGCTTTCTTCACGGGTTCAACGTCCCAGAGAAGAGGGGTGTCTTTCGCACGTTCGCGGAATGCTGGTGGCAGCTCCAGGAATGACTGGGGTCCAAACGAGGAGTATGCTGTGACGATGATGCTGAGATCTTTGGCCAGCTCGATGAGTTCGGGTTGGACAAGATATGGGTGATGCTCGATCTGAAGGGATGAGATTGGGTGGCGAGCGTATGTCGAGATGTCGTAGAGGAGTTGTGCTTGGGCATTCGAGATACCAATGGACTTGGCGATGCCGGCATCAACGACTTCTTCGAGAGCCTGCCAACTCTCCTGGGTGGGAACTTTGTCGAGTTCAATCTCTTTGTGGTCCTTGTCCAACCACCAGCCCTTGGGTGCCAAGTCAGCCACAGTCGGACAAGTGCAATAGGGGTGAGCTTACAGGATATCTGATATCCTTTGGATCGACATATTTCAGAGCGACCGGAAAGTGGATGAGATAGAGATCGATGTAACCCAGGCCCCAGGCATCGTTCTGTGCCTTTGCCATCTGGAGAGCATGCTCCTTGCGATGGAAGTTGTTCCACAGTTTGGTGGTCACAAAGATGTCTTCTCGCTTGACGAGGCCTTCATCGATCGCACGATTGATGCCTTGACCGGCCTCCTTCTCGCTAATGAAGGTCAGTCTGGACGGACAAAGTAAGGACAGGGCTGACTTACTTCGCATAGTCGTGGGCGCCATCAAACAGACGATAGCCGACTTTGATGGCCTGGTAACCGTCAGCCTTTCACGGTATCGTTGCTGATGGTGGCAGAACTCACGTTATAGACGGTGTCTGCTGCGCTTTCTGCTGGAACTTTCCAGAGCCCAAACCCGACCAAAGGCATGGAGTGGCCTGATGCCAGCTTCACTGTTGATTGAGGCATTGTGGTGGTGTCTTGACGTTGAACGGTTCTTGAAAATCGGAGAGTCCTGCGCAACTCTTTGCATTCAGAGACATGGTGCACTTATGTAGACGGCGTTGCGGTCTTCCAGTCGAAGTCGTGTTGCATGATGTGGGCCATCGGTACTTGTACAGGTTGGGTCAAAGGGAAGCTGGAGGCTCTGCCTTCCATCTGCAACAACTCGTGTTGTCGGGCCGAGTATTCGTTTCAAATGCCGGTGCACCCATCCCAGCCATCTCACACATGTGAAGCACTATAAATGCTGAGGCTCGGTTCTGATCAATCATCGTCGTCGATTTCCGGGAACGAGGCGTATGCCTTCGTGATCTCGTCACTCATGGTCTTGACAAAGCTCGGGACCACTGTTCGAGTTTATCCAACGGCCAGCGATGGGTAGGATAGATGTTCCGCATTGAGCACACGATCGAGGACCCAAGAAGATGCTCACTTTGATGGTTTCCACCCAACAACCTCCAGCAACTCCAACATCTTCGCTCTCGTCAGAACTGGCCTTCCTTCAACTTTGTCCATTGACGCAGCAACCTTCTTGAAAGAAGCCTCCAACTCTTCGGACGCCTCCATCTCGACCTTCTCATGAGTAGAACGAGAGACTGTCGCCTCCGACGTAACCACGACCGCAACCTCCACATCTGCCTCGCCAATCACGAAAGTTGCATAAACATTGGTCCACCGCCAATACTGCCCTTCGTACCGTCTCTCCTTCTGTCGAAATTGAAATCGCTTGATGTGATTGAAAGCATCAGGGGCCAATGAGTCCAGCCATGTCTGAACGGCAAGCTTGTGATCATCGCTGAGCAAGAGGCGGAATTCGTGATTCTGGTAGAAGAGCGCGAGTGTTTCTTTGCGGGTTTGGCGACAGACACGCATGAGGGTCTGGCCACGGCATTGACATGAGTGGAGGCCACGATAGGCTGGGACGGGATTGTATGGTTTACAGTCTCCGAATGTGAAGACGAGGGCGTAGATGGAGTTGCGGAGTTCTGGTGGAAGGCCAAGGAAGGTGGATTGTTTTTCCTCAACCTTTAGGGCTTCATGGTCGCTAGAGAGTTCTCTGCGTTTTGGATTGGGGGCATCCTCTAGTATAGTGTCTCGCTTGCGTTTGGGGCCGGTCATTCGCTCGGTATTGGCTGATTTGTGTTCCATGGCACCAATATCAGTTGAAGGTGATAAGTTCAGAAGAGCGGTTTCGAAGGACTTTTTATTTTCAGCTCACCTTCGAGCGGATGGGAGCTACTCACCGATCGAGTGCAACCCGAAAAATGCGAGGCTGCAGGCAGCGGCACGTCTCTGCGAATGCAGAACCTCCGTAAGTGCCATCATCGCCACAAAGTCATGCCCGGAAAGGGCGTCGCGAGAAATGAGGTTGTGTATCACCTGACGCTCTCTTTCAGCATCAATTGCCACTGCTCGGGACGAAATCGTAGACACATGGAAGGAAAAGGAAGAAAGCAAGAAAGAAATGGATCATGATAGAAACCCCTTCCGTCAAATCTCTTGTTGAACTTCGAGATGACAAGATTTGTGTTATCCTCAAAGGTCATACCTGCGTTGCAGTGGAATATCTTCCTTGTCCCGCTGAATGGTATCCCTTGAGATGGAGCGAAGAGCCGTGCCGAAGCTGGCGTTGTGAGGTCGTCGAAAGGTTGTGCCCATGCCCAGAGGAGGGTCAGTAATCACTCGTCATCAACTCTTCCAAGTTGGAGGTGTAGATGAAAGTCGAATTGTGAAGAGCATCTGGGCAGGTGATGTGGCTTGTGGCATAGCAACAGTGACGTCACCAACTCCAGCACCTCATCCGCACTTCGATCTGGGACGACGAGAGTAATGATATTCGATGAATCGATACCGCTTCGGACATGACTCCGCGATCCCTGGTCTCACGCAGTGTACCGAGCAAAAATGCAGAAATCATGCGACCTGAAGACGGATAGTTTCGGGGAGGAGAAAGGAGTCGAGGCTTTTCCTTTTGCGTTGGATCGCCATCGACAACGCCACACCAGAATTCGACCCAGCGAAAGCATCCTTTCACCAACGAACTAGCAGTGTCGGGAGTCCACCATATCGCCACAGGTTTCCGTCTGCTTCATCCTTTCCGGGACAGCTTCAATCGAGCAGTGTTGGCCTCGCCCAGCCGCTCCCGGGCGCCTCGAAGCCGATAGAAAGCGCGTCGAAGATATGAGAAGACTCGAGCAGCGGGCGGCAGTGAGACAGCAATTCTTTCATCTCCAGCGTTGAACCGTCCCGACTTCTTCTTCATCATCCACCCTCGATCTTCGGGACCCTTGTGGCCAGGACACCCTGTCGCGCCCCAGTCCGCTACCGGGTCTCCAGTACTCGCCAACCAACAAGCCGCTGCGGTGCAGACCAGTGGGTTGGCCATTGCCTGCCCACGCCACGTATTCGCCAAGATAGAGAATCTCATCTACGTATGTTGTTTCGCGGAGCCACCACTTTTCGACCACCTCCTAACCCTCACGCAGGGCGCGAACCTTGAGATGGTTCGCATCGACACCGTCCGCGAGTCCAATGCCCAAGCCAAGGGGCTGGAGGATCTCGTGGCCGTCTTCGTAGGCGGCACAGGGGGCATAGGAGAGAGCACCGCCAAAGAGCTCTTCATACGCACCACACGACCGCGGGCGTACATCATCGGCAGGTTCGAGACCCTCCAATCTGTACCCCACGACATGATGAGCGAAGCTGACATGGTGCGCAGGAGCGAAGAACGTGGCAATAAGATCTGCAACCAACTGCACGAGTTAAACCCCCAAGGCAAGGCAATCTTCATCCAAAAAGATATCAGCTTGATTCGCAATGTCGACGAGCTGTGTGCCGAACTCAGGGAGCGCGAGCCCAAGATTCATTTCCTGTTCCTGACAGCAGGCTTCATGACCCTCCGCGGCCGAACAGAAACGCCTGAAGGCATGGATCGTAAGATGGTCGTCAACTACTACGCACGCATACGATGTATCCTCAACCTCATGCCGAACATTACGGCTGCCTCCGAGGCTGGAGAGCTCTCGCGTGTTATCACCGTCCTCGCCGCCGGCTCTGAGGGTGACGTGCGTGTTGACGACCTCGACCTCAAGCACGACTTCACCCTCCATGCCTGCCTGGCGCACTGCGTCGTGATGACCGACTTCAGCATCGAAGAACTCGCCAAACGATACCCAGGCACATCCTTCAGCCATTCCTATCCTGGCACGGTCAAGACAGGTATTGCAAATGAGCTGAGCGGGCCAGTGAGACTAGCGGTCAAAGTCATGTACGCCGTCATGACGCCATGGATCCTCAACGTTCAAGAGTCCGGCGAGCGGCACTTTTTCCAAATGACCAGCCAGTGCTACCCTGCCGCAAACGGCGGCGTAGGAATCCCTATCCCACCAGGTTTGACCGCGATGCGAGGGACCGACTTCCAACCTGGCAGTGGCGCCTACCTCCTCGACTGGGACGGGAAATCGACCGGCGACGAGAGCGTCCTGAAGAAGTACCGCGAGATGGGCCTGGGCCCCAAAATCTGGGAACATACAATGCAGATGTTTGCGCAAGCAGAGCAAAGGTCACGCAAGGATTCGAAGCGCCCCGCGCAGAGCGAAGCCGAAGGTGCTGGACGAAACATACCCAACCCACCTGGCTGGCGACCTGCTGCTTAGTGAGGAGAGGCGCTCACATGTGGGTGGGTTTGGGATGTTTGATACTGTTATTTCGAGCGAAGGCGCTGGTGAGGGACTGTTATATTACACGACACTGGGAGGCTTTCTGCTCTGGGGTTTTCGATCGGCGTTAGGATGGACATGGACATACATATGCTGCTAAAAGATGGAAATGCTGGTGGACGGGATGCATAGATGAGATACGGTATAGTATGGGTTGTGCTTGTGCCCTCAACACTTCATACTCAAAGTCGTCCCCTTTCTGCGAGGGCTATCACTCACACCGACAGCACCGCTCTATCCGGATCAGAGCAAAAGGCTCGCAATCACGCACGTGGACTGTCCACTCCAGTTGGGCATCAAACCGCCCATCAAAGCCCAACGACAAACGGCTCAAGGCCGGCACGTCCCAAGTTTCAACAACCCCGAAGAACGACATCGTCACCAAGCCAGGACCATCCTCGTAGATTTGGTCTTGGCATCGAGGAGGCTGATATAACCAGTGTTGCGCCATACGGTGTTAAGTGATCTGGTTGTTGGATCAGGCTTGCTCCCTCACTTGCTCCCTCACTTGTTATTGCTCCTTTACTTGCTTCCTTACTTAAAACTTCACTTAATTCTTCACTTGCTCCTTTACTTACTCCTTACTTGCTCCTTTGATTACTTTTTCATTTGCTCCTTGACTTGCTGCCTCACTTGCTTCCTTACTTGTTCCCTCACTTGCTCCCTCACTTGCTCCCTCACTTGCTCGGCCGAGTTGAGACCTTCCTCTGGCCACTTGAACCACCGAGTAAACTCCGGATCATGCAGCGCCATGTACAATGCATGGGCAGCGGGCAAATCAGCAATATCTGGATGGAGGCCACCGATGAGGATGTCAGGATTGTCAGGAAAGAGCTCGAGGAGTGGCTTCAACGGAAGCGAGTCGAGATAACCACCGATGCCGGTAAGGAGGCAGTAACAGTTCCATGCCGCGAAGACTTTGACAGGAAAGTACGTCATGGCATAGTTGAACATTCGAGTCTGGGCCGCGACCCCCTTGGCGCTGATTATCAGCGACCTTGTTATCTCACAACTCTCTTTGTCGCCGGTGCGTTTGGGCGTCCCTGAGCTCTGAGCCTCTGCTATGGGTCCAAGCACAGTCTTGTTCCTGTGAGCGAAATAGTCCTTCAGGGCGAATCGTATGGGATAGTTCGGATCTCGAGCGGCATGACCAGCCACTGCACAGGCAGTGTTGACGAGCAGGTCGCAGAGCTCGCCGTGCTGGTACGACAATCCGTGCATCATGCGCTCTGGGTGATAGATGATGAAATGGAGCCTTTTCTAAGAGCCATTTTTATTCATCACCGCCATGACATGCATGAACTTGCCACACATTGGTACGTTGTCCTTCAGAGAGAAGCAGTGGGTCGGATTCATGGCGGCTTTCGTCTTCTTCATGGGGGTATCACCGAAAGAAATGATGACCTTGGCTGAAGTGTTGTCCACGATGCACTGGAAGAAGCTATCCATTGCAGCGCAACCTTTGGGAGACACAAGCGCCTTGTATGGCTCGTTCGCGTACTTCGAGTTGTTGGAGCGCAGGGTCTGCGCGTTGCTCAAGCGAATACACGCTGTGTCCACGAAGAGGAGGGATTCGGTATCAAGCTTCTTGTCGACGGTCCTGGGGCATGGACTCTTCAAGTCTCTCGTTTTGCCATATTCGAGAGACGCCGTTGTCGAATCAGACGCATAATGCATCACGATGAGGATCTTCGAGTCGAGTTTGCCCGAAGGAGCAACCATTCGCGCAGGTGGCAACTGTGGGTCGCTGGTCATGATCTCAGACAAGAGCTTCAGCCATCGGGGGAGGATGTCGAGGGTAACGCCCGCAGCTCGCCACTTCGTGTATTCATTGAGAATGGAGAATCCCGGAGGCAAGTTATCGAACTCTTTTGTCAGCTGTTGACAGAATGCAGTGCCGTCATTGGACTCAGAAAAAGCAATGGCCCCATCAGTACCAGTTCCTGTCCACTGTCCTAAGGTCATAATACCAGTGCGTAGCTTGAGCCTCTCCTCGAGTGCAGCTATGAGGTTCTTGGGTTGCTGCCTGCGGCTCGTGTGTAACTTCTCTCCGGTGGGCGCATCATCGTGCTGGCGCTTTCCCTCGTAGGCTGATTCAACATCATCAACTTCTGGCTCGAGCGCGAGAAGAACCTCACTTGACATTTCCTTGCGCCCTAGGAGCATGGAAAGCATTGCAACATGGTGCACCTCTCGAGTGAAATCATCTTGATCTGACCCTGTGGAGGGCGTGTTGGAGGGCGCGTTGGAGGTCGCGGTGGCGTTGGTAGATTCCTCGAGCTTGCGCTTCTTGTTGACTTTCTCACGCTCAACTGGAGCAGCGGTGTGACCAGATGCATCGTCGTGAGCCTGGATGTCGGCAGGGGAGCCACCGCCACAAGCATCACAGCATACGAACGAGGCCGGATTGATCAGCGTGCAGACTGCGCATTGCCAAGTAGCAGGCTTCGTCGAGGTGGCGACGGAGTCGGCTGAGGGAGTGGAACCAGCGGAAGGGATAGAACGAGTGGAAGTAGGCTTGGTCGAGGTGGCCATAGAATCGGCTGAGGGAGTAGAACCGGCGGAAGGGATAGAACGAGTGGAAGCAGGCTTAGTCGAGGTAGCTATAGAGTCGGCTGAGGGAGTAGAACCGGAGCAGGGATAGAACCAGTAGAGGCGGGCTTGGTCGAGGTGGCGATGGAGTCGGTGCTCAAATGGGCTGGCAGCTCTGGTATCTCCAATGCAGCTGTGTGGAGAAGAAGCTCGTCGATGCATATCTTGACTTGTTCGTCGTGGCCATCCAGCATGTGCGTTTCGAGCTGCCCGAGCGCATTGAGGAAATGCCAGTCACTTGTACTCGTAGGGGTTGGCAAGCTGTTGTTGGTGTTGCCCATAAAGTCTTGGACGGCCAGATTCTTGATCTGACTGAAGACCTGTTGAGCAGCATTCGTTTCATGTTCGCTAGCATCTTCATCAACACTCGCATGCTCTTGGTCGTCGTCGCTCAGCGTCTCGTCGTCTTCGCTCTGCATCTTACCGTCTAACTCGTCGCGTCGAGTAGTAACAACATCGTGCTTCATTTGGGCTCGTCTCATGGCAGGCTGTCCGTCGACTGAACCTCGTGTCATGGTTCACATCTTACGGATGGCGCGGCGCTTTCGATCCGGGCCCAGTGTTGGCACTTTTCCAGCCCGATGCTCCTTCGCCGTGTCCGCGGACAGGCGAGTGCTCTTCATTGTGGTCGAGCAAGTGTGGTGGTGCAGTGAAGGCGAGCAATGCGAGTGATGTTTTAAGCCCTCGCAGTAGTGTGCAATGTACCAGATAAATGGTCCTGTTAAAAGGTAAGTAGTATGGACGCTTTCATATTCTGTTGAATTGCAGAACTGGATCTGCTCGCTTAAGCCACAGTGGTATGTGTAGGTAGGTAAGGTAGGTGATGTCCCGAGCTGCATATGCATATAGAACTCGGAGCGTGTTTTTCCGTTGACCTCACCTACTCCTCCTCTTACCTTACCCCTCGAATATAACTGTCTTTGCATGTAGGTCATCTTCACTCCCTTTGCCTCTGCCTGTTTCAAGGACGATGTAAATATCGGAGTTGATTTCCAAGGTTGTTCAGGATAGACGACATTCAAGATGAAGTTCCGCGATGGTATTCCCTCATCCATACCATACCAACAATGGCAGTCAATATACTCTCTTTAACTTTCAACATCAGGAATGTGGCTCCAAGCCTCCTCCAAAAGAGTCGAATACGCCGAAGAAATCTACTCCCTCACCCAACAAGACAGCAACAAAATCAGCCTCCTCTGCCCAACAGCCCAGATCCACTCGAGAGGCGACACGCTCAACCGATCGACCTTGACCGTAGACTTGGAAGCTGTGACGGATGGAATACTCTCCGTGGAAGTCACTCACTGGCACGGCGCTGGGGATCAGGGACCGCATTTTGATCTTTTCCCGGATGGAAGACCTCCTGTCGATGCTTCGATTGAGAAGAGCGATGCTGGAACGACACTCACGGCGGGGGGAATCGCAGCTACGGTGACGGCCCTACCTCATACATTTGACATTCGATTCCATAGTACCGATGGGAGGCATAAGCTGACGTCTCTCCTGAATCGAAGCGTCGGGTTGGCGTATTCTCCTGCGACGAGTAGTCCGATGCAGACGGCTGATATGCGGGATTTTAAGCATTACATCCTGACGCAGACGACGCTTGGGGTGGGCGAGCAGGTGTATGGTCTGGGGGAGAGGTTCGGTGCGTTGAATAAAGTCGGCCAGAGTATTAATTTGTGGAATGTGGATGGGGGGACGTCGAGTGATCAGGCGTATAAGAATGTGTCGTTTTGGTTGTCGAGTAAGGGTTATGGTGTTTTTATCGATGCGCCGGAGAGGGTCGAGCTGGAGATTGGGAGTGAGAGGTGTTGTCGGGTGCAGACGAGTGTTGAGGGTCAGAGGTTGAAGTGGTATATCATCTACGGTCCCACGCCGAAGGAAGTCTTGAGTAGGTATACGATGTTGACTGGCAAGCCGAACAAGGTCCCTGCGTGGAGTTTCGGCCTCTGGCTGAGCACTTCCTTCACGACTGAGTATGACGAGAAGACAGTCAATGGCTTCCTGGAGGGGATGCGCGAGCGAGATATTCCTGTGCAAGTCTTCCACTACGACTGCTTCTGGATGCGAGGATTCCATTGGTGTGACTTCGAGTTCATGTCTTCGCATTTCGCGGATCCAAAGGGTCAGATAGCGCGACTGAAGGAGTCGGGTCTAATCACCAAAGTCAGTGTTTGGGTCAACTCGTATCTAGGACAGGCATCGTCGGTGTTCAAAGAGGCTGCTGAGAAGGGATATCTGCTGAAGCGCAAGAACGGAAACATCTTCCAGTGGGATCTGTGGCAGGCTGGAATGGGAATTGTTGATTTCACGAACCCAGAAGCTTGCACGTGGTTCGTCGACTGCTTAAAGAAGCTCTTCGACACAGGCGTGGATGCCATCAAGACCGACTTTGGCGAGCGAATTCCGACTCAAGATGTACGGTGGCATGACACAAATGTGGATGCTGCGAAGATGCACAACTATTACTCGTTCATCTACAACAAGCTCGTCTTCGAGGCGTTGCAGCATCGGTACGGGAAAGACGAAGCGGTTCTCTTCGCGAGGTCAGCTTGTGCTGGCACGCAGCGGTTTCCTGTCCACTGGGGCGGCGACTGCGAGAGTACCTTCGAAGCAATGGCGGAATCGTTGCGGGGCGGTCTGTCACTGGGGCTGTCAGGATTCTCCTTCTGGTCCGTGGATATAGGCGGCTTTGAGGGATATCCAAATTCGACCATTTACAAACGATGGGTCCAGTTTGGCTTGCTGTGTTCGCACTCAAGACTACACGGAAGCAATTCGTATCGTGTGCCATGGCTGATTGACGATGACGACAAGAGCGAGCAAGGCTGCTCGGCAGTGCTTCAGAAGTTCACACAGTTGAAGTGCAGGTTGATGCCTTACTTGTACAGCCAAGCCATGGAGTCCATCAAGCAAGGATGGCCTGTGAGTGTCCGAGCGATGGGGCTGGAGTTTCCCGATGACCGTACTGCATGGTCGTGTGATCAACAGTTCATGCTGGGTTCGAGCATCTTGGTTGTTCCCGTTTTCGACGAGACTGGAGAAGTCGACTTCTACCTCCCACGAGGAACGTGGACAAGCATCTGGGATGATAGCACAATCAAAGGCCCTCAATGGGTGAAAGAGAAGCATGGCTTCGACACGCTGCCATTGTATGTAAGAGAAGGGACAATTCTGATAATGGGCAAGCCTGGGGCAATACGTACCGTGTACGACTGGACATTGCCTGGAGAGCATGAGGTCCGACTGTATGAGCCGAGGGCAGACTCGAGATTTTCCTTGTATGACGCCGAGGGGAAGCTCGCTGCCGTTCTGGAGGCGGAAGAAGATCGTGGCGTGTGGAATGTTAAAGGAATGGAAGCTCGAGTGCGCCGTCTCAGTAAGGACCAGAATTACTGAGAAGATGTGGCGGTGCAGATCGTGGTCTGTTCTGACTTCCTGAGTAGGTAGTCCGTGAGGTGCGGCAACCTTTCCTTAACTTACTTCGCAGCTTGCTCCGTAACTCACTCCTCAACTCCTTCTCAGCTCACTTCGTAACTTACTTCTAAACTCACGTCATTAGTCTTTAACTTCAATCGACGTAGTGCTGTGCCAATCTGGTGGAAGCCATGATAATTGCGCTGCCGTTGCGTTCAGCTCGCGCTTGTGAAGACAATATAGAGCAGTCTCGCCGCAGTGAGGCCGTTTAGGTGTAGAGTAGTAGTATAGTGATGATGAGGAGAAAGGCCCTTGTAAAGCTGGAGAGTGAAGTGTAGTGGCAGTACCTGCCAGATGAGGTCGAGGATCAGCGGCGCAAGGAGTCTGGACCAGATGAGGCTCGTGAGGCTAAGGCAGCGCCTCACATATGACATTCTAGTTGGAGCTATCTCCAAAGGCCACGGCGTCGGCCAGCAGCACCGCCCTCTGAAAATCTGACCTGGAGTTCATCGTGATCGCAGCTGGACGTGCAGTGTCGTTGTTGTTGTTGAGTGGCCGCGTCAGACGTCAGAACGGCTTGGGGCATTGAATTTCAATGTCACCAGCCACGATTGTGGCTCAGTCGTGCACAGACCTTCGAACATGATGACTGTCTTCGCATCCAGGCTTTCACTCACACATCCATCTTCGGGTCCGAGGCCACGTTGGTCGACACCAGCCCTACCCGTCGCAAACCATCCCATCCGACCAGCTCCTCGCTATCGAGACGATGTATCAGGTGGCAAAACCACAGCTCACGACGTTATGCAAGTGATTGGATCCTAAGGACATGCCAGAGATTGCGGCCGCAGTAGCATGTCTCGGAAGCACGACTTCCATCCACGCCCCTTATACCACTGTCGACTGTCGCTCCCAGCCATCCGCTCAGGGGATCCGCGTGCCGTCTCCATGTGCCATGAAACAGAGACCACCAACCTGGATAGCGTCGGCACATTGCTGCTCGGCATCCAAACACATGCGGTGGGACGCCCACAGATTTGACATGCAAACTTCCACTCGAATATCATCCATTGGGTTTCGCCGCACAGCGGGATGACAGAGAAAAATCTCATCGACCATGTCGAGTAGTATGGAAGACAGCCGAGAGGCTAGCAACTAGCCAGGAACAACGCAGGAACGCACAACGCCATCAAACCAACTTTTACTCAAATCAACCAACTTTGAAGATCGCAGCCCACTTCAGGCTCTCGTCGCCACTACCGTGGCGGTGCATTCGTCTCCATCTCACGCGTAAGCCACAGCTCGACCATGCAGGGACGTTGACGGTCTATTGCGCAATCCGGCCAATGACAGTCGGCCTGGTAGGTGAGCGAGGCGCAGGTCAGAGAGCATGGAGGAAGACGGCAGTCAGTACGTTCCTCCTGCATAACGGAAACGCCGACACGGACTCGATAGCACGATCAGTCTCGCCCTGTTCGATGTCGTCGGCCAGGCTGGAGGCTCAAGACCGGTCGTTCCTGGTCAAAGAGCCTACTTCCCCGAGCAGAGGTATTTCACATGGACAGTATCGTGGTCGTGTGAGCCTCGAACACTCTTGCACCCCTTGTTCAGCCTCACGACACATTTCTCCTACTCCACACATGAACGTCTCCCGGCCTGGTCCCCCTAGTTGACACGTATCGGCAGAGCCTTCACGCAGATTGGTGGTGTGAGCGACATTACATCTCCTGCAGTGACCGGACACGTCCACACTATTGTGGGCATTGCCTGAGCTTTCTATAGCTCGATGTGGACGAAGCCACTCGAAGACCCATCTGACAGAAGACGCCTGGCATATTGGATGCTGAAGACGTGATCGCTGCGGTTACGGTGTATGGCTTCTACCCCTTCGAGCGCGAGTGGTGGGCGTTCCCCAGGCGGAAGCAGTACCGTGCTGCCATATCGCATGCATGTCTCACAACGATACCTCGATTTGACACGACAAAAGCTGGATCTTGCTCGACTTCCACGGGAACCCCAAACTCGACAAAATCAGGCAAATGTCGGCGTTTCCAAGGCACAACTCGAACCACTGGTCGACCATTGGACCGAAGATTACAACTGGCGCGAACAGGAAGCGTACTACAATGAAGTTCTTCCTCAATTTCGGCTGGCCATACACGGAACGCGAATACATTTCGTGCACAGACGGTCGAACTCGATGAACGCGATCCCTCTGCTTGTCGCACATGGCTGGCCTGAGAGCTTCATTGCGGTGTCGCACGTAATTGAAGCGCTGTGCAATCCCGTGTCCACGCCGCCAAGGGGAGACGAGAACGTACCGACATTTCACATTGTGGTTCCCAGTATACCCGGGACTGGCTTTAGCGATCAGGTCGCAGAGGAAGGCAACAACATTGCCACAACAGCAGAAGCGTTTGACGCGCTCATGAAGTCTCTTGGCTATTCGAGATACATCGCACACGGCTCGGGATGGTGAGTCTGACCAGGACACAGAGCGCGTGAAGAAATAGCTGACTCTTGGACAGGGGTTTCAGAATCTGTCGGATGATTGCTCTCACACATCCAGAGAGTTGTATGGCGGTGCACACGGCAAACCCAGAAATACCACCTCCTAGGTAAGAAGCGAAGCTCGGTTTCCAGCGATACAGAGCTGACGCGCGCCCAACAGACAGCCCAGCTACGGCTATAATCCACACGATATGAGCATGCCTGGAACACCGCTGCAGGTGCCGATGCAAGTGCCAGTGACTGTGCCAGGCCTCTCACCACCCGTATCGCCCGGTGCTCTGCAGCAACAACAACGCGAACGACCACAGACAGTATCATATGCGTTGTGTGACTCTCCCGTTGGCCTTCTCGCATATGTCGTCGACGCCATTCGACTACCACGACATCAATCGCCGCCAGTGTCGCGCTCAAGTTCTAATAGTCCGAGACCGCCGACTTTGCCTGACCCGTGGTCACCAACGGCTCTCATCAGCTGGGCGATGATGTACTGGTTGCCGGGACCTGAAGTTGCACTACGATGGCTTTCCAATTCTGGACCAATGCTACAGAATCTGTGGACGACACACAGCACCGTGCCATTGGCCATCTCGCAATTCGGAGACCAGCATTCATCACAATCGGCCCCGATGTGGGCAGAGGCGTATCATCGAATCGCCATGGTCCGCAGAAGAGCTGGGAGCGTTCGGTTTGCCGCGTGGGAGCGACCGGGAGAGATAGTTCTCGACCTTCGAGAACTTGCGATGCTGGTGGCCCCCTCATACTTCGGCGGTTATGTTGGGCCTGGGGCCATGATGGAACACTAATAATTCTGATTCTGACGACGATACCCCCAACTTTCAGCTTGAGAATGTCGTCCAACGGTACATACGATACGCGGAGGACTCTGCAAAAGAATACAACATTACTTGCATGTGAAGAAGCAATGGAAACACGATGTTCACCGTCTGAAATGTGTTGGAATAGTGCCGTATTGCTGACCAATGAGAGTAGGGCGAAAGCATGTGCGTGTGGCTTGGCCGAGTGAATCTCGATGTCGTGTGGCGAAGCAGAAGCTCAAGCACCAGCCAAGGTGACAAGTTGACGTGCGGAAATTTGCAGCGCACGGGAAACTTTTCACCGCGTCCAACTCACAACATCATCTCCCTCGACAAACTCCCCACCACCGCACTTCCGTATCCGCTGCTCAGTCAGCAGATCGACGACGACTAGCAAGAGTTTGCCGCTGCAATTGGCAAACACGCACGAGACCAGACACCGCGACTACTCGCCTGACACTTATCTCTTGCCTCTCTCCACGCTGGCAACCACGACGCAGGCACCAAACACCCTCCATACCATACTGAGACCGGCTCCTGAATGAAGAGCCGCTCTCATTTTGACCGCCCCTAAGACACCACCACCGCATTCTATGCGTCCAGAAGACCTTCTGCGCTGCCTGTGCAAGCCCAAGAAGTAAGAACAGCCCATCCCTCCAACACTGCGACCGTACTGAAACTCGTCAACAGGCCTAGGTAACACCAGCCACGACCTGCCTTGACATACCATCCCCACGAATCCAAGCCCGACCGAGCTGCTGAACAATCCCTCGACCCGATACGCCGCCGGGTATCGGAGAGACACTCGACCACCACCACCAACAGTCGGCACCATTCCACGCCGCAAGAGCTCTTTTATTCCCCTTTCCGCGCGCCCTCCTTAAGTCGACCACGGTCGTTCGATCCCACCCAGAAAAGAGCTTGCTGCTGGCGTAAGCCAGCCTCCATACCACACAGCCAGATTAGTGCTTGGAGATGGTCAACAACGTCGAGATTCCACCACACTACACCGACTCGCCGTCATCGCTCGTGGGTACACCACATTTGACTATCAATCGAGACATTACTGCTCTCGATCTTGACTCCAGCAATGCCTTTGAGGGACCAGAGAAACTCTTAGAGGTGTGGTTCAGTGCCTCGGACCGGGCATTGCCCGCCTCTGCCAGCCCTCATGGACTCAAGGCAGTCTCTCAGGACTCGTGGAAGGAGATGCTTGATCTTGTCAACTGCAAGGTCTTGTCGGTTGTCGAGTCTCGCAATGTCGACGCTTATCTCCTCTCCGAGTCCAGCATGTTCGTCTTCCCACACAAGCTTGTGTTGAAGACTTGCGGCACCACCACTCTTCTGTGTGGACTCCCGCGCATGCTTGAGATTGCAGCTCTCGAGGCTGGCTTTCCACATGTCAAGGCCAATCTTCCTGAGGGTACTGCGGCGGCTGCGACTCCCCACCGGGTCTTCTACAGTCGCAAGAACTTCCTCTTCCCCAACCAGCAGCGTGGTCCACACCGTAGCTGGCGAGATGAGGTTCGCTACTTGGACAAGATGTTCTTGGGTGGCAGTGCGTACATGATTGGGAAGATGAACGGCGAGCACTGGTATCTGTACATTACTGGACCTCGCACCCAGCTCACGCCGCCGGCAACCCCAGAGGATGACAAGTTGCAGACTCCAACACAGAAGATGATGCTACCAGAGAAGACCAACGGCGCTACTTTGGCTGACACTGAGCCAGAAGATGAGACGTTGGAGATTCTCATGACTGATCTCGAGGAGACGAATGCTCGTCAATTCTACCTCGACAACGCCAGCAGCATCGCCCAAGACAACGCTCGTCAGGCTCATGTCATCCGCAAGGAGGCTATCCAGCACTTGGGTGTCATCCCTGAAGCCAATGGCTCGGATCCAAGCATCTCTGGAAACACCCTCGTCGGTGGCAGCGACTCTGGCTTTGATGTCTTCGCTCAGACTTCCAGCGACCACTCTGGCTACAATTCTCCAGCTGACGAGGAGCCACTGTCGTTTGCGGAAGAGTTGAGTACCGAGGGTCATACTTTGGGATCGGTCGTCACCGAGAACTGCGGTCTCGCCGACGTCTACCCAACCTCCAAATACCCAGACGCCCGCATCGACTCGTACCTTTTCACCCCATGCGGCTACTCAGCCAACGGAGTGGTGCCAATGCCAGGCAACGCCGATTCGACCTCGTACTGGACCGTCCACGTCACACCCGAGCCTCAATGCTCTTACGCCAGCTTCGAGACCAACGTGCCCACTCGTCACACCGGTCGCGACACTGTCGACGTCGTGCAGCAAGTCGTGGGCATCTTCAAGCCAGGACGCTTTTCCGTCACCCTGTTCGAGGCCAAGGATGACAATGACATGGCTTACGCTAAGAGGGATAAGCGCATGGATCACATCCGTAGCTATCGACGCGTGGATCGGATCGTCCATGATTTGGAGGGGTATGAGTTGGTCTTCAGGTACTTTGAGCGCGAGGACTGGAAGGGAACCGATGGACCGCGCATCGGCGAGACCAGCCCGTAGGGAGAGACACAGAAGTGGTAGGGGGGAGGGTTGAAGTGGAAGATGGTAACGGCTTTTGTTGTTTCCTTGGTACTACTGCTCTTTGATGCGATTGTTACGGCTGAGCGAGAACGATGTCTTTCGGGTTTGCTTTTTGGTATTGCTGCGTAATGATTGCGTTGACGATTGAACTGCACTTGGCGATGATGCTTAATATCAGGCGTTTGCTTTGCTCGTTTTCTCTCCATCCCCCTAAATCGCACTCTCTTGGTCTTTCTTTAAGTCACCCTTTCTATTCTTCGCTTACTCCATTACTTTCTCTCATGCCTTCCTGACTTCCATTCCTCCCTCTTCCCCATCCATCCCTTACCCCTCCCTCCCCTTCCCTCCTCATCCTCTAAAACCCCTCCATCGTCGCCCCTCATCCTCATCCTCAACCCACCCATCTCATCCTCCTCCCTCACGGCTTCGAGGGCACGGCGGGAGGGGACGATGCCCCCTGTGCGGGTTACTCTTGACGATGACTACGACGATGACGATGGGGGTGGCTGTGCTGATGGTGAAGGTGAATGTGATGGAGTTGAGAGGGAGGTTCGTGAGGTTAGGGAGGTTGATGGGGAGAGTGATGACGTGGAGAGGGAGAGTGTCCGGGAGAGGAGGATGTCGAGTTTTGCTTCGATGCGGGAGAGGGTTGGGAGGATTGATTGGTCTGAGGGACTGGGTTGGAGTGGGGTTGGTCTTTTAGTTGGGTGTGGTTTGGACGTCGTTGGGTTTTTGGGTTTTGTTGTTGGCGGTTGGGTGTGGTCTTTGAGGGGGAAGGTGGAAAAGGTAAAGGCGATGGAGGCCGCGAGGAGGAGAGGGAGACGGTTGAATGCGTTGAAGATGTTGAGGAGGGGAGGGAGATGGTTGAGGGGCTTGGGGAGGGGGGTTGTTCTGTTGAGGATTGCGTAGGTGTTGGGGGGATGGTTGAGTTCTTCGACATTGTAACTTGGGGGTGGTGGAAGGTTGGAGGAGGATTGATGATTCCGGCGATGAGGAAGGGTATCTGTAGAGGTACTTATTGATTACTTGGAGATCTGATCGTTCACCGTTCTGAAAGTTGCAATGGTGAATGTCGACGATGGATATGGAGGCTTGATCGATCACATCTGTGATAGTTGTTCCATTCATGACTGAAGAAGTATCAAAAGTTCTATTTCGAGGGTTGGGTATATCGATGCAGACAACAGCAAGAACAAGCAGAATCCCGAACAACGCCAAAACATATCAACTCCTCTCAGATTGACCAAACCAGAGATATTCCCAACAACGCCGCCGCTAAACAAGAAGAGACGTAAGATCTTTCGTACATCGTCAAAAGCACCATTCCGCACATCCTAATATTTCGTTGTTGTTGCCGATCATGCGTATAACCTGCTCGATCGAGGGTTACTCAACAGATCATCCCAATCTCCTTTCGCTTTCGCCGCGCTCGCCCTCCAGATCGCATGCGTGGCTGCGGCGTCGTATCTTCGACCAGCGGATTGTCGGAGGGGTTGTTGGATGGAGTAGGCCATGCTCGACGAGGAGGAGGATCGTCTCGTCAAGACCGGTCGGCCGCTGGGTGATGTGGAGACTTTGCTGAGCATGTCTGCTGAGTTGTTCTTTCCTTGCATGTTTCTCAGCCCAGAGGGTGTTGTTGACGAGATGTCCAAATCGCCGGATGAGTTTCTTGACTTGAACCGCGCCCAGCTGCGTCCTAGGAATGAAGATTTGTGTTCGAGCTCCGGTCTTGTGGTGATATGTTGCTCGACATCGAAGTATGACCAGCAGACGGACTCTTGAAACCGAACGCGTTTGTGCGAGGATTGTTTGCTTGATGTTGGAACGCTCGACTCGGTGCTTCGACTACTGCAAATGCTGCTTCGAGGCGACTCTTTCAGACTATCGTGACGATCGGTTAGGGTGGTTGTCTCGGAGTTTGGTGTGCTGTCGGTGTCTGCAGAGAGGTCGAAGGAGGCCGATGAGAAAGCCAGCTTAGGTAGGAGGATCGGTGCGGGCGGGATCGATGATGTGGAGCTCGGAGTCGCCATTTGTGATTGATTAATTCTGGCTGACTTGCTGCTGCTCAAGTGGAGGATTGTGATCTGGTGATCTCGCAGCGGGCAGTCGATAGATGAGCTGGACTGTGATGAATCCGCGTGGAGGCCGCGTGCGTGCCGAAAGATTGTTTAGGCGAACAGGTGTTGACTTATTTTAACCGAAGGGTCTTGGAATTCTGGAAGCCGGCCGAGAAATACGGGTTGTTCGGGCAGAAAGGAATGTCGTGAGTCTCAACGAGGAGGCGAGAAAGACAGTTCGTAAAGACGAATGCCTGCCCGCGTCCTGACAGGACTTTTGTACAACAGCTCTCTCGTTCACAGCCGGGTAACGGGCCCAGGCACACCCACCGTCACCTATCATTCTGGGCGGTTGCTGAAGCTGGTTGAGATGCTAGCGCGTGTTGGATGGCAGTGACACAGAACAGGGCATCCCCAGCCGTTGAGCACGCCCAAAGAGGAAGGAACCCTGTTTGATTCCGCCAGCCGTCATCCGATCAGACTCGCTGATTGGCCTGCTCCTGCCAAGATGGAGCCGCCAGTGCGGATAAGTGCCAGGTCGGGAGACGCATGGAAGGCCCGGTTTAGCATTGACAGCTGCCGATGGATTTCTTGTGCGATTTTGTCTATCGCGGGTGGCACTGTTTCAGCGATAGGGTGCCTGGTATAAGCGAACATGTACGCCGTGAAATCCGGGCTTTGCTCCGTGGCACTGCATTCGCATTCGCATTATTACTCCAAGATGTCCTCCACACCATCACAATATCCTGACAGTCTCTGATTGAGAGAGTGCGTACTGCTTTCGGCTGACGAGGCTCCCGAAAAAGACAAACGTCATTCGAGCATGAACGCTGACGGTTACGCAAGCTGATGGCGCGAGAATGTACCCAGACTTGCGATTGATAAACAAACACGCTCGACCCCATGCAGAGTCTACCCGTGCGGACCACACATCTCCGTCGTGGTGGCGTGTTGGGCTGGCTTTGCGAGAGGTTACGGTGGGAAATGTGTCTTGTTTGGAACTCATGCAAGCGACTGTTTCTGAACATATTATCTGTGCGTTACACCCGGCTCCACGAGCACGCTGCGATGCAATGCGACGCGATTGATGCAGACAGCGCACAGCATCAACCAAACGCAGCGCAAGGGGTTGACTCCCAATTCCATCTTGTACAACCCTTGGGACCAGTCCAGACGAGTCTGGTGCATTTCTGTGCTTTGCTCTCCAATCAGATTTCAAGACTTTGTTCCTTGGGTGAGCGACTTGAAAGACTCCACCTCCGCCTTGTCCCGTGCGACAAACTCGACAGTCCAGTTCCACAGATCTTCTTGTTTGCTCTCATCGTAGCTGTCCTTGCTGCTGTCGATTGACTTCCCCGCTTCGAAATACTTCCCACTAACGCCCTCAACCTCCGACGAGACGGCCAATCTTGCCAAATTACGGCCCGACTCCTGCGGGGTATGGATGTTGGGAGAGAGGATGAGTCGTAGCAGAGGAATAATACGGGGCAGGACCCGGTGCCAGAGGAACTTCTCAACTGCTGATGCGTCTCGCGCGAGGCCAGTGCCGGGCATGAGGCCGGGATCGAAGGCAGTGACGGTGACGTTCGACTTCGCCTTGGTTCGTTGACGGTCCAGGGCGTAAGTCCAGAGAACATTGCAGAGCTTGCTTGTGGCGTAGCGCTGCCGACCAGCATACTTCATGGTAGCTTCGTCAGGGTGTGCCAGAAGCTCTGCTGTGACGTATTTGGCATCGGGAAGACCGCTCTTTTGCGCTGGATCATGAGTACCCGATGACGTGAGGACAATCCTGGCATTGTTGGATAGATAAGGTTGCAGGAGATGGAACAGAAGAGCATGTCCGACATGGTTCACGCCAAAAGTCGTTTCGAGGCCATCCGTGGTGTAAGCGACGCCTTTGGGAAGTTGGATGCCAGCGTTGAAGACCAGCACGGAGATTGGAAGGCCTATGGCGATGATTTCATCAGCGAACTTGCGGATGTCACTTAGGCTTCCTAGATCCAGCCTGAGGTACTTGACGTTCGACTGGCGCAGTTCGTCGTTGATGGCCTGGGCTGCTTCTGCTCCTGAGGATCGCGAGCTGATGATGACTTGAGAGTCTGGTCTCTCTTTCGCTATCACTCGGGCAGCCTCGTAGCCAAGGCCAATCTGACCGCCGGTCACGACGATGGTTGACTTGTAGGACATGTTTGAAGTTGGCTGGTAGATGTGTTTGGTGGGTAGATGTGTGTGGTGCAGGTTCTGGATCGTCACATTTCTGGACCTCCGTGATAGATATAGAGCCTCGCCTTCTCAGCCAAGTCCGGATTTGGACCTCACCATCCATCTCATCTCCGTTGATGGAAGATGTGGTTGCCTGGTGTGATGCACCGTTGATGTGCCGCTGCAATTCTTGCAAATCATACTTCTTTGTTCGACGACCTCTTCGCTGCGCGCGGACAGCGGGAGATGTAGTGAAACCAAGTTGCTGACCCTCTTCGGCTGTGCTTCAACCCAAATGATCCTCCTCGTCCATGATATTTCAGCTGCCGGTCCGAGAGTCGGCATGAAAATCCGAATCCGAGCTTGCGTGTGCCGACATGGAGTCAAGAATGGGTGTAGCTACTGCTTCACCCGTGGAATCCCCAGGCTCGCCAAGGAACAGTCGGATAGATTGTATGCCCGCTTCAGGGTGTCTTGTTCACATGTTAACGCCGTAATGCCCATCGCTGAGGTTCAGGCGGGCAGGGAACCATCATCTGGTCATGACTGCAGGCTGGGCGTATGCAGAGCGTTTCCATTTCCTGAGCACAGCGTCTGCGTTTGCGTTGCCCTAGGTCGCTAGGTGAGGGCGTCGAACGTGAAGGATGGTTGTGTTTGTAGTACGAGAGGTGCAAGTTTGAGAACGGAAGCCACTCCTGGTGCATGCTTGCCTCCCGTCCCGATGACATCTGTGGCTGCCGAATCGCTGACTTCAGGAGATGACTGCAATCTTTCACCTTTCGTGCAAGTCATTCACCGCCATCTCCTTCAAAGACACAGAGGAAAAAAACAGAATGGACGAGAGAACACAATCTGGACGAGGCCGGCCATGAGCGCGGTCGAAATGTGTTCTCTTCGACTTACTTCAGGACGCCGCACACTGTGCCAGGCTTGTACCTCGCGATGTCTTCATCAACACGCGCCTGCCAACAACGAGGACTCGAGAGAGATGAGGAGGTCGAGCAGCAGGAAGTAAAAGGGAACTTGTCGCGTCTGGATGAGACGGGAAGCGACACAGATAGCGCAACGCCTCGGTCTTCTTGGTGGCCACCCTCCGCTGATTCGCTCCGACAGGGGTTTCCAACTTGGCCTAACGACTTCGCGAATATTTCACTGAACAAGGGATGTCATTTTGAAGCTGTTCAAGCGTGCGGTCGCTCGGTTCTGTCCTTGGATCTCGGCCTGAAAAATGGCAACTTGAAAGCATATGCAAGGCCCTGGAATGCCTGAGGAGCCAGACCCATGTCGAGAGTTTCCAACAGCCCCCATGCTGTCGGTCGAGTCAGCAGTGTGGCAGCATTTGCTCTCGCGTACAGACTTTGGCAAGTGACTACGACGGCAGCATGGAATAATCTTCTCACAGCGCAAATTCCAGAGCCCAGAAATGGAAGGTCGTGTCCAGATTGAGCATGAGTCATTGTTTTTGGACATGTTCATGCCATTCGCTTTCCGGTTCAGAGCGCTGTGGGATCCACTGACTGACCGTTGCAGTTCAACCGCATGACATTCCCAGCCATCTCGAAGACCTGCCGCCTTCCAGATGAAGGCAAAGGAATGTGACTCGAGCAACATGGGGCTCAGTCGATGCGTCTCCTTGTTATCAGAGAGCCAAGCCTCTCTTCCGCAGTCGCGGCCTACATCACGCAACATGAAGCACACTCCCTCTTGGGATTAGATGTGGAGGTGTCTCACTTAATCGCGGAAAGGTTCGACAACGTCGATCTACCACTCTTTCGAGGAAACGGAAGCTTGCCAAAGAATTTCGATAGTTGGTATGCGCCGGCGACATGCGCATAGTGTTGCAACGTCGCATAGACTATCGCCAAATTTCCTTCACATGTGAACATGTTGCCCGCCGGCAACTTCCACATCGACCACCAGATCGGCGGCTAGGCGTTCATCTTCGTGTTGTTCACAACGACGGCAAATCTGATGAACCAAGCGGAAAATTTCCTCTCCTCCACTATCGGGATCGCCTACGACGGCGGTGGAGGCAGGCGCGGCAAAAGATCAATTGACTCGAGGGCGTGCAACCACAAGCATCTGCATGCTCTCAGGCCGAGCTTGATGTCTCTACCAAGCTTCATCATATGTGCAGAGCCTCAAACCCTCTGTGAGATAAACTCAGATTCAATCTCCAAGTCCATTACTCATATTGCAGAGAGTTGAGTAGTAGAAACTGGAGAACGCATGGCCGAGGAACGATGTTCGAAGAAGCAACGAAGAATGGTTCCTTGGAAACGTGCTTCCCCGCAGATGCTGGGAACCAGTGTGAAAGGCGTGATACGTCGAGGGCCTGGCATACCACGTCCAAAACCCCCGTAGCGCCGGCCAATTCGCATCCCTGCCGGAAAAGGCAAGTAGAGCTGCACGTTAGCCTCGAAAGCCCCCGCCCGGTAGTAGTTTCCCTGCCGCAGGTGTTCCTGGTCTAGCGCCAACTCACCACAACAGACTTCACGCCAAACTTTGGCCCAGCGTGACGAAAGTTCTCGCGGTTGTGGCTGCGTCGCCGTGACAGGCTTGACGTCGAATGCAAGCCACGCCGATCGCTGCGCTGCTTGCGTCTTGATGGAAGAACGCGGGGAAGAATTGAAACTCCTCCAAGGTCACTGACGATAATGGGGGAGCTCCGTATCTACTCATATCGGCTCGGCGAGACAGCCTCCCCCTAGTCGTCCGCAACGATCAACCCCAAAGTCCCGTGAATGGCTGGGTGGACACGCTTGGCGACGAACATCATGCCTCGTCTGGCGCGGCAGGGCACTGTATCGTCGAGGGACCGACCATTTTGGAGTGAACCTTCACCTCGATGTCCGTGCGTGCACCATCCCACGTCGACGGCGAGGAACGGCAATGGCGAATCACGTCAAGCCAGAAGTCAGCACGGTGCGGTCGATGTGGTGCCAGTCGCAGAGCTTGTCCACGAACGAGGGGCGTAGCTTGACACGCTCGCGTCTTCCACCAAAAGTGTTCTCTGAGAGCTGCAAGGTAGGCCAGGCGCATTGAGGCATACGAAAGAATAGTCGATTGGGATCCCGACCGTTTGATGAGAAGACACGGCGAACATGGCCACTGAACAGATAGACTACAACCCTGGCAATGCTGCTGATCGTCAAACATTCTGGGTGCCACCTCTTGAGCATATCGAAGCGCAGACAATCGCATTACCACCCGGTGATCAAATCGGCATTGCAATCATCCAGCCATCGATTGTCTGCTTCCGCACAACGCCCACTTTTGACGAGAATCGATTTATCGAAGCAGTGAAGACCGCGGCATCATGCATACCTTGGGAGATACCCTTAGCAGCTGGCCGAGTGGTATGGGACGATGAGTCGAGACACACGATCAAATGCGAGATCCCACAAAACCCCAAGATTCAAGTCAACATCAAGAGACTGCCACACCGGGATGCGGCGCAACTCGACGCCCAGCATTGGCCGCCACATGCCCTTCAGATTCGCGAGATCTGCTTGTATGATAGACCATTGCCAGCAGTCGGCAACTTTGTGTTCGGAGTACAGGCGAATCTGATCAAGGGCGGTGTGATTCTGGTGTTGCACATGAACCACATACTCTTGGACGGCCCATCACACGGAACATTCGCAGTACTGTTCGCACACCATCTATCGAGAGCGGTCGCTGGCAAACCTCCCCGAAAGTCTGGAATGGTGCCTCCTGAGGCTCTGGACAAGTCTCTTGCGCAAGGAACTCATCCTGCAAGGAATATCTTGAAGTGGCAAGATTGGAAGCTGAAGCCAGAGATCGACATCTCGCCAGAGGAACTGCGAGAGATACTCCTAGAGCGCATGGCAAATCTGTCGTTAACAATCTGGCATTTCCCAGCCGACAAGCTGAACAAGCTACGAGCGGCCATGTCGGCTTCAAGTCAAAGCAAGCTCTCCCTATCAACTTGTCTATCAACTTGGTGCTGGAGGATCTTCACAAGAGCAAGGGACCTATCACCAGACGAAGAGACTCGGATGTTGACCCCAGTCCAAACGCGCGGAAGGATAAAAGAGCTGCATCAAAGCTACATCGGCAGCGTGCTGGTCTACGGCCGCGCCAAAGCCACAGTCGAAGAACTGACAACGCTGACGACAAGCGAACTGGGCGACCGCATCGCCAAGAGCGTCGCCTGGTGGACACCAGAACGCATCCGCGAACACTGGGGCTCCATCGAAGACTGCCCCGACATCGCCAAATACCAACCCAACACCAACCGCGACTTCGGCAACGACGTCGAGATGAGCAATACGATGAACTTGCCTTTTTACAAGATCAACTGGGGCGACTCGTTGCAGGTCAAGGCGATCCGCTTCCCGTCGTTGGCGTTTGCGGATGGGTACATCCTGATCGAGCCGAGGCTGTTGACGGGTGGGATTGAGGTGTTCTTTTATGCGGCGAGGGATACGTTGGATAAGTTGATGAGGGATCCGGAGTTTAGGGAGTATGCAGAGTATTGGGGGGCGTCGGATGAGGGGATTGATGTTCTGGCTGCGGAGACGTTGCCTGCGAAGTCGAAACTATGATCGAAATGAGTAGCGGTGCTATACGGCGAAGTGCAATGAAAGATGATATTCATAATGCCAAAGAAAATTCTTCATAGCATGTGTTAATCACAGCGCGGAGCAATTGGAGTATTCCCCCAAGCACATCAAACAAGCGCATTCTTATCAATATAAATCATCAACACGCTTCCCTCATATAAGAAAAAACATATCCACATCATGACGCAACAGACCACACTATCGCAGCCCCATAATACAACCAAGTCAACCCCGTAATCCCCAAAGTTCCCCAGAAAGCAGGCTTCGGCGGCGTGATGCAAGACAGCATCGGCTTCGCCACACCCGTCTTCTCATCACGATCGAGGAAGTCCTCCCTCGTCTTCTTGTTCGGATCTGGCGACAGGCAGTAGACGACCGGCACGATCGAGTTGTAGAAGCAGTCCAGCAGGATCTTGGTGAAGGGAGGGAAAGCCACGGAGGCAAGGAGCCATTTCGGCGATGATGCTTGGGATAGAGTCCAGAAGAGCACGGTAGAGAGGAGGCCGAAGTAGACGAGGTGCATCCAGGCGCCGTCGTAGACGACCGTGCGGAAGAGACGGCCGAAGAAGGTGGTGCTCGCTTGGGCTTTGGTGGCTGCACAGTCTGCACCCGTGGTCTTGAATTTCGCCATCTTTGTCTCGCCGAATATGGAGTGCTTGACGAGCCAGAGGATGCCCTTGAGTTGGTAGGGCAGGTTCCAGAGACGGATGCCGTCGTCGAGAGCAATTGTGCCTTCTGCGGCGGCGGAAAGCATCCAGGACATGATGTAGTTGGATGAGTAGGCGATCGAAGCCAGGATGAGAGAGATTGGGAGGTCGATCGAGCTGTATGTGGGTACGACGGGGCTTCTCGCCAGGAGAAGGATCGTTGGCAGGGAGATCATCAGGAGGAGACGGAAGATTGTCAAGTGCAGGACTGGGATGAGTCCACCAATGCGTTGTCCTAGGGTCTTCTCAGACAGAATCGGGTGGGTAAAGAGCGAGTAGGCGTGGATGATTCCTGTCATCCACTTCGTCTGCAGTTTGGCCATGTCGGTGTAGGTCAGAGCGTTCATGCCGTGTTGGTGCTCCTCTTCAAGGAGTCGCACGCGGTAGCCGTGGGCTTGAAGAATGATGCTGACGATGAAGCTGTCTTCTTGCTTGACCATGGTGGGGAAGCCGCCGAGTTCTTCAAATGTAGATCGTCGGCCGAGGTATCCAGTACCCTGGCAAACAGCCTTGCCGCTCGAATCGAAAACTCTTTGCACTACGTCGGTTTCCAAGTGGAATCTGGGAGCGAGTGTGAACCCTTGTGGAAGGTTGTAGAATTTCTGTGGAGTTCCAGCCAGGGCAACAAGTGGGTCTTCCTCAAGGAATGGAACGGTTGCTCGCAGCCATTCCGGGCCCAGGAGCATGTCAATGTCGACGACGCCAAAATATGGTGCTGCTCCACCAGGGAGCGTTGCGACCAAATCCATGCCGAAGCAGATGTTGGCGGCCTTGGAGTGGATCTTGACCTCCTTCCCTCTGGCGCCGTAGTGAAGCTGGATTGAAGGGTGCTGGGCGCTGATTCTGCCGACGAGATCCTTCACCGCTGGTGAATTGCCATCGTCAAGAATGACAATGCGGAATCGGTCTGCTGGGTAATCTTGACGAATCGCAGCGTTGATGGTGTCTGTGATAATGTCGAGACCCTCGCCGTAGCAAGGAAGGAAGACATCAACGCAAGGCACATCGCTTCCTTGTGCCCGCTTGCGCTCCTGGGGAGTCCATGTCTTGCCCAAACCACCCAGAAGAAGGGCAAAGAGCATGCCACTCACTAAGACGGGAGTCAATTCATGTTCGATCGCCGACGCTCTGGATAGTCGACTCACCTCCAAAGACCCACTCAACCAGAAGAAACGAAATGAATGCTGCCAGCTCGGCATGGCTGGCATATGGAACGCTCTTCGCGACACTGATCCATCTCCAAGTGAAGTAAACAGTGTTGGCCAGGAGAGGCACCTTGGCGAAGTTGATGGCACGCTTCAATGCTCCATTGCGTTGACGCTCTTCCTGTGCCGTCCGCTTCTTCAACGTCGACAAGACAGGGCGAGTTGCAGTGATATTTGGGCCAACCATGGTGTCGTGGTCGAACTGAGAACAATGTCCAAGGAGCAGGGGAAACCAGCTCATACAGAATGTAAATGTCGGGCTTAAGAGACCCTCGAAACGACCATCTGCTTTAGTCGTGTTGGCAGAGTTGCGGGGATCGATGTGATCGTCCGCTCAACTCGCCAAGGGCGTGCGAACACTCAACGGCATTTTCGTGTGTCAACAGGTCGTGTATTTTCATCCCACTCCCCGGACCCTCTCACACTTTCGAGCCGCGGCAGCGGATATCGATAAGGACTGCAGATCAGCAACTTCTCCAAAAGAAGCTGCACTAGTCGCTGCTGCCCTCAATCGCCCGAGCGACGAAACAAAGCCTATCTTGGCCTCACAGATGCACGGGCGCGGCGAAGTCATGATGCAGGTTAAGCATTTGGGACCGTTGAGTTCAATCGTGGTCGTTAATGCCCCTCAGCCTCGGCACAGCACCACCCCGGCCTCTACATGGGGTAGGGCTTTATAGGAACGACGTCTTCAAGCTTGGTAGAAGTTTCAGAAATCCGGCGCTTGAGGCGTTTGACGCAGTGCTGCGTAGAGCTTGACGCAAAAAGCGACCGAGCTGCTGGCGAGTTGTACGGTGGGAGATCGTCCTGGCTGCAGGAACAAGCAACCTGTTAAACATCGGTTCCTGACCGCTTGGCTTTAGGCGGACTTTGCCAGATTGAACTCTGAAGCTTCTTCTTAGTGCCACATGCGGTCAGTGGCTCCCTTCGAAAGAGATGGTCAAGCAGTAGTGTGCTTCTCAACCGTGCTGGCCAGCGAAAAACCAGTGATGAGCATCTCCTGGGTTCGTGGTAAATACGGCCTAACTGAAATCACCGAAGGTGCCGGTTATAACGCCAGAGTTGACCGCCTGTTGAGGCGGACCGGGCCTGATAATTTCGGAGCAGCAAATCGCTTCGAAAAGTCGAAATGGTCGTCCGGGATGCTGTGGTATCCATGATTCTGGTAAGTGTCCCCGCATGCCGCTCTTTACTGGAACGAACCACCTGCGGTTTCAGATGTTGCTTTTGACTGGCATCAATTTACCATTGCGATACAAGTTTCCGCAAGTCGGCACGGCAGTGATTCACCGTCCGTCTGTCTTGCTGAGGGACCGTTCCTCCCTGGGCCTTGGCGTAGCTGTAGGCGAGCATGATCAAGGTGCAGCAGATCACAGTAGCAAGCACTAGCGCCGGTGTTGCTGTATGTCGATCGTGTATACAGACTCGAGGCCGAACTGGCCGGCGGTGTTTTCCACCGAACATGGCCAGGATGCTGGCGAGGATCTCTTTGATGCCAGGGAGACTGGCAGGTTTCAAGGCACGTTGGAGAGCACGCCGGCCCAGAACGTGTTTTGGTAGGCGATGTCTTTGACAAATTTGGACGCCCTATCTTGACCGGCTAGGAGAGAGGTGCAGCGCGAAGCCGTTGCATGTGAAAGTCTTCGGCGTGGAGTCAAGCAAGATGGGGAGTGGCATGCGTCGTCCCGATGGTCTTGGAGTATGCGAACGCACAATCATACACTATCGGATGCTGTCGATGGACTGGTGGTGGTGGTGTAGAGCCTGTTACAATATCGACCTCGGTGTCCGAGATCGTCGCCGTGCTTCTGCTGGCAATAGGACTGGCGCGATCGATCATCTCCATGCCCATCACTCCCACGTGATGGTTCGTTGAAGTCGCGGGGGTTGGAAGATGGAACCTTGTCTCACTTGTCAAGACGGCGCATGCTGATAGAGTCGGGCTTGGACAAGCCCTGCATGTGATCAACATAGCAGCAAGGTCCCCTCTCGAGGTTATTCAAGCTGGACACGCAACTTTTTCGACCGACGCGTCCAAGGCCTTTGTGACACCGACCCTCGCCGTCATTCTTCCAGCAACGATGATTCCGTTCCAGGATCAGATGTTCCTTCGCAAGCTTTCCTTTGGATCTCTGGTCGAGCTCAGCGAACAACAAGGTCTTGGAGCCGATGCTGTCCGACCACGGGTGGCCATCATCGGAGCTGGAATCACTGGCATAGCCACCGCATGTCACATCCTTGACGCTGGGTTCGAGTGCCACATCTTCGAGGCAGGAGACAAAGATGTCGTTGGAGGTATCTGGACCAAGGTGAACGAAACGTCCAGCCTCCAGATCCACTCCCAGTTCTACCGCTTCCACGATGCTGTCGAGTGGGAGAGCGACTACCCAAAACGCAAAGAAATCCTTGGCCAGGTGATGAGGCTCTGGGAACGGTATGACCTGGCTCGTCGGACGACATTTGGTTGCAAAGTGACCAGCACCTACCAAGAGGAAGATGGAAAGTGGGTGGTTAACGACACCGCCAACGGCTACTACGACGGCCTGGTCGCAGCCATCGGAACGTGCGGCGAGGTGTATTCGCCCTCGATTCCAGGTCAGCAATCTTTCAGAGGCCAGGTCATCCACTCTTCCGAGCTTGATGTCAAAGCCGTCAAAGGCAAGAACGTACTGGTGGTCGGGGGCGGCGCAAGTGCTGTCGAGGCGCTGGAATTCGCTTGTGATAACGGAGCCTCGTCGGTGAAAGTGCTGGCAAGGGTATGGTTTCCGATGCAATCCATACGAGAGGAGCAAGGCTAATTTGATTGGCAGTCTGAGCGCTGGTTTATTCCAAGACATCCCATGCTCAATGCATGCCTGGCTGGAACAATTGGTGATCGATATGGTATCCTGGCGTATATTCTTGGCTTCTTCCTACGTCTGATCTTCTACCGGGAGTTCTGGGACATGGCACCTCCAATGAACGGCAAAGACGATCTCTACTCCGGCACTCCAATCGTGAACAGCCGTGTGTTTGAGCTGATGGTAAGATCATCCCAGCTGCTCCTGAAGAATCAATGCTGACTCCCACGCAGAGACAAGGCCGCGCCAGTTGGGTCCGCGGTGACATTCTAAACTTCACACGCAGAGGCATTCGTTTCTCTCGACGCAAGGGTGGCGCAAAAGAAGGATCTCTTGGCGAAGAGCGCATCGAAAAGGGTGACGTATGCATCCTGGCCACCGGTTACCGACGACCTTCTCTCTCTTTCCTTCCCAAGTCGAAAGCTAGCAGCAAGTACCAGCCGCCAAACTGGTTCTTGCAAGTCTTCCCAACGGAAAACCCCACGGTATGCGCGACCAACTGCACCTGGAAAGACGGCATCGGCAGCGTCGGCGGTGCACACATCGGCATCTACACTCGCTTTTTACTCGTGTTCCTCCTCGACCCACGAACTGCTCCATCCGAGACCATCATGAAGGCTTGGGTTGACCTGGTTCATATTCTTAAGCGCCCTTATCCTGGCGGCGCTCTTGCATTCGTTACGTCGGCTGAGCTGTTCGGCTGGTTCCTTATCGTCATGCTGGTTCAGCCAGCGTTGTGGCCGTGGATTGGATTCATCTGGAATGGACCTGGTCCCGACCCGAACCCAAAAGAGTCACAGAAAGCAAGGCTGGGCCCTACGCAGGTCGAGATAGCCCTTGAGCAGAAACAGTGATTTTGAAGAGGCTTGTTGTTGGTGATACCCATAGAATGTGCAGGACATAGCAGTGCAGGGCACTGGACGCTGACGTACGTCACACACATGATAGAATTCCTTTTGGTAGTGTTTGATAGTTCCATAATCCAGTTGAGATGATGGCCAACGAGTGATGGCGTCAGGTCGGAGAGGAAGCTTTCGGGCGAAAGGTGTGAGGTCCCGAGTTCCGTAACCGTAGTACGCCGTATTGGCGGGCCGGCTACGGCTGGCTAAATTGGCGGTGAGACATAAATCCAGGCCTAGGTCCCTTTCGTTCTTCCTCCACTTGTGTTCCTCCTCTTCACCTTCGAAAATCGACCTCAATCGTCGACGACCCTCAAACACCCCTCCATGGATTCCTGACGGATTAGAAACATAATGGCTCAGATCGGGGTCAAAATTGGCGAGGCGCTGGCTGCTGGAACGGCGTTCGTGTACGGCTGCTTGTACCTGACTGCAGCTTTGATCTATGCTGTCCAACAGAAAGAGTTCTGGTCCACGTCTAACGATGAACAGAAGGCTCGAATAGCGAAAGGTCAGTTTGTCCATCTGGCAACATGGCATTGCTGATGACTGGGCGATTTCCAGCATCTCAAGAACTCTGGTCTCTTTCAGCAAAGAGCGATTTCCTGTCGCACCATTTCGTCACATTGTCCGATGGCAAGCAGTTGCATTACCTCGCCCCTGTCCAAAGCCCGCAAGAGGCGGAGACTCTTATCGTGTTCGTCCATGGTTTCCCAGACTCTGCTCATCTCTTCACCCGCCAACTTCGTTCTTCGCTTTCGAATCGCAGCAAGCTGGTGGCCTTGGATCTCCCTGGGTGCGGTGGCAGCGATGACTTCGAGAAGTATGGTCCAAACCAGGTTCTTAATTCCATTGCCTCCGCCATTGTGAAACTCAAGCAACGGTATCTTGGCACTGGATCGAAATATAGATGCATCCTGGTGGGCCATGATTGGGGAGGTGTCGTGGCGTTTCGTATCGCTGCAGAGGAAGAAGGCCTAGTGGATCATGTCGTGACAATGAATTCGCTTTATGTAAGGCATTTCTGACTTGTTCTAGATTCCTTGAGGCTGATAGAATCATAGCCGGCGTACGCTGAAGAGACCTTGAAAGGATACCTCGCCCGTGGATCCGGTTTGCTCAAGGAATGGCGGTTCTCCGAAGGACGAAAAGCGCTGGGACCGGTTTGGTCGCAGATTCGCAAGTCAGGCTACGTAAGTACTGCAACAATTACCAGTCTTGGGCAGGGTAGCGTTGACTTCGTGTGCGTAGACATATATGTTGACGCTCCCGTTGCCGATTGCGAGAAGCATGCCCCGTGTCACAGCTTGCCTAGTCAAGTATGTGCATAAGATGCAATATAAAGAGTGAGTGATTCTCCCATTTCGTAGCCTCCTTGATCCTGTCGTCGCTAGCGTCGTTGATAAGCAGTGGAAGGTGCTGATTAAACCAGGCCAGCGGAAGCACTGTCCGCTGCTGCAAAGCGCTTATCCATGGCGTACGGACCTGGACCCGCCGATTGTGATACATCAACACCAGACGGCCAGACTTATGGAAGTTCCGTTCTTGCTCGATCGTTCACGAACCCGCCAGGAGACTGGGACCAGAAAGTTCGCTTATATTCCGAGGGCCTGCTCCGAGAGCGGTGGACGCCATCATTTCACACCGGTGAAGGTCCTGGAAAGAGTTCGGAAGGCTCGGACACGTCACCACAAAAGTTCAAGTGCCCTGTCAACATCATCTTTGGAATGAAAGATGTTGCACTGGACCCTCGTGTCGTCCTGGACGGGATCGAGAAGTACATGTACTCCAAGGAGGATGAAAATGACGATGTGGCGGACGCCACACACACGGCAGAGAGGATCACCAGACTGCCAGACTGCGGCCACTGGTCCATCCTTGAAGACGAAGGAGTAATCGCTCTGGACAAAGTGCTTCGCGAGATCGTGGGAGGGAATGGCATATAAAGGGTTCCGGAGGTGTTGGTTGAGATATGGGTCTCGGTTTCCCTCATAGCGTAGACCAATCCGCCAATCAGAAGGCTGTCGTATCTCGTAACTACCCCATAGTGGGCAGTGGCTGATGAAAGCCCTGACGGACTTCACACATCCGTTTGCATAATAAATGACCTTGACTTTCGCGGGATTGCAACAGGCTTTTGATACGCGATTTCCCTCGAGGTGGATTGGTAGGCTCGCAAGTCATGCAACTGGTTCGCCTTGTCCCCATTGCTATCTCTCAAAGAACAACAAGTCCAAGTCTCGTCTAGATCTCAGACAGCCCTCCGATTCACTAAAGATCCTTCCAACCGAAATCCGCAAGCATTACCAAGTCAAGCGAAATCTAGCGACCAGTGCGCGATACCAAGGCGCCCATTGAAAACTTACGATTCGATCGCGAGCTCGTCTATCTCACGGAGCTGATCTAATCGCTCGCGAACAACCTGTCAGATATCCGAGATCCACTTGTGCATCCTGATCATGTGGTATCAGGCAAGGATTGTTTGCATGATCGACCATATCGCCATAAAGCTTGTTCGACCGTCAGGGTGACGCTCTCGCAGCTAAGACCTTGGAGATAAAGGCGCTGGGACGCCTGCTCTTGTTGTTGGAAGATTTGCTGCATTTGACACTGCTGTTCTGTACGATGCCTTTGACATTGCAGCCGCAAGGGCCTTGATGCAGCGTCGTCACAGTCTTCCGGATCCTGTGAATTTTTTGAGTTTGAAAGTTCACTCGCCACGTTTTGATGTCTCGATCGACCGGTGAGAGGAGGCTCTTTGACGTTCTGACTGCCGAACAAAACACGTGGATGATGTTTTGTTGCATCAACGCCCGGGCTGGTCCGGTTTGCCGGCAAATCGTCTGGTTCAACCTCTAATCAAGCTCCAGTTGACAGATTGGATTTTATGGCCAGTCGTCTTCACTCGACGTTCCGCTGAAAGTAGACCGCACGGAAAGGATCGTTTCTCATCACCCTCGAAAGCAGCCAGGCCCATCATTGGAGTGCAAACTGGATGAATGGCAAGCCCAGATGTGGATCCGTGTTCAACTTCGGACTCAAAGTCGAGCCATATGATGAGTTTGAAGTTAATGATTAGACATTCCGCGGAAGTTTGCTCATGGGTTGCTCAGCTTCGGATTCAAGTATTCGTAATAACGCTGCAAAGGTTGCACGACGCTGTTGGCGAAGTCTGCCCTCCATCTGTCGTCTTTGACAACGATCGGTGCTTGTCTCAAAGTCCAGTTGACGGCGGTCGCATAGTCTTCACCAGCTTCTCCTTGAACGTCTTCCAGCCATTCGCAGGCTACAGCTTGCCGAATCATTGGGTCATTTTTGCCTGCAGCAAATGCCGGGTTCGACCACAGGTGGTGCTCTTCGAGCCGGCTACCGAAACAGAGCTCTAGCAAGACTATCCCCAGCGTGGAAAAACTTCGGTCTTTCTTCACAACGTTGCCGTTAGCAGGGCAGGAGTCGAAGTAAGTGAGAATGTATGGCTCCCCGTGCAGAGCCTTGGCGTTGCCTGCGTAGGTGGGAAAGCACACATCCTCCGCCGTCCAGTACTCCTTGAGCCAAGGAGTCGAGTAGAGCTGTAGATGTGAAGAAGCCAACGTGAGCGCGATCCCATATCGCTGTACACGAGTCAACTTCCCCGCGAATTGTGGCTGCAACATTTCAGCGAGTGTTGCGCTGTCTGCCATTGTCACTGGCTCGACAGCGGGAAAAATGGCGTAGTCGTGGTCGCCTTCGCTAACGGTTCCTAGGCACAAGCCTGACTGGTGTGACCCGTGAACAGCGGAGCAGGATTTGCAGATACCGTCCGCTTGGATGTCTGACAGAGGCATGCGAGCTGCACATGCCGTTGCAGACACAGAGCGCGAAACCAGTGTGACCGTTGACGAGGCAGAAGACCTGTGATCGCATGAGTTGCCGCCAGGTTTGCCTCAGAGAGACGTACTCACATTGTTGACAACTTCCCAGTTGCTGACGTAGAGTGGATAGCGACAGACGAAGTCGATCGGGTGGTCGAGCCTGTGCCACTGGGGATTCGCAAGGTAGGAGGAACGTCCGTAACATGCATGGGTTGTTGTCCATGGCAAAGATGTAGTTTCATCTTCATATTGACCTCTGAAAATGTACGATGCTGCAGCCAAAGTTGCGCCTTTGACCGACAGTTGCAGTTCCAAAGACTGTCAAGTATGCGGAAGATGCTTGCCGCATGTTTCCAGAAGTTTAGGGACTTATTACTCGTCTTTCTGGGAGCCGATACCTTGGAATGTTGCGACAATGCGGAGATACGGTCATTGGAGGCCAGCACGTCCTGAAGGCGGGTATTGTAGCCTTCGATTTCAGCCAAGAGATCCTCGCGCCTACCACCGCTGAATGAGTATTTGACTCTCTTGGCTTCGAAGGCGATATTAGCTTTGATCATGAGATCAGTTTGAGCTTGTTGGTTTGGCGTCGCTGAGGTGGTCCTCTAATCTACAAGTCAGCGTCCGCACGGCACGCTCATTCGTATGTTTGACGAGGGGCTTCGTGTTCTCTTCGCCTGCGCAAGGCTTTTCATCGTCTGCGCAGTGGCATGGATATTAACAAGTTTTGGACCATGACATACCTCACCTTTCCTTCTGAGCGCTTCTTGGAAGTCGGCGTCGTCCACGCGACACTCCTTGCTTAACCTGCCCATGGTCTCAATCAATTCTCCTAAGATTTCCACATAGCGCATGTGACATTCCGCAAGGCGCTCCTCCAACGCATTCTCGACGTGCTCTTCTCGCCACCCGTCCCCACCGGGGCTCGCCAGGAGCGATTCGTATTCACCCTTGTTCACCACGCCGTCCAGAACCAATGGGAGTAGCAGCTCTTTCAGGTTCAGCTTGAACTTCAAGTGACAATCTTTCACCCGGCCGAGATCCTTCTTGTGCGCTCTTTTGATCCTCCACCATGTAGTGCTGACTTTCTTCACGTCTTCGTAGTGCTCCATGGCCGAAATGACGAGGGGGAAAGCCCCTAACACCAGCCCGACCACTTCGATGCCGCTCATGATGTTGGGGTGAGGCTGCCAGACGAGGCGAGACGCGGCTAGTTTGATCCGCTCGGCGAGGCACTGGTTGCCTTGGGTGGGTGTCGACTGGAGCAGTACAAGGTGAGGTCGCTCACAAACACCGTGTCGCGGTTAGGAGGTTCCACATGGCGAAGCAGGTGGTGAGCTGTTACGTCTGCCACCGGCTGTGGACAAGGCCGCATAGTCAGCGCGCCTCTGCATTGCCGCACCTACATGATGGCGAATGGGGGCTGAAAGGCCCCATTCATCGTGTCACTTGTGGCATAGCCTGCAGCATGGGCTGATGCATTACTGCGGAGGCGCATATCAGCTCCACGTCCTGAATATGCACAAAGGCTAGGACCACATATCTGGCGTAAATACTTAAGAGCGACGAATGCCAGCGAAGAAGTGAGCTTGTTGGTATGCAATCTGGAAAAGGATTGAAGCCAGGTGAATGTCTTCGACTCCAAAGTCCGGGCCGCTTGCTGGCGCTGGCTCATCCGCAATAGCCGACAAAACAAAGGCATGCCTTCAGAGCTTCAACAACATCTTGCGAACCTCCACTTTGAGCCAGGACGCTCAAGATGCGGTCAACGATAATCTCTCACGGTTCCGAATCTGGGCTGGCAACATCGGCGCATACCATGTCGATTCCAGGTCGGCCGACTACCGTGTGCGAGATGCGCCTGAAATCCAGGAGCGCATCATCGAGCTGCTCGATGACCTCGACGAGATCAATGTTGACGTCTTCGCCATAGTCTCAGGGGAGAGGGAAGACGCTGCGCTTGTGGAGGACGATGAACCGGCTGATGGCATTGACGGCCAGACCGAGTTATCAGAGCTCTGTCTTGCAGCAGGTGATACCATCTCAAGCCTCCTGAAAGTCGCCGCTCTCCTTCGTAAAGCAACCGGTCGAGATCGATATGCGAAGGCGGCTGCCGCGGTCGACGATCCATTCCTAGAGAGCTTCGATATCAGACATGTTGGCGAAAAGTTCCCGAAGCTCGATCGGATGCCTTGGTTGAGAGACAAGTTGGGAAGAGCCAATGTCCAGCGACGGCAGTATCTGCGCTATGCAAGGAAACATCATGATCGTCTTGCTCACGAGCCCGTGGGGTCTGCTCAGCCTGCACCAGCGACGTCTCAGGCTCGAGAGAAGCTCGAATCGCCAGGGATCTCCGGATCTCGTCCGAAGACAATGAAGTCGAGCAGACCAACGTTAGCCCCTACCGACGCATCTACACTGAGAGTCGATCTGCTCCCACCTATTAAAGACGTCCATGTGGAACTGTTAGATGAGACCCTTTCGCAGGCAACTTCAGTAGTGACGTCGAGGGCACACCACCAGAAGGACGGGGAGCTTGATGTTATCAGGCTGGGTGAGTTATCCAAGGGAGGCGAACCTTTCGAGTGTCCATACTGCTGGACGATCGTGCAGACCAAACGGCAGAGGACCTGGCGAAAACACGTCCTACGAGACATTCGAGCATGGACCTGTACTTTCGAGGACTGCAACTCAGGGCTTTTTGAGGATCGCGATACTTGGTTCCAGCACGAATTAGACGTTCATCGACGCATGTGGTCCTGTCACTCCTGTCCTGACGCTAATTTCACTTCGTCTGCTCCAATGGCCGCGCATCTCCGTGGTGTACATGGTGGAAAAGGCCCAGAAGCAGTGAAGGCAATCGTTGACGCTAGCTCACGGCCTATTGCTGATATCCCAGCGAATGCATGTCCACTGTGCGATGAATGGGAACTGCACCTCAAGGACAGGGCCAATGAGATGGAGATAGCTCATGGTAGCGCACTAGTTGTGCCGTTACATGACTTTGAACGCCATTTGAGTCAACACTTGGAACAGCTTGCTCTGTTCGCAATACCTCCTACGTTGGAGCATCTTCTGGAATCCGAATCTCAGATTGACCCCAGAGACGTTTCGGTCAAACCTACGGTCGATGTAAGTATCAGCTGTCGCAAGAGTGATTGTTCTGACTGACACTCACCAGAGATTGCAGCTGTGGCGGGATCTCACTTCGCTGCAGCAAGGCCTCCCGGATGTTCAAGTCAGTGATTGGGACGCTGACAACTCGGACAACGTGTTTGATTCTCTAGAACCTGAAAAACGGCTTCGCGACGAGAACAACGAGAACGATTGCAACGACTTCGATGATGACAACGATATCAAGGACATTGCACCTTCTCCAGAACCTGAGTCAGGGCATCAAGGGTTTTACCGTCAACCATTCTTTGACTCTGTATCCGATGCGGTTGCGAAAGATGATGAACCACAAAGAACTTCAGATGATGCGGTCACAGGGGTTTCTGGTATTGAAGACGATTCAGATATATTTGACCCGAATATGTTCAAACTAACAAAGGACTCATTGGCAACATCTGTAAATCGGCCTGTCGCCGACTTTTTCTGCACCACAGACCAGGACCATGCTCCCAACACTACTTTCCACACCACAGACCAGGAAGCACCTGCAGAGTCGAGTCATCAACCAAAGCTGACAGCAACATTGTGGGAAGATGAAGGCACACTGTGTTTCCAGATCGACGCCGGCGGCATCATCGTGGCGAGGCGAGAGGACAACAACATGATCAACGGAACCAAGCTGTTGACCGTCGCTGGGATAGATCGGGCCCAGCGTGACGGCTTCTTGAAGTCGGAAAAAGTACGACATGTGGTCAAGATCGGACCGATGCATCTCAAAGGTGTATGGATCCCATTTGACCGCGCGATGGAACTTGCAAACCAACACGGGATCACTGATCGGCTGCATCCACTGTTCGTGCATGACATCGGCGCTCTTTTATTTCCGGGTCGAAACCCCGGCCTCGTGGACACCGCTGTGGAGACACATTCGCATCAACCGCCGAATGAGCAGCCCCATCATGTGGACGATTATCAGCTTCAGCTCATGCTTCTTGAGCAGCAAAACAAGAAGCGGTTGAAGATGGCCAGGGACAATTCAAAGCGCGTTCACGATGCACTCGGTCCGACTCCATTATGTCGTGCCTGCATCGAAGGAGATTCAGACATGGTGAAGGAGTGGGCGATGAAGGATCCAGAGCAGCTCGAACTTTTCGATGATGATGGAAACATGCCCCTCCATTTTGCCGCTGCAAATGGCTATAATTCGATTGTCGATTATCTCATCGACCAAGAATGCGGACTTGACTATGCAAACAACAATGGTGATACACCTTTGATTAAGGCTGTGAGGAACGGGCATGTAAGCACCGTTGAGATCTTGCTTCGAGCAATTGACGATCCAATCATTCGAAACCGCCAGCAAAAGCAAGCCATGGATTTGATTCCCGAACTAAATCTACTCGCAGACGACACACGAGGAGCCTTGCAGAGTGCTCTATCCGAGAAGAAGCCCTCAGACTCGACGTTGACCGGTGGACAGGAAGGACTGTTTCAAGCAGAGTACAATCGCGCTGGAACATATCTGGAAGTAAACAACATCGAGGAAGCAGTTCGACTTGCTCAGCGCGTGGTAGATCATCGAGCCATGCTACTAGCAGATGACGATGACCGCCTCATCGTGTCCAAACATCGGCTCGCCGACGCTCTTGTCGCGGATAAGCAGTTCGACAAAGCTATCGCTTTGCTTGAAAACATGCGCATGGAAGAGATGTCTGACTTAGATGGGACCAAGCTCAATCAGGCTCGGACGCTGTTGAGACTGGGCCAAGCATATCACGCGAGTGGACGTACTGGAGATGCGATTGATTTGCTGCACGATGCCACCTTGCGGTTCCACAGTCTTCTTGGTGAGAATAAGCCTGAAACGCTTGTGGCCTACCATGAGCTTGCTCGCGCATACAAAACAAGTGGACAATTCGGAAATGCTTTAGACCGCCTCGAGATCATCATACAAGCTGAGAAAGAAGCTCGTGGCCCTGAAAGCCATCGTGGTGTCACGGCAAGATATGACCGTGCTCAAGTACTAGTGGCAATGGGTCACGTAGAAGAGGCCATTCCGGCCCTGGAGGAGGTCTTATCGGTCCAGAGGAGGGTATATGGCCCGGCACATCGATGTGTGCTCGCGACTCTGGATAAGTTGGCCAAGGCATATCATGCCGAAGGGCAAGCGAGGAAGGTGCAGGAGGTTCGCGAATCCATAGCCCACGTTCACGCAAGTAGCTCTCGGGCGTATGAACTTGCGACGACCACTGCCTCTCGAACAGTGCCGCACTCAGAGCACGAGCAGCAGCCAGAAGAAGAAGAACAAGAACAGCTTGTTGCCGACGATGGCATTCCCCAACAAGGGCCTTCACAGTCCAAGCGAGATACAGCTCGTCCCGAAAATGGCCGTGACGTCTCCATCTATCAGGAAATTTCTCTGCTAGACAAAGAAGCTGCCGGTGATGTCAAGTTGACAGCGGAGGCAGAACGTCTTGCTCGAAAGCTTAGACAGGACTTGATACACGGGGAGCGACTGCGGGAGGCTGAAGCCGCTATGCACCGACGAGAGGCGTCTGGTTCCCGCTCTTCTGGCCTCACTGCCGAAGATGGGCAAGAATTCGCAAGACCCAGAGACCATGGCTCAGCTAATTCACAGGCCAAATCACCTAGCACAACGATGGGAAGTAGCGGCACCACGCTACATGTCTACGGTGACGCGAAAGCCGAGCTTCGACCCGGTGAAGATGCAGGCTCGCCTTCATTTGTCGTTGGAAGCTCTGCATCGGGGGCCGACGCAAACGACGCTTCAGATGAAGGCCGCAGTCATGACAACACCTCTCGAGTGGAGATCAGCAGAACGCCGCTACGTAACGCATCGCAGGCTGCCGTCCCCAGCATCCGTGTGTACCCGGCAGAGAATGACAGCGCAGCGAATGTCGAACGTATCTTCAGAAAGCCATCGGAGGTCAACGCAGACGACGCTTCAAATGAAGGTCGTAGTCAAGCAAGCACCTCTCGTGTAGATGAAAGCAGAACGCTGCTACACAATGCATCGCAGGCTGCCATCCCCATAATCCGATTGCACCGGCCAGAGAGTAACAGCACAGCGAATGTCAGAGGTATCCTCAAGAAGCCAACGGAGAGCTTCCCCGACCGCTCAGATGCAGGGGTCGAAAGTGACGCGCAGATTACAGAGGTACGTTTCGTAAGATTTCCCCCATACCCGAGCTAATCGACACGTGTACAGCTCTCAAAGAAAGACATACCACCTGCCGCGAGATGGACAGAGATCGGTCGACATCTTGTTGATCCTGGAGCGCTCGACGAAGCCGGCGAGCGATTTGAAGAACGAACGGACTCGGTCATTGTTTTCCGGGTCTTGACGAAAGAGCAGATTCAGGGGTTCGCGGATCGGACGAGAGAGCTACGAGATGCGGTGCAGCACTCCCGCTCACCCCAGGCTTCACCGACTCCCAGTGGACTAGGGGATGGAGATGCTTCGGCCAATGCAGATGTAGGCTTCCTGGTGACATTTGTGCTCAAAAGTATGCATCAGTTAACACTCACCTTTGCAGGCACCTGAGACAAGCATACCTTTGAGTGCAAGGCGCATCAACATCGGCCAGCAGCCTGCTTCAAGGTCTGGATCCTCGAACTCACCAACAGAACCCGGTCTCAGGAACCAACTTGACCATCAAAGAACGTTCAAGTCATGCGGTAAGTAAACAAAGAGGCGGGCATCTATCCACGCTGTTTCCGACCAGGCATAAGATCACAACGCCGCTGACACTACCTAGAGCACTGTCGTCGCCGCAAGATTCGATGCGTAGTAGCGGAAGATGGCCCTGAACGGCGATGTCACAACTGCATTGTCCTCGAGAAGGAATGCGTTTTCTATCCAGCCGACCAACAAGCAGCCATGGATACTCGAACCGACGTCTCGCCAACGCAACCTGTGAAGGATGGGAGACGCTGGTGGCAAAAGCTGTAATGTGTTCCGCATCTTGACGAAGATCCAGAATTTTACCGAGCGTAGGAGTAAGAGCTTAGGAAAGCGGTTTCAAAGAATGAAATACACAGTTCACGTGGCAGCAAGAAGCAACATGGAGTAGGCAAAATGTTTTCAGGGGAGTGAAAGGTGGAATCATTAGTCAAGATCCAAGACAAAGCGCAAGATTCTACTTCCTCCTCTTCCCAAGCGGCTGCACACTCGCCGGATCCGCCAACGCCAGCTGCAACTGCCGCAACTCCACCGTATCCATCTGTCCATGCCCAAAATCCGCCCCTTTGTCAAACTCCGTCTGCCCGCCACTCTGGCTCATATCGACAACCTGACCATACCGCACAGGTTTCATCCCGGCACCCTTGACCAACTCGTTGACCTCTGCGTTAGGGTGTTCTTGCGCCAGTAGTGGTGCGTTGAATGCTTTTGCGGTCTCGATAGGACTCATGGTCACGCTTCTGCCTAGCAGCCAGAAGCCGTTGAATGTGATCAAGACGAGGAGAATGGCGAGGAACGTGATCCCGATGGAGACGCCTAGGTACTCGTAATGAGAGCTGTAGACAGTGACGGTTCGTACTTCAGAGGGATCCTCAATTGTTTGAATTGTAGAAGCATTGCCCTGAGCCAGCGCGGTGCGAAACATGAGCTCGCGGGCTTGTTGCATGAGGTAGTCCGTTGGGTTGGAGAATTTGATCGAGCACATATCCGAGGTGTAGCTGGTTACGTCGTCCATGTTGGCGAACTGAGCGGCGATGGATCCCTCTGTGGAGATGTCGTAGCCTGCGGCGCCGGCGAAGCGGAGGTGCGTTGATGAGTCGAGTCGCGAGGAGAGGGCGTAGGCGTAGCCGCCTATTGGTGAGGGCAGGCCGTACACGTTCTCGCTAGGGTAGTCGACGAGGGAGACTACTTTGTCGTCATCCATCGTTGATTGGGGTTTGAGAGCGATGGTGGATTTATTGCCGTCGATGACCACGGGGTATTGGACGGTTGCTGCACCGATTGTACAATTTGCCACTTCCAATCGGCCTTCTGTGCAATCTTTTCTTGGCTTGTATTGCAGGTTCACGGTTATGTTGGAGGGAGTGTAGGCGGTCCATGTGAAGCCGACACTGAAAATGTCAAGGCCGTCGAATGAGTCGCTGTTAATCGAGCCGTCGCTTGATGTTCCAGATAAGTCAAACGACGCAGTGCTTGTGTTACAGCTGACGGCCAATCCTGCTGCGGTCAGACTTCCAGAGCAAAGTCCATCCCCTGAACAGCCACTGGCGGTGATGTTGATGGCTTTGCCAGTGTTCCAGTCCTGCAGATGTTAGTCACTGTCTGTATAACGTTATACAATGTACCCACCTGCACAATCGAGCTATAATTCGTCTCCAGCATGGTCACAGTATACGCTCTTCCAGAAGTATGGCCAGTCGGATCCTGCAGAGATCGCGCGGCTGGCACGCTCAGATTAACATCCTGGGAGAGAAAGTATCGAGTATCTGTCGTCGTTGAGGAAGCGCGCTGCAGGAGGGGCCCATTCACGGGCGTGAGCGCCAGAAACAAGGCCGCGAACGAGATGAAGTTGAAGTTCCTTCCAGCGAACGCAGCGGATACTGGACTCGTGCCATGCTCCCAGTATCGATGAAGGTCGCCAAGCTGAGTGCCTTCTCTTAAGGCCTTGCGCCACCAGAAGACCTACAACGCACAATTAGCGACGAATAGCAGCCCATGTCAAGGCCATCATCCATACCGTGAGTCCCTGGCTGAACGCAGCGGCAAGCAGTATATTCCCAATCGTATACGCCACGGAAAGATACAAACTAGGTGGATACCTCCAACTCGCAATCGGCTTCCCATTCGACACCGCCAGGATCACAATGTCCACCACAATGCTGCAGAAGACCCCCAAGAGACATCCCAGACCGGCCCAAGGAAAGCGGCGAAAGACGCCCGGTTGCCATGTATTCATCTTCGGATCGTATCGAGTTGTCGTCCCCAGCAAGGCCTCTGTACCCGCCGCTCGCGATTCTGGGGATTTTGTTGAGTGTAAACTTGCCATCTTTGCTTGTGTTGTGTGACATTGGTCGGTGCTGCGTTGTTCGTTTTGTCCCCTTGAGATCGACCTCGTAATTTGCACGGGTTCCAAGCATCCTAGTTCTACCGAAGCCGGATACGAAGTGCTAAGACCGGGATAAATTTGGGTAGATTTCATTAGGCTGGAGACGGCGTGAGTCGGTGGCGAACACCTCGTGCTATTGTATTTCGTCACCGATACGACGGAATAGAAAATGAATGCTCAGAAGTGACTCTCAAAAGAACTTACGCTCGGCCCCGCTATGTTTTCCACATCTTGACCATTTCTCGAGTTTCCACCGAAAAACATGCCTTCAAGGTCTCAAATCAGTCATTACAAAACCTGACAGTGGGTGTAGTCATGCGTTGTCGCTGGAGTAGTCATACACTACCATGCCTCGACTTCCACCAACAAGTTTTATTCTATAGCGCAACGATTATAATCGTGACGACAGAGATCCTAACGGGTTAACAAACCAGTGAAGGCGCTGATGTAGGTCCAGAATGGACTGGCTGACTGCAAATGGGCGCGTATACAAGGAAGCAGAGGCACTCCCAAGGATTTCGCGCTGCATTTGCCAGTTTCGATATGCGGCGTATTTGTACATCTGATGGACGTCGGTCCGTCTATTTCTTGCTCTTCTTCCCGCCGCGGGTCATCGCTCTCCTCTCAGCAGTCCTGGCGACTCTTGCGGATCTCTTTCTCCAAGCCGCGAACCGATCTCCAGGCTTGAAAGGTCTGACACTCTGCGCCGCCTTGCTCCTTTCAGCTGCTCGACCAATCTCCCAGTTTGCCTGTCTATACATGCCGCCTGGTCTCAGATGCAGCTTGATCTCTTGTCGATCTCCCTTCTTGCCTCTTGTAATCGTTACACTTCTCGATTCTTGCGGCTCTTGCCTGATTTGTGTTGCTGGGGCAGCAGCGTCGTACTCGAGCGCGGGAGAAGTGCTTAGATCGGCAGTGACAACTTTCTGCTCTTCGTTCGGTGTTTGATACGCGAGCATACCGAGTCTTCGTCGAATAGGAGTGCCAGGTGCTTGTGGCAGAGTCTGGTTTCGTTCGAAGACGACGCCGATGAGTTTTCGCTTGGGATGCTTCACAGGATCGCGGTAGTACTTGACATAACCTGGTGCCCCAGCGTGGATGGTATGGTCTCGGCCCTGCAAATGTCAGTTCGAGTTCATCTGAGCCGTGTCATTCAGCGCACCATGAAGCAGTTATCACCTGGAAACCATAGGGTGCCTCTCTGCTTGTACAATATGTTCCCCGTCACGACAGATTCGCCCGCAATTTTCTTCGCTCCCAATCGCTTTCCAGGACCCTGCTTGGCCTTGTTGGCTCGTCCTTGAGCTTGATGAGAGGCGAATCGTACGCCAGTGGCGGGTTGGGATATCCGAAATGAAGCGAGTGCTGATTCTAGGGCGTGAAGAGTGGCCATTGATGGCGCTGGGCGCGTCAATCGGGCGGCCATGGGGGTGGATGGAGGTGAGGGGGCAGTCGACGGCGTGAGGTTCAAACAAAGCCCGCCAAGGTGGTCCGAGCACCCCCGCTAGCACTCCGCTCCTCCTTCAATGGGCCATGTCGACGGTGACGGCAGGCAGAAACATATCACCACCGCGGAAGGAATTCCAAAGGACGAAACGGCTTGAAACCCTGATATTATCTGCCCAAGACGGTAGCACTCTCCCAGTTCGATTCGACCTCTCGCGACGCACTACTGAGGACAACACATCCCTCGACATCACGGGCCTGGCGCCCACAACACCTTCACCATGGCCTCCGCGATCTTCTTCCTAGACCTGAAGGGCAAGACCCTGCTGGCGCGAAACTATCGCGGAGATATCCCCATGTCGGCTGTCGAGAAGTTCCCCGTTCTCCTGTCGGAAGCAGAAGACGAGTCCAGCAGCGTACCGCCATGTTTCAGCGACGACGGCATCAACTACCTCTACATCCGACACAACAACCTCTACCTCCTTGCCTTGACGAAACGAAACAGCAATGCAGCAGAGATTCTGCTCTTTCTGCACCGGTTGGTGGAGGTCTTCACCGAGTACTTCAAAGAGTTGGAGGAGGAGTCGATACGGGACAACTTTGTCGTCATTTACGAGCTGCTGGACGAGATGATGGATTTTGGATACCCACAGACGACAGAGTCCAAGATTCTGCAAGAGTACATCACACAAGAGTCGCATAAGCTGGAAATCGCCAGGGCGCCTATTGCAGTCACAAATGCGGTGTCGTGGAGATCAGAAGGTATCCGATACCGCAAGAACGAGGTGTTCCTGGATGTGGTCGAATCGCTCAACCTGCTCGTCAGCAGTACAGGCAATGTGCTGCGGTCTGAGATTCTGGGTGCCATCAAGATGAAGTGTTACCTTTCTGGAATGCCTGAGTTACGGTTAGGATTGAACGACAAAGCAATGTTTGAGAGCACCGGACGCGCAACCAGGGGGAAAGCTGTCGAGATGGAGGACGTCAAGTTCCATCAGTGTGTGCGGTTATCGAGATTCGAGAATGACAGGACGATCTCTTTCATCCCACCTGACGGCGAATTTGAGCTCATGTCATATCGGCTGAATACTCAAGTGAAGCCCTTGATCTGGGTCGAGTGCATCGTTGAGAGTCATTCTGGGAGCCGAATAGAATACATGGTCAAGGTAAGCGTCTCACACATTAATATGGTCGATCTCTGTTAACCCTCTGCCAGGCAAAAGCACACTTTAAACGCCGCAGCACTGCCAACAATGTCGAAATCTCCATCCCTGTACCAGATGACGCGGATACACCCCGATTCCGCACAAACATCGGAAGCGTACACTACGCCCCTGAAACCTCTTCAATCGTTTGGAAGATCAAGCAATTCGGGGGTAGTAAGGAGTTCCTCATGCGCGCAGAGCTTGGCCTGCCGTCAGTCAAGGGTGATGAGGAGCGCGGAGGTGGTATGATGGGTGGCTTTGGAGGCAGTATGGGCGGTGTCAGTGGCACGGGCAAAGCCAAGAGGCCGATTGCCGTGAAGTTTGAGATTCCCTACTTTACCACGAGTGGAATTCAGGTGCGGTACCTGAAGATCATCGAGCCGAAGGTACGTCGTCACTTCTTCGTTTCTGTGCATTCTATGACGCTGACTTGAGTATAGCTACAATACCCTTCGCTGCCTTGGGTGCGATACATCACGCAGAGCGGAGACATTGCTGTCCGGTTGCCTGATGTGCAGTAGCGTAGATACGGACACGAAACAGACATTCCAGCCTTTCACGGCGCACATGCTATTGCCTTGATGTTTCTATTTCATACCGTTTGCAAAGCAATGTCTTCCGCGGCCAAGTGAGGCCGGCCTACTGCACTCATCCGCAAATGCCATGGCACCATTGTTCCTCACCCGTCTGGCTTGCGCACGCCATCGCTTGATTTTGCACTTGAACGCGGCTTCCTCTTGGCGAGGTTCTTTCTCCATCGCAGGCTTTCATTCACACTTCGGATTCGCGTCATCGTGCTCGTGGTAGGTAGATCTCGGTAGATATCCGGGCCAAACCGCTTCCTTGCTGTCTGCTGCCAACGCCATGAAGGCGATGCTGAGATCGATCGCGAATTGCTGTGGGACCTCCGGGAGTATTTTCTTACAATGTTCGACCTTGGCTTCACAGCCGTAGGCGGAGTAATCCACTACCAACCGCCGCAATGCAGAAGATGGCACAGTCTTGCTGTATACCAGCTCGACCACTTGTTTGCCAGGGAATCGACGGACAACGCCGTTTGACTCAACGAGAAAGTCCATGATCCTATTCTTGCTCCTCGAGTCCAGCAACATGTCGGCCAATATGTAGAGTTCGATCACGGCGGCGAAGAAGCGAAAACGCGAAGCTTGTAATGGTGACTCGGCAGCTTCATCCTCTTCGTAGGGTGGTGGCCCGTCTTCATTTGGGACAACTTCGCCAGTGTACAGCAGCTGCAGGTAGGTCTCGAAGACCGACGGCTCAACTTCCGGCAGTTTGATCGCTTTCTTCCGTCCTCGCGTCCAACAGTCCTTGCAGGCCGTCTTGAAGAAGTCACTTGACTTGATAAGTATCTGTTTGGCAATGCTGTACGTTTTCTGCGCATCACCGACTCCAACGATCACTTTCACTCGTCGGAGAAGTCTAGCCTGTACATGTTAGCAGTTGAAAGGCACCAATAAGTTGGAGCTGGCCAGCTTACTTGCGCTTCTTGGTGCGGGGTTCAGTCGTAGCCATGCTGGGTTTGCGTTAGATGTTTGAGGATGTTGCGGGCTCTTTGGTCTTTGGGGTTCGCGAAGGACTAAATCGAAGGCCCAAGAGAAAACCTCTGATTGAGGCTGTGAAAGTGATGCCAACAACTCACGACACAGGACTGGGAGCAGTCTAATAGTTCGCTCCCTCTCGACTCGTCACTGCAAGTAACTTCGATAGGCATAATTCATTCCATGCATGTCTCCGGGATATCTTTATGAAGTCCGAGCCTACCCATATGTCTCCAACGCCTGAAACTCCTGGAAAACCGAAGATCGTCTCACTTGTGATCATTCATACCGTCTCTCCGTCAGAGTTTCAGTGTGCCCCCATTGTACCATAGCCCTGTCCTCCAGTCTGCACATTCTGCGAGTACACGCCCGGCGCAGGTCTGTCATCGTAGTAGCCCTGCTGCACTTGCTCTTTCCGGTTGTAGTAGACGTAGAGGACGTAGAAGGCGTGAATGTGGCCTGGAAAGTAGCCCAAAATCGTGAGAGCAATGTTGATGAGAAGGTCGGCTCCGCAGCCAGCAACGATGTATACCGCAACTGGAGGCACTGTTGAGGTCGTTTCGTTAGTATAGCTCGCGCGATGCATGAAACGGTACCAGAACTTACGGAAGATGGCGATGATGACAAGGAGGATTGCGGAGATCATATCTTCGCCGTCGTCGATGGGGTCGCGTGAGTGTCTTCGATTGACTTCGTAGGATGGAGGATTGGGTGGAGGATTAGGTTCGTCGGCTGGAATTGGAGGTTTTGGAGTAGTAGATGGTGGAGGAGGAACTGAATCGTTTGCTCGTGTCTGCTCCAGATTGATAGGGAAGTCTGTTAATAGGACTTCTTGATGTTGATTCCAAGGATTCCAACACTGTTGGTTCAAACAAGTTGGAAGTGAGGAGCTGTCGTTGATGTGGCGGTGGCTGTGGTGGCGCGGTCGCTTACGTCACAAAATTGCCCGTGTGGTTAGGGGCTGACTTCACTTCACTTGCTTTGGCGACATTAACAAGAAACATTACTTTGAGATGCTGTTGATGAAAGTGAATGTGGAGCCTTTTTGGGCATTACAGCCTTGCCCTCGATTTTTCGGGTAGTTCAGCCACCAACCGCGATACCTCCTCCGCCACCCCAATCGAGTTCTGGAAGCCCCCGCCTCCGTGACCGTAGGCATGAATGACCCAGCGAACACCGCCAGATCTATCTCCAATAGCCTCGCTTTCTACTCTTGCACCACCAGTCCGCGCAGGCCTGAGGCCGATCTGGCAGCCAATGACCTCAAAAGTCTTTCCGGGACCTGTCAACAGTTCAGGAGCGAGAGCAGCACATCGTTCTTTGATCTGCCCCGTTATCTCGACATCTTCGTCAGTGTTCCAATTGTCCTTCTGATTACAGCCCCCGATAATCGTGACTCCGCTCAATGGGCGCGGAATTACGTACGAGAGGGTCGATTCTCCGGTCTCCTCGTCCCGACTTAGCCGTGTTGCAGCTTCTTTGGGTACTCCTTTCACGACCAGGACTTGCCCTCGAACAGGATGCACCGCCTTGTCACCGCATAATTGTCGTGCGCGCAGACCCGTTGCGTTGATGAATACACACTTGCGAGCGCGGCATGGACCAATATATTGCTTGACGAGGTCAGATGCGGCCTTGACAGCGCCGGCGATGCCGTTGTCGTCGGGAACTTTGGACCTGATGACTTGGCCACCGAGTTGCCTGACTCGCCCTAGCAGATGTCGAAGATAGATTGGAACATCGACGAATACGCTTCGATAGCGAACTGTTGCATAGGGCTTGCCTGCCTCTCCTGCCGACACTGCAGAGTCGAATCCGTCGACGAACTCTCTGAACCAGAAGCCGTCGCTCGTCTTGGGATCTCCAGTTGGAACCAGATCTCGATGGTTGCTCTGATCGTACACCAATCTTGCGGGGTACACCTGACGAGTGTGAGCATCGGACTAGTGGGTTGGCGACACATCCAACTTACAGTGAGACCACTTCGCTCTTCAAAAGCGACGTTTCTCGCATGCTCGTCAAAGCAGATCTGTTTCCAGTGGAGATACGACTTTCTGTCCCAAGATTGCTGCTCGCCATCATCCGGAGAGCTGTGCGATCGCCACTGAGCACCGGCCCTGTGCAAAACTGTCAACCACCCACTTCGTTATGAGCTGTACTGACAAAAGTTACCACGGCGAAGCGTAGCACGGAGAAATGTCCCCTGGAAGTTGATCTGCTATCACAGTGACTCTATAACCTTCTTCAAGGAGGGTCACAGCGGTTTGAAGTCCAGTAACTCCAGCCCTGCGATGGAAGTCAGCCGAATGATACAGACATACGACCACCAGCGCGCTCACCCTAATACAACGACATCGTGCGTACCCTCGAGCCTCATTATGCACGCTCTGGACAATCGCTGAGATAGGAAGCGAACCTTACAACTGCTCACTCATCTCAATACGACACTCTATTGGGCGATGGAAGCCTCCGACCAGCCTTTAAACGACAATCTACATTGTTGGAAACTCCGGACCACTCACGGCAATGCCGCCGGAGATCCCGGCTCCTGTGAACAGCACAGCCAGAACGGCATGCGATATTCACACTGCGTATCATCCATTTCAAGGACGATAGTACTGATACTGAACTCATAGAACTTCTATAACCCCAGCATCATACTGTGCTCTACTGTTCCAAGTACACTGTCTTCGGCTTGGCGCTGACGAACGTCAGTCCATGGTGGTCGGATCACCTGGGAGCTCTGAGATGACAAAAGCATTTGCCTAGAAGAGTGCGTCAAGCTGTACTAGGTAAGTGGTGTAATACGGCTCGCCAGGCTAGCTATTTCCAGACCTGTGATCAACTCAGCATCTTTCAGCAAGACATAGCTTATCCCTGTACGAACAGGGCTGGCTGGCTATACGGGCGGGTACATCACAGCCGGCTTCAATTTTGCGGACCAAATTCCCACACTGGTATTATTAGGGAACATATTTAATACTCGCTGTCTACCCGCCTCTTTGGCGCAAGCTCCGTGGAACCGCCTGAGTAATGTCGCCAAGGTTGAAGTCGTGAAGACAAGAACGGATGTAGCGAGAGAAACACGTCCCTTCCCTGTTCATGGAAAACGAGGATCTCTCGATTTCTAATCCCAAGCAGCGAGCGTTTATCGAACAAAGACGTCACAAAAACTCCTAAATTGCCAGTCTCCTTGACTTGAGAACATCCATTCTTCACTACGTTTCTGCTGTCTCATCCACCGCAGAATCAAAACCGACTCTCCAAAATGACCTCACGAATCGCAATCCTCCTCGGCGCAGGCGCAAACATCGGTGCTGCCACTATTCAAACATTCAAATCGAACGGCTACAAGGTCGCATACGCCTCAAGATCCGTTTCCAACTCCAAAGCTTCAGACAACGACCCAGCCATACAGTGCGACTTGGCCAAGCCTACCTCCGTGTCGAGTCTGTTCGAAACCGTCCGCAAGACATGGGGCGAGCCTAGTGTGGTCATTTATAACGGTATGGTCATCGACGACTACATTTCTGTTCACAGAGACTGACGATCGCCAAATAGCTTACTCGCACCACAACACTAAACCCGAAGACTCCCTCGACGTCACCACCGAGGACTTCGCGCACGACCTGGCGGTCAACACAACAAGTGCGTTCGTCGCAGCGAGGGAGGCCTTGGCCAGCTTCCAGAAACTCGATGGTCCCCGGACCTTTATCTTCACTGGCAACATGCTGAATGAAGGCCCTTACCCATCGCTCATGACTCTGGGGGTGGGCAAAGCCGCGAGTGCGCATTTCGTGGAGTTGGCGGATCAGTTGTATAAGAGCCAGAATATGAGGTTCGCGAGACCTTTCCCAGCTTTGCAGCAGTTTTTGGCCGAGTGCTGACATGACACAGGTTCCACTTTGTTGATGAGAGGACCTCTGAGGGCAAGGGCATGTTTACGGGTCTGGGAGGACAGTCGCACGCGGACTTATTCTTGAGCCTTGCGGAGAGGACGACGAAGGAAGAGATTCCGTGGCAGGCGACGTTTGTGACTGGCAAGGGGTACACTGCTTTTCCTCACCACCTCATTTTGTAAACCTGATGGGTCACTGCAAATGCCAACGGCGAGGCTGTGAAAGAAAACAGCTTTTTGCTCTTTGCGCTTCTACTTGGCATCTACAACTTCGAAGGCAGGTGCTCGTCGGACACCTGACCATCATCAGCACGAACCACAAAGCCGGCGTGGTAGTATCAACTCACCTGAGCAACGCACTCAATCTCCACACTCCCACCTCTAGGAAGCGTCTTCACCGCCACACAGCTCCTCGCAGGTTTGTGCTCCCCTGTCCACCATAACTTATATTCCTCGTTAACTTCGGCGAAATCACTCATATCTTGCAAGAAGATCTGCCCAGACTCAATCAGCGTCCCAACAATACCTACCTCAAAACAAGTGAAGCGGACTGAAAACGTACGTTAACCTTCATCACAAGATCCATATTACTTCCAGCATTCTCGAGCACGGCTTTAAGATTGGAAAGGCATTGACGAGTCTTTTCGCGGACGGTGCCTGAGATCAAGGCCCCGGTGGCGTCCATGTGCAGTTGGCCGGAGCAGTAGACTACGCCTTCGCGGGAGACGATTGCTTGAGACTGTTTCGTTGTCAGGAAGTGCGTTCAGTGTACATTGGGAAGGTCATTGTCTACATGTGGTGAGCCAGCTAGGATATATCGTCAGCAAAGTTCTTCAAGTACACTCAGAGGCAGAACGTACTCAGCGCAACACCTTTGGTGTCATTGATCCTTCTGAGAGACATGATGTCGGGATTACGGTCTTCGATCTGCTGAGTCGATGAATGTCTCAAGTATAACGGCTGCTGATGGAATTATCGAGTGCAGTGCAAGAAGTATTCTATGGCTGGAAGATCAATCACCCAGGAAGATCTACGGCCGGCACGTCCGGCCAAGGTCAGCTTCACTTTTGCCCGATCTCGGGCAACGAGGTCTGCACCACGAAACGAGTTGGAGTTTGTAGTCATTGAATTGTAGTCATACACACAGTCGTGTCTCGTCAAGTATCTCCGCTAAGAAAATCATACATCCAGAATCTACGGCGTCGAAACCTTCATCGGCACATGCAAAAACGACACAGCCTGATTGGGATCATCCATCGCCGCTGCCGGTTCCATCGACCAATGCGATTTGGGCATCACTTGATCAGTGTCCTGCCACTCACGCACTCCACGCGCTTGCAAAGTCTCCTTGTGCAAGTGATATAGTCCCTCAGCCAACCACTTGTGGCGGCGATCGCCTAGTCTTCGGCCGAGTTTTGACACGAGGCCGACGAGGCTCTCGAAGACGAAGCCCAGGACGACTAGACCGGCGCCAACAACGACCAGGACGATCAGACCGGCCATGTCGAAGTTGATGTATCCGTGAGAGTCACGCACTCGCTGAGTCTTGCAAGCCCATTTCTGCAGAGCCGGACCAGGCTTTTGCACGTACTGATTGAACGCCGCTTTCTCTGGACCCGCAGCATAGGAGAGCACAATAGCTTGCATTCTGGCAAAAGCGATAGAATGCCAGTTACTGACCTCCGCCCGCCACTGATCGATCGGGAGGCTGGCGAGTTGCTGCAGCCCGTTAAGTGTGCGAGAGACGAGGAGCGCAGAAGGACCCAGGTCGGTCAGCACAGCGGCGATGGAAGTCGTAGCCAGAGCGTAGCCTATGCGGCCTGCTGTTGCGATTTGGGGCATATTGGCTCCGGGGAGTTTGTCGACTTTGTCGAGGATGTTCCCAATGCCGCCCAGGGGTGAACAGTTTTCCGTCGAGCCGGCCAAGCAGAACTGGTGCTGCTCTTTGCAAGCGATGACGGAGACGGCACGGGTGGTGGTGTAGTATGTGACGTTTGTGTCTTGATAGGGAATCTGCACCGCATCCGCAGGGTCGAGTCCAGCAGCGTAGAAGGGGTCGTAGACCGGTGCAGGGTACTTGATTTGGTTGCCCGCCATGAAGACGAGGGAGACGTCCCCATCGGTCTGGTTGTAGAGTGTGGAGTTCGCGACCCATCCATCGTGTACGGTGCTATTACCCGGAATGTAGTCGGCCACGCTGGTAGTCTGTCAGCAATGTGGAACTGAACAACTTAGAGGAACGACTCACGCCACGGTGTAGCCAATTGGATAGAACAGTTGCTGGTAGTTGTACTCATACGTGAAGTTATAGTCAAACTGTGGCCCGTACATATATTGGAGCAGGACCGCGCCCTATCGAGTAACGTGAGTCGATGTCGTTTCAACGCTGTCAGTGAGCCAACGGGTAACTTACCGGCAGGTAGTCTGCTGCCAAAGGGGTTCCAGTGGTGTTGATGATATTGACAAAGCCAGCCGTATGAATGGGCGAGCATGTCGATACTTTGCGGTACTGTATCGTGTTCTCGTGCCCGAGGTTGACACCAAAGTCCCGGCTCGAGTCCAAATACCCAGTATCAACCCTCATGACCGTCGAATTGACAGATACGCACACCTCCCCGTTGTTACCGAAGGGACATTCTCCATCCGACGTTGTAAAATTGAGCGACCGGTGAGGATAGGCGTTGCACTTGGTAGCGACGTCGGAGCCATTCTTGCCGTAGCATTGTTGGACGTACGCGTCTGCAGCTCGCATTCCGTCGACCATGGCGGCTTCGTTGAGGGTGAACATCTCGAGCGATTCTCCGGTAGCACCACCAGGAGTCGAAGGCCATCCGCAGAGCTCCGACCCAGCCAGGAGCACGTCGGGTGAGGTGCGTGTGTAGATGTATGGCGCGTACAGTCCGCAGATGGTCCAGAGGATGAAGACAGCGACGCAGACGACCAAGTAGATGAAGTTCCTTGCGAAGGAATGCACTTTGTACTTCCTCCATCCGAACATCATCTTGAGCATCTGGCCGGCTGCATTGGCAGCGGTGTTGCTATTCCGTATTGCGACTTGCCGTTGTGCGTGGAAGACATCCTGTGTGGAGTTCTGACGAATGGAGTAGAGGATGAATCTCCAGATCGGCCATGTTGCAGCAGCAACGAGGTGGACGAACGTGACGAGGGCGGCTTCGAGGAAACCCGCCACTGCAGGACGGAGGGTGAGAACGAGCTCTTGGGCAGCGTGGTTGTACCAAACGCCCTCGTAGACCGACATGTTGTCTTTTCAACAATGAATCTGTCGAAGTTGATGTGTCGGCCTGAGCGAAGTCGAGGGAGGGTGTTGCTTCACCTCCACTCTTAAGGTATCAAACATAGCTATCGGCGCCATTAGCACGTTGAAGCCCCTTCCGGTGAGTCCCTAGTGTTCCAGGCGGCCTCAGACCTGAGGCTGTTCACATCCCTTCCAATACCAGTTACGCCCGACGCCTAGTACAAGCGCCACTAGCAAGATATGAGCTGGGGCAGGGCGCGGGCGGAACGAGGTTCGGTACAATCACGCGGTCACGAATCGTGAATCCTCCAATCTTCTAACTGGTGTAGCGAGAATGCAGATTGGGGCCGAAGCGTGGACCGTGGCTACCCCTATTCTGGCCTAGGCGAAGCCTGGTGGCTTGTCGAGGAGCCTTCCCATTGGAGGGAACGGACGGGCTGTACTGGCATGCATGAGCTTATAATGCACAAGCTCGTCCTTCAGAGAGCTTAGCGACACTACCAGCACGTGGCAGTGTATACAACGGTCAAGTCGACGTGTGGATAACGGTACGGAGTCACCACGGTCACAACCTCGGCGGCTTTGATCGCAAGAGACCGCGCCCTAGCAGTGACCCTTTCGAGGGTGCGGTGTCACCAAGCCTCGAATTCCTCGATCTCCTCAAGTAGCTTTGTAGATCCCTTCGTAGCAGGCATTGGCCCCCTCGTATCATTCCTCGCAAGGATGGTGAAATTCTCCGGCTTGGCTCTCTCCCTTTTGTTTGCGATTGTCAGCGCTGCTCCTAATTACACGATTCCAGTTGAGCGATGCATCAGTCCCAATGGCTTCAACTCCTGCCAGAGCCAGGTCAACAGTGTAGCGCAGAACTGCGAGTCCACTGCAGGTGGTGACCAAGACAAGATCGCAGCTTGTGCCCAGGTGGCCACCGAGTTTACACTGAACTGCGTGTACGAAGATTGTTGGAACATCGTACGTGCGAGTGGCACTCCTACTTTCGGCTTTTATCGCTGACGGTCCATGTCCAGGTCTACAGCTGCGAAGTCCAAGAACTGGCCAGCCTCGTCGCCCAGAATTTCGGCGCTTCGAATTTGTTATATTACCCAGCTCCCGACAACGCTCCCGGTCGATGCTCCTGCAACCTCGAGTTGGTGGAGGAGGTCGTCGTAGGGTTGTTGGCATCTCTGGGCAACTGCACAAACTCACACGCCGATAATCTTGACGGATGTACCTGCTGTGCGCAATCGGGTGCCTATGCTGGGTGGGGTTCGTCTCCTTCTCCACTCGTCAGCTTGCTAACCGTACGCTTTCGACAGACTCTATGAAGTCTGCCCATCGGTAGACCCGAAGATTCTTCTCCAGACCTTGCCAGGCATAGACACATTGCTGGGTACATATGACCCGCAATTTGCGAATTGTGGACCAAATCTTCAGAACCTGGACTGCGTCAAGGACTTGGGGTATCCAGACCTTAATAGCGCTTCACTATCGTATCTCACCGCGTTGCCATCGAGCACAGGCACGGCGTCGTACTCGGATCTCTCGGGCGAGCTGTCGTCGCCAACTGCCGCTGTCGTCACTTACGCTCCTCAAACGGGAGTCCCTTTGACTGCATCGGCTGTGAATGCTGAGGCTGGAGGCTCAGGCGGAGGCTCAGCCAGTACGACTGCCGCCAGTGGAGGCGGTGCTCCAAATTCGCGGGCCTCCACCACTAATGCTGGCGCTCTTGGACAGAGCACTCCTGCCAGTAATGGATGGTCAGCTACCAGCGCTGGGTCTGGCAGTGGTAGTGCTGCTGCCCCTTCCAGCACGAGTGGTGCTATCAGCTTCAAGACTTTCTCAATGAGCTCCGTGATCGCCATGCTTTTGCTGGTGGTAATGTCTTCATAGGCGACTTGAATATAATCTGCTTACACTCATGACTTCGTTAATATCTTCGAACCTAGATCAGAGAACAGTCTCACTGCTGACGCATTGCTTTCGGTCTGGCCTCGAGTGCTGCCGCCACGATATCGTGTCGTTCATCCAGGAAATCCGCCATCCCTCTTGCCGCCAAGTTCCTCGCGAACATCTTCAACCTGGTCGCCTAAGGTATTCCTAAGACCACTCGTCAGCACAATCAACAAGAACACGTCACAATCAACAAACAACTCACCCCTTTCTACCCACCTCCTCCCCCTCCAAGTCCACCGCCAAAACCTCCTTCGGATGCTTCGTCGACCTCCAAGCCGTAAACCACGGCCCGCGAAACACCTGCTCAATCTCCTCGACCGACAGTCCCGCAATCTCCGGCACGACGAAGAAGACATAAAACATAGCCGTGAAGCACCAGCTCGCGAAGAAGATGAAGGCGCCCCAGTTGTTCGTGGCGTCGAGCAGGGAGGGCAGAGCATAGTTCATAGCGTAGCTGAAGAGCCAGTGGAAGGTCTGGCCGAAGGCGGCGCCAAAGGAGCGGATGCCATTAGGCCAGAGTTCGCCGCCGAAGACATAGGGGAGAGTGAGAAGACCTGAGAGGTGTTGGTCAGTGCATTGGCGAACGTGGAATGGAGCGAAAGGGAAAATAAGGACGTACCAGCAGAGTACCCAAACGAATGAATAAAGATCATCGCAATCGCCGCCTGGCTCGAAGCCGAGTCCTCCGAATGGCCAACCTTCAAATACGCGCCAATGTAGATATCGCCAATCATTTGCAGTGTGATTCCCAAGAACAACGACTTCCTCCGGCCCAGGGCGTCGATCAAGAAAAACGACGTGATCAACGCGAAGAAGAACCTCGCCATGGTGTACATCCCCGTGAGGAAGATCTTGTGCGTGCCACTCCCGGACACGCCGATGATTTCGAGAATCGGGATGAAGTACGAGCTGATGGTATTGGCGCCGGAGATTTGCGGGAGGGCGTAGCAGATCAGGACCTGTTGGACGCGGCGGAGGTTCGATTTCTTCGTGAAGGTCTCGCGGATGACGGATGCATAGCTGTGTCCCGTACTCGCCTCTTGCTGCATGGAGTGCCGAGTCTCTTCTAACTCCCAATGAAGCCGTGGGCTATCCATTGGTAGACCGCGCAACTCGTACAAGACCCTCACAGCCTGGTCTGGCTTATCTGTCAAGAATAGCCAGCGGGGCGATTCGCAGAGGAAGAAGCTAGCGATGACCCACAACGCAAGGTAGATACATGGTACGAAGAAGTTGATCTGATATTGCAATCGACTGGGCGCGACATGCAGCGTGATGCCGTAGACACTAAAGACGGCGCAGAAGTGAGCCAGGCCCATGGCGACCGGGAACCATGCGCAGATTATGCCCCTGATTTCAGCTGGTGCGATCTCAGCAAGAGACATAGGTCCTGTAACCGTCAAGGCTCCAATCCCGAGTCCTGTTACCACGCGAGCTGCGTATAGAGCCGCAGTATTTGGGGCTGCGACTGCAATCATTTGGCCGATGGTGTAGACAAAGACGTAGACTCGAAATGACCACAACCGACCGAGCTTGTCGTTGAGGAGAAACGATAGGGCGGCGCCAGCAGCTGATCCCAGAAAAGGCAACGACACGAAGTTCTTGATAGCGCTTGCGTTGTTCCCAGAGTCGATGCCAAAGTAATCTTCGAAACCTTTCAGAGAGGGCACAGTCGCGGACGAGCCTTGATCCCAAGCTTCCCCAGGTGTCAGATGTATTCAATTGCCAAACGCCAGACAAGGGCACTTACTCAATGGTACAGCGCATGTGGCGTACAGCATCGCCGTCAAGATCATCCGCCTGTTGAAAATCATCTCGCGTGGTGCTGTCCTGACGGTCTTGCCATACTGCGCCAAGGGAGAGCGAGCAAACACATCCTTGACGCTGAACCCCATGATCTCCTTAATCTATTCGACTTCAATAGATCAGGCTTCGTCTCTCAAATGTCAGTTCACGCGACACAAACGCTAAGGCAAGGCCATGCTTTAACCTACATACCACCAGCAAGGTATGTCCGTAGGGGCCGTTCGGTACTCCCGGGCACATGCGGAGTTGCCGGCGCTAGTCATTCCAAGGTTCAGCAGATCTCTTTTCGATCTACCGGATATATCAGCAAGAGATCCTAGACGCATCAACAATGATAAAGAATCTCAATCAGGCAGACCTTATCTCTCAACACAAAATCATGCCGTCGAAAGTTGAGAATGGCGGCGAGCCGTTCTTCGCTGGGAGGCTGTCGAAGCCAATGAGCGAGCTCCTCCGGCAGCACAATGAGGCACCTCGACTGGTGTGGGAGCAGAAGAACATGTCGCATATTCTGCAAGTCGACTTGGCACATGCCGTGATGCTTCAGGAACAAGGCCTCATTACGAAGCAACAAGCTTGTGATCTGGTTAAAGCACTTCAAGGAATTAGCAAAGCTGGTCAGTTCGTCACCAAGGATGGATATGGCAGTATGGTCCTCCAGATCGAAGGCCATGTTGCCAAGCAGATCGGCGAAGATACCGCAGGTCGACTTGCTATTGCCAGGAGCCGTCTGGACCAGGGGGCGACTGTTTGGCGACTGAGTGCGAAGGCTCAGATGAGGGTTATTACCGAAGAACTGGCACGACTCCAAGATACTCTGCTGAATGTTGCTGCCCGATACAGCACGACTCCTTCGATCAACTATACACATCTTCAGCAAGCTCAGCCCGCGACATTTGGTCATTACCTGCTTGCCTTTAGAGACCGACTTCAAGACTCCTTCGATGCATTGACCCAGATATATGACAGAGTGGATCGTTGTCCACTTGGCGGCGTCGGCCTCTCTGGCACGGACTTCGATATCAACCGGCATCGAACTGCTTCGCTTTTGGGTTTCGCAAAGGTCCTCGACAACTCAAGGCTCTGTCGTGATTCGTACTACCAGGTTGAACTCATGTCAGCATTGGCCATGGTGATGACATATTTGAACGATCTCTGTACCGACCTTCACATCTACAGTTCCAATGAGTTCAGTACAATAGAATTGGACGACTCCCATACGAGCACGAGCAGCATCTTCCCTCAGAAGAAGAATCCGTATGCTCTCGAAACAATCAAGGCGAAAGCAGCAGAGGCAATGGGCTGGACCACCACCGCATTCGCCATATTCCGAAATGAAGGTACTGGAGATACAGGCGCTCGTAGTGTCTCGCAGCTGGACGGAGCCCGCGATACCTGTATTGCGATGCTAAGGCTGACGGCCGAGGTCGTTGATGGCCTGTCGGTCAACGAGGAGCGATACGAGTCGCTGTTGGAGAGTGCTTGGGTAACAACCAATCGTCTCAGCAATATCTTGCTATCTGACTTCGGCATGAGCTATCGGAGTGCCCATGGTGTCGTCGCTCGGCTTGTGAAGAACTGCTTGACGAAGAGTATCCCCAAGACTGCTGTTACCGTCGACATGCTGCAGGCTGCAGCTCATGAAATGGATGTGGAGCCCATCCCAATCACTCAGGAAGGATTGACTCTAGCGCTGGACCACAAGGCGTTCATACAGAACTCGCGTAGCTTCGGTGGTGTTGGTCCAGATCAAGTCGAGCGCATGGAATCCATTGCGAAGGCGCAGAATTCTGCCAATCATCAGTGGGTGGCTGGCAAGAAGTTGAAGTCCGTGGAGGCCATAAGAGAGCTCGAGGCGGTTTGTGCACAGTTACAGCAGACCTCGTCATAACTCAGATAGATAGATATCCTGATGCTGAATCAATTGATGCAGCTTGTATTAGCGGCCACTCGGGCTTTATGAGAGCTCAAAATCATTGAACTCGAACGATGCAAATGGGTCTTCCCAATTGAGCCATTGGGACTGCAGCAGTCAGTTTCGCCGTCGCAGAAATGATGTTCAAGACTCACTGCTCCCATTGGTTCAGTCAGGGTCAATAGCGCATCCATGTTTTCTGCTCCGCTTACAACTGTGTCTTCATCATCGGGTACAGCTTGCAGCAAGCTATGTCGTCTCACATTAGCATGTATCAGAGTAAGACTGAGTACTCCCACACACCTTTCAGCTTGAGATGGATCGCTGAAAGCGACTTTGCGCAGGAAAACGATCGCGCTGGGGCTTCCAGGACGGATCACGGAAGAGTCCACATCGCTGAAACGATGGTCAGAGAGCTTGTCAAATAGCCGTGCGAGGGTGCTCGCTGCATCCACCGAGGAAGTGTAGACGGCAAGCGTATTGGAGCAAGCCTTGATAGCTCGTAGGACCCGTCTGAAAGGGAGAGCGTCGGGCTTGAGAGCGAGGCATTGGAGGAGTGTGATCCCGCAGTAGAACGAGTTGTACATCTGTATGGCTGAGGTATGCGACTGAGCTCGAAAACATATTTCTTTGCCATTCTAATTTCTGTTAGCTACCTCGAGTCCACATGTCTGAGAGACGGGCGTACCTCGCAAGCATCTGCAGCGATCGTCGCAAAGCGAACTATCAGGTCGTGGTCCACGATGTCCCTGCACAACACTGGTCGTATCAACAATAGAGCCGTCTGCAGATACATCGCTTGCGTCCGGTCTTCGTTCTGCTGGGGAATCGAGTGGTCATCGGTTCTGGTAGGTACTTCCAATCTCCAGTCATCCAGTTCGCCAAGCAACTGCAGGATCTCTTGGTTGGAAGCCCCAAATGCTTGAGGCCTTGAGAGCCGTGATCTGATTTCTGTTAGCTAGGGAAGAAAAGCTTCGTCATTGATGCACATACATTCGTGACTTGAAGCGGTATATGCGCAGATGATGCAACGCGAAGCTCATCTGCAATGGAATCAGTCGTCAGGTATCACTTAGATTAGCAAGTCATACCGATGTCAATTGATGGGAGTTCGTCCTACGAGCCTCATCCAGTCCTGCCGGGTCCATGCAGAATATGTCAACATTGATGGGCTCCTACGATGGTGTCAGCGGTGGAAGGCCCATAGCAGTGTGGAGAAGTGTACTTCTAGATCGATGTCTCGATCATCCAGCCCAAATGGACGCTGCAGCGCTATTGAGATCATCCTGACAACAGTATCAGATACAATCCGCTCTCTCGGCATTATGAGCATACCTGTCGAAAACGTAAGCGCACCAGAATGTCCGTTTTCTTGCTTCCTTCTCATATTCAGTGAGGGTAGGATCGGACGCCTGGCGGTGATAGCCCTTCTCGATGCATATACGTAAAGTCACACCCGCAAGATGCCTGTCGATTTCCGTGTTAGAGAGCATAAAGGAGCGTTGAGTCTGCGTACCATGGAGAAGGGCCACACTGAAATTGTTAGTGGTATCACAAACATTGCCGTGTAGGTTCTTACTGTGGCTCGACAATGGTATTGAATCAGCGCAAGGAGACCTTGTACAGTAAGGAGGTTATCCGCATCATGGACTACCCGCAGATACGTAAGGGCATAGTCGTAATATCTCTGTGCGATTGGAGATTAGCGATCAGATCATTGCAGCATCCGCTATACTCACCGAGGATAGGTGCTTCGTGGTTGGAATCAGCCTTGCACCTATTGCGTAGACAATCCAGAGGAAGAAAGCGCCTAGTTGGTCAGCATACTATGATCGATCAAGCACATGACACGAACTGACCAATCTTGCTTGGTCCTTGGCCAAACTGTGCACCCGAGCAGATTTCAACTCGATCATTGTGCCACTGTTTAACGATGGCCCAATCGACGATACAATATCGAGCCTGTGTGTAGAGATACGCCGATTCGAAGAGAGCATCAGCAATCTCTGGCGATGGAAGCTCAGGCAAGTTGTTTCTCCGATCCTGAGAGCCAGCTTCGAGCAGCGTAAATACAGTGACGGTTGCTTGGTTGCTACTACGCAGCTCAAGTTTTTCAGGGCTTTGCTGGACGTTGCTTGCGACTGACACGGCGCAAGGCATCGGAGCGTTAAAGTCATGTCCATTGATCGTGTTAGCTGGGCTCTGAAATGGGGCTTGCAAATGAGGAGAGTTGACGGCAGCAGAGTTTGGAGCGGGCTGAGGGTGCGTTTGGGTCATGTTCGCGTCTCGCTCTGCCAATTGCCCCTCAAGAAAGGCAACGCGCTCCTCGAGAGCAGCAGTGTAACTATGAAGTATCAGCGTGGCCAGCTTATAGCTCTGAGTGAAATATCATACGCAACACCACCGGGTATGCCATCGACGGATATATCGAAGACGCACTCTGCGAAGGATTAGACGTCTTCTGGGATTGCATTCTTGTTCAGACACAAACCTGCATCAGCCTTTGTACATGCTCTACATCGGAACCTGTTATTCAATCATGAGCAATGCTTGCAGGTACAAGGATGGAATGAATACCCCAGAGCACCGCCATCGTCAAATTCACACTTTGCCTTCTTGACTTTGCACCGACGGCAGGCATTGTTGCTCCTGTGACTCTGATTCTGGACAATCCGTCGTCTCTTTGGTGGATTACCAGCAGCTGCTCCATCGGTAGGGTTATCAGAAGCATCCATATCTCATGTTGCTATTCGACTGGTGTTGATGTAGAAGACATGTCGTTGCCACGAAGTGGATCGGTACCTGCTCCACTGCAACGTCCGCGTGGTGATTGGCAGAAAGGGACAGCCCGGCTCTGGACGCTAGCGGATGATCCCAGCTGCGTGAAGCAAGCGCCATCGTCCACTCGGCCACTTTTTTCACCACCACATCAACACTCCATGGCTCAAGTACAACCATCACAGAAGGTCTCCACCAGGATTTGGGAGAACTACGACCTTGCTTGTCACAATGCTACTGCCGAAGCTGCAGTCTCTTTTCGCATCTCCAACGGCCGCGAATATGAAGTATACGATAACCGTGCTCGAGTGAGGCAAGAGTCGCGATCCGAAAGCGTTCAATAGGTCTTCTCTCGAACGTCTTTCTTGCAACAGATTCCTGTTCGCTGTAACTAGTAAAAGCCACACACAGGAAGGCGTGTACAAGGAGGTAAAGACAAAGTGCTGATGGATTTGGCGATGTATTCTTGCCTGCGAAAGACCTTTGCGTATCCTGTACATATCTCAAAGCGCTATCGACTCGTCGTAATAACACACAACCTGTAGATCCTAGTATTATTGATACACCGTCATCGCTAGATGGGGACAAAAATTACGCAAAATAAGAACTTGCTTGGTACGGCAGGCTGGCTCCTGGCGATGCGCTGCTCTGCGACCCTCATGAGACCTCCTCTAGAGCGCATCCGTAACCTTCTTGAGGTCAGCCTCGAGCTCCTCGGCCGACAACTCCTTGGTGAGCTCGTCGAGAGTAGACTCCAGAATCGAAACATCGAAGTCCTTGGTGGCGGCTTCGAGCTCGGCTTCGGCCTTCTCCAGATCCAGCTCTTTCAGTGCGTCTTCGAGCTCGTCGAGGAGCTGTTCGAGCGCGCTGTCGGTCTTCACGGTGTCGGGCTTGGGGCCAGTGGCTTTGGGGGAGTTGGCGCCGCCAAGGAGGACGGAGGTGGAGAGGGAGGTGGTGCGTGGGGTGTCGCACCAGGTGGAGTAGTCGTAGTCGCCGTCCTAGAAGGTTGTGTTAGTCGTGAGCTTGCGTGCGAGTTGATTAGGGTCGCCACATACGTGAGAGAGGTCACTGCAGCACAGCGCAGTGATGTTCGAAAGGCCATAGGTGGTCGGGCACTCCCAGATACCGAGCAGGTCATCGACCACGGTACCAGTCTTGGCTATAACCACAAGTCAGTCGCACGCCATCTGCAAGGCTAGAGCCTTAGTCTAAGGATCCGGCGCAAATGCATCATACCCTCGTTGACGTAGTATGGGTTCCCGTTCAAAGAGCAGCCACCATATGGCGCATTGCCGGGGCAGACGAAGAGGTTCGACTCGGTGGCATCATCGCGGCGCTCGAGCTGGGAATCGACTCGCTTGTTGAGAGTTGCTGGAAGAGCAGACGCGGCCGCCGCAAGGGCGAGGAGAACAGCACCGTGCATTGCGAAGGAATGTAATAATGACTGTTGTAGTGAGTGACTTTAACGAACGAATTGACAGTTGGTCGTAGGAACAAAAAGCGAGGAAGAAGGAATCTCTTGCAGTAGCAACAACCAGAAGGAGTGTGTATGACAAGACGAGAAGCAGTGAGACGACAGGCCGACGAAGAGTAGGCACTCGTTTTGCCCAGTGCAAAGGGGATGCTGACATGTCCGTCATGTTGCCCGCCACTTGCGATATCCAAACAAGCTAATCTTTCACTTCGAGGTCTTTTGAGGTGTAGTGTAACGGTTTGTGGGAAGCATGAGTTGAAGCGAGCTCCTTACAATGGTGATCGTCGACGATGTCGTGAAAGAGGCCGGTCTTTTGGTTTGACATGCGTTTCTCACTGCCTGTCGAGAGCGCCTTCACGACAAGAGGATATCCATGGTTCATATCGTCTTTCTCGAGATGCCGAGACCCTTGCATGTTGCTGTGAGACAGCTGAGCAACCGTGTACCAGACAGCACATGGAGACAGGGGAGAGAAGAGGTGATGGAGATCGACAAACCACGCAGCCGGCACGTTGAATGGGGGCTCCAAATTTGGTTCAGGGCCAACCCAATTTGATTTAGCGCAGTTGTTGTGCCTGGGGATCACGTGAGTGCCAAGAAGGCCACATCTTCTGAATTCACAGTCCTTGTAGATACCTGCTCCCGTAATCAATCATCTATGAAGGCCTAATAACCGCTGCACAACAGGTTATGAGCCCGGCGCTCAAGATTGATTCAACCATACTCATTTGATTATCTCTGATTGAGAATCCACAGTACCCTTGTCCTTGTATCTACCTGATCCACCTTGTTCTGCTATGGAGACCCAAACAAGCGAGAAATCTATCAAGTACATCCTCAAGAAGGGAGCCTCCTTTCAAGCATGGAGAGACATGCTTGAGGCCACTCTTGTTGACAAGGATTGTGCAGCATATGTCTTTGAAGACATCCCATGGCTAGCATATAAGCCAAAACTAGAAGCCCTAGAACTATTGCTCCCAATTGCTGTCCCTATTGGAGAACAAGCAGCCGAAAGAGCAAGGACTCAAGCACTGAACACAACTGCTGAAAATGAATACCAGGAGAGGCTGCTGGAGTGGTACAAGAAAGACAGGATTGCCTATGGCATTATCAGCTCAAGATTGGATGATGATATCAGACCAGACTTTGGAGCAACAAGGAAAACAGCAAGGGAACTGTATGAGACTGTGGCTTCAACATACAAGCCCATCATTACAGTGGATATCCACAACACAATCAAGGCCTTGCATACTACAAGACTGATTGAGGGGAACACCCTGGCATTCTGTGAAGCATTTCAGAAGAATTTGCAAAGGCACAAAACTGCTACTGAGCAGTACTGTGCTGCACATTCATGCTCACCTCTTGATGTTCAACTCCCCAACATATACATTAACCTTGTCTTCCAAGGAGGAACAAGACACTTGGAATGGACAAGAACATGGAGGCAGGCCTACAGGCCTGAGAACCATACCTTGGAACAATTGATCTCTAGCCTAAGAGCTGAGAGGGCTCCACCATCTCAACCCGGACTCAGAAGGCCTGCTGGAGCAGCAGGAGCAAGTGATGAAACTTGCAAAGAGTGTGGGAAGGGTAAACATAGCCCTGAGAACTGCTGGACAGCTCACCCTGAGAAAGCCCCAGAGTGGTGGGTAGCCAAGGACAGGCAAGACACCCAGAAGAAGAACAAGAAATCCAACAAGAACAGCAACAAGGACAGATCCTCTAAGAGCAGAGGGAGATCCAGCTACAAGAAGAGCGCTGCTGCAGCGCTTCAAGACAACAACTCTGATCTAGAGATGATCAGTGAAAGTGAGGATTCTGGCATGTCTGGTGCAGCAGTTGCTGCAGCTAGTACTAGGCAGAAAGGCCTCACATCCAACAGCATCATATTTGATTCTGGAACTTCGTATCATTTCTTTAACAAGAAATCATGGTTTGAGAGCATGGAGCGCTTAAAAGCGCCTATAAACTTCTCTCAAGCAGTTGGAAAGTCAAGCTGTATGTACAAGGGCACTGTCAAACTTCACCTCACTACTAAGAAAGGAGTCAGTACTGTGATCAAACTCACAGGTGCGCTGTACTCACCACACTCACACTGCAATCTGGTGTCCAAGGGCAGGCTTAAGCGCAAAGCCAACATTACCCAGCACCAGCATTCTGCAGATCTTGTCAAGGATGGCAAGACAATTGGTCAAGTTACCCAAATCCTGGATGTGGATGTCCTTCAGGGAGTCCAATTCCCAGCTCCCAATGAACAGACCTCAAGATCTGTACAGCACATCATGGCTCCAGCTATTGCTGATCCTACAGCTATAACCAGACTTTGGCATAGGAGGCTTGGCCACATTGGAGGGAAAATCCTCAACCTGACCAAGCAACATACTCAGGGTATGGAGAATGTTGACATCTCCACCCTGGAGCACTGTGAGACCTGTAAACTCTCCAGAGCTCAAAGAAAGGTCTCAAGAGAGAAGAGACCAATCCCAAACATGGCTCTGGATGAAATCCATGTTGATGCTGTGGGTACTGTAACCCCAGCAACTACTCTTGGACATCCTTGGCTGTTCATCTTGACTGATGCCAAGTCCAGAGTGAGGTTTGCATACACTGCAAAGAACAAGAGTGATGGAGCTGCATGTCTGAAGGATTTTGTTCACAAGCTTATCACCTAGTACTAAAGGCACCCTAAGATCTTCTTCACAGATGGGGGTACAGAGTTCTATGAGCTGTCAAGAATATCAACTCAACTAGGGCTAAGATGGGATGTGTCTGCCCCATACACTCCAGAACAAAATGGAATCTCAGAATCTTCTAACAAGGTAGCTCTTACAAGAGCAAGAGCTATGCTGGTATCCTCAGGTCTTCCCTATAGTCTATGGGACTATGCTATCAAGTATGCTATTCTTGTGGCCAACCTGACTGGAAACCTCACCACCAAGAATATCCCTATGCAACAATTCTTGTCAGACATGAATGCTGGCACTGCTGAGCTCCAAGATCTCTCCAGTCTGAGGGTCTTTGGATGCAAAGCCTATGTCTACAGAGCAATGGAGACAAGGCTCAAATCTGCCAAGTTTGAAGCCAGAGCAGACATTGCCTGGTTCATTGGCTTTCAAGAGAATTCCCTTACCAACTACATTTGCTGGAAGCCAGTCTGGAACCTTGAAAAGTCCAAATGGGACAACAAGTTCTACACATCTCCTCATGTCACCTTCAATGAGAATGAGATGTACCGGGATGCCCTGAACAACCAAGTACAGTTTATATCTGGTCCTTCTGCAGACCAGGGGGAGATTCTATTCACTCATGTCTTGCAGAACTCCCAGGATTCTGCCCCCCAACATGACAATCACCCACCTGAGGATCAGGAGGGGTCACTTAATGCTCAGGGGGAGCAACAAGGGGAGCCAGTCTTATCACAGACTGTACATGAACCTCCTCCACCAAGTCAACAAGCTGAACTTGCAAATCAGACTGAGTCACCCTATGAAGTGCAGTCTGAGCAAGCTTTGCAGCCTGAACTCAATTTTGACCTCACCTCATCACAAACCGAGACTGCTGGTACCCAGAATATTGCAAATGAGGAACCTCAGGCCAATGAGACTTCTGAAAACACTCAGAATACTCTCTTGGAGCAAGAAGATACCCAAGAGAATATACAAGAAGATATGGACGTTCCTATGACCCCTTTTCATGCACCCCCCATGACTGGCAAGAGGAAAAGAAACCAGTCCCCTGAACCTGAAATTGCTATGCAAAGGTACAACACCAGATCTGGCAGACAAGTGACTACCCAGAACTACAAGCAGATGAACAGTCAAGGCCTGAACAAGAATGGTCTTGCAGGAGCTGTCCATCCAGCAGATCCAACAACTGCTCAACAAGCATTATCCTCCCCAAAGGCTGAGAGGTGGAAGAAAGCCATGATCAAGGAGCTGAAATCTCTTGATACTACTGGTACCTTCGAATGGATTCAAAAGAACAAGATTCCTAAGGGCAGAATACCCTTGGATGGAAAGTGGGTGTTCAAGACTAAGTACCTCCCAGTAGGTGAAGTCTTTGACAATGGTGAGAATGAGATGGAGAAAGCAAGATGGACAGCAAAAGGCTTTGCTCAGAAACCTGGAGATGACTACAGTCAAACCTTTGCCCCAACACCAAGAGCTGCAACTGGGAGAATCCTCCTAGCTATATCAGTTCAGGAAGCTTGGTACAGAGCCCAGGTAGATGTTGAAACTGCCTTCCTCATGCCACTGCTGGACAGAGATCTCTATATCAACCCACCAAAAGAAATTGAGGAGTTCAACAGACCAGGCATGGTCATTCTCCTCAGGAAAGGACTCTATGGACTCAAGCAAGCTGCTGCTCTCTGGTATCAAGAAGTTGTTGAGCTGCTAATTCAGCTCAAGTTCAAAAGAACCAAGTCAGACTCCTGCTTGTTTGTCCATCCAGAGATTATTGTAATGATGCATGTGGATGATTTCCAAATATTCAGCCCATCCAAGAACAAGATCACTTGGCTCCTGGATAGCATGAAGAAGAAATGGAAGGTTAAGGAGGTCAAGACCAACCTCTTCC